TAGAAACTAAAAGGCTAAAGCGCTTCAATCTTTAAAGAAACTGGATTCTAAAATGCTTGTCGGGGATTTTGCAGACTTGATGGTAATTCTTGGACTCCAATGATAATTCTTTTTTAGGCACAGGGCACTGATTGGTCAACTATAGCGGTCTTGTGTTTGCGTTTTTCTGATTGGCCTATTTCTATCCACAACTGGGGATATATTTTTCATCGTGTTCTTTCGGACCATTAATCTGACGTTTTATGCTCTGAGGAGTGTCAGACGAAAAAGCTTTTAGCCATTATGATGTATAATGTTTGCTTTTTCAAAGCAATTTTCAAGAATGAACTTAGTTCGAAACATTTGAATACTGTTTATTATTTTTAGATATTTTCTTGCAACTTTGGAAAACCAGTTTTTACACACAATTCAGAACATAGACGTGAGAGGAATTGTGAAGGAAAAAGACAGTTGTAGACTGGGGTCAGCAACACAAAACTACATATGATGGTTATTGTGTTTGATTGGCCAACCATTGTCAAGTAAAAAAGCCATAGCTTTTCCAAACGCATTTACAAAATGGGGTTGTTTTCCCAATTTTTTTAGATTATGGTCAGCAAAAATATTTTCTGTCGCACTCCTCTTTCCCCCACCAATCTTTCAATCCTGCCAACGCCACTGCTTAGGCACTATTTGGGCAGTAATTGAAAAAAATTATGATGAGAATTTTCATGAGTAAAATTATGGTAAGAACCAGTATTTCGAAAATTTGAGGCTGGACTGTTCTTAATTTGTTCTTAAACTACTAGGGTATTGTTAGCAGTGAAGGTGCTAGCTAGTGTGTTCAGGGGGTGTGATCAGGACTTATTTATCAATAAAATGAGCGATGCTTTCTTTTTTGTCCAAAATTTTGAAAATTCACTGAAATAGCCTCCTTAGATGGCATGTTCTTAACTTTTGACCAGTTGTGAGGCTCGTGTTCTTGTGAAATTGTTCTTATAAAAAAGAGTGTTACTAAGGCAGAACAATGTAAGCGGTAACACAAGGTAGGACATGCACACGTGTTCTTCTATCCCAACAAACGTTTCTGTTTTTTTATATATTCATTCAGTTTTAATGCATTGTGTTTAAGTATCTTTATTCTTAGTACTTCTGAATATTTTAGTTTCTTTTATGATTCAGCAATGTATCACATTTTGCTGGATGAATTATTCAGGAAGTCAAGATTTGGCTCTGGTCTCCATTGCCATACCACTTAGCCACTGCACATGTTACAAGAAGCAAGACAAATTGGTTTTGGTGTGGTTAATGCTCGTAGATAATATAAAATATTACCTCGCAGGAAATCGAAGACATATACTCGAACATAGAATACCCTAGAAAAAAAATTCAAGCCAAAAAATGAACCAATGGAAATTATTTGACAATGAAAAGAAATTCAACTACATTTTGAGAAAGCAGATGTGTTGGATAAAAGGCAGTTTTGTCACCAGATCTACACATTAAATATCTACTATTATTTGCAAAAATAATGTATCAGTACCTTCTTCATATCTATCTACTTTATATGATGCTACACCCTTCTTATAAGAACCAGTCAATTGAATTCCAGGCTGGCTATTCTTAATTTGTTTGAAAATTGGAGGTTGAATAGTTCTTAACTTGTTCTTAAATTATTAGGGTCTAAGCAGCTCAATTGCTAGTTAGTTTGCTCTAGGGGAGTCTCCAGGCCCCATTTGCTAACAAAGTGAGTGAGACATTCCTTTTTTGTCGTCCAGTTTGAAAACTCACCGAAAAAGCATCCCTAGATGACAAGAAACTCTTCGTTTTAGAGATGGAATATATCAAGTCGATTTCACAACTTTGTTTTCAAAATCACGTTTTACAAAAGCTCAGCCTCAGCTGGTTCTTGATTTGTTTCTAAATTTTGATCAATCATGAGGCATGTGTTCTTATAAAATTGTACATGATAATTTTTACAAAGTCTGTTTCGAATTTGGCTCCAAATGATTCTTTTTATCCTGAAAACAGATTGGATGAATTTAGATTTGGGACATTAGATTGTATCGATATGCTTGATTCTCTCCAAATACATTGATGTCTTTGAAATTGTTTACAATTTTCAAAAATCCAAGTTCGTTTATTCAAAGTCCAGACTCTTTGAAGAAGTGTTTACCAACAAGACAATAAACAATGAGATTGTTTGATTTTTCATCGCCTCCTCTCCGCATCGAGGCTCGCTATGTAGAGCACAGTTTATAAAGTTCTGGTTAGAGATGAAAAAAACTGGTTAAGATTTGTATAGAATTTGAAGGCAAAGCAACTCCCCAGTCAAAGGTCATAATCGATAAAGTTTTCCGATGATGTAAATCCTTTTGTTGTTTTTTCAAACAGAAATATCTTTTTTATCTGTAATTACATCGATTTTGCTTTCAAACCGCAGAACAATTTCAGGCCCCGAATTTGCTTACTTTCTAGATTAAGGCCGGGGGCGTAAAGCTGGTAAAATATTCCTGCAAAATTGTTTTTGCACAGGTTCTCAGCTATTAAAACTACAAAGAAGAAATATTTTGGCCACCTGTGCCCTGACAACCTGAATGCGAATTGGTAGACCAGTTGATTTTTCTCATTCATACTAAGGTTGTCTCTGAATCCTAGCACACAAAACACTGTAAGGAATGGAAAATTGGCAAAATTACATGTGCAAACAAAAGTAAACAGAAATCATGAAGTGTATTGCTGCCTCCTCTCTGTTGTTCTTAGTGTTTATACGTTCTTCCTCTTCAGACATCCTTGATCAGAGTCCTGATGCACAAAACGGAAATTCCAAAGAGCATATTCCTTTTAAAGAATAACTGAGACCTGTCAAGTGATTCGATTTAGCCTTCGCGACCTTTGTTCTGTGTTTTTCTTCTACCATTCAATGGCTAATTTTGTTGCTGGTACCGGGTCACTCGCCAAAATCCAGACAAACAAATTAATTATTTGTCAAACAATAGCTGATTAGAGCCCAGGCCTAAAAAACAAGGTTTTTACAACTTAGGCTTAATGGTACATAATTGTACATTCTAATTTTCACTTCTAGCTCTATAAAACGAACAAAATGCACTTAAACAACACAAAATTGCATCATTGTAGGCCCTGTATCTAAAAATTCACGTATCACCGACAGTCAAATATCAACTGAGTAATGTGACAATTTTGCGTGTTTATTATTCGCTATAAACGAATAATTATGCAAGAGTCTAAGAATAGAGCCCAAGGGCCCAATCACAAATGATATGATGAGGCCCAAGGGCGCCAAGTAAATTAAAATGCAAGAAACTGGCGAGCCTTGTTCATTAAGCAAATAATTTCGCAAGGCCTACATTAATGTTTGCTGACACTGGTAAGATTTTCTATTGTGAATAAACGAGAGGCCACGATAGCAGGACTCAGTGGACTTTGCATTTAAGATTTGCTTCCTCGTTCTCGCCTTGGTTGGGTTGATTAAGGGAAACATACAAAGTATTTTGTTGAAAGTTTTCAAGCTTTGTTCGAAATTACCCTGGGTACCAGACTCACTCTATACATAATAAGTCTGGTACCCAGGGTAATTCTTGAGCAGGAACTTTATGTTTCAGGAGATTGAAAATCGTGAGGAAGATTTCCGAAATAAATTAGTCAAAGTACAACCGCCTTGATTTTAGGAGGTAAAAAGTGGAAAAGGTCTAACTTGTTTCACCGAGTCCCCTGAGCCCCCCCCCCCCCGAGCTATAACTCTGCTTGGTTTCATGGGATGGACGTCGAAAGCATACAAAGTTGGAGGAGTACATGTAGGAGGCAACTCAGAAAAAAGGTCTCAGAAAAAACACTTTTTTAAAAGCTCTCACAAGGACATTCCTAGGTAATGGGGACATTTTCAAAAATTTTAAGAGATTATCCGGTTTCCGATATTCCTGCCCACCCTATGGTATCGCTTGCCCTAAGATGTTTAAGCAGCGTATTCACTAATTGTAAGACCGATGTTATACCAATCCAAGCTAAAAGCCATTTAAATAAATTTGCAATCTTTACAGGCAATCTTTGCAGTCCTTTTCGTCAATCGATATTCAATTGAAATTGTCGATGTCAATCAAGTAGAGACTTTTGTTTAACAGATCTTCACAGAGAGGGGACAAGTTGGTGTTAATGGGATCGCAGTGTTGTCAAGAATGAATTAATAATTAATATGTAGCTTTTTTGTTTTTACATTTAGCTTAAATCTAGATCCATGTTCTTTGCATTCAAGGCACATTTAATGTCACGGGGTTGTCATTGTCTATTGCTCGCCTTCGTAGCGTCTTTGTGTTGTCGTAAAGTGGTTCATATGTAATGTTTCAGTAATTTCTTATTGTAAAATTGTTGGTTGAATCGGAAAGAAACTATTTACGATATCATTGTATTTTGCCTATTACACAGACATGAAAGGAAACGGACATTAAGGATTTCCCACAATTCACACAACCAATGGCCAGCCACTAAGCTCTGGGGGGACAAACCAAAAAAATTTAAGCCCCGCCCTTTTAACCACCAGAAAACGCCCTTTTACTAACAGGGAACGCCAATTTTATCTGAAGGGAACGCCTATGACTAACTTTTGTTTGAAAATTGGCAGTTTGAAAATCATAGGATTACATCACAAAAAGTACGGTGTCAAAATATTACCCCTCCCCCAACATTTTCTAATCGAATTTAGACGAAATACAAAATCGATTCTGCTGAGAACTGGGGGGGGGACAAGATACTGTACATAAAAGGCCATTAAACGGTATAATATCCACCCAATAAAAGTTTCATGCTCAAACTTATGCAAAATGTTGAAGAATAAACAATAATAACAATACTTTGATTATGATTAAAACGTTCTTCTTCCTTTTATGGTTTTTATCAATATGCAGTTAAAATTTGTACGCCATAGACCTAATCATGCGGGTCCCGATCACGTGACAGTCAGACACGTCTTAATTTATGTTTGCATATATTACTGTCCACTAGTGCGTGTGCTCTGCCCGTTTGAACCCAGTCACTGAGTTTCGCAATGATCGAGGATGTAATGGTGGAAGAAAGAGCGAAGTTTCAGTTGAATTTGGCCAAGATACTTGAGACTGAAGCCCTCTAGTATCGAACTTTTCGTTGGCTGTTCGCTGGGATTTCGCTTATTTTAAATTGGTTGTCAGTTACATTAATGTAGACGGGAGAAGAAGGACGTTGTCACCAGTACTCGACGAGGCTCGTATAAGCCAACTACACTGTTGTTACAGCTAGGCCCGAAATGATTTGCCTTTGAATTTATTCGTTACAACAAATTCGTGGCTATTATGTGGATTTAACAGATTTAATCAAATGAGCTTGGTGATAGCTGCCGTCAAATGTAATATTTAAGTCCTCGTTTGACCGTGGAGAGTTTAATTTTCATTTCATCGAAAACGACTAGAGAACAGTGACTTGGTTAGCCATTCTTTACCCATCTTTGTCATTTATTGTATGTGAAGGGAGCGAGACAACACAGGAAGGCAAAAATAAAGATACATAAGCTTTGTGGCCGGGTTACTTGCATCTGCAAGCTTCTTAATCATTCTCATTCATTCGAAGAATTATATTCTTGTTAAAGCGCAAGTTACACCAAGGCTCACCCACAAAGTCAGTGATATATGCGTTCTGAAGTATTCTGAATCTCAAACGAATTCGTAACCTTTGGCAGAGAAATAACAAACCTTGGATTTCTACAAATAATAATCATCGTCATTTATGGATTCTACCGTGAATATATGGCATATCCATCTCGGATTTGTATGTAAGTAAAAGAAAAGATTCAGGAAGACCTGTTGTTAGTTCATCCTTGATAATTGGCGCCTCTCCATAACGTCAACTTCAAAGTATGGGGATCCGTTTTGGTATTTCCTATCAATTTGCATTCGCTACACACCTATTCAAAACTACAAAGGAAAGATAGATAGTTTATCTCTCTGTGTTTTGTAAAATTATTGTCAGGTTCCTTGTGAAAAAACCTCTCCTATTTTTGTGGGAAATCGTCATCCAATCGCTCTGAAGATCGTACATATCTCAATTACAGTGTATTGAACACAATTTATCGCACTACTCACGAGTTTCTTTCGATTTAGGATTTATCAGTGAGTTTTCTGGCAAAATCATCGTGTTTTGGCAAGCGATAACAGTTCTTGCAAATCAAATTAAGAGCTGTCAAAAGAGCCATGATTGTATCGCTTGGTCGCTTGTGGAAGATGTTCAGTGTTATGTCGGTGGTGGTTCTGTTCTAACAAAGAGATTTCCATGCTAGCAAGTTAGTGTGGAAAATGGCTCAGAAATTGGATAACATTGATACTGAAAAGCCAATGGTTAATGGACATGTTCCATCTGTACCAAAGTCATTGACAGGTTAGTTGATCAACTTTATGTACAAAAGAAAATATTATAAGTTATAAACAAAATTTCTTATTAAAAGGTGGAAAGAAATACGACAAACCGTTAACTATAAACACGGAAATGCGGTTCTCTCTTGTTTGAAAACGACACCATCGATTTTATCCTCAGTAACAAATGAAACCTTACTCCTTCCTTGTGGCAGTTTTGACCGAAAAAGTAATTAGCACGAGTAATTGAACTTTAACAAAGAAACAAGTATTTCAAATTGTTTCTTTTATCAGACAACATATTATTGGAAGAATAAGTTTTGGTAAAATTCTTTGTATTACAGAGATAATAACACTGTTGTTTACAGAGGGCACCTTGTGCACTTACGAGTAATTACTCTCACGTGTTGTATGTTTTTATTCTAAAAGTCAATTGGACAATCATTTGTTTAAAGGATAAATGATAATCCAAAATGCAACTAGTTGCAAGTAATTAAAGTCTCTGCTGTCCATGAATGTTGAGTGGGTGGTTCACAGTCAATAGCTACCACTTCCTGGTTCTCAGGAAGTGATGGCTGTTATTTTAATATTTCTTTAAGGTCCAGTTGATAATTAAGCCTAATTTCTCAAATAAAAACTTGAATTTTGGATCCAAAATTTGTGATTGATTGTTAAGAGGAAATTAGAGTTTATCCTTTTGCTGTTAGACCTGTTTATACTTGATGATCGTTCTGAAGCTTTGTTCCTAGTTTTAACAAACATTCCTTACAAGTCCTTTGAACAACCAAAAGAGTGTTTACATTATATATTGTGTTTAAGCTGGCATTCTTTCCACAAAACTGTGCCAGTTCCCCTTTTTTATAAACAGCCACTAAATTATTGCCAGTCCAGTAGTCAAAGCCTCCCATAATTTGACTTACCTGACCTCACCTTACACTCGTTCAGTATCACTGAATATTTAGATATCATTAACATATCCATATGCACAACAAGCCCTAGGGGCTCTCAAGGGGTATTTTTCAAAGGACCTTGTGTTGCTCTGTCAGACAACTGGGTTTTTCACAGTATTTTACTTTCAGTCAGACATACAATATCAATTATTGCTTTCAAGTAGATGGGCCTAGCATTTTTGCTGTCTTTGACAAAAATTTATCACTAATCAGCTCAAGCCACAATGTCAATAAAACATCACAGTTGGTGCTATTGGGAAGTTCTGGCCCATGCTTGATATACATATGTATTAAACCTACTTATGCTATATCTTTCTTTATCTTGTAATGTGTGATGGTTTGCATAATTGAAATTCTTCAATTAGTGAAGTTTAGTCTTGGTTGGATAATATAGTTATGATTCAGTCAATCGTGGGTTCTTTTAGAGATAGTTGAAAAACCACAATTTGGAAAGATGTGTCAGTTTGCTATTACTTAAACTGTTGTAGAATTGATATTTTTATGAAAATCATACACATTTCATTTTTCTGGGTTACTAAGCCATTCTTTACATTCAAACCAACTATAAAATTTGAGAATGTGTGTTAGTAGAAAGTATAGCCCTCTTTTGAAATATTCATACTTTAAGAAAATTGATAGATTTGATAGCAGTCAAGAACAGTGGCGGACACTTTGGAGGACAATGGTCTTGTTCTAAAAAAATGTAAAAATGTGACATCATTTTATTAAAACAAAGGGCTTGCCCCCCCCCCACCCTCCAATATTTGACCAAGTGTCTGTCCCTGGTCAAGAAGACCATCAATTATAATTCTGCTGCTTAAGTACCAATACTTATTCCATGTGTCTCTATCTGCCAATCAATTCCTAGTTCTGATGTTATATTTTTGATTTGGTTCTACGTCACTTGATTAACTAAATTCTTATCATTACCTAGATGATAACATAAGCATAAAAGATGAGAACTCTAAAGAAATCGAATCACTGTCACAAGAAGAATCACAAAATGATAAAAACGAAGGAGATCTGATAGCGGAAGGTGCCAAAGATAAACCAACAGTTGTAACGCTTTCTGGAAAAGAAGAACATGACAAGTATAGAGATGGTGATGCTGAAGAGAAGGCTGTCGATAGCAGTCCTGATGGAAGGTTCCTCAAATTTGCTGAGGAAATTGGAAGGGGCTCTTTCAAGACTGTCTACAAAGGTCTGGACACTGAAACTGGAGTGGCTGTTGCCTGGTGCGAGTTGCAGGTTAGTGACAAATCATTTGTTGTTGCTTCTTTTAGAAATGAAATTTGCTTTACTTATCCTGCATTCAGCCTAGTAATGATATGGATGTCAGAAAGGTGACATGACTAGCAGGGTTGTTAGTTATCAACAGGTTTTGGTATAATCTTGTGTCACATGTTATGCTTTAACTTTCAGTTCAAAGGTTATTCAAATATAGATCAAGAGTATCGAGCTGTGAGTGAAAGCATGTTGATTTGGTTTTTGGCTTTTTTGAGCTGTTTCAGTTTGAAACATTTGTTTCGGTAAAGAAACAAAATATATTGCAGGAATTTCAATTTCAACATTTTGTCTGTTGCATTTTCTCAAATGTATATAGTCAAAATATATTATTGAAACAAAGTCTTTGGTGTAAGAAAATTTGAAATTTGATTCAGAGCAGGCCTTTTCCTACCAATGTCAGCTTGAACTTACCAAAAGTTGGGTCAATGTTTGCTTATTATCACTCTTGTTGGGCTGCCCATTTTGACAGCTATGCAAACCAACATATCAAGTTGGATTTTTTTTCCTTTGTTGGAAAGATTTCATAATAGTTCTTCATCCTGTTAGTGTTTTGAATTGTTTAGATTGTCTTAGATGAGAACTGGTGAAATATCAAAATATTTTGGGTGACAATTGTTGTCATAGTTCAAACTGTCTATACTATTTCATATCCAAGAAAAAATTGAAGATCAAAAGTATTAAAAAATTTTTGTTTTTAATGTTAGCTTAACATAGACATTTCCTTTAGTTGCACTGTTATAAGTAGGGACCAAAGACTTAGGTGACGTTCTTAAAATCAGAAAGGGGGGCTGTGCTGTAAGCAACTTCAAGAGGCCATATCAATGACCAGACCCCTTTCCACACTCAATGTTGTTATATTTGTGTTAAAGATTCTTGTGTTACAGAATCATTCCAACTATTCACCGATTAAAAAAGACTAATAGGAAATTGCTCATTCATGGAAAATCTGTAGTGGTCACCAACATAATTCTTCCAACCAAACATAAAGCTACATGAGGCTTGTGTTCTTATGAAATTGTTCTTTTGAAAATAAGAGTACTCTGTATCGATGGGCAAACTATGCCATGTGGTGTTATCGGCTTAGAAGAGGAGAAATTATGTAGGTAATTTTAAGTAGATCTGGAAGCTTTGGAATGCAGTTCAGAACTTGATAGTCTGAGCTGTGTGCTTGCGACAGACGCTAGTCTTTGCATTGCCTTTTCGAAGGAGAATCTGCTGAGGGCAAGCCCTTTTTTATTAAAGGAGGAGGACAATAGCCTATTTTTTAAACAATTTGAAGGTCACCAGGGCTGAAGGGGCAATTGGCCTCCTAGCTAGTATGTCGAAAAGACTTTTAAGTCTTTGTCCCGATAATACAGTGGAGTAGCAACGGTTGCGATGTTAGTCATGGCTACCATTTTTGTTGTCAGTTTAAGCTGATTATCGTTTTAAATAAGTTCCTAATTTGCACCGTAGGTAAAATATGAAGTATTACTTTGGTTGACAATATCGACCTAAATTTACATAATCTCCGGTTCGCTAGCCTTCATTTCGGTTGCTTCGTTTTTGGTTGTAAAAGCAAGGCGATGTGCAAGTTGTGCAGCTCCCTGTACAGATCTTTTCCGACAGTATAGTTCAAGCCTAGGCCACTGTCAGGAAACAAAGGTGTCTTGAGATGCCTGATTAAATCCGGATTTAGAACTTTTCGATGACATTGCATAGCTCAATGTATAGCACCTAATGTTTGAGTGAGTTTTTGAATGAGTAATAAATTCACAGTTGAAACCGTTTATTCTCGTGTTGGTTGTTTTGTTTCGCGATTGGTGAATAATCGAGTTTTTAGTTTAATTGCTGTGGTACACCAGGTAGCATGCGAGGAATTATAGGGAAATTCAAACGAGCAGTTAATGGAGATGCTGTGAATACCAAGCGCAGAGGCTGCGGCTTGCTGCTGTATTGAAACAAACACATTCCTGAAACAAGATGCCTGCTATGAGTCCTTGATCATTTGGGTAACCATGATTTCATTCACAGAATATTATGGCTGTAGTACATTGGCTGCGTGAAATGTACTTGAAGCTCTTTGCAATTTAATAGAATCTGAGGATAGAAATGGCATTATTTAACAATATGAACACTGTTTTCACCTACGTGAAAGGCAGATTATAGATCAACGAAGCTCTAAATCCCTAGTTATCAACTCGGCCATGAAGATAAGGGGAAGGGGAGGGGTTTTAAGGAGAGCTTGATATCTTTGGCGGTGGTGGAGAAGGTGGGGATGGGGCGGTGGAGATGGTGGGGCGAAGGGAGGGGCACCTAAGGACAAGCCGGCATAGATGGGGGTGGGTGATGAAAAAGAGAGACGGACGTGAAATATAACAGGTTTTCTCCTTTTTAGTCGTCAGATGCCTGTATAAGAATCCATTTGTGGCCAAGCAGCATTAATCTCTTGATCATTCCATTTAGGCATTGTTTAAAATTCAACACAAATTTAGAAATCTGTATCTGTAAGTGTATCTTCAAATGTATGAAGCAACCCTCCGTCTTTGAATCAGAACGCATTCGCACTAATGACTTTGTTTAATGCGCATGCTCTTTGACTTCAGGACGGAGGGCTGCTTTACTCAATGAAAGACTCGCGTTCGTCTCCCCAACAAGTAAATTGTGTTAACTGTTTAGGTTGTAGTTTAAAAAATTGCTTCCACCGTCCTGAGTATACCGCCGCTTAAGCCCGTAACTTTTCTTCACCACTCCCCCTTTTTGTCTTGCCATCCTACTGGCGTTTCTGTAAGTGCTAAGCCTTGTAGAAATTCCTAAATCGTCTGTGTGCATATTTAGAAAAGGCTCTATTGACGTAAATCTTGGAATTAGCTTTTAAAACAAACTGGCCCAAAGTCAGCTTAGAAACATGTGTTGAGAGCAGTAGAATCATATATAGATAGCATTTATGTAGGTGTTTGTTATGTCGGGCACTGGGGAGAAGGAATCATTTTAACGTGCTATATATAGAACTGTTTATTAGAAACTGCTATGTAGACATTTAAAGGCATTTTGCAAAGAGAGGCATATCAATTAAGAATTTTTGTAGGAGAGGCGCGTTTATTGATTTTAAAAGACAAACCGGTTGATGTCATAAAAGTCGCGAATTTAACGTAGATATCCATTGCAATTATTTGGAATATTTTGTACTGTATTACGGAATATAGATTTCAAAAGTGCCATAAATTGGTAAGAAACTCTGGCTGAAGAAACTGTGGAAACATATATTGAAAAATTGACAGTGTTTAGATGTCTTGACATATTCAAAGTACAGGGTAACTTATATGCATGCAACGACTTTGTGCTTTTTGCATTGCTTGTTGTTCAGTTCAATATCTCAAAGGTTTTTGCTCATAGAAACCCTAGAATCCCCTTAGACTAAATTATATATTCTTTCCTGTAGTCTATCTACAATAAATTCTATATATATCCAAGCACTTTTCAAATTCGAAAGTCGGCTGAAAGATGTCTACTTGTTGAAGACTCGAGGTTTTTAGTGCAATTTAATGATTGCGAAGTTGAACATTGTCAAGACGGTAAAGAATTCGGCATGTTGCTGAGAAGTTAACTGTGTACACTGGAATCCATTTAGTCGTTATGCAACATTACAGAATCAACGGGAAAATCATCCCTAAGCTGATAGTGGTGTCAGAAATATAATTATGCTGGTCTGTGCGGTGTATAATACAGAATTTTTGTGGTTATCTGGTGTGCTAGGCTAGTTGCATCACACTATTGACTGAAACTTTCATTACTTACTTTGCTAAATAATGCTTTACGCAAATATTTTAAAAGGAGTCCTTGTAGACATTTCTTTGGTTCGCATTTCGATAACGCAATGTTAAAGGTGAAGTGAATATAAAGTAAGATCCTTTTACTCGCACCCCAGGAATACACTCTTCTTTTATACGAGCCACTAAATTGAATTTCAGGCTGGCTGTTGTTAACTTTCCATTTGAAATTCCTGCGTTAGTCGCAGTGGTTTCCAATTCAGTCGGCTGTTATACAGACTTTTGCCACCCAACGCACCCCATTTTACCAGTAGATTTCCTCTCATTTCTTGAAAACACTACTTCATTATCCTCTTTCCCTTCCTGGTCCTCCTCTCCCCCTTATTACAGTATCCTTCTCTCCCCTTGATTTCTCCTTCATTTTCCTCCTCTCCTCCTCTATTTTACTCCACACCTCCTCCATTGCCTGCATCTCCTCCTTCATTATTTATCTCTCCCCAATCATTGTCCTCCTCTCCCTCTTCATAACCCTCACTGCCTCACCGTCCAGCCCTTCTTGCTTAGCCTACCTTGGCGGCTTCGTTTGGTTCTTATCGGATTTTTTTAATTGATTGTGGTTCGTTGTAGTTTTTATTTCCCAGCAACAGTAAATTAGAAATGCCTCGAGTGATTCAAAAAATTCTTTCCATCAATTGCTTTGTATTAGAAATGCCAACAGAATGCAAACAAGATATTCTATTTAGCTTTTTCTATCGCAAATGTTTAGCATGAGAGTTCTCTAAACATTGAACGGCTTTGTTCAAATAGTAATTGCCTTTTAGCTGCTTTACATTCGTGTACTTTGTTTACTGTTGTTTGTGGTTTGTGGTCCTCTCTTCAAAATTGAAGGGTTAGTTGCAAGAGCTAGCGATGAATTTAGAGTGTCACACAGCCGATGCTGTTCCCTTTAAAAACCAAATGATATTGCAACCGTTCGCAATGATATGATATGCAAGCTTTCAGTCTTGATAATATACAAACATCCAAGCCCCCTATAGTCTGAGATGTAGAATCTGCCATACCAGTAAATCTCTTGTGAGTTCAAAGAAAGATGATAAATTTAGGCTGAGTACCAAAACAAGCTGTATCTCAGTGCCACGGTTGTGGGTTCGGCTGCTTTGATCGTTAGAATTTTCTGAAGGTAGCTTTTGATGGAGCAAATTGTCCTAAAGAAGGGAGGAAACTGTTCTATCTGCGATCCAATAAGAGCATACATTTCCACTGTTTGGTGTAACGATTGATAAAGCTTTCATTTAATTGGAATGTGTATAGGAAAAGCACACTGAAGCATTTTTTTACTACTACAACCTTACTCTTAAAGACTCATTGCTAACAATGGTCCTTTGCGAGCGTGGCGACGGTCCAAACAATGGCAGTAAACTTCTACGGATTAACCAAAATTGATTTCAGACTGTCTAAAAATGCATTATGGGATGCTTGGGTAGCGCAATGGCTCATTGTTAGCAATGAGTCTTTAATATGAGTACCCTCAGGCGTCGACTATTCTAAAACGTTAGAAACGAATACCTGGTGTTGTCATATGTTTTAGGTTTTTCAACAAAATTGGACGGATTTTTTTCAGATCGAGACAAATTCTCGAAAATCGGGTAGCCGGGACAAAGTCTTAAAATCAGAACTGTCTTCAGGATGGTTGGACGCAAAAGAAAAATTGCATTTATTATTATAATTACAATTAACTTCCAAGGTTGATCGCTCTTAAATAATTCATTTTATTTTGTTTCCAGGACAGGAAATTGTCAAAAGGGGACAGAGGGAGATTTAAAGAAGAGTCGGAAATGCTGAAAACCCTTCAACATCCAAACATCGTCAAGTTCCACGATTATTGGGAAAGTCAATCGGGAAAAGCTGGAAAAGATCGAAAACTGATTTTGGTCACTGAATTGATGACATCTGGCACCCTTAAAACGTACGTCTCTTGATTTTCTACTAATATAAGCTCGGGATAAGTCGAACCATTTGGGGACTAGCAATACATTTATTTTTTTATAGGAAACAGGTTATAAGAAAGGTTAGGCTCAATTTTTCGAAAGTTAAGAAACAACCCTACCCAAATTGAAAAAAGCTAAAAAAAAATTTTATATATATAATTTGCAGTTTTAATTTTCCGAGTTGACACTCGTAATCTTGACATTCACTGTATATTGAGACACTACAATTGACATGCAGTTTGCATTCATTCTCAGTCAATTGCACACTCAAGAAATTTCCATTTAAAAATTTGTTTTGACTTCAACTTGACATTGATGAAGTTCAATGAGCTTAACTATTTATAGATCTCAACAGAGTTAGTCATTCTAGGAAAACAAAATTCCTTGACACTTTGTTAGTTTATCTCTGAATGCGAGTGAAATATTTACTCTACCTTGGAAGCACGTTTAAAAAATTCATTACCTACGAAATTCAAGAAACATGTTAAAAACTTTTGATAGCAAAATGGCCAGAAAATTTAAGAAACTGCCTACCAGCACCGGTCCTTAGTTTCTTATAAAAAAATTACGTGTATGCCTGTGACTTTTTGGACTCGTACACTCCCTCTTTATAAGAACCTAGAAATTTTGGTTCAGATTGGCTGTTCCTAATTATTCCAAAACTTTGTGGTTGGATTATTCGTATTTTGGTCTATAATTATTAAGACATATGTTAAGAAGTTTAGATACGAGACAATTTTTACTGCATAAAAGAATTAAATGTGTTTAATGCCAGTATTGTTTTTTAATAATATCAGCAACAGATATATATTTAACAAATGTTCTCACTGATATATGTCTTTGGTAAGAAGTTCTATTGAAATTTTCTTAAAACACTGTTCTTTATAACACTGTTTTGACAGGTCATGTCAATAGAGAAGTATTTGTAAAGAAACCCTATCCAAAATTTGTTTACTTTACCTCTCCTTCGATTTGTTCTCAATATGTGGGTATTTTTATCAGTGTAAAGTCTCCCACTATCATGAAAGTGTTCTAATAAAAACAGGATGTAGTTAGTGATATTTTATTGGCAAAATTATGACTGAACGGGGCCTTGTTTGTCATGTAAATTTTAATGGTTATGTTTGTACTATTGATGATTAGACGATTTCTGATCATTACGATCATGATTGTTTTGCAACCCAGTTACTCATTATTCCAATCTTATAGCGATTGCAGCATTGATTAACTTTCATCAGAGAGTCATTATTATTATTATTATTATTATTATCGCGCAAATAATTTTGAGCAGCGGCGACAGCACATTTGTGGGTATGCGAACACTGGTGATATATTTCTTTCATTTGATCAGTTCTTGGGATCCAATCATCCTCGATTACTTAAAGCGTCTTATTTTTGTAATCCTGTTTATGTAAGTTTTCCAATTAATTTTCTTTTCCAAAATACCTAGGTCATATCAAAGAAGAATCTTTTCAATTGGTATTGCCTCCTAAGTAATCTTTTAACGACCAGACTATGGATTGTCTGATGTAGTACGCTTGCAAAGTTGAATAAGCATTAAGGCTTAATTCAGGAGATACTGACTCTTCTGAGCCACTATTTCTAGCAAGTGATTTCATGGTCTTTTTTTCTATTCCGCGCACAGTATAAAAATGTGTTCTGTATTCTGGCTTTTACCTAAACAATAGCCTATTGTTCAGAGGCAGCTGTCCTTTGTATAAAATGCCTGGAAGTCAGACAGAATGAATAGGAGGCTGCCGTGTTTGATTAATATTTATGCTGCATGAAAGTCATTTGTGTTTTCGGAGCGTCGCATAATTATGCGTGATCCTCATTTTGTATTGTTGTTGTAAGCATTTATTATCATTTATTATTCATGGAACGTGGGTTACGGCCAATGATTTTCTAAACCGCATGTTCTTTTATCATGTTTAATGACATCGTACATTACTGCGTATCGTGTTGAACGTTTCCCTTGAAAAAGTTTTGCTTTTATTTGGCCAACTGTTTGCAAAACTAAAGAGTAGAGAAGCTGTAAAGCTCGCATGCTTAGGTTTCTTTTCTGACAGCTGTTTTCCCCGTCTCGCCGTTCTTTGTATTGGAATGGGGGAACCCGACGCATATCTTAACAGCTTTTCTCCCTAGTGAACTGAGATACAAGAACTTCTGTAGTATTATTGGTTACCCCCTCAAAACCCTAAAACGCACCAGGGCACAGCTATTTCGCGTGTCTGAGATCTTGAATTTCGTAAATCGTCTATTGATACTCACGAGATTTGGATGTTCTATAGAAAACACCCTCATTGAATGCCATAGTTGATATGATTCATTTAATCAATCATGACATTCCCCTATAGAATTTTGCCCGCACATGTTTTATCTATAAATATTAGTAGAATAATGCGTAGGTATGAAAATTTGATCTCTTTTGGGATCTCTATTCTGATTTATGGAAATTCGTGTCCTCCAAACCTGTATCAAAACAAGTGAATCCACCCTATGTCTATTATTTAAGCCTAGTGGAAACTTGTAGAAGACTACGATTTGATGTTATCTCTCACTATGGCAACTAAGCATAGCATAATTTCTCAATCAAGCTGCTTGAGTTTTTTTGTCTACAATGAAAATATTTGCCCTTACAAGAAACTCGAGCCTGAAGGTCGAAAGTTTAGGTCAAAAATGTTCTTGAAACAATCGTCCCACAGCCCTTTACCTTCTAGCCTAGTACTTGTTGGGGAGACGAGCGAGCAAACGTCTTCAAATGAGATAGGCAGCCCCCGCCATGGAATTAGAGAGCTTGCGTAATAGTAGCTCCATTCCATGTGCATGCTCTTTGGCTCCAGGACAGAGGGTTGCCTCACTCATTAAAAAATTTTTTTGCTCATCTCCCCAAGAAAATACTCATCTATTCTTACGACTTGCGTCACCGATCACTCTTCCGAACTCTTATCTTTTTTTACCTTTTGCTGCATTTCTGATCCATAAATGTAGTCATAAGCTTTGATGATGTTTAGTTAGTGAGCATTTCCTCTCTATTGCCTTGTTACAGGTATCTGAAACGTTTCAAGCTTGTAAAAGAGAAGATTTTAAAGAACTGGTGTAAGCAGATTTTGAAGGGGCTGAATTTTCTGCACAATCGTACTCCAGCCATAATCCATCGAGATCTGAAATGTGACAACATCTTCATAAATGGCACAACTGGACTCATTAAAATTGGAGATTTAGGCCTTGCTACTTTTAAGAAAGCTTCGTTCGCGAAGAGTGTTATTGGTAAGTTTATTGTTTAATGTCAGATTGTTTCAAAAAACACTTACTGTTTTTGCTAGTTTTGTTTTAGTATTTGGTGCTTGACTAAAGCTGTGTTGTATTGAAATCAAAACACATTTTTTCTTTTAAGATGAAAAGCTCTTTGCAGTTTATCATTTGAACCTTTTGGTAATTTTGACCTTTTGGTAATTATATCATTTGAACCTTTTGGTAATTTAGAGCCATGAAACCAGGCTTATAGAAAAGATTCTGAGCTTAAAGACATTATAAATCGTAAAAGGTTATTAAGATTTTTTTCCTTCTGACCAACTTCATCCAGAGGCAGTGTAAACAAAATGCACTTCTGTTTCGAAAATACCTGAATTTTTAGACAAGTAGGAGCCTCTCGAGTGTAATGAACTGAAACAATTAAAGGAATTCTTCTACTTCATAGGAACACCAGAGTTTATGGCACCAGAGATGTACGAAGAAAAGTATGACGAATCAGTCGATGTCTACGCTTTTGGGATGTGTATGTTGGAAATGGCAACGGGAGAATACCCCTACATGGAATGTGAAAATCCTGCGCAAATATTTCGTAGAGTAACAAGCGTAAGTGTTTAAGCCTCTTTTCAGCCTTGTCTCGCAGTCACGAAGTGAGGTGGGAGGCTTTTTTTATTACATACTCGAAGCTATCGTTTACCGTTTTACTACTTATGCAGCTGCTAAAATGTGATTAAGTCGTAGGTGACATCGTGGTAGGTGATTCCATCCTAGGTGCTTCCATCGTAGGTGATTCCGTCGTAGGTTTTTCTGTCGTAGGTGATTCCATCCTAGGCGATTCCATCCTAGGTGCTACTGTCGAAGGTGATCCCATCGTAGGTGATTCCATCGTAGGTGATTCCATCGTAGGCGATTCCACCGTAGGCGTTTCTGTTGTAGGTGATCCCGTCCTAGGCTTTCTTTCACAGATGATCCCGTAATGATCAGCTGTGATAGGTTTGACATAAGCAGTCACATTATTTCCCTTGTGCTTCAGGGCATTCCTCCAGAGTCAATCAAAAGAGTGACATCACCGCTTGTCAGTGACGTAATAGAAAAGTGCACTAAAAGAGGGAAAGAACAGAGGTGAGGAACACTGCAGCGAATGTTTTTACTTGTGTCTTCATGGGTAGTGGTCCAGGATTAGTAGCGTTGTTAATCTCTTCTTTCCAGCTTATTAGCTCCTTCCCGACATAGGTTAACACGGGTCTCCATAAATGTTACTGCAATTAAGTTTGCAGTTTCTACAAGATATAAGGTAAGTTGTTGGGTCGCCATTTCTCGGCACAGAAAATGTGAAAGGATTCGGATAGACTTTACGTACCAAATCTTAGACTTAAATTTATGGCTGTTCTGTTCCCTTTTAGGTACACGATCAAAGATCTGTTAGAGCATGAGCTTTTCCAGGATGAAATCGGCATGAAAGTCGAGCTAGCCAAGCCTATGAACGAGATACCTAAAGGCACGCAGGTAATACCAATGCAGTTATACCTCGATGATCGCAAGAAAAGAGACTTGCATAAAGGCGACGAGGCAATTGCTTTTGAATTCATGGCTGGTAACGATGACCCGGAAGAAATCGCTAAGGAAATGGTGAGAGAGGTTTTAAAATTATTTTGAAAATTTGTGTTATCCTGTTATCCTTTATTCTCTCTTTTTAGATATTTATTTGATCGTAGTTAGTTCATATCCAGTTATCAGTTTCTCATCAACCACTGCTTTTGAACCTGCGATAATTGTTGCTTTGCTTTTAATTTGCCAGCCAATCAAGTAAACAGAACCAAAAAGATTCGATAACAAGAACCAGAAGTAGGGTCACAAGACGAAAGTGATTACGTCATGAATTAGTATTTCTTACTTTCGGGTGTTTGAGGAGACTTCAAGAGCTTACGAGTTTACAATGAATAAATTTTTTTTATCACTGAATGAGAATTTGTAAAGAAGATATACACTAATTTTCACGTCTTCTGTTAATTTTCCTATAAATTGATGCCAAAGTGCACGGCCAGACTCAAGCTTCATAAAATAAAGCGCAGTTAAACATCCCCAGCGACCAAATTTTCCGCCTCGTGCCTCGTGCATTTCTTCCAATTATGTTTTCATGGTATCCAAAGTTTTTTGGCTGCATCCGTTTTTATCAAATATCAAAATCCTAATTCAACCGCTTATACTTGGTTCCTAACGAAGAACTCGATGAAGAAGTTTCGTTTCAGTTTCTGATAAATTTACCTTTTCCTGTTTCTGCTAAACTGGTTTATTGATCAATGTTTTTCGATGATTTTTTTGTTGAATTAAGTCCAATCTGTTCATGAACTCAGCTGAGAGACTTTCACAACATATCAAATTCTTCTGTTGTTTCAGTATAACGGGGTTTTATCGCCCAGGCGCTAGAGAGTTTTCCATTATATATTACTCGATTGTTGTCCATTATTATTTTTTATCGCAAAATTCTAAGAAGACATAACATTGTTAGTATATATGTCATATACTTTTTTGCGGTTTTTTAATTTTACTGTACACTTTCTGCTTGAGCAACCTGTTTATACAATTGATAGAGGCAACTGTGAATAATGTTTGATATGATAGGGTAATTTTTTTAGCAAACCAATCATAGGTATAATTTGTTGTAAGTGCTTTGAGTTTTTTCATAGATTTTTGCTTTACTGCTCATCACTTGTTTAGTTATTTACAGGTAAAATTTTATATTGGCTCTAATCTTGTGGTTTCTGCGTTCACGAGATTCTGCTAAACCCTCGCCGTAAAACAGCATTTTGGTGAAGCCGCTCATTTTTTTAGATCTGCTAACAACATTTTTCTTTAAACTCGTTTACGCTTCGATGAATGATTGGTGCATCTTTTCATGGTTTGCTCCTACAAACCTCATCTTTTTAAAACTAATTGACGCCGCCATCTAATTGGTTTCACCTGTTTCGTGTTCAGGTGAGAAGGCGGTCGGTCTGCCAGGGCTGATCAACCTCATCTGTATGATTCTAGGTTCGGCAAGGATTGCTGTACGAAGACGATGTCAAATCGGTCACCAAAGTTGTAAGGGCTTGCATCATGAAACTGACGAAAGAGTGGGATAAAGCATCTGATCCAAAGCTATCAGAAACAGCAGATGTGGATGCATTAGTAACAGGGAACAACCAACTCCAAGATGCTCAAAGAAGGGCTGGTACTATGACGAACAGCGAATTGGTTTATCAGAGATCTGACAGTACTAGCAGTGGAAATGGAATGCAACACGGGGCATCATGTCCTCCAGCATGTCCCCAACCGTTTGAACAACAGCAAAACACACACAGGTCGCAGTCAGGGAATGACCTTGTGAGCCATGGGGATAGCCAGGTATGTCTCTTTACAATCTTTTTAGCATTTGAAATGCTTTGCTGGAACAACTTGTTTAAGCCTTCGAAGAATTTGTTTCTTTTCTTTGCTCAGCTATCTTTGTCTATAATTAAAGACAAAAATGCTGCAGTTGTTTTCTAATGAATTTGTTTGCAGAATCAACCCCAGCACCTCAGCCAACCAATTGTTTTCTGTTGCAGCTTCTCTTCCGTTTCTAGTTTCCCATTTAATATTTTTGTTCTTTTTTTGAAACCTTTTTGGTAGTGTTATTTTTATATCTTCTGTAATTGTTTAGTTTCTTCAGTCAATGTTTTAGCATATTCACTGACTCTGCATTTACTAGCACCAAAGAAAAAGAGCATCAAGAAACTCTCTACTTTATTCGATTTTCGCTTTAATCCTTCACATTTTTACAGTTAGGAATCTCCTGTTAATATTTTGCTTTTTCTGTGTTGCAGTTTTTTCAAATTGTTGTTTGATTCGCAAAAATTTTACATGATATTTATGACATTCTTTGTTGTATGAATATTGTATTGTACAAACATTTTATTCTACAAATGACTTAAAGCGTGTTGTCAGAATGATATGTTGCCTAGTAATCTTCATGTTCAATATTTTTACCAGGTAGCAGATGCTGTCGGCTGCTCCAGGGTTTGCATTCGTAAAAATACCCCTTAAAAATGCTCAATTTAAAGACATTTTATGTTCAAATGCTGTTTTACTTTGACTAGGTCTTTGATGGTGAAGGAGCGTCAGCTCCACCGCCTGCGCGGCCAAGGGCAGTTAAATCTTCGGTGTCCGATTTAAGCACTATTAGTGAATCCGATCCACTGGTATGAATCTGTTATTTTCTTACATTATATTATGTTATATTATATTATATTATATTATATTATATTATATTATATTATATTATATTATATTATATTATATCATATTATATTATATTTTATCAAATTTTATCGTATTGTATGGTATTGTATTGTATTGTATTGTATTGTATTGTATTGTATTGCATTGCATTGTATTGCATTGCATTGCATTGTATTGTATTGTAATTATATTGTGATTATATGGTATAGTTATGTTTTAATCGTATTAGTGCTATTTCTACATGTCATTTCTATATTGCTTTAATCTTTCTCTCTTTCCTCTGAAGAAAAACGACGCGGCAGTTGTACGGAAGGAAAGTGGTGGCCAAGATGTTTTAGAGAAGTCTCTGCCAAGACCCCCTTCTGGAAGCATTCACCAATCGTTCTCTCAGACCTCACTTTCGTCGATGGATAGTGTCTCAAGCGATGCTTCCAAAGCAGAAGGCCAATCCCAGCAGTCGAGACCAAAGGAAAAAACGAAAGTAAAAAAAGACAGAATGCCCAAGGTGACGTTGCAGATGGTGTCTACAGATGAAAATGTTGCTGTCTGTTTGTTTGATACTTTTAAAGGAGTGAAGATCACGTTCAAGTTTGGAATCCATGACGATGAGCCAGAAGAAGTAGCCGAAAAAATGGTGAGCATGATCCTACTTCTTGGTCAGATTTTGCTTCACCACTTTTTGATTTTCTCAGTTAGGAAAATGCTTTCTTTCAGGATCAGTGAACTATTCTACAGAGTACTTTTTAATTTACTTTGACGTCATTGCCAGAACAGGCCAGTAGTTATCACTGGTTGGTTTTTCCATTGCCCTTTTTAATGTCCTTCAAATATTTCCCCCAATATTCATTTATTTCTCAAGGATATGAATTTTTTGTGTGACATGGGAAAGTTTTGGATCCCTGTAACATTTAGCCGCTTGAAGCTCACTGTAGATTTTGGTTGTTTTTAGATCGAGGCTGGCCACCTTAGGCAGGAGAACACTATGATTTTTACAGAGCAGATCAAGCGAATTGTGAAAGAGGCAGAGAAAATGATTAGTGAAGAAAATTCCAAAGGCTCAAATGAAGCCAGCCAAACGAAACTCGAAGAGCCGAAAATGAACGACCAGGTCAAACAGGGATTGGAAGGAGAGAAGGAAAGGTCAGCTAGTGTTTCATCAGAGGCTAATGCCGATGTTGATAAAACACCTGTGGAGGAGAACTCGGCTACAACAAATAAAGACCCCCTGAAGACAAGTCAGGAAGAAAGTGTGAAATTAGACAACGAAAATAGTGCTGCGGAATCATCTTCAAGCGAGTCCCAAACCCAGAAGGCAACGCTTGGAAGATTTGCAGTTTCAAAAATAAACCGAGAACAATCAACTCAGCTTTCAAAAGACCAAACTTTTGAAGAAGAAACTGATAAGGCATCGAACAGCGTTGAAAGTAATTTAGAGAAGCGTAACATAGATCTAGGAAATCTCGCACAACACGAACCAACGACTGTTAAAACAGAAATTCATAAAAACGGCGACAGGTCACCAGAAATTCATGCAACTGTTTCTTGTGATTTTAACAAGGTTCAACTTGTTCGAGCTGAAAGCAGGTCATCGGAAATGCCGGATGGCAAGATAAACACTGATGATTCATCTCAAGAAAAGTGTGTGCCGCGGGAGGCAGTTGATACCTCTGGGGATAAAGCAGTTAAAGGCCGTTTTCTTGTAAAGCAAGTAACAAAACCTGAAGAGCCTGAAAAGGAAGCTGAGAAGGAGCCATTAGAGGCTCAAAAGGCTACAGAAAGTGTACAAAGACCAATGGAGGTAGCTCGGAGAAATTCAGACGAATTGCAAAAGGGCAAAGAGGCAACACAAAAAGTCGTTGATCTTCAGCCCTCTGTTGAGGATCAAGGACCCCGTACACAACAACAGCTTGTAGCTAGTACTGAAGTAAGTAAAACGGTTGTGAAGAGAACCAAGTCACTTGAAGACAAACTCCCGAAAAAAGCTGACAAGGGACTTGAAAATTCGCAACAAAAATCAGTTGTTGAGAATCAAGGAAAACCCACAAACCAAACTCCGGTTAAGTCTCAAAACGATTCGAAAACTACCCGGCCAGCGCAGCCTTTATTTAGAGTTGGCAGTGGAGAAGAGGTCGATGAGGCCAAGGTCACACTTAAAAAGGATTCACCGAGGGAAAGTCCTCGCAAGTGTTTGTCACCGGTAAATGACAGTGGAAGGGCAGGATTTTTAGACTGTGGTGACGTTCTGAAGGCGTCCGACCCTTCCATTTTCACTTACAATGCAGATATTGTGAATGATAAATCAGTTGCTCCTGATTTGATATCTGATACTAGCAGTGTAGCAAGTAGTTGTCTGGATTCACCAGGAATTACTCCGTGGAGTTCCTTCGAGAATTTGTTAAACAGCGACGCGATGAAGCTCACACGACCCCCGACTGAAAAAGTGCTCTTCGAGCGAAGTACAAGTTACACAAACGTGAGTTATTTTGTCAATAAAAAGGGGATTTAATTTCGGAAGACAGGCCAAGGGGATTGTAGATCTTTTAAGGATGCAGAACTCGCTCAGTGGACACTTTTCAAACAACTCTTACAATAAATACTATCTGTATTTTTATACCGTGGTTTTTGCAGGTAAAATGTTGAAATCTTTTTTTGTTGACCCTTCAATGAATGGGTCACATCGGAAAAAAACTGGGAAATTAAAATGAGAAAAACCTTATTTCAAATTCAATTAAGTATACGTTACTTTTTAAAAGAGCTGCATAGTCTCCAGTAAAACATTGCCAGAGTTTTTATAAACTGTTTTGTTATTCAAAGTGAGTATGGTAGGAACCATAGCAGTTCAAAAAGTCATTGCACTACATTGAAATTGTAATTTCGACTTTATTTATCAAAGCCCCAAATAACCATTGTCCACAATATTGTCACATATTGTATGTCTTTCATATTTATAAAGTTCGCATATCCGTTATAATTGTTTTAAATTCTAGGTCATTTATACAAAGAAAACCCAATTTTTAAAATCTCTATGTTTCAACTCATATTCGTGTAAATTAACTCATGCAACTTACCCCCGGGGTCATGTGACGAAAAAATTGTTCCAAATGCCTGCCAGCACATACACCGATTCGACTTACGGCCTCGTTTTGAAAATTTCTCCTAACCTAATTATACGACTTTTTAAAGCTCAAATTTGGTTTTATCACCATAATTTTAGGCCGGATACAATTTTTCATATTGTTTGTGCTTATTTTTTGATTTTACGGAGAGATGAAGTTTGAAAACTTGTAAGGGATTTGACCGCAAAAATAATTCGGGGGGAAACTTTACCCCCCCTAGTCGCAAATCACGGTCAAATCCCTTATAAAATTTTTATCTTTTTGTCGTCATAAAATCAATATCGTGAGCAATACCATAATGAAAACTTCCAAGTATACTAAAATCATTGCTCGCAATCCGAATCTGCGGTCAAAAATTTTGTACAAAATAATTTGAAGAATTTTTCAAAATGAGGCCGTAAGTCGAATTGGTCTATTGGTTGACGGGAAAAAGACTAGGCAGCACCATATTCCCATGACTCGATGATTTTGACAATTATATTGCTGCTAGGCCCTTTCGCTAGAGCCTATGAGTCCTTTAGACGAATAAATGGCTTATGAGAACTAATTGTTTTTGTTTTACAGGTTGTGAATGAATTTTTAGCTGACAAGACACCCGAAGATGCTGGCGCTTTAAAAGCCTTCCTGTCCTGCAGTGATGATTGGAAGAAACTCATTAACAAGTAAATACAACTTTAAATCTTTGGCGATTGATTGCGTTTACTACCACATGATGAACCTCTTCACAAGGCTACACAAGAATAGTTATTATCATCGTTAATCATCGATATCTTAGTCATAATCATTGTGTTACCATAACTCATTATCGCTTCATCTCCCTAACCATAGCCTAAATCACCTAAATCAATCATCATCGCAATCTTCATGATAATCACGACATCAGTCAGCTTCACAATCATTAATCATCGACATCTCAGTCATAATCATTGTGTTACCATAACTCATTATCGCTTCATCTCCCTAACCATAGCATAAATCACCTAAATCAATCATCTTCACAATCTTCATGATAATCACGATATCAGTCAGCTTCACAATCATTAATCATCGACATCTCAGTCATAATAATTGTGTTACCATAAATCATTATCGCTTCATCTCCCTAACCATAGCATAAATCACCTAAATCAATCATCTTCACAATCTTCATGATAATCACGATATCAGTCAGCTTCACAATCATTAATCATCGACATCTCAGTCATAATAATTGTGTTACCATAACTCATTATCGCTTCATCTCCCTAACCATAGCATAGATCACCTAAATCAATCATCTTCACAATCTTCATGATAATCACGATATCAGTCAGCTTCACAATCATTAATCATCGACATCTCAGTCATAATCATTGTGTTACCATAACTCATTATCGCTTCATCTCCCTAACCATAGCATAAATCACCTAAATCAATCATCTTCACAATCTTCATGATAATCACGATATCAGTCAGCTTCACAATCATTAATCATCGACATCTCAGTCATAATCATTGTGTTATCATAAATCATTATCGCTTCATCACTCTAGCCATAGCATAAATCATCTTAATCGATCATCTTCACGAGTCTTTTCAGCCTGATAATTTTGTGTTATATTTTGAAGTCTTTCCCCAATGCACCGTGTTTAGCATTTATTTTGTGGCCCTCTTCATACTTATGCTTCAATTTTTTCAATCTATATCCCACGATTGTAGGATGACTCCTCTATATTCCAAGTATCCATGTCGCCTTTTTGTTAGGAGGTTATGTAACTTAGTTGTAAAGAATAGCTGGGTTTTAAATATAAGTTCCATTGTTTGAATTTGTTGATCTCTTTCGACAACCCCTGTAAAGTTTGCTTGATTTGAAAATTTTCCTGACGGAAAATTCCTGCAAATGAAAATGTATCTCTTATATAGTTACTGATAAAACATATAGAAGAGTTTTGTTACCAAATGGCACCACATCGTGATTTTGCGTAGATGTTGTTGTCGGATCTTGCTTCTTCTCCCCTTACCCATTGCCTTTTTTCTCTGTAGACAAATGAGAGATATGCAAGAACTTCGCAGAAGGCAGCGAGAGGAACGTGACTCATTCTTGGAAAAGGCGGTCCGTCAATTACAAAAAACGAACATCGCAGGGGAAACCCCCCATTCGCTATCGGCTTATGATATTAGTCGTCACACGTATGATCTCAGCAAAGGGGCGGAAAGTAGTCGTTCGACGCCTGATCTCATTAAAGAATCACAGTTTTCGAATTCAACTGGTTCTGGACCTGTAACTGCTAAGCAGTCGTCATTAGAATCCTCTCAGGGGGACCAGATTGAAAAGCGACCATCGAAAATAAGTGGTGATTCGAAACTAAACGAACTTACTATGAGGCAAATCGACTCCATGGCGTGGACACGGACCAAGAGTACGATGATGAATACGAAAACAGACGCTAAAGGAGCTAGGCCGTCGCTTAACCAGCTCAAATTGAACCAACAGCAACAGATGGCAATGGTGTCTGCAGGACAACAGGGCCAGAAAAGTAGTACTGGCCTAGTTAACAGCAATTACCCAGCGAACAGTATGACTGAAGCGAATCAAATGCAACAGAAAAAGCGACAGCAAGATACCAACTCGTCATCGGGTCAAAAGGAACCTAAAACTGGGTATACGTCTGCGAGTCAACAACCAGTAACATCCTCAGTCGTACCATACACTCACTCCAATCAAAATTCGGCGCCACAGCTTACAGGGAGTCAAGGCTCTGTTGCCCAAAACCCTGTGACACATTTGCCAGTCACATGTGGCACTCAATCGCTTATGTCGGTGGCTACTGGACATGAATCGTCTTCAACGATGACAACCTCCGGGTTTGCGTCATCACAAAACTCGAATAAGATTGACCAATGGTACAAAAGTAGTAATATGAAATAGTAATGGTTACAACCGAAGCGGTTAAAAAATTATTAAGATATATTTCTCAACCTTCAGAATTCGTGTACACTTTTTGGAATCATTTGTTAATGGAATAATTTTGTACTTGGCATGCATAAGTTCTTGGTTGACTGCAGTTTCAGAGTCAAGAATCGGTCAAGAGCATCTCCTCTGTATTTGCCCGTCAGTGTCTATGCAAAGTTTTTCTTTTATCTTTTCTGAGGTAATGCCATAGTGCTGTTTTTCTCAGAATTAAAACGATGTATTGCGGTCCAGTTATAAAAGCATTTTTTTTCTAATCTACTGATGTATTCGCATGTACGAAGGAGCTGTTCATTGTTAAAGAAATTGGGCAGAAATTGGATGTTTGTTCAAGCTGGGCCGTTAGCTCAGTCTGATTTAACGCCGTTAATTTTCGTAAAATATTCCTTTTCAATTAGAAGACAGTAATAATTTACTCTATTTTATTGAGATATTTCCAAGAATATTAATGTTAGTCGATGATTGAAATTTTATTGTAAACAATTATCGCTGCAGAAACGAAGGATAAGTGCCCCAAATTAGTATGTGTTTAATTCCGGGGGAAAAAGTTAGTCTTTAAATCCAATTCAGTCGCTTTTATCCACAATGTGGCATAAAATGGCATTTTAAGATGAAAAACATTCAGTCTTTTTTAAGTTATCGGTGCTATTCAAGAGGTTTTTTAACAAGCCAACAATCTGCTTGAATATGTAGCCAATTCTAATATGCAATAATGCATTCTCAAGAATCAGATCGCTCACAGACAGGTTGGAAAGCCTCTTTACTAGCAATGGTATTCTTTCTATTCATCTTTCGGTTACCCGACCCCTGAATCATTTATACATCTAATGATCATATTAAGATCAGATTCAATTCGCAAAATCGATGGGCGTTAGAGCTCATTGCAGGTTCGGTAGGGAGCTTTTGCTTGCTCAGAGTTTTAAAAGAACGGTTTTCTACAGCATCGTTGTGTTTATGTCTTGTTTTAAAATTTATCATCATTTTAATTGTTTCCTTTATTTTATTCCCACTCGAATGTGCCTAGAATGATCTTCTCGATGTGTTATCCAAGATACTTGTTAAGAATAAGCTTTGCTTTAATTTGTGATCAAAGTACTAGAGTTTTCAACGTATTCCATTTAGAAAAAGTTTTAAAGACATCCCTCAACCACACATAAACCAATCTGTACTGAAACATCACTTGAGAACCTATGGAAATGAATTATTTTACTTACACCACGGGCAACGGATACTAGTCAACATGTATACTGCTCTAGTTTATCATATGAAGGTTTTTGATACTTCAGTTCTAAGTTGTACCTTTTTTTCTCCCCATCAATACATGGGTGTCACCACACCCACTGCGCATGACCGTCAATTTGTCTAACCTTTGACATCCCTAGCTTTAGCCTGCAAAAACCGTATATATTTATATGTAAAACGAAATTTCGTACAACGTGCTTTGATGTTCGAGAGACTTTTAAAGATTTCCTGTACCACAGATATATTACCCTGTCAGTCTTTAGATGCTTTCAAATCAAAATTTAGTACCCCAGAATAAGTTAACATATTTAATTCATCTATCTTTTTGTATTTTGTACGAACTCGTCCAGATATTTGTTGGATTTATCGTGGCAAATACCGTTTTTGCCCTGATCTGTTGACCGAAGTAATTTCTATTTCTGCATGCAATGAGAATTAGCAACTCCAATCGACTTATGTTGTTCTCCTTCCTCTTCTAATACTGGCAACGTAAAACAAAATATCTGCAAAAATTAACTGTATTAGAACCCGTTCCTGATTTGTCATGTGGTTGTAGAGGGTTGTAGAGGATAGAGAGACGTGCTGATTTTGTGGACATTGTCACTGAGATCAAGTCAGTGGGTGGGAGCCATCGTCCCTAGAATAATATCGCTGGAAAATTCACAGTGAAATGTCTTCCATAGCAGACTTGACGCGAGTAAAGCAGAGACGGATTTAGTGGGGGTGTAGGGGTGCGATACCCCCCCCCCAATATTTCTGTGTTCAGTAAATTTTGCTTCCATTCGGTAACAATCATTTTTGGTAGTCAGTAGTAACAAAACAATGCAAATATTTTACTTGTATTAAGTAACAGAACCATTTTTCTTCTTTACCTTGAAACTAAAATCTGAATTTTGAAAATAGGCGTTTCTATCATTTTCCAGTGGCTTGAAGCTTGTGGTACCAAGATCAAATTTGTGTTTAACACCCAACACTCTTTCTTTTCTAGAAAGCATAAGGATCGTGTGCATTTACTGGCGGTATGGCTGAAGTGGTATTTTAAGCTTTTGACAGTTCACTCCCAACTATCAAATGAAAATTCGTGTTTGTTTCTTGTTCAAATGATAATTTGACATTACTATGAACGAAATTCTACTTGAAATTCTCTCCCTATTGCGTTAGCTTTTAAGGTCATTTTGAAAGTACATCAAATCTATGTCAGAAGCAATTGCTAGGTAAACTATTGTGTCATTAGATAGGACTCGCTATAAGATTAATTATTTCAGGAAGGTCATTGATGTAAAAGAGGAAATAGATAAGGAGCAAGCTTTAAAACTTTAGGGATCCCAACAAATCGCTTTATCTGGATCCATTGTAATTCCGCTTCTCTACCAACTTTTAGTACATCTCCTCAAAACTCTAAGGCCTGGTTCAAACGTCGCACTTCTCATGTGCCGAACCTAACTCTGTTTGGAGCGACACTTGGGCATGTCGCGCCAAATGGGTTTTAGGATTGTTACATGAAGTATCTTGGACAATCTCAAATATTTGTTTGAAACGCATGCGCCCTCCAAGTAAGAAATTAATTCTGTGAAGGAAAATAAACTGAATATAATTATGCATTGAGTTCGGTACATGACAAGTTCGACGCTTGAAACCGTGCCGTGCTGGAGCCGTGCAGCTCGGCAAGCTCTGCTGATCCAAACTAGTCTGCCGCTCCTAACTAAATCTGCCGTACCAAATTGATTTAAACGTCGCGCCCCTCATGTACTTAATTCTCGAGTCGGCACATGAGAAGCGCGACGTTTGAACCAGGCCTAAGAGTTGTGGTTTCTCCCAAACACAGATCCCTGAAACCGTGGAGGCAACGCAAGGCATGATGTTTCTGATGATGTATCATCTCTATAGAGATGTGTATACTTCACTGTGAAGGAGCCAAATTGTATAACAGGCACAGGGAATCGAGCTGTTGTTGTGACAACACCTATCAAAATGGCGGAAGAAAAATCTTGCATCCCATGCAAGATTGAGAAGCCTTTTCTTTTGAAAATAGGAGCACCTGATATAGAATTTCATAGTGGATGCTCCATTATTGATGTAATCTTACCAATGAATGAGGGATGCAAGGTAAGTTGTTAGACTTAATGATTTCGAGATGTATATCGTTAAACCATGTTGGGGGACAGGAACACAAGGTGCAGGACGGCAGGACGTAAATTACTTTAAAAAGGTTGTGTGCAAACCAATTTGTCGAATGAGGAACGTAATTTGGCAGTGCTAAGAAGTTATCGATAAATAATTTTAGTTGTCAATGCACTAGCCTAAAGTCGCTGCAAGTGCAAGAGCGCGAGAAGCTCCAAGGAAAACAATTGCAAAATAAAGTAGGTTGCTTAAATTTGCGAGGGCAAGGAGGACCAATGCGCTGAAAATGACCCTAACTGGTTTTGTAATGCAAACAGATGCTACTTGTAGACACAATTGCCACCGGGAATAATGAGAATGTTTTTCTCTGGTGAGAAAGGTATAATTCTGCAATAGGATAATTGCCTCACAAGTCACCAGGGGATGGAAGCTGTGCTGTACTACCTTTGACATGATTCACTGCCACGAGGAATTTTCGAAAACATACCATATAAGCTCTTATTTATTTCTTTCAGTCCAAGATGGGAGGGCTTAAAAGAGAAGGGGGCTTATTAGAGAGAGGGGGCTTATTAAAAATTTGAAGCAGAAAAAGTTTTAGATATACCCTTGGCCATTTTTGTTGTAAAAATGTCATACAAATGTTCTGAAAAAACTTTGCTAGCAGCTTCGAAAGTTTAATCAATCAATTATAAAGTTTTCATCTTCATCAACGTCACCAGGATAAATTGATAGCCCTTGGACATCTTCTAAACAAATTTCAACTGACTATTAAGTCACACAAGTTAATCTTTACATAGGCTGACATCAAAGGCTAAAGAGGGGGGCGTAAGAGAGAGGGGGGCTTAATGGAGAAGGGGCTTAATTGGGCTTTTTTGATAATAGAGTTGATAAAAGCTTGACCAGATTCCCAATGAGACAAAGAAAGACTCCATATGCGGATGGCTCTCAATTTGGATAATATTCTTTTAAAACTTGATGCTGAAATGCTTGTTAAGGATTTCACAGAATTTGCTCTAAAGAAAATGAGCTTAGTCTGAAAATTTAGAATATGATTTATTTTTTTTCATATTAAGTACTTACAGTTTAGCCAGGATTTGGTCAATCTTTTAGGGCATGTTGCAGAGAAATTTCTCATGTAAACGAATCCATGACATGAAACTGTAGGCTATTGAATGGGTTCTTAATTTGTCATGAAATATTCTTTCCAAACTTTAATCTTGGTTTAAAGCCATTAAATTTTCAAAATTGTAGAGCTATTAGGCATATTTTCTAGATGAAGCCAACTCAAGAAATATATTAAATATTTCAACTGTAAGCTGTAGTCTGAGGAAGGTTCTTTTCAAGGGGTTTCTGCTGGAGGTTTTAAAATAAACTTCTTTTTTTAAGTGTTCATTGATATGCTTAATGCAACATCTTCTTGGCATTTGTATAATGTCAAGTTGCCTTTCAAATCTTTGGTCAACTTGTTGTTTTTGATAAAGCTATTGTACTCAGCATAAGTTTGATTTCTTGTGTTAAGTTGTATTTAAACACAAACAAATTAGTTAAAAAGGGTTGTCCATGAAAGAGTTCTGCTAAGATGGTGTTGATTAACGTATTTATTTTCAGATTGATTGCATCAAGTTCAGAAATAACTATGTGGCTTCACTTTCTATCAGACTAAAGCTTAAAAATGAAAGTAAGTATTCAATAGAACTACTTTTTCTCTCATATTATCCACAATTGAAATATAGTCATTGTCATTCGGTTGGTCTGTCTGTTATCATTGTCATTCGGTTGGTCTGTCATAAACCTCTTTGGCTTACTCTATGATACCAAGAAAACCTGTATCCCTCTCCCCATTTCCTCAAGATGATGATATGTAATTTATTTGTTCAAATAAATTGCTTATTTTGATGGATCTGTTTGGCCTATGGATAAAAAGGTCTGAAAATTTGTTAAACAAATTTATTATAAAACTGATAGAGCCATTTTCATTTGTTGATGAATTTTTCTAGTTTATTGACTCCAGATTTTTCAGATCTTGAAGTTGGTCTAATATCTTGATAATTTGCTAGCCCCAAGTGACATTCTCTTAATTTTTAAACCACTTTGAAACCATTATAAGCCATGTTAAAGCCTTTGACATTTCACTTTTCCCTTCTTTAAATCATGTCTGGTTTTTTTGTTGCTCACTGGCTTGAGATAGCTTTTGATTTCATGTTTTGTAACATTTCTAATGGCAACATTTAGCAACATTTTGTCACAAGTTTATCTCTGATCTTATTTCAAGATGGTGATATTAGTTGGATAACAGTATTAAGAGATTTTATCTTGATGAAAAATCCTTATCACGAGGAAGGAAGCCAAGATCGATTTACCATCAATGAGGTATTCTAATTCATACTTAGTTTTCTGCTTGAATTAAACTTAAATGTATTTAAAAGTGGACCCTGTTTCAGCTACAACTTTTGAGGAAGGTATTGCATTTGAAACTGTACAAGTAGTTTATTTACCATATATAATAGCTAAAAGATAATCATAGAATTGACAACTGAGAGAAATTTTAATTTAAAAAAAAATATTGAACGATTAAAGATTTTTTGGTACTAAACTGCTATAAACTGTTTAGTTCTGCTTGTTATATAAGGGCATGTGCTTTTCAAAGTATGAACCAAAATACTTTTTGTGTCATCTTTTTTTGCTTGAATGTCAGGGTAGGATGTAATATTTGTTGTCTTAAAAATTGCTAAAATGATTTGAAAAAGCAACAAAGAAATTTATGACAACCATTTCAAAACAAACCTGAGACAGTACCAAGTTATTTGCATGAAAGAACATTTTTTTGGCAATTTTCAGAATTGAAGGTAGGTGGTGTATGCCAGGGTATTGAAAGTAGGACAAGGCAGCCAAATTAAGTCAAGGATAAAACCATTTCAAGGGCTTTGCACATTTGTAACCCTCTATATAATCTGTAAATTGTGATTTTTTACACTCCAGGGTAGCTGGAAAATATTATATGGACAAACAACAATTAAATAACACAAAATTCACCACCCACTTGTCTGCCTGAAAGACCAGCAAATTGCCGCACCAAGCCTATATAGGGCTAATCTCTCTAATACTGGCAAGATTTTGTTTTTAATAAAGAAATGCAAACTTTGTTCAAATGATGTTTCATTCAGAAATGTATTGACTTTTTTCCTGGACCTGATATCTTTTACAAGTGGATTGGCAGGAGTGGCACAGGCATTATGCTTCATACTCGTCAATGACGCTACCAAAAATTGCTAGGACAATATTATTAAAATCAAACAAAGAGTGAAAATATAGCATAAAATGAAAAGCTCCATGAAATTGGTTGTCCAGAGAAAATCTTTTCTGATTGTGCACTATGTAATTGATAAAAGTCTTTCATTCCATTTACCTACCATACAAGGAACCTATAACTACAAGTCATTCCAAAAATTATTGATAAACCCATCAACTGCCACCAGTATATTTTAAGACAAGCTTATCTGTTTTTAAACAGATTTGAATGATGATTTAATTAACTTTGCCAGTAATGATGCTTTCTAAGTCCATTACAGCTTGTGCTGCCCGGTAGTATTCCTTTTTTGTACTAAATATTTGGCATGATACTCTACACCACAATGCGTCATTCACTGCAGACACCATCATGTAAACATTGTACTCTTTCATTAATGTGACTTTACATTCCTCTGCACCCTGTGGTGTGACACCATAGTAACTAATAATGGCTTCTGGCATTTTGACTATCTCCATGTAGGGTGCCTGCATTGTAGATGGGATGGTTGGTGACTCTGTGCCCCACATTTTTCTGAAATGCTGTGCTGCCCATTGCCTCATAGGAACCATTGTTTGATAAAGATGTTCCTAGAAAGTTACACAATTTCAATTATTTCCTGGATATATGGTTCTCATGTTTTGTTCTTTTAATAATGCTAGCTGAAAGAAACTTCAAGTTCCTAGCTTTTAGCCCTATTGGTAAAAAGAATTCAAGTTAGACAATTATTCCACTTGTCTTCTGTTAAACTCCGAGTGCCAAGACCCAATGTTAAATAAAAACTAGAATAAGAAAAATACAGAGCTGCCTAACCCTGTGAATAACTAGCTAAATGTTAAAGAGTTTGAGAAAAGTCCTTTAAATTACTGCAATTCAATGGCAGAGAATCATCCAAAAATATTTTGCTGTCAGTTTATAAAATTCATATTTGTAGAAAATTAAAAATGGAAAGGTTGAAAATTCTGAAAACTGCTGACCCAGTTCTGAATATCTACTTTGCTTATTGGCTCCAAAGCTCTGTATGACAATATTCATTAATTTTCACAGTATGGCTTCAATGACAAGTTACTAAGCGGCAACATTTTTTTTAAAAAGTATTTGTCAAGGAAACTCTTCATGTGCTTGATTAAATCAAACAATCAAACAGTACATGGCAGTAATTTTTGAAAATGGTGGAACAGTTGGTTAAACAGTGAAAACTGTACTTTTTGACCATACCATGACATATCTGCGTAACTAGCTTTACATAAAAACCCAAATGACAAACAGTAAAAATTATAATTACCAAACCACCAATAGAGGGGTAGTATTGGCTGACCGCATAACCTCCAGCCAAATAATTTGTGTAGTCGTCAGTGCCTTGTTTGTAAAACTTGTCTTGGAACCCTTTGTTATAATTATGAGAAACAAGACTTGGATCCAGGGTTGACAGAAATTCTGTTTTTGCCCATATAAAACCACATCCTCTTGGTGCATAATGCCACTTGTGTAAATTGCCTTCAGAACAAAAAAAGGATGAAGTATTGGATAATGGCTTTTAAGGAAGATAATAAATGAGAAATGTATCATGTGTATCTGATTCAACTTTGGTCTTCATCAATAAAAATGTATTTCTAATATTTCATAATGTAGTTTAAAGATATATACATATAAGCTTAAAAACAATAGCTAAATTGAACTATTACTGAATCAATAACAAAACAACATATCAAGAAATCAATTTTTGTAAAGTACACAGTTAGGCATATGCAAGCCAATTGATGACACCAATTTCTTCTTATTTGTTCTGTTCAGTTTTGAAGCTCAATTGAACTTAGGAATGTGTTTACAGGCTCTAAAGCTTGTAATGTCTCAGATGTTGTGGCAGTCACTGCATTGGGATGGGAAAAGGGTACTTAAAATGTTGATAGTGATTACAGATGTAGATGTTAAGATGCCATACTATTTTCCAAGCATTGGAATAGATTTCTACTCACAATTTGGGCAACTTCAAATCAAGACTTAGTGAAAATAATATTTTTTAATTTTTCCTGTCTGTGACACCTGTTGCAGACACTTGGGGGGGGGCAAGGAAGCAGTTACCTTCCAATATTTTGGAGGAAAATTGTCTTTTGTTCTAAAACAATGGGAAAATGTGATGTCATCTTATCAAAACAATAGGCTTGCCCCCAATATTTGACCATGTATCTACCCCTGTGTGACACTCCCAGTAGTAAAAAAGCTACTAACATCACTGAATTCAATTTGTCTTCCTTCATATATAACTTACCGGCATAAAAGTCAGCATCAATCTTTTCTATTTCCAGAGCTAACTGGCCTGGTGCATGTGCACCATCAATCAAAGTTAATATACCATGCTTCTTGCAGATCTTTACCAGTTTCTTAATTGGCATAATCAAAGCACTAGAGCTAGTAATGTGATCAATGATAGCCAATTTTATGTCAGGATTTTTATTTATGATTTTTCTATACAAATCACAGATACTCTCTTCATCTTTAATTGGAAATGGAATATCTAGAACCACAATTCTTGCACCTCCCTTTGAAGTGTAATAGTCAACTGTATTTTTTATGGCTCCATAGGTGTGATTTGTAATCAACACAGCATCTGTAAAGCCCAATGGAGTTGACCTAATAACAGAGTTTATGGCATCTGTTACATTGTGAACATATGCAATATTATGCACGTTGCATCCAACAGCATCAGCAAGCTCTTGGCAACTTTTGTCCCATTTTTCTCTTAATTTGAGAAAGAACCATTCATCGGGGCACAGTTCCATTTCAACCTAGTGAAAAAAATTGAAGTGGTTATTACTTTCTTACAAATAATTATATGAATATAGATTTTTAAGATTTTGGAATAAAAAACAGCCAAAAAATAATTGACGTAGTTTCTCATGAAAAATTTGATTCTTTCTGCAAACATTTGTCTATCATTTGATTGATGGCACAGAGGTTTGTTTTAACACAGTACCTGCAATTTTCGTTTAAATTCCAACACTGGCTTTGGTAATACACCATAGGAGCCATAATTCACAACAAATGCGCTGGGATCGTAATAAAAGTGTCTAAGTTTCATCAAATATCCACTGTTGTAAAATCCCCTGACTTTGTCATGCATCTGAATCAGTAGAGTGTTGTTACTTTTTCCGGACATGCTTAGGTACTCTAAAGCTTGATAGGCCGCGTAAGAGCCAACAGCACATCCTACAATAGCTAAAACCTTCTTGTCGGCATTTGAGATTGCCGTTTTGAGGCTTTCGAATGCTTCGCTGAACTCGACTTTGAATAATGCGGCGTCCATGTTTTTTGCATGCCAAGCTGTTGTTGTTGCTGTTCTTGTTATTGTTTCAAATATATGGACCCTCCGGTTCCCATGTTGACTGGACCGTTAATAATTCAACTTCGCTGTCATTGGGTTCTTCATTTTCCGCACTCAGTAACTATATTTGCAAAGCTTGACGTTAGAAGATTGTCAGATGAAAATTATCTTATGTTTCTCGCAAATAAAGCACAATGGCAAAAATTGCAAAGTTAACAGTTTCATATTTTAAATTCTCAACATACATTTTGTTATTAATAGCTAACAGAAACAAATGATTAAACTAAACTACAACAAAAGTAGCATTATTACAGAAAAATTGAGATAAATAAACGATAAATTAGTATCATGCAAGTACAAAACTTATCCATAACAATGAAATAGACTATTATTGATACAATACAATTCAATGCAATATATAAACACAAACTTATGAACAAAATAAATTGAATGAAGGGAATTACTTAACAATCTCCCTAACCCGTCTCACTCCCATTTACGACACATAAGCATATGAACACGAATAACACGTGACATCTTCTTAATATTTACAGCCATTAAGTTAAATTTAACCTTTTCTCTTACAACGATGCAAGCCAAATACGTCGTCTAAATTTCTACTTTAATTTGATTTTCACTAGGAAGACAACTTTTAAAGTATTCTTTTAACTCTCACTTTTTTGGTCGTTTTTGGGTCAGAAAGGCTTTTATTTTAATTTTTTGTTCATTTGTGTAATTTTTCGCTTATTTGCTTTTTTAGTTTACTGCTCAGCCAGAGAATGTTGTGGGAGCTAGACTTATTTTGCGGCAACCGTCACCACATTGGTCATATTTCAGCTTAGAAGATATTCAATTCTATTTACCACCACAAGACATCTTATTAGTGAGTATTTCGCTATCCTTTGACAATAAGAGCGAATATCTTCTCTGTGGGTCTCCTCATTAGAATTCCCTTTTCACTGATGTTTTATTGTCGCTTGAACGGAATATACTCTCGTGGCATGTAAACATTGTCTGCTATTTGTTATGAATTATTGCACGTTGAACTAAAGTCAGCTTTCGGTGATGTAGACCTGCTTATGCTAATGAATTGAAGTTTACCCGAAAATGTAGAGAACTTGTCAACAGGGGCGAAACCAAGAAAATTGTTTGGAGCGGTAAATAGGTGATTATGGCGACAAAAAGGACGTGTCTCACTCTTTAAGGGTGTGGTCAAAAGATAAATACTCTTGCATGCTCCTTTTATGCGTTTCTATTTCAAATTTCATACTTAGTGTCATACTTTGAAAGTTCAATTACACAGAAATGTTAATATATTACAATTGTGGCAAAAAGGCCCGGCAAAAATCCTTAATGTGCCGACGAACAAAATGTTGAGGGGGTACCGCACCCCCTCCGCCGAACTCTGACAATAAGATCGAATATCTTCTCTGTAGGTCTCCTCATTAGAATACCCTTTTCACTGATGTTTTATTGTCGCTTTGGCGACGCCACTGTTTGTCAAGTGTTGCCTAGTTATAAAAGCCCTAAGCCTATTTCTTAAACCGTAGTCCGTTGGATAAATTCAGGCCATATCTCAGCAATTTTGCAAAACATGTACTGACTTTGAGTTTTGAGTGCTATTTCGCAGGGTTCTTCTAAGATCAATCAGATTTATGACGTCATCAATGAGCCACTCTTTTAAAACAACTGGAAGTTTACACCTGCGCCTACGTAGCGCATGGGGTGCTTTTGAAAAGTTTTCATGCTATCTTGCTTTCGATATGACGGGTCATGGCAAGTTCTTATTGCATTCGAAGTCTGTTGTCATTGTTTGCCATTAAAAAGCAATATTGAGGTGTGGATAATTGATGTTCAATGGCTGCTATCATATGACTGTTGTCGCCAACTTTTTAAGATAAAGGTTGAAAAATCTCTGAACGACACCTGCAGCCAAGAGGTGTAGTGCAAAGAAAAAGGGCAAAGATAGCAAAATGAAGCAAATTTCCTAATTTTCGCGTGCTCTGAGAAGGGTCGTTTTGAATCTTGTAACAAACAAGCTTTCCATATAATGAAACGTTTGTCTTCTGTTTTATTACAATATTACAGCATTTGTGAATCTGGTTTATTAAAAATGAGTTATAAATAACATTTTGAATTCAAAGGCTTTGCTTTGAGTATGCAGCTGTCTCATTGTAGAGGGAGAAGGGTTGGGGAGGTTACTTCCCACTTTTCCATAAGGGTTCCTTGCCAGTAAAGTAGAGGAACCCAAAATATTGAATCATGTGTTTTGGTTAACGCTAGAAATGACAGTTCAATGGAGACATTGAATTTATCAGTTACGTTTTTTACTGTCTTCAAATGTTGTGTTAGCGTGAAATTTCAGACCACAGCTACTTGCATTGAACGAAGCCGTATTAAGAATAGTGTGAGTACTCTTGGACTGTCTTGAAAGTACGCTGCGATGCCTACATCTAACGAATGCTCCTGGGACCAGAGCTAGTGTGTCAAACCCAGTGGCCAAACCGGAGAAAGAAATTATGGAATGCTCATTAAGATCTTAGTGTCCGTTATATGTTGGTGTCCGTTATATGGTGGTGTCCTTTATATGATCGTGTCCGTTATATGGTGATGTCCGTAATATGTTGGTGTCCGATATATGGTGGTGTCATTTATATGATTGTGCCCGTTATATGGTGATGTCCGTTATATGTTGGTGTCCGATATATGGTGGTGTCCTTTATATGATTGTGTCCGTTATATGCTGGTGTCCGTTATATGCTGGTGTCCGTTATATGGTGGTGTCCTTATGCAGCATTATTTCAAGACTTCAATGTTTTATTTCATTTCGCTGCTTACGTGTCAATAATTCATCTGTGCTAGTAGCTACCAAAGCAAATTTTCTTATCAAAAGAATAGGTATCAGGGTCTCAAAGAAAGAGTGGGGTCGAAGAGTTTTCCAGGGTAGTTTTATCAATGCCAAATATTTTTCAAGGGTATAAAAGACATTGATACCAACAATTTCATATGTATTTCTTTATCGACCAACAAAATCAATCTCCTTTACTGCAATATAAATTTATGTTCTTTTGTCTTTGTAATAAGCAATGGAAATTATATGTTTGAACTTAGTTTATGTGTAAACCCCTTTATCAAATTTTCCGCAATTTTTTTGGAAATGGTAGGCCACTGTTTCAAATTTTTCGAAACAGAAGTCTCAGCAAACGTTTTTGAAGTGCCCTGTGTTGTTAAAAGGTAAACATTTTCTGAAAGAAAACCGACACTGCACCCAACCCCTAAATATGTGATGTTAGTTGTAGAGTTTAATATTATAGGTGTCTGATAAAGTTTGATCACACTGAGCATCTAAATATTAAAAAAGCAGCATTAATGGGGGGGGGGAGGGTGCATTAGAAAATGTTCCAAATTTATTGTAACGTACCCAGACCTCTGACGGGGGTTGTAGAGACAAGATAAGACGGGTAAATATGGCGATACTACGACTAATATTCTTTAAATTAAATAAACTCCACAAATCGGCAAATTTATCAATTCTATTAAACCGCAAAAGGTACTTTAAGCATATTTTTGACATGTTTAATGAACTCGTTAAAAATTCTTATTTCTGCTCATCAATAAACCGAAAGATCCATGTGGTAATATTTGTTTTTGTCTGAATATTGACTTGCATAGACACAAAGAATTTTTAGCAAAGGAATAATTAATTGTCAGTGGTGCTATGGTACGTAAATTTTTGGGTAATGCAAGGCTAAACTTACGACCAATTGCTAAGCCAGGCCTTTTTTGTAAATGATAAATTCATCAATGAATACAATAATTGGAAAGTATTGCATGCCCGTAAATATACTTCTTCTTTATCGTTGCAGGATAAAAATTCTACTCGGTCTCTAAATGAAACAGAAATTGAAAGAGAGGTTGTCCCTAATGACGAGCTTCCGCATGCTGATGTAAGTTTAATTTGCCTTGTTTTTCAATATCTTTTTTGCTTTTTTTGCAGTAAAACTCATTTTGCCATTTTTTTTCATTTAAAAGAATAACCTTGAACTTATTACTTACCCTTTTTACCTCAAATGCGACGTTCAGAGAAAAGGTTTAAATGGGGTTAAAACGTAGAGATTTATTTGACCTGTAAGAAGACTTTAGAGCGTTTCCAGCATAAACTAACCCTCAACCTCGACTTCACCCTAGAACCCAAGCTCGCTCTCAATTTTTCTGTGATTATCAATTTGAGAATAAATACTCATCTTGGTCCTACAGCTATTTTTCTACTAATAGTTTTTTTAACATTTTAATCTAAAGTTGATATTTTACAACCATTACACGCGACGAAATGATAAATATTCAGTTTGAAAATTTATCTTTTCAAATGGGCTTCCTCACTTGATACTAATGTAAAAAGCACCTATCTAAATTCAACTCAGGAGCTTAGTAAGGTTGTTTGGTTTGAACGACGCTCCTTTTGCCCATTAGATTGGTGAATTCAGACAGAGCTCCTCAGAAATTATTAAAATTGGAAGGACATTTTTATTCTAACTTAGCTGAAAGTCGTGAGAGTTTCAGGGGCTGTATCTCGTTGCAAATCTCTGACCGCACTTCCAAGCTCATCTCTGGGAATTCATTGCATACCTTTCCCATCGATTCTGCCCAGTGGCGGTTTTAGGAACTGCGGGGCCCAGAAAACATCTGCGGAGCACTTGTTCTTTACAATTTGTACCTTTTTTCTTAGGTGTGGGGCCATATAAGCGCGGGGCCTGGGGCCATGGCCACACTGGGCCCCCTTAAAACCGCCACTGATTCTGCCTCCTACCCTTAAAGCTCCTATAATATAAAGGCGAAAAGCAATGGGCATTACTTAAATGGTTCCTTGCTTTCAGATCGACGTGGACGTTAATGAGCTATCCACTAAATTCAATGGCCTGGTATCGATTGCCAGTGACAGTAGAGTGGTGAATTCATTGAAGAAAACGGCAGCCTTGAGATTTGATGTGAGTAGCAGATTGTTATTTTTCTAAGGTTATCGCAAGTTGGCCTCTTTTTCTGATCTTCTCCTGTATGTAATTTATCATGTGTACACTTTTTTATGATAAACAGTCGTTAAGACGCTAAGTACTCAGGCAGCCTAACAAAATAAACTTTTAGTACTGGCCCTGAAAGGTTGAGTTCAGATTCTCAGAGTACAGTGCTGAGGATAAAATGCGGGTATCTTTATCGCCATTAAAAGCAGTTTATTCTAGGACATGAGTACTTTTTAAGAAAAACTGATACAAATACAACAGGAAAAATAGCATTAAAATTAATTTTATGTACTTTACATTCTCTACCATCTATAATTTTAGAAATGTATAGAATTTTTAGTACTCTTTTTCTCATGAAACCACCGAAACGTTGTAACGATTTTACCAAAAAGCACATTCAATGTCATAAGGTTTTAGGTAGAGTTGGAGTTATTACGCAGTCAAACACGGGGCTCTAATTTAATAATGCTATTTTTCCATCTTTTATCGTTGCTCTTCTTATAAAGAGTTTTAAGAGTAATAATTTTATTAATTTTGCTTTTACAGTTTCAATGGTAGCAGAAATTGTAGAAAAATTGATTTAAGTTTGATTTCTATTTATTTCTCGACTCAACCTTGCATTTCTAGCAACTAGTCAATTTGTGTAGGCCTGAGACTCTCACTTCAGCTCGCACCCTTTTCGATTTACCCAAAGTTCTTACCTATTCACTGTCAAGATACGTATGGATGAGGCTTTACTCCCTTTATATTTAGGTTTATTATAAACACTGATGATTTTCGCCAATTTTCTATATACAGGTTGATGGAAGTTATGATTTGAACCTCTTATCGTACACATAACGCCCTGGGCGTGAACGAAGAGTTCCTGAAACTAAAAGTAGGCTGTTTGTGATGATACTTGTTTTAGCTTCCGTTCGATTGATTTCAACTTGGTGCACCCTGATTTATCAGAACTTTTAGAAGAAGCTACTCCACACTGTCACCACCCAGAGGTTGGGTCAAAACAACTTTTTAATGTTTCGGAAAGCAATGCTGGTGCTTTATCTAGAGCAAACTTCAACATCAAGAATGCTGTGGGGGCTATCTGGTTTGTTACAGCTACGCCAAATTCTTGACAACGTCGCAAAACGTTTCTCCAAATAACTTTATTTAGATCTGGTATGTGAAATGGTGAAAGTATATATGGTGTGCGCAATGATAAACAATAGAAACTTGGAAAACCTTGATGCAATGATGTGATTACAGTACAGAAATGGGTCTGTGACGACCTGGAAGTCAGTGAGAACAAAAATTAGGTTTTATTCTCTACCCTATCTTTCAGATAATTGTGTACAGATCCTGATAGTTCACTTGCTGCACGGGTTTTGTCAGTGCTCATTTAACCTGCTTTAATTTAAGAGAGCTGAGGGATTGCTACATGCTGCCTTCATGGGTGGCAGGTTTATGATTTCAAGAAAATTAGACGAGAAAAGCTCCTGGGGCATAAATCATATTATAAGAATTAAGTTTAATGTAATTTTAATGTTTAAAGTTTAATGTAAGAATACAAAACACTATCCACATCGGTGGGTGTCTTAAAATTCAAATGTTGAAATTTGATTTTCATTGGCGTCCCCTGAAATTGTTTGAAGAACTGGCTATAAGATAGGGTCGCAAAGTGCTAGAAAAGATAAGATCGCAAAGGGCAAGAAAATTGGAACTGGGTTATGGGAGCACCATAATTTCTTTACTGAGGCCTAGGGCACATGCCTGAAACATCTATTAATGGTATTTGAAAACTGCCCCATTTTCAAGAGGCCATCCGCTCTTGAAATGTTACTGCTTTCTATAATCAATATTTGAAATCAGTTTTCTTTTGTTATTAACTATTTATTATTAACTAAATATATTTAATTAATTGCTCAAAAATTATACTTTATCTTAAAAATGGGCACTGGCCTAGTTTTCAAACAATGCAATCTTTTGTTTCCTTTAAGCCGGTCAGTCTCGTGTCATTTCTCTGTGTTCAGCAAGCATGAAATTCTTACTTAGGCAAATGTTATTTCGTGTGTTCCAAAGTTGAATATTAAAATGGCTTGAAGAAGCAAACATTTGAGTAAACTGAAGCTTTACGTCTGACAATCTTCTGACACTCTTCAGAGTTAAATCGTCAGAATAAGATAACTCTGAAGAGTGTCAGACGAAAAGCTTTAGTTTTTTCAAATGTTTGCTTTTTTCAAAGCAATTTTCAAGTTTTGCACCACCAAAAGATTGTTAGTAGAAAATTATGTTTATATTTCTTTGTGTGTATATGTATGCTTATAAAGTATATTTCTGCTTTCCATTTCAAGGAAAAACCTACAGTATCTTGCTTTGTCTTAATAAAATTAATCTTTGAAGGCATAAGTATTAAACACAAACAATTTTTTCAATCCATTGTGTTTTCAATCATGAAAAATTTCCCCTGTTTAGAGTTCAGTTACTTCAAGCAGTTTTCAATATGATATATAACTGTTTTACCATTTAACTGAATCTTTAAGAAACTCTTTGCGTAATATAGAACGCACAAAACATGATCTAAAATGAAGAATATAATTTTATTACAAATAAACAACCACACAAAAGCATAGTATTACTAAAAAATAAGTATCATATGTTAAAGCCAGAAAATTTTTATTCCTAAGATTGTAGCTTTAAAATTTTAGCAAATTTTATTCATAATCACAATTATAGCTTTTCCGGCCAACCATTTATCTAGATGAAACACATGTTTTAACATAGTTTTCGCCATACAAGCATGCTTTGAAAATTGTCAACATTGAGTGAAACTAATACATTGTAATATGAACTCAATTGTAATATGACTAGAAAAAAAGGGTTGGCATTTTTAGGACCGGAAAATAGAGCAAAAAGGTTGAGCAAAGTTTACAACAAAACATTTTAAGATGAAACTTTCAGGAAAGCGTGCACTTTGCAAGACCTTTTTATTGTGATTTTTTATAAAAGAAGCACGCAATGTTTAGAAAAACGACGAGCAATAGGAATTCTGTTTTTGTTCATTAGGAACAAGGAACATCTTAAAAATCTTAGGGCATGTTCTAATTTTTGTTTTGATTTATCAATTTTCAAAGCTCTAGGTTTTCAATAGACACACCGATTTAGTAATTTCTCGATTTTGCCATAGTCACCTGCTTTCATCTGAAGTCTTCTGGTCTTTCTTGCAAACGGAGGTGCTTTAAGTGTAGCTAAGGTTGTTTACGAAAAGAATTTTTTTCTGGCTATAAAACTTCAGGAATTGCAGTAACTGGCGTTTGCTGCTCCTGAAAAGTGTTGGATCCGGGGATGTAGCCCCGAGGAAAGCTGTATGGAGCCACGCCTGACGTTTCATGGAAAAGGGGGCAATATCCTTTAGAAATTATTGCAATCGATCTTTCCTATTATTGTTTCAATAGCAAGTAAACATCTTTCAATGACATCAAAACATGAAATATCTTTACCCCCGATGGCTACTTTTAGCAATCATTAAGACTAAGAGAGTTTACGTTGGTGGATGTCATGGCACCCATTTGTTTCGAAATCGCGATCTCTGTCTCTAATGATGCAGTTAGTCATGCAAATCAACAGCAACACATCTGCATTTCAATCAGGATTCCTGACAAGAGTTCAAAATCTAGACTTAAGTACTTGAGCTTTTGATTGCTGGGATTTCAATTTATTTTTCCGATTCTCAAATCTCAAATCTCAGAAATTATTCTCAGATTCATCCTATTACGCGTTACGTGCACAGCTAATTCAATCAGTCGAATACATATACCGTATCGCTGCACCAGAGATAAGCGATTGTGCGATTGTACTCCCAATTCAAAAAGAAATTATCTAACACAGAGAGGCAATATAATGGTGTTTTTAAGGAAAAACCTGCGAAGCTACAACCTCGATAATTTGAGAGCAAGAAAGCACAATGGCTAGGATAACGAAGAAATCAGAACCTTGGAAAGAAATAGATTGGAATTTTAAAATGAAAGGTAGACGCGTTTGTCGATCGTTCGACAATCTGGATCGTATTGAAGATGAGGAAAATGCGAACGGGGAAGTTAATGGCGCTGATGATGGCACGGCAGTTAAGAAGCCGGGATTTATGCGTCGTATTTTCTTGAAAAGATACAAGAAATTACAGCGATCAAAAAGCGATGAAAATATACCAACGGAAGCAGTGAATATATCGATGAAGGACACGACAGATCAACGGTTAAGAGACAGAAGCAGAACGGTGCCGTCGGAACTTTGGGATGAAAGTTCAGAAAAGGGGAAACGTCGGGGGGCGGTGAGTGAAGATGATGATGAAAAGAAGGAGCAATTCACGAAAATTCTACAGACGTTCATGGTTAGGAAGCATATGGACGATTATGGATTTTGATCTATTTGGCTGTCAAAGAAAGAAAGGTTTTTCAAGATTCTTTGGTGATTAGAATTTATCGTAGGAAGTTCGCTAGCAGCCTTGAAGAAGTAGGTGATAATCGACTGTGCGACGTGAAATTCGAGAAAATTCATACAACCTATATGTTAATAATAGAAGTTAGTTATTTCAATTTTGAGTTGATCGCAAGTTGCTGTTGCCCATCAGCCTAAATCATTGTAAACAGGATATCATCACGAGAGTCGTTGGCATTGAAAATTGAAAGCAATAACAATAGATCGGTTTGGGTTTTTATCTTAAAAACATTGGGGTCATTTGTTCTGAATAGTTATAGGTGGGTGGATTGTTCCAGGGAGAATCAATTTGTCTACGTCATTCAATCGTGACGTTTGGAGTAAGTGTTAGCAACCAGTTAGATCAATTTTGGATTGAAAAATTTCCAATTTCAATGTTATTTTGACGTTGATGCCAGTAATACTGGAAGCAATTTTTACTGAGAACAAACACTTAAGACAGATACTAATTCTATACCCCTGTTAAGAAGACTTTACATTCAAGCAACATGACTTACATGTGTTCTGATAAAAACTTTTGCTTTTTTCATACAAATCTTGAGCTACTTCTAATCTATTCAGACCTTTTTTGGAGGAATCCATGGGTATGATCGGTCTAGGTGCAGCAAGTTAGATCGTAGATGGGCACTCGTGTTTGTTGTCCTTGCCTCTTCTTGGCGAAGTTTTTCTCGAATTGTAATGTATTATATGCTTCATCAATTCGTCCAGAGTTGATGGTTTCTTGGCTTAATTGTACTTTGCGCTGTACATGCCTGCTTAGAGAGGGGACATGAAGCAGGGGGCTGAGGGGAGCCCCAAGAAGTTATAACACAGTTCATAACAATAACAATCTCAGTTTTAATGACGTCATCAATGGCCCGATGTATCTTTTTTCTTAGACCCAAGAAAAGCTCTCGGCTGTAGCAGACGTAGGAGATTAATTACTCTTAAACGCGTCGTAATTTATTATTATTTCATATACGCTGTGATTCTTAATGATAAAAATATGACGATGTTAATCTACAACTGACAGTTCTTATCTTATATATTCCATTTCTGTTCTTCATTCTTGCAAACAGTACGCTTCAAGTATGTTTCTGCTAGCAAAGTTTGTGAAATATTAACCTTTCAAAGAAATTATATGCCAAATATTGAAATTAGAAATTTGGAAAGACGGGCTTGAGCAAAGAGGTCATGATTCTTAAGGGCACTGGTCTGAAAAGAGAGAGGGGGACGTTTCTTGAGTTAAAGTTTATAGTGAAAGTAATAGCTAATTTATTTAATGTGGGCTTATATGATAAAACTAATTATTTAATATTCGTTTTAGGCCTAGTACCAATGAAGGTTACTTTTAATTACAAGAGAATATGACAGTTCTGTGCACATCGATTGTTAAACTAATAAGTGGCCGATTTTATTTAAGAAGACCCAGCCTGAGTCATAACTCTTGCATAGCATAGACTACTGTTGGGTTGTTTTGAGCCTTACATACGAGCAGATTGTAGACTTTTATTCAAATGGCAGTTGATATCATAATTTTCTCCAGGGTTAGTACTAAAGGCAACAATTTAGAATGCCAATTAAAAAAATACAAAACTGCCGACAGAAAATATAAATGAAAATGCATGCAAGGGTTTATATACCCAGAAAGAAACCAGAGGTTGCCAGGCCGTTCACTAGTGGGCCTAACTGAAATGTGCCTCAACCCCTACCTAACACAATAAAGTCAATTTACCCACACTTCGCAAACCTTTTACTTTTGTGGGATTTACTTCAAATACCACCGTACCTTTCGACGAAATTAGCGATGAATATTGCGATGAACTTTTTTTCGCTGAATGTTTACTGCTGAAAAGCACAGTGAACCCTTTTTTAAATACGCATGGATTTATTGAAAATAGCTCAAGTAAACTTCTACGTCACAAGGCTGACCCGAGACTTGTCCGTGGTTACAGCATAGAAAATCACGCAGACCACGCAAAATAAAACAAAACATTAAATACACAATAAATATGAAAACATCGCAAAACATGAGATAATGCGTCAATTTCGCTGGCCTAAATATATTTGTTTGGTTTCAAATATTTATAGATAACAAGAATACCGCTAGATGAAGGTTCAAATATTATAACAATTTTTCTGCCCATTCTTTAGTCATCACTGGCTGCTGTAATTCACCTAGTACCGATTGAAAACTTTTTTCTTTATCTTATACACTGATGCCATGAAACCGCGGTGCTTCAAAGCAAAGCAAAATAAGTACATACAATTACAAATATTGATAAGAAAGCAATGAGCGAAAAATTTGCCTACGGTGACAGAGTCACATGACTTTACAAGAGTAAATTTTTTGCGAGGAGATAAAGAGAGGGAAAGGGAATAGAAAGAGAGGAAAGAAAACAAAAAACATATTATTAAATTTCGTTGTTCTCAGTTTTATCACGATTTAATAGTTACTTGATTTTTTTGCTTCGAGTACTTAAGTTTCTTAATCTTTTCTGACTGTCCAGTACTGGTTTTTTATAGCCAGTTTCTCATAGAAAAATGAGTGTATCCAAAGAACGAGATACAACTTTTGTTTGGGGGGTAGCCCCAATAAATAAGGTAACAATAGCCATATTTCACAAAATAGAAGTATTTTGCTTATGCTATTTAAGTTTTTGTATGCCCCCTCCCCCCCCCCCCCCCGGTATCTCGATCCTTGAGTATTTTGGGTGTGGCAAAGGTGTAGTCATGGGTGTGGCCTTTGAATTTGCTACCAGCACAGCCCCCTTCCTAACTTTCCCGCAAATATTGGAGAGGGCTAGGCATTGCGTTGTGCCACCAAGAAATTCCCAGATTTCCGTAAACCACGACAAATATTATTAAATTCCAGTATTCCACGAAAACCTTGTGATTCTCTCCAGAAGAACCTTTGATTCCACTGCAGAAACATTCCGTAACTCGCCTAAGCCAAGCTCGGTCTTCTTTGACTTAGAGCCACTTCTTATTTACACGTAATTTTTACAAAAAAACTTAGATCAGCACCAAGTACTAAGTGTTTCTGAATTGGGTATCCAAATTTTGGCGTTTTTGAACTAAAAGTTTCTTAGTTGGTGTCTTATTTCATGACCTAAAATTACTTTATTGTTTATATATAAAAAAACGTGTGAGTAAAATTGTGAGAGGAACAATTTTTAGACTCTACATTCAATCTGCTCAAATTTTGACGTTGTTCCCGTTGTTTTGCAAGTAGAATTTATCATATGTTACGTCATGATTTTTAAGTGCGGGATTACCTCGAGAAACCTCGAGAGAGTGGAAGTAGCAAAACAACTCTAAACGAAAGTAGGCCACTTACTTTTTTGTAAGCTTTGTTATCAAGTGGTTGGTATTTACGGTAAGGTCGTTGAAATGGGCTCTCAGAGCTTCACAGTAATGGCAGCCTCTTTACTTTTTATGGCCGCAGTAGTATTATTAAGTACAGATTTTGTCCAAGCAACGACAGACTATGATTGCAAGCAGCGGAATGCTAGCTGTTATGTATGTACGGAGATGTCAGCTTGCTACTGGTGCTCGCCTTCGAAGGAGTGCAGAAAATATCCACTAAAATCTGTGGTGCCCAGTGGATGTACCAAGCACCAGTGGTACTATAAACAGTGCACTGTAGCAGGTTATTGGTTGATCATTGTAATACCGTGCGTTGGAATTTTCTTACTGCTTTGCCTCGGTTGCTGCATCTGGTGCTGTTGTTGTAGGGAATCAAGAGCGAAGAAGGAAGAACGTTTCAGGTTGGAAGATGCCAGACTAAACAAGGACAAAGATCGCAGAAAAGCAGCGCAAGCTCAAAGGAAGTCAGACAGGCAGGAAAAAGTTGATGAGATACGGAAAAAATATGGATTGTATCAACATGAGCCAACCTACACGAAACTGCAAGAGATGGAATAGAAATATGACGACGACAAACAAACGGAACATTCTAAAGAAAATCCTAGTGGATGCGTTTTCGACACACAGTAATTTTGTAAGATTTTTCCATCCATTACATGATATTGTATACATAAATTTGTCTTATATTTGATTTATAACATAGTTAGCACTAAATTTCTGACCAATACTACTTAACCTATTGCTAGTACCCCGTGTTTTATATCTGAAATCCTCAAAGTGTGTTAATAACAACCAAATTTCGCACAGTTGTTTGTATCAATCATAAAACTATTAAATCTTAAATGCAAAGCTGATGATAAGTATTCACGATAGAAATAGTTTTAGATAGAATAAATTATCTTTTCAGCAAAAAGAACTTTAAACTTTGATTCCCAAAAAAACAATTGCAGATCAGGTTTCTATGTTTATTTTGTGCAGGAGTGGTAAGCAGGTGCAGAAAAACTTTCTTGATGCTCATAAAGCCAAAAGTAAACATGCTATTATCTACTTTTTGTTATTATGATTTGTTATAGACATTAATCTATATAAACCTTCATGCTCTAACAAATTTTCTTCTTGTTGAATTTTAGTGATAATTTTGAGTATAGTCAATATTTAACTTTAACCATGTTGAAATGGCCAAAATGCTTGATGTCAAAAGATAATATAATGGTTATTTAGAAAGGAATTTTTTGACAAATGCTGTGTCTTTTTTCAAGAAGTTATTTTGTCCAAAAAGTACTCGTCACATTTTCACTCCCTTTTGTATTTCTCACCCATAGTTTCCATATCATTTATGTTATAGTCATAATCATTTTAGCTAATACCATGCAAACTATTACTTTACAACGAGGGGTATTCAACAATAAAATTTCTGTAATAAACTCACTGTAAACCTCAATATCAGTACAACAACAACTAGATTCCAAATGCTTAGCTAGTCTTGATTTCTCAAGCTTTAATGTTCATGTTTGGCTCATTTTCTTAAATTCTTTTACATACAGTGAACAAGAAAGTAAATTCTGTCTTGAAGAACTTGTGTAATACTGGTTTAGTGAAAAATTCTAATTGCAAAACCTCCTTTGTATCAAAGACCACTTGTACTCAACCCAAGAGAATCCAACCTGGGCTATTCTAGCAGTCAATCCTGTTCTATTTATTGGAGGGATGATAGAAAATTTACATTAAATACTATAGTATGCAGTATACAAAACAATAATAAGCAATATTTATTACAAGTTTGCTGCAAAAAGGTTGCTCCAGTCAATCTTGTAGGTATTTATACAGGCCTGGCCATAAGACTTTTAGCAGGGGAGCTGTGAACAGCTCTCTTAGTAATCTACAGGTGAGCAATATCTAGATACAAAAAGAATATAAACAAAAGAAAATTTGATTACAAGGAGAGCAATTTGGTTTGTAGAGCAATTAAGGAGAGCCTGGAGGGGAGCAAGAGCTATGGCTCTCCTCAAATGGCCAGGCCTGATTTATATCTATAAAGGATTTTGTTTTTCCACACTTTGTCCACTATACGGAGCATTCTACTCTTGCTCTTGAGATAAGCTTGTCTAGCCCTGCCCATACAACTTGTCAACCCCCTCACAAAACTGTAATATGCACCATAGTCCCAGTTGGGCAACAGGCACCATGGCAGAGAAAAACAGTGCATTATACTGACTGGTGTATTGCTCTCACCGGATACTCAAAAATATATCCACCCTTTACAATTTATTGGCAATCTTGACATCAAAATACTTTATTGAAAATAATAAAAATGTCCATATGATGCTGAAATGTTTTTATCAATATGAGGAAGGACTTGCTTTAATCTTTTCTTTATGTATCAGAACATCGGAACAGAACTAGATGCCCTTTGTGCATCATATGCCAAAAATTGAGGTCACAATAAACATTTTTGGAACCCTTTTTTTGTTAAGAAAAGTTTCACAGAACATCCTTTAATTTGTTCCTAACTATAGTTCAGCTGGACTGGATTTTGCAAGAAATAAGTTTTTTCTTTATTGGTACTTGAAGATACCATTCCTGAAAAATTAGGGAGAGCAAAAAGGATTTTGCTACAAGATAAGGTTTTTGGGACTTTAAAAATTGTTTTTTGAACTTTGTTACTTTTTTCTCATTTTCTTTATTAATTTATGTATGTATATCGAAAGGACACATGTTGATAACAGTCTATTACAGAACTGCAATCAATATATTTTTAAAATACTATTTATACATATAAACAAACATGCTCAATCTCAATAAAGTTTTCGAAGTTTATTGACAGGCTTTCATCGATATTCCTTCTCATCATTTTCGTTTGTTCGTTTTTCCATTTTTTTGGGGGGTATGATAATGACCGCAAAGACTTTAGCTCATATCGAAAAAACCGATCTTATGGGATATTTGTATATGCGAAGGGGATGTGAGTGCCATGTGGGGGGGGGGGGGTATAGAGAGACATTTAATCCATGAAGGATCCCGCAGCTGCGGAAGCATGCAGCCCCTATTTTTTATGCATGAATAGTGAGTACCCTATTAATTTGGAAATAAGGTTTTCTAATTTGTTAAATGCGGTCTTTATTAGTTTAGGCAGTTTTTATAGTCTTAATGTTAAGAAATTAAGAACCAATGCGGAAATGTTTTAAAACCACAAACGTCACAAGGAAGTGATTTTCTCATGGATTTCGAGGTCTTGTGGAATTTCCAATAAGCAATAATGAACTACTTACACTGTAAGTACATTTGGAGAAACTGTACTGCATTAACCACTGGGCATCGGGGATTACATGGGATACCTTCTCAATGCCTCCCCCCCCTGTATGAGGAACCCCAAGATCACTGGCTTCAAGTTTCAGAAGCAATGTAAAAGGCAGGTTTAGGCCGATTGCTAAAATAGGCAGCACAAGTAAATAGCCTGAGAAAAGATTGATTGCAATCCTGTTATTTGAGTTCACAATTTTAGGGAAATACTTAAGGAATTTTTCTATATCTAAAACTTAATGTGAGGAATGGGTCGATAATTAATTTATGCTTGGACGTCCCCGCAGCCGCCCTGGAATTCCTATCGCGGCACTGCCGAGAAATATATGTTCTATCTATAATTCTTAAAGAGAAATTCGCTCTTTCAAAAACAATTCTCAGCTGTATAAGACTAAGTTTCGTTTATGAAAATTACAAGAGAGGCATCTGTTACTTTGAAAACTTTATTGAATTTTACTAAATTTGCTACGAACTGTTATTGATTGAAAACGTTTTCGAAAAATTATAAAAAAGACTTGGAACACTTTGTAAACTGGCCCTTAAGTTGAAAGCAGTTTTACAGAAACCAGAACCAGTTCTCCAAAGCTACCTTGTACTTTTTTTCAAGTAAGTTAATAGCCGGTTTATAGGAGAAAGCAACGACCAGCCAGTTTTCTTGGTTTGCTTGCCAAGGCGTTGATCTTGCATCTCTCTCAGTTCCTTAAGGTAGGAAACTTCGTCTTTTGTCATTCGGTCGCACATAGTCCTCGCAATAAATGGAATGTCTTTTCTTAACTTTAAAAGTTTAACATCAGCTGCATCACTAATTGTTTTGGTGTAGTTGCCTTTTCTAAGACAAATATCTCTCATTATCGTATTTTTGTATCGAAGTAACTTAACCTCTTCCTGAAAATCTGGACCCATACTTTTAAGTACCTTCCAGAAAGTCTTGTTGAAATGATTGTACAGCTGCACATCAGCGTAACTCCATCTCCGAATTTTCGACTGCAAGGTACTTGGTATTTTCCGATGAAAGTTCGTGTGTCTCTCATTTTGATTGAAGTATACTAAGTCATCTATATCCCAGCATGCCAAGCGCTTTAGCAAAATAAGTGACTCGTCAAAATGCTCCTTCATCATCACAAGATCAAATTCGCCGTCAAGTTGAGAAATAGCTTCACGAATACGGTGTCTATTGTCGAAATCTTTCGATTCTAGGCCTAAATCGTAAAACATCCCGTTACGAATCAATTTTAGACGATCGCTGTTGATTCGCAAATCCTGTGTTAGGACATAGTTCACAAGCACACTCTGCGGATCAACGAAAAACTTTTCCAGAGGATCAGATGAATTATCCATTCCAAGAATTTTGTCTAGTGTCATATACGAAAACGTACTTTCGAACTGTGTTACGGGATCTCGCAAAATCGTAACAAAAAGCGTATCGTTAGGCATGAGACTATGCATTATCTTGCTGTTGTATCGAGCGTGATTGGCTAGAATGTTTGGTACACTTCCGTTAATCGGGTGAAACGAATCCATTTGAAAGGACCAAGGCCATGCAAGGCGGTTTTGTCCTATCTTTGGTAACACAAAGTTCAGTCCTCTAGATTCTCCATATCTGTTCAAGATGTTTGTTATTGTACTGCTTCCAGTCTTGTGTGTTTTGAGAAATACGATGTTATTTTTTGGCTTGCAACGGCGTCTAAAAACAATAAGATACGATTCTATCAAAACAAGGTTAAATCGAACTTCAAGCGGGTAAAGAAATAGTCTGTAACGGAGTTCAACAGTGTAATAAAGAATTATCAAGGGTATAACAACTAACTGTAGTAATCATTGCGTATAAAATACTTATATAACAATTAATAAACGGGTTATAATAATAACTACATGATGCCTTAGAAAGTGTTGCTACTAGCTGTGTGATGATCGCATTATGAATGAAAATCACAGTAACAACTAAAAACTATCCTGCTCTACATGCTAATGCATGGCATTGGCGATTTTCAACCTCAGCGTTGAAAAAACCTCAATTGATAAAGAAAATATTATGGCTTGTACACACATATGCAGTCTTGCTCATATGAGAAGGAGGAAGATATTATTTCAATGACTGTTGCATTTACATAAGCAATATTCCAACACTGACTGAAATTTTTCACACAGTCGGAAGTCAAACTATGTAGAGCTGAAAGTTTTAAGTGTGTTTGCTTTTCTTGCAAAAAATGAATCTATCTTTCTTTTAAAAGTTTGCTAATATTTCTTTTTAGATATCAACGTTTACTAAATCATAATCGATGCAGAATTCTAAGCCATGTTTTATCAAAACTCTGGCTCCTACAAGATGTCATGAACTACTCAAACTTTCAAAGAAGCAAAGATTTATGAAGCTGGAATTCTTTCGCATAATCTGCTTTGTTTCTCCTTGATATTCTACTTACCTTACTAAAAGAAATATTATCTTCATGTCATAATTTATACAAATATACAAAGGTTCTTCAAGAGGTTCCTTACTTTTCACTGCGACGGAGAATGTCAGACTTAGGCTTTCGCGCATCTCCTGAACTGTTGTTGGTTGCAATACGTTTTTCAAAATTGCAAGTATAGTAGCGCAGAAATATTGATACCAGAATGCAATTCAAGAGTGCAATTCCAAAGAAGTAACGAAGTTTGAATGTGAAATGCCTCATTCTTTGATGATTGAGCCCTTTTATTGAGATCCGATGTTTTTTATCGTTACTTCTCCAAGAGTTGCAATTAGGCCTTTCTGAGTGACGTTGCATCAATTCAGGGAAGTGTATCTGGTCAGAGAAAGAAAGAAGGCAACTTAGTCTTGTTTCAGACCTGATATTAGTTTCTGTCGGCCATCTTCAGGTTTATGATATCACAATGTCTTCTCTCAGATTTGAAAAAATATTTAAGATTTTTGCTCGTTAGAATTGGTTTAGCCATCTTTGTCTCACTTGTCTCACTGCAAGCAAGGATTCAATGTTCAATCTTCTTATTCGTCTTTATTTGAAGAAAACATGACTCAGGGCTCTTCTTTGAGTTGATCAGCTACAAACTACTGCAAAACAAAACGAAAGCAACCAAAGATTTATGCATCCTTCAACATTATCGTCACCGGTAAAGATGCTGAAGAAACAATTTTGTTATTGTTTCCCTGCAGATAAATCCATCACAATCTTAAACATATGTAAATGATATCTGGCGAAAGAAAGCATCCGTGTGGTACACCATTATCTTGAAACTGATTTAACTTTCAGGCTTTGCAATCAAAACTTGAATACAAACGGTTTGTTGTTCTTTATCTGAGGTGCATGGGCCTAGACATTAAAGCCATGCCCCGTGACTTGCATAAGCCGTTGTTCTTTTGATCTGGTGCAAATCTACCTGCAACGCCCCAAACAGGTTAATGAAGTGACCGACAACACAGCTTTAAAAACTTTTGAAACTGTGAATGAAGTCAACTACCAAAACCGTTTGCTTGAATGAAAATTACTTTTTCATCAGACATAAAGTGCTTGATACTGTATTGACAGAGCTGTTGAGTGTATAAACAAAGCGGTTTTATGTTACAACTCCGAGTTTAAAGCTTTAAGCGATCGCCAGGCTTCAGGCAAATGCTAGGAGGTGCAACTTTTAACCATCCTGTTTTATACACCATAACGTTAGTTGAAATATAAGATTTATTTAAAACTACTGTCATGTTGAATTGAGATTGATTGATACAATTCGGACTGATAAAATCTTTGTTTTAAGCATTTTTAGAGATTAATCTTTCTAAATCAAGCCTATTTTTCATTTTGGATTTATAGGATAACTTCAAGAAAATAATACAACCTCCTGTATCAGTTTTCCGCTATTTCTGCGTAAGCTTGGGGCGAGTATCAAAAGAACATTTCTTTATAAATACTGGATTGATTGATTTGATAATTTTATTTTGCAAATTACTTTACATACAAGGTAACGAACATTTCTCAAGCATTCATAAAATAGTTCTCATTTCCTACGAAAAAGATACCTTAGAGAGAAACAGTTCATAAACTTTGAAACTCAGCAAAAAGCAACTGATCAATTTAAATCATGCTTTTTAGTGTAGTGAACTGGACCTTTCCAGTAAATTCTTAATAATGCTAACAAGAAGAACACGCTAGACAAGTTGACTAAAATAATAGTAGAAACTTCTAGAGTTAGTCTTACGTAAGATGCTACAGCATCTGCTTTTTCAAGAGTGTATTCCTCCAAACGTGATATTGTACGAGTTTATTCTAGAAATTTCTTGTTGAAGAGTATATAAGGGTAACGTGGCTTGCTGTAGGCATTCAGTTTTTAGTTGAGGATTCGATGGATACATAAACACGACGCATTGTTGATATCTTTGGAGAATAACTATACGGGCCTAAGCTGGAAAACGCACCTTATCATAGCGTTGAAAGAGACGCACTTTTGTGAATCTATTCAGTGTGTCACAGAAATAAACATTTACACCAACGCGGCCTTGGATTTCCCACATTAGCACTTTCTTTCTTTTTGTCTAGTCGTCTTGTCTATGGCGATAGGGAAAGAAAAATCGTTCCAACACTATGCATTTTCTCAACCTTCTTTCATTTACATCTTCCCTCGAGTGGCCCAAATGAATTGAGCGATTTTCTTGAAGATTGCATTTTGAGACAGTGGAATCTGGACCTTTCCGTTGCAAACCGTTGTCCCCATGTCACTTTTAATGAGCTTCATCTCCAGTTTCATATAGTTATCAAGCTTCTAAATACATTCCTATACAAACTGCAAATACATTACAATACAACTGCCAAATTGTAAAGATCAGTATACTGACAAATAAAAGTAGCAAAGAGATCAATTAAACTGAAAAATAATTTTATATAGAAAAATAACTAACAAGGTGAAAGGAAATACATCGAGAAGGAGTGAGTAGGCATCTTCGACAATGCCATGGCCAATTACCCAAATTATAAACAGGGTTCTGGTTTGGTGGAGGGTGAGCCATTTTATCAGCTCCCTATACCTATAGACCAGTTATTAATAAACAAGACAGGCTACATAGCTCTTTCCTGAGGTCGCGATGTGCAGAAAATGGCAACATTAACTAAACATATGAATAATCAAACAAATAGCAAAAATTATTATTGTTGTTGTTCGTTTGTTCCCTGTGTTCAGCTCCTCCATGTTAATTTCAATTTTTTACATGGAGATATTCGACGATCAAAAAGAACAAATTGCTATCTTTATTGGGAATGGAAGTGGCACTGTGGACAAGGCAATGGGTTTATTACATCTGTTGTTAGCTCGTCGACTTTGCTTTGCTCGCTGTATATGAAAATATTTTAGTACAATGGTTGCCATCCTCAGGAGCTCGTTAATGCTTACAGCACGTTCTGTTATTGTTGAAGAATAGGATCGCTCAGGGTATTAACATATCTAACTACAGCCCAAAGTCACTTTGCTCTAGACCGTCTGGAAATCCAAAAATGGCTGAAAATGGAGGCATATCGGTAGATGAATTCACTAGATTGCAGGTGAGGCATCCCTATTTTCTTCAAATTCATGCTGTTTCCCAAACAAGAGAAATTTTTAGGCCTACGTTTTTTAAATGTATTAATTCCATGTCCATCCCGGTTTAACTGCAATAAAAAAGTCAGGATAATGCCCTTCGTTGTAAAGATCAATTTGTACAATTTCGAAATCAGCTAAAGGAATATGTGCGTGGCAGAATGAAGGAAATGCGAGTTTTTTTTATTTTCACTACGCCTAGGCTTTCGATAGAATCCTGATCTTCACCAAAATTCAGTATTTCGTTTATAAGCAACAAGGAATTGAAATTTATGAAATGATTTTTACACCCTTGATACTTTCTTCTTATGTATTTAGAATCAATTGATTGAGCTAAGGACAGAGAACTATGACATTGCTGAAAGATACAGAAAAACGAAAGATGGTAAAATTGAAATTTTTATCTGACTTTTTTCCTTTTGGTTAGCTGCTTATTATAGAATTCTGCTGTAGCTGTAGCCTCCTGTGTAGCTTATTAGTCCTGCTCCTATTTAAAAAGGATCTCAATTTCGTCAGAGCACATGGGGCTGTTTACATCAAGAATCCACCATCAAACAAAAATAAGGCCCCCTGTTGGAATGATGAACATATTTGTCAGATAATTTTTGGCACCACCTTTTGCTGGAGACACTGAGAGTTACAGGTGCTAGACAGGTATCACCTTATGCTCTTTCAGGGTCCATACCTTGATGGTTTTTTTGTCCAGCTACCCCCCAGTGACCAGTCTGCAGAGTATGACAATTGCACGCGCGAGATCATTTTAGAATGCCTATCTTTGCATGCCAAAATTCAAAATTGCACGCAAAATTTAAAAATTTTCCTAGGAGGCATCCATGGCTTTTGCTTTACTTTATGGACAAAATTGATATAATTTAACATATTTAAAGACATTAAGCATTTCATGCAGATGATTAAATGTTATAAATTCAATTTCTTTATACCTGCCTCCGAAACCCTATTGTGATTTACTTTTATCAGTAAGTTTTAGAAGCTTTCTCATAGGTGAATATTCAAAGTAAGAATTCTATTACAAGGTTTTGATCGCTTGCTTGGTGTCGTTGATATATTTTTTGGCTTATTTAACATTAACAAATCTTGAGATTGGGACAATCTCTCTCAAGTTGAATAATAGGAACAAAGTCTTGATATTGTGATTAGTCAGAACTTTTGGAAGTTATGAATAAGAAAAGGGCTAATAATTTACATGAGGTTTTTGCCCACCATTACCCTTAGCTGCTATACATTTAATCATTTCTTAAAAAGCAAGGTACTTGGAGATCCTGAAATTGTTTGTAACTCAAAGCCCCATCAGGTAGGGCATGAAAAAAGAGAAACAAAAGGATTTGAAAAAAGGAATTCTTTACAAGTTCATAAGACTCACAATAAAAATTTTCAAAAATATCAAGGTAAAAAAACCCATGAGATCGTCCTAGGCATTGAAATGGGGCTGATACATTTTCCTGGAAAAGCTGCGATTGCACACCTGACAACTGGTAAACAGAACAAGGATGAAAAATGTTTGAGCGAATCAGACTGTTTGTTTACATTTTCAACCAGCCAATGGTATAGCGTCAAAGACAATAGAAATCTGAACAGAAAATAACATCAAATCAGACACAACAATAACACTCTCTTCTTCTATCAAAAGCTGTCGACAAAAACCGGCGCTACAAAAAGTTAACACTGAACGCGAAAATTGTCTTTATTGAAGTGCTTCATACAATTATGCATAGCAAAGGAATATATCTTAATCTTTGTCGTCCCCATTTTTAAAATTTGGTCGTTAACCAGAAATTCATCCATTTTTCATTTTTGTTGGTAAACAGAAGTTTTCATGTGATGCACGCGACCAAAATGACAGTGCATGCCAGGGTATTGACAAGAACTGCCATACTCTGCAGACTGGCCCAGTGGTTTACCCTCCAGTCATGATATGGCTGTGTAGTGTCAAGAAAGTGAAATTTATCAGCAAGACCTAATTGAGAACACTTTTGCTTCCATGTTACCTACTGTCAAGTCATTTTGTTTACCAACTAACAATTTTGCTGACCAAATGAAGATTTTACCAATGAACTCATGAAAAACTACTTTTTCACTGTTGGGTACACCTTTATATGTTCCAGCCCCCGTCTCAACTCTCTTATGGACCTGTAAACTTTTGATAACTTTTTACTACTACTTTTTTGTAACTTTGAATAACTTTTTACTACTATTTTTTTGTGACTTTGAATTGTGTTGTATTTTGTTTTTCAAACTCAGACATTATTCTTAGTTTGTTTGTCTATGCACAAATTAACCTACCAGTAAATGTGTTTGAATGTTCAATAATTTGGTTAAAAAAGCCTTATATCTCTGTGCCATATCCTTGTTTAGAGAACAGCTCATTGCATGAAAGAATTGAAAGCAAAGAAAAGGAACTGCAGAGATTTGGCAAGATAATGAAACTTCCTGGTCTTCAGGTAGAAATAATGGTATTCCTAATGCCATACAAAGTTCACTTAAGTACTGATCTTCTAAACTTTTCGAATGATATATAATATGATTTTGAGGGAAAGTTTAAACAATCTGTATTTTATATTATTTGCCTCGTTATTGATAGAATGATAATCTTTTGTGAAGAAAAGGTTTTTGAGAATGTAATCAGGAAATCATAATTAAGAAAGTCATTATTTCCAAGCCATTCAGTATATACTACTCCATGGCTGTATTCAATAAACTTTGGTTACAATTCCATTAGCTACTGAAAATGCAAAAATAATCCAGTTTGAGTCAAGCAACCTGTGGCTAGAGGTGATTTAAAGACCCCTTTGAATTGCCAAAAAGGTTTTTCTCATTGGGCAGTTTTCTGATGGCTTGCCTATTAGTCTAGCTTGCTGAGAAATCTTAAAATATTATAGTAAGGCTGTGTAAAAGTGTATTGAATCTACTTAGGCCTGTTTACATGGTTTATTTTAGTGTACATCGGAATGGCAATCAATGTAAGCACTAAATAAACCATCCCTCAACTAACATGCTGTTTCCAAACCCAGCGAGTCCTATTTAATGCATGGTGAACAAGGAGCCAGAGAAGAGATGATATGTCTATTGCATGTTTTGATTTTAACTGAACTAAAATTCCTTATAAATTTACATACTTAAATACAGAAAGGGACATCTAAAATTATGTGGTGATGTGAGAAAAACAATGCTCGGAAGGGTGAGTGAAGGTGATGAGTAAATTGAATAGGGTGGCAAAGTTTAAGTAAACAAAATAGATTAGTGAATGTGTGACACGAGAGTGATGTAGAGGATGCCTGTGCTGGGATATGAGAATCTGATGGAATGAATGAGAAGGGAAAATTAATGTAAACAAGCCTAAGTAGAGGCACTACAAAAGCGCCACCTTTAAATGGCAAAATTAAGATTAGAGTTGCATTGTTCAGTATCAAAGAGTGACAAAAAAATTCAAAAGCACTGAAAAAGTTTTTGACCAATCCACATTTGTTATCCAATTTTTAGCTTTCTTTGGCCAATGGTACAAGAAAACTTTATATCATCTGCCCTGTGTCTTTAAATTTGTCTTTAGTATTTAACCAAATTATTTTACATTGATGGTGGTAACTATGCTTCAAATAACACTATTGTTGAGATTTTTAGGCATATTGTGTTTGTTGAAGGCTCTATGTGCCAAAGTAAATGATAAAAGCTTATATATTTATTTCTTTAAAACAGGCATTTTCAAAGAATAGAGGAAAAAGGGTGAGTTTTAATTTTTTTGTCTTGATTATGGACTTGTTTGGCATTATTCAAACAATGTTTTTTTATGTTTTTAATCTTGCTTATCAAATGATACATAAATCTGAGTCTTTTTCATATGCTTCCCAAGTTGAGAAAATACAAATATTGATGTTTTTCTATGTTTAGCATTTGTAGGTCAAGAAGACGAGTTACAGGATAATTTAGTTGTGAAGAATTATTATCATAGTCAAGAAGAGTTACTATAAGTTATCTTGCTAGTTTTATAATTATATTAAATTAAATAATTTACAGCAAAGGTTAACAAAACTACAAAAATTGCATGATAAAAGTGACTTATTGAAATAAATTTAAGAAATAAATTCAGTGCTTCAAAAAATAATATAGTTTCTATTTCCATAATACGAATTATTTCATTGCCTTTCTTTTTTAGCCCTATGAAGAGGTTGTAGAGGAAAATGAGAGGCTCATGCATCAAATGCAGGTATAATTTATTCTATATAGAACTGAAGTAGAGCTACAAAAACGCAAGAAATTGCTTCCAAAAATGTTGGCAATATTCTCTAGATTTTTTAGCTTACACATCTTCCCTTATTCTCATAGCTTAGATTGTCTACCTGTTTTTACAAATAGGGAGTGTGGTATCTCTTATTTTTACTGGAAACAGTTGATTTTGAAAATGGTTTTGAATAGGGGATACAACGGACTTTTTGAAGGGGGTTTTGAAAAACCCATCTGATGATACTCAAGAGTCTGTTAGCTGGCAACTAGAACAAATTATTGATGAACAATTAACTAATTTGTTTTTACTTGCCTGACAGTGCAATTTCATGTTATTTGGTCTGTGAGGTTATGCCGTATATATACAATTTAGAATGAAAAAATCAAATTTGTTTATAAGAATAGTGTATGAAATTGGTCTTTCCCTCACATTGTTGTTGTGACAGATAAACTTTTCTTCTAGAGACACGAGGAAGATTTCAAATTGCAGAACAAAACCCTTCTGGAAGAAGTATCAAGGGTATGATGTTATTTTTCTTTTGTTTTCTTGAGGCAAAGCAGTACTTTTGTCGTTGAAAATGCTGATTAACAGAATTAATGAACTTGCTTGCTTGCTTGATTTAAACTCAAGTTAAAAGAGGTCTATTGATGTGAAATAGAAATCTAAAATTGTTATGTACTCATATGTACAAATTGTAATTGTTATGTTATGTTATGTACAAATCGTAATTGTTATGGGGAAAGGAAGGGAAGGAAAAAAGAAGGGAAGGAAAAAAGGGGAAATTAAATAACGGGAAGGAAAGAAGTTTTAGTATGAGAAAAAGATAGGGAACCAGAAAAGCACGCTGAATGCAAAAGGGAGGCCGAAGAATGGAAGAGGCGAAATAAGAAAATGGCTGAAAATGAAAATGAAATTTAGGATTGGTGATATAAAGTTGTAGAAAAGAGGGTAATTCTTTCTCCTCTGTCTTCTAAGGGTTTTAAATTATCTTTTCTATCAGAAGCTGTAAGAGATTTTGTTTCTTAGCTTTCCGTGGAAAGGGACGATTTGGAGAATGAATTAAAAAAGGTGAGGGATACCCGGAGCCGCGAGTTGGATGAAAATGATGAAATGCGACGGATCAAGGCAGAAAATACGGTACTCCACAAGAAGCTGCAAGGTAAGAAAAGCTCGTCACAACAAAAAAGATTTATTTTTTTATTTTTATCTGCATTAACATTCATGGAGTGTGAGTTAAAATTGTAGTCATCCCTTCGAAAACAAAGAAAAAAGCCAGGGTTTTGGCACTTGAGTGTATGACGTCATGTCTTCTGGTTTCTGATTCTTACAATATTAGAAAGCATAATGTAATGACCACCAGCCCGACTACATTTATTTGTAGCTCACAACAGACATGAATTTTTTTACCAAACATTAGCAAAACCGTAAACTCTCGATAATTCGAACTCTCGCAAACTCGAGTATTCGCTAAGTCGAACTGGTATTTCATCACCCTTGCCCAATACATTCATATAAGAAAGATCCTGACAACTCGAGCATTCGCTAAGTCGAACTGATATTTCATCACCCTTGCCCAATACATTCATATAAGAAAGATCCTGACAACTCGAGCATTCGCTAAGTCGAACTGATATTACATCACCCTTGCCCAATACATTCATATAAGAAAGATCCTGACAACTCGAGCATTCGCTAAGTCGAACTGATATTTCATCACCCTTGCCCAATACATTCTTATAAGAAAGCTTCTGACAACTCGAGCATTTGCTAAGTCGAACTGATATTTCATCACCCTTGCCCAATACATTCTTATAAGAAAGCACCTGATAGCTCGAACATTCGCTTTCTCGGACCATTGAAGGTTCCAGTTATTGGGTTTTTACTGTATGAATAATGATGAGAAATCGCATGTTACTCAAAACATATTCAAGTCTTCTTTAAAGCCTTTTTTGTTTAATGATGCAGTGGATAGAAGTGAAACTAACGACCTTGACATAAACAAATGCATTTTTACGATCTTTTCATTTTCCAATTTTAGATTATGATGGTAGGCCCCAAGTCAGTGAGGACAATGACCAATGTACTTTAGAAAATATACCTAAAGACAACAGTGAAGATGGGGCTGTTTCAAAGGATTTCGAAGATGGCGAACTTAGTAATCGAAAACTCATTGAGGATGCATTGAAAGGTTTTTTAAAAGAAGCAGTTGGAGCTGTTGGAGGTGATACGACAAATGAAGAGTTAAATGAGAGAGAGAAAAAACTGATAGAGGGCCTCGTGACGGAGCTTGAATCTCTGTCCTCAAAGGTATAGGGTTACAACGTTATTGACGAATTTATTTAACGAAGCAGATTTTTGAGATATTGTTTTTTAAAGGCCAGTGCCGTCGGAAAAAAATTCATGATGGGGGGGGGGGGGTAACTTCTTTCCTTTCAGTACACTGTTATAAAGGAAATATAGTACAGCTTCACAATTTTTAGGGCGTCACAGCCCCTGGCCTCCCTCCATGCTTCCGACGGCCCTGAACACCTGAAGTTTGCTTGCATGGGTTCAAAAGAGCTGTCTTGACAAAGAAAATGTTGCCTGCAATTAAAGCTTTAATATCTGTCTCTGAACTTTGAAGGGCTCATGACGTCAGTCATTTCTCGGTAAAGCAGCACGGCCTCTAGTTTTAATGCATAGGAAACGACGATTAACACCTGTTTAACCTATCTGCTGCTGCTCTGCTTTGTAAAGGGAAACCTGTTGACAAAAGACAATCCTAATACGAAACTTTCTTTTAAGTCTTAATATATTTTTAAAAATGCTTGCATAAGTTTGCATACATTTGCATACACTAATTCAACCAGCTATCTCTGTAGAATCTTTCCTCTCTCTCGTCATTATTTCATTATTTTATCGTTATTATCACTGAAAAGCATCATCCTTGTGACAAACTTTCTTTTTTTTTCTTTTTGCTATTTTTTAAAGTTCACCTTTTTTCTGCAATTAGGAATGGGTTTTTTTCAAAATTGGAAGGAAAAGCAGAAACATTGCATATTATAAAATTTTGTCTGACGCTTTTCATTGTATCAAATATCTGATAATAATGAATAAATGCACAGGGCAATAATGATTGGCAATTTACCAACAAGACCATCCATTATGAATTGTCACTATCGCACTGATGCTTTGTTGCTCTTTTGTGTTTTTTTACCATATATACTAAGCTCATTCACCCGTTCATCTTTGTATTGAATATTCCTTGTATCATTCTAGCAGCCTAACTTCATTTCTTACTGCTATGTTTTTTCTAAATAAGCAATCAAATGCATTACATGCATTGAAATTTGAAATGTGACTGTTATCTGTTAAATTTGAAACATGCTTCGGTCGTTAAATTTGAAATATGCCTGTTATTCGTTTCAGAATAAAAGCCCCAGAGAATCAAGTCAAAAGACAAATGGTATTGCCAATTTTTAACCTATATTATTATCACCTTGGATATCTCTTTTGTTATCACGAACATCATGTACTAATGATTACCCAAAAAGCTGTTATCATTTGCTGTTATAATGATTGCCTGCTATCATTTCAATTCATTTAAAAAAGAATATCTTTTTAAACTTCAAAAATCTTCATTGGAACTGTTGGAGCTTGTTACAAGGTCGTGGCAAATCGTAGATTTCCATCGGGAATTTGTATTCTTTTTCAAAGAAAAGACCCTCCATAAAGAATTAAGGCTCCTCTTCCAATTTTTGTTAGGAGCTTTGGATACTAAGGTAGAAACCGTCACAGAAGAAACTCGTTGAATTTCTTATAAAAACGAGTTTCTTTTAAGATGAAGAAAATAGCAGGACAAGCCTCGAAATTAATTACAATTATACATTTTGACAGAATGACTTTTTACAGAGCAGTTCAATTCACCATGTTAAAGGACAGTTTGTTTCTGGAAAACTGCTTCTGATATTCGTTTTATTTGCTTTTGTTCAAACAAGTTCTTATAAAATGCTGAGATTCAAGCTCAACTGTTTCTTATATTTGGATACATAACATTGAAAAAGTCACCCAGTAGCTTCATATGATTGAGTTTCTTATAAGGGGTCTTTTTAATGTATTTTTCAATATCAGCCTTTGCTATCATCAACTTCGTTAAACATGTCAGTTGTTTCTGGTAATGCTATTACTTTTATACTATGAATGAAGATTACTTCTGTAATCAGGAGCAACTCTTAGAGTCACCTGGTTTTGCTATACGCTAGGCTTTCCTTTCAATGTGTTCGTTAAAGGTCCTTTGTATGCAGAGGTTTGACTATAAGTTCTATGAAATAAGACCTTTGAATGCACTTTTCAGATATGAAGGTTAAATTGGAAACTGAGGAGGCTGAAAATCAACTTCTGCGGGACCAGATCAAGGAGGAGCGAGTAAGTGGCTTTTAAAAGTATTTTTTTCTGGCATTTCAAAGAGTAACAGAACTGCAGTGTTTGTAGCGAAACATTTTAGATTTTAGTAATGTAATCAAAGAGGATAGGAGAAGATTGAACCTTGTTTCAGGATGCTTAGGGCTTCGCAACTCGTTATGAGGATGCTTACCTTTAATTCATGCCTTCATTTTTCAGTTCAGTTTCAGTTTTTTATTTTAAATTTTTCTGTATTCATTCATTTGCTGCCAGTTCACATTAATCCATATTTAGAAAGTACTAACAATTTAAAAAAGGAAGTTGAATGAAATAAACATAAAAAAACACATACATAGAAGAAAAACAAGCTAGTTTGGGAATTGTTTAAAAGAAGAATCTCTCTCAGTAGTTTATAAACTATTAGAGGAGAAAGCGTCCCCTATTAAGTAAGATGCGTTTTGCTTAATTTGTAGTGCCAAAAGTAAGAAATTTTCTGTATGTTGTGTTGAATCATCCACAGAAAAATTATAGTCATAATACTCATTAGCAGGACTGTGGGTATTATGATAATGATCACGAGTTTTCCTGGAGCTGGCCTGTGTTTCTTATGTAGGTCTCTTCCCCGCTGGCAGTTTGAAAATTGCTAAAATGATTCATTTTTCTTAGGATAAGGGTAACTTGGAATCGGCGAACAGACCTGATTAGCGTTATCCCCTACCAATCACCTAATGAGCTATTAACCTTCCCCATTTCTAACGATTAGGTGTAACGATAATTAATTGTTTTGCCATATTATAGATACAGCAAAAATTTTCTTATCATTTCTCTCCTGTTATTGTCCTTGTGTCTCAATGAGTCTTGAATTAATCCTGATTCAGGAGAAGACAAGAACTGAAATTGAGAATTTGAAATTAGAAGTTGCAAAGCTAACAGAGAAAATGAAAAGAAAACAAGAGAGGTAAGTGTAATTGTCGATTATATTTAATATCGTAAAAGTGAAGATAGTATGTTTTATATATAGCAAACAAATTCGAAATTTATCTTGCTATTGTAGAGCAGACTTGTTTATAATATTGAAAATTAATAATTTCAAGATTAGAATTCTAAGCTTAAATTTGATGATTGTATGTCAAATGTACAGAGCTCCTTATCTCATAATATTTGTTTATCTTAGGGCACAGAAATATGATAGATTATCTAAAAAGGTATTGGTTCATTGAAACTATTCCACAGGTCACATTAGAAATGGCTCATTATTCCAAAGAATGGCAATAAAACCCAAACCTACATAGTATCACACGAATATACTTTATGTTTTATGTAGCGTACTTGTGTAAGTTATCTGTAAGTTGTGTTTTTGTTAATAGTTATATACACTTGCAAGAAGAAAAGGAGTTGCTCCATAAAGAGAAAAGGTATTCTTGAATATTCTGATTATAGATGAAGATGTGTATTAGAAATTTCTTTGCATTAATAATAACCCTTGGCATCATGAGTACGTGATGATTTAATCTACTTGCTGTAAACCTTTTCTGCCTCTGAACAAATTGCATTCTATGATGCTACGTTTCTATACGCTGTCAACCTTTTGCAGAGACTCTAACGTTTTAATTTATCTATCCTGTGATGAGGTTGCTTCGTAATTCTTTGCTTGTTTCATTATCAACCTCCGTTAAAGGAATTAGAAGAGGGCTGATGTCTATGCATTGACCTGTAATTTTTTAATCTTCTTGAACAGTCGCTTGGAAGAAGAGTGGATTAAAACCAAGGAACTACTTGTACAGGTTTGGAGTTTCATTATTTTTACGTAATTAGTTTATGTAAATAAGCTTTGTTTGTAGAGTACTGGAAATCTTAAAAGTTCATCGAAAATAGAGGACCACATGGTTTGTAAGTTGATCAAAGGAAGTTTTTTTCATTGTTGATCAGGGGCGGACACTTGATCAAATATTGGGGGGGGGCAAGCCTATTGTTTTAATAAGATGACGTCACATTTCCCATTGTTTTAAAACAAAAATCCATTGTCCTCTAAAGTATTGGGGGGGGGCGGTCGCCCCCCCTCGCCCCCCCCCAAGTGTCCGCCACTGTTGTTGATCGCGGTAGGACAGTGTACCTTTCGCTGTTACTAAAACGCTGAACTTTTTTTTACTCGAATGTATTTAATAAATTTTCACCATTTTCAAATTGAAAGCGTGATAATACGGGCAACAGTAAAAAAAAGCTTGCATCGCTAAACGGTAAACACACGATAGAATAACGACTCGGATTATCAAATCTTAGTTTTATGTGAAGAGAAGCTCAGGTTCAACTTGGTGAGACAGTGTAAGATATGATACCAGCGTCAGGAAGGTTTAACCAATGGATAGAGGACACTGCATTAGAAAAAAACAACCAGCATATTCTTAAACAGGGTTTGACGCCGAATTTCAGTGCTTTGCAAATGTACATTGAGCTGTTCTCTAGTTCACAGTTGTAGCGAAACCTTGATATAAAACCGCGAGTTTATGCAGTCCATAATGGAAATTCTGCTTTGGAAACTCATCAATTGGATCTTTTCAGTTTCAGGATACATCTGCAGAACTTGAAGAACAGGTTCAGCAACTGAAGTATGCCATTTTTATCATCTCGCTTTAGACGGCAGACGAAACATATTGTGAGCCATTTGTCCTGAAATGAATTGAATTGAATGTTAAAAGAATTGAATTTTGGATAGGGTGACATCCAACCTGCTTGCTTAAAAGGTTTTTGTTTTGAGAAGGAATTTTCAGGGCAGATTGAAGTTCTAAATGAACTTTTTTGCAAACTAACTTGTATCAAGAGCCACATTTTTCCACATCATCAGCATAGACAAAAAAGATTATAGCAAAAATTATAAATTCACAGTCAAGGTTGAAATCATTCGTGAAGTTTACGTTGAGGAGCAATTTGAGTTTTAGGAGAACATTAAAAAATGTTGTACATTTTGGGCTAAAGGGAGTTGGGCAAATTCAAGAAATGAAGACACCTTATAAAACAGTTAGTGCTAATACTACCAACGAGCAGATAGCCTCCCATGGTATCCGGTCTCTGTTGAATGATATTTTATGGCTATTATTTTGCCGTACTTTGCTCAATGAAATTGTATTGTTTTGCGGAGAGTTTTTTATTTTGCAAGCGCAGTTGATAAATTTCAAACCCATCTACAAAGCAATGTTCTTTGTATAGGCAGTGAACAGGCCATTAATTTAGCGTGGCAAAAGTGCGACGATTAATTAGTGTTATAGACGCGAGAATATGTAGCCTTACAAAGCTAAGCCTCACTTGAGGCTTAGCTTTGTTTTTGGCCACTTGCCACTAGATTACTCCAATCACTACTGAAAGATTTAGAAATCTGAATGCTTCTAAATGGAAACCTGAATCCACTTGGTCATGCCTTAAGGGATAAAGTGGGATTATTTTATCGCAGTGTGACAAGAACAGGTTTGAACTTGACACCACTATGAGAACAAATGTGAACTCAATATTTATTAGATTTAGTGTATTTAGGCCTGCAAAGTATTTTCGTACAACAGATACTACGATTTTTGCACGATCAATTGTCAATATATTTTATGTCTTTTTCAAAGGATAGAAAATGAGAATTTTAAATCTGAAGTGGCTGGACTACAAGAGGTAAGACGTCATATCTTGTTAATTTTTTTAAAGTTCCAAATCATTCATCGTCTCAGTACGAGGGGTGAAGGGGGGGGGGATTGCTCTTTCCTCCGATTTGATATGACCCTGGATATTGATCTCTAAATTCGAATTTTTTTGCATAGGCAATAGAAAGGAAAGGACTGATCGAACAAAACATTCGGAAACTTCATTGCAGTTACCAGTTGCTTTTCAATTATATATTTGGATACTAGCGTTTAGTTTAAATTACAGTTTAGTCTAGTTTAGTTTAGTTTTATTTGATTCGAATTCCAGGTAAAGATTTATAAAAAAGGAAATATTCATGATCAATGAAGAATTTATAGAAATGTATATTTTGACCTCTTTTAATTAATTAGTTTGGTTTTTTTCTAGACACTTGAACAATGTTCTCCGGAGAAAGTTTCAGAGTTGGAACACACCCTTAAGACTAAGAATGAAGAATTAACATCGTTAAAAACCCAGTTCGAAGTTAGTTAACTTTGATAACATATACTTGCATTTTTCTTTATTCAAATTGTTCTTAAACGTCTGTGAATTCCTAGTCGCCGAAATTCTTAGCAGCCAGTTGTAAATCGTGGTAGGAAAAAATATATTTACGACTTATGTCTGAAATCTAAATCATTTTCTACTTATTTCTAAAATCTAATTCTAAAATCATTTTGACGTGCTTTCAGGACAGCTCGTCTTTGAATCAAGATTTGATGTCCGAAGTCCAAAAACTGTCCGAGGAAAAAAACAAGGTCGACACAGAAGCAGGACAGAACTTAGAGGTATGTAGCGAGCACCTTGTACCTATCATGGTATTTCCAGTGTTACCTAGAGACAGCCTAGTGATCTACATATCTTTCACTAGTGAACCACTAGCATTGGTGCAAAGTTTTTCTAAGACATATATAGCTGTTATGAGGGGGAGGGGGAAGGGGGCAAAATGGCAATGGTCTAAAGTTTGCAAAAATCTCTCTTCTTAGTTCAGCATGTTGATAAAAGTACCAAATTGATACTATCTTAATCACGCTTGATAATCCAGTTATTGTGTTTAAGTGCAATCCTACTAGCTCCTATACTTTCTGTCGCTTTGCCAGTCTGGTTATAACAGAGATGGTGGTTTTAAAAATGAGCCCCGTCGATTTGTATTGGGTTTACAGCAAGAGCTGAAGAAGAAAATTCTGTTTTGTATTTAGCCTGACTGACACATAATATTACGAAACAAAATTTTAATAATATTAATATCATGTACTGGAAATAAACAATTACTTATACTTGACATTGAGGCTACATCAATCCTTTTACAAAATTTAGGGACATCACCCTCATGACTTACAGAAGCTTAGCCTGTTTCAAAGGTTGTAAAAGGGGGACTCCTGAAAGGGATGTCTACAGTTTGCAGGGACCCCTGTTGTTAGGTCTTTTTTGTTTTAAATAATGAAGATCAGCTTTGCTAATAATTTTAGGGTTTTTTGCTTGAACCACGTTTCAGTTAATGACATTGTATTTTTATTTAATGAATTATAGCTAGCTAACAAGAGAAAGAAACTTCTTGATGAACTATCAGTTGAAAGGCAACACGAACTGGAAAACCACAAGAAGAAACTAGAGGAAATAAAAAATGACAATGAGGCACGTATTTGCTTGTATTATTTTATTAATATTTATGTTTGTAATTGATCCAAATAATCAGCAAGCTTTCATGTTTCTCCTGCTCTTATTAATTTATAAGACTTTCTTCTATTACGGCACAATGCTTAAGCCGTAAGATTTTAATTGTGGATTTATTATGAATTATGAAAATATATGCCAAGGCCTTGAGACTTTATAGTTGGTAAATAATCTCAATGCACTTCTTAATCTCATTGGCACAAGTTGAACTATCTTGTCATATAAGAATATGCTATAGCTCAAGATTTGTGTGAAGGGGTGTTGGGGGGGGGGGTTGCGTAGTGTTGCGTTGGTCTTTACATGATCAACTCACAAAGCATAATCGGACTAAAGACAAATTCCAAATTGAGCTCACAATTAGAGTTTAGCAGTTAGCAGTAGTTAAGGGTGACTTTCTCTGCAATATGATTTGGTTTTTTGGAGGGGGGGGGACTGTTACAATTGCTTTTTGGAGGGGTGTTGTGCTCCCTACCTTGCCATAATTTATATCCCTGGCTCTAAAGCAGACTGTCACTTGAGGTTTAATAGAATATACATCTTTTAAAGTATTTAAAAGGTCGAGGTCTAGGCACAGCCCAGTTGAACTTCCTATTTTTATATTCTTACTTGTTCTTTAGGAAAATAAGAAACATTTGGAGACGACACTGTCAGATCTAGAGGTAAGGAATGTATTTGAATGCCATCTATATTTGTTTTGATTCTCGAACGACAAGCTAATCGTATTACTAAAGTGAATGAACTGGGCCAAATGAATTTCGATTCAGGAATGTACGCTTGAGCCTTAATGTGCCACATTTAACCCCATTCAAGTGCCACTTCAAGTAAAGCTTAAGTAAAGTTAAGTAAAGCGGATCTATCAGGCCGGCTAAAGATATTAGTTTATGAGTGCAAAAAGACACCCTGTTTCGGACAGAAAATATGAATTTATGTACACAGTGCTTAAGAGGCCTCGAAGAATTTGATAAAATGTAAGCACAGTTTGGGCGAACTGCAAAGTGCCTTCACCCTATTGCGAGTATGGTCTTAGAATACTAAGTGTGTGGTCAAAACTGTTCCTGAAATAATTAGTCTCTTTAAAATTTCATTATGCTGTACATTTATAAGAAAATATTTGCTCGTATTATCTGCATTTTTGTAGAAAGCAAAACGGGAGGTTACATTGGCCAACGATAGACATTCAGAGCTCTTGAATAGGTTCACCTCCATCGAGAAGAAATCAGGCTGGCTTGAAAGAACTCTCAAAGAGACAGAGGTAAGGCTGCATTTTAAGAAAACACAGAACAGCAGAAGCAAAGCGCAGTACAGTACCGGAAAATCGTGATAAAACATCAGATGATCAAATAATGTAAGAAAAAATTTATGTCCCGGTAAGATGGAAAGTAACGTGAGAGGCAAAATGATGCGTTTGATTGGTCAATTGGCCATAATGGTTACATGAGTGGTTTATCATTAGAGTTTTGTTGTTATCTGATGTTTTTATCCCTGAGTAGTGAGTAGTTTCCCTGAGTAGAGAAGTATTTTGATATGTTTCTGCTTTTCCTTGCTTTTTTTAATTCATGCTGTACTTTTTTTATAGAATCTGTTATTTTGGTAATTGTTAATAGTTTAACAGAAAGCCAAAACGTATAAAACATGAATTTTTTGAAAGATCAATGTACGTAATATTCTAGAATCTAGATCATAGGTATAAGATCAAGCCGTTATTGACAGGTCCAACGAACTGGCCATGTAGCAAGGCTCTGTTAACTTGTAGGAACAACAGGAGACTGAACGAAAGACTCACCAAGATTTAATTGATAAAAAGGAAGAGGAGTTCCAGGAAAAACTTGCGGAAGTCGAAAGCAAGCATCATGACGAAATTGAAGTGAGTATAATCTAAAATTAGAGTTTTCAATTTGTTTTTATTTATTTTCCAACTTTAATATCTGAAGGACTCTGGTTATTAATGATTAATTCCCCCAGCTCATTGTGTTTTTTTGTGCTCTTGCAAGGGAAGTATTTCTGTAGTTGAACGGGGAACTCAATCGTAGTTGTATTTTTGAAATCTTCGATTCCTTAAGGGAAATGAAACAACGTATTGTTTTCATCATTTTTAACAAATCTCTGAGTCGTTTCAGTTTGTGGAAATATTTTCGACCTGCTATTTTTTATTACCGTATGCTAGAATGGGTGCCCAGATCACTCATTTTGACATCGGATGGCACGGAAAGTAGAGATATTTCATCATTCTTTATATAAGGACACGCCAACTTATAGCTTCAAATAGCAGCTCAGCAAAGAGATTATAAACCTAGAAATTTGTTTGAATAAATCAGTCAGAAAAGCAGCAAAACACTGTCTTGAAGCACGACAATAAAGAAAATAGGCGCGAAGGGGAAAAGTCAGTGAAATTTATACTGGGAAAATCATAGACCCCATCAGTCATTGCTTTCTCGAACAAGCACCTCTTTTGTAGTCCAGATCGCTCTTAAGGAAAAGGGACTAATTTTACTTCCTTCTTTCTGGTCGGTTGAGACGGCCTTCTTTCAAGAGGGACGCTCATTTAAAAAAAATCAGTAATTTATTATTCTTAAACAGCAACCGATAGAATATTAATTTGGCAATTTTTACCTTTTCGGTAAAATGTTGATTATATCGCGAATAGAAACAGTTTGAATGCTGGAAAGATCATTTTTGTCATCATGAAAGAGTCGATGTTTGACTACAGAAGTTTTTAGGAAATTTAATTTTACCATGAATCGCTAACTTACTGTTTTTGTTTTTAAGGCGTTGAATGAAAGTAAAGCAGAAGTAGAAAGGGAAAGAGATGAGAAAATATCAGTTATCGAGAAAATGAACCAGAAACTAAAAGACAAAGAAGTCGAATTTCGAATCAGTGTAAAGAAGAACGACCAGCTAGTAATTTCTATCCATCTTTCTTATAATTGTAGAAGGGTTGTTCTGCACCCCTTCTTTTTCTTATTTTTAACCTTTTTTGTTTAGGTTTTCATTTTGTGTTTATACGAGAAAAGACGTAAATGTTGTTTTTAACAAGATCAGTATTTTATCAAAATTTTCGATCTTTCGAATTATTTGTTCCTTCTTATATTGAAATAATTTTTGATTTTTTTCTTCAAACATGAAATTGTTTAAAGTTCATTTTGAAGAAAAGAACATGTTTCAAATCTTGAAATCTAATTTCATCTCATTTTTTATTCAAAAACACAACAGATTGTTTCATCCTAAGACATAGCAACCATGCAAGTCATTCATTTCCTAAGCAGTATCATCCTTTGGCTGCTATTTTATATTTCTAAAATACTCTCTAAAGATCACTGAAGATAATACATGTTAAAATATGCACACATATGAAATTATTCTTTACAGTTGAAAGACTTAAAGCGACAACTCAAGTCTGAGAGAAAGCGAGCTGATCAGATCCAACAGAGGCTCCAGGAATTTTTGTCAGAAACAAAAACGAGGCAAAGTAGGCCATACTTAAGATGTTGTCAAACTTTCAAATGCTAAGAAATTGTATAATTTGATCAATTTATTGCCTTCCTATGTTTGTCTTTTTTTATGAAGATACAGTATATTTAAACAAGTTACTTTTATTCCAAGTGACATGTCAATATAATTTGTTACAAACTGCGCTAATTGAACATGCTCAGTTAATAACGATTTTATCGAATTGTTTCTGAAAAACTCGCTTACTCGTAGCTCAGTATATTCAAATTTATTCATTACTTCGAATTTATCGAAAACACATAATCCCACGCCTTTAGTTCCCCTGTCATCCATCAAACAATAAGGGAGTGACATTTCAGAGTGATTTTATGACTTTGATTAAAAATTCTAGATTTTAGCATTTTAAATGCCTTTTTCTTTCTGAATATGATGTCCAGCTTCAGTTTTAGTTTTTGCAGCCTTTTGCCAACTTTGCTGAAATTGAATAATTGATATTTGAAATGCAAGTACTAGACACCCATCGTGGCTTGAGCTATGGCTAATCGTTAATAACTCATTCATTGCAAAGATTTATTTTGTCAGTATCTGTAACCCTTTTGATTTAATAATTTTCTTCCTTTTTTCTAGCCTTTGATGAAATATTCAAACACGATTCATCGTTCAGTAAGGGACACCGACGTCAAGATAGTGGGTACGTCATAATCAGATCTTATTTTCTTGTGAAAAGATGAGCGACTGGTTTTATGTTGACATTGGACTATGCAATACCGTTGGACTGGTTTCCATAACTTCATTTACAGGCACAATGTTCCGACACATTTCGCTGGCTATTTGAATTTCCCATTGGTTGGACTACACAATAGACCTATTGTTACGTATCCAATTAGTAACGTGAGGCCCATTCTCAAGGTTTCCCTGATCCTAAAAACGCGCTGCAAAGACTATTGTTAACTCTAAATGGTTGACTAGCGGGGCAAAGTGCCTTTAAAGAGTGGCATGAAATAAGAATCAAAGTTTTGCTGGACATTTCGAAACTCGAATCTCAATTATTATAATTTAATCAGAATTTGATAAATCAATAGATTATAAGATTATTGAAAAATAGAATATCAAATAATCAGTTATTTAGTAGTTTAAGTGGAAATTAAAAAGACTGCGTCCATTCAGGTTAAAGTTACTTGCACAAACACTGGCGCAGTGTACGATTACAGTTTCTTAAAGCAAAGTATTCAAAGAGGCACTAACGCAAAAAAATTTAATCATAAATGCTTGGTCTATGTAGAGATTATGTGCTTGGTGGGGGCAAATTTTTTGTGTTAAGCGAAACGGGGCAGAAATATGGGGGTATGATTTCGGTGAAAGCCATGGTGCGAGAAATGGTGCCAATGTGCGAAGGTGTTGCAACACAGGAACAAGATTTGCTCGTTAATACCGAAGACGACAAACACCGAAGATATTTCTTTTACTTCCACCTCCACTACAACGGTCCATTGCGTCTTCCATCTACCTTTAAAAGCGAAAGAAAAGAAACGCCCAAACCGAGAACTGCTAGATGACTTCAAACCCATTGTTTCCACGTAGCAGACCAGAAAAGAAGTGGGATATCAAAAATGTATATACCATTTTTCAATGTCTCGAAACTTTACTTTCCCAGCGAGTACAGACAAACAAAATATATTTTCGGGTACCATGAGTCCTCAATCTGTGGCTCATGAATTATCGTTGAAATCTACGGACGCAAAAATTCGCGGCAGTGCCTATAGCCTCCAGTCTTCCCATTCCAGATGTGGGTGGCTCTAAGGGTCATCCTGTATTATAGGGGATGACCACGTATTTTTGCTGATGTTATCATGGTATCGAATGGGAGTTGTGTATTAGAGTAAGTTGTAGCTGAGATTGCCCCCATTGTAGTTCAAAAATCACACCTAAAGTTTTTTGTAGCTCTTAACGCTATAACCGATGACTATTCTTCTATCAGCAAAAGCCTCTTCGCCTATTTTAGGAATTTTGCAAGTAGGGATCGGTGTGACAACTTTTCGTTTTTCAGGAGTCATTTGTCGACTGTTTCATCAGGAAGTGGCTTGGAGATGAGTGTTGACGCTGACGCGAACAAAGTTAGTTTTTAGTTTATTTTTTCATCTATTTATTCAGATTGCAACAATTTGATAGATCTGGTCATTTCAATTTCCAGCGAATGCATCTCAAGACACTTATTTTTTGGCTTTCTCCCGACACGAATTGAGATTGTCAATATTCCATGCAATTATTGATCTTGATGTTGTAAAGTTTCATCTTTCAATTGGAAAATTTTTATAGCAATTCTTCGTTTATGCAGATCCCTTAGTTGTACGGGGCCCCATGCCCATGCCCATTGCCCCCAGCCAGTTTCTCCCTTGCCCTTTTCCCTTTTGACCCTTCCCCCTTGCCCTTTGTCTCTCGACCCCTTTTAGTGAGACGGTTGAAGGGGTACTTACTTGAGTTTTGATTCTAAATTATAAACTGCCTGAACAAGAACACGAATTGCTATATTAACTTTATTGCAAAAAAGTATTATCTATTCCTAAAACTGTTGGTTTTTTATCGAAAATGTAGATTTCGCTTGTTTCTGTGGTTTTGAAGACGAGTTTTTAGTGATTTAAAGTGATTATCTCTGACGCTTCTTCAATTTTTGTAGACTTTTATATCAGGGAAGTGGCTTTTAACTGTATAGAAATTTTATTTGTATAACTTAACATGTGTGTTTGAATTGCATGTAGTCATTCTAAAAACGTCCTGGCATCAGCTTGGTCAATTCAGATTTCTCTGCTGCAACAATTATCTGTATGCAACAAGCCCTGCTCCACCTATCTCTCTGCACGCATGCTTGTCGCTGCCTAGAACCCAGTCTTTTTAAATTTCAGACAAGCACTCCGTTGTCCGGGACACCATTAAGCAGTGGCAGCGGAGGAGATGGGGTCAAACTGACGAATGAAACCGTTGAGTTGATATCGAAAGTAGCAGATCTCCAACTCGAGAAGAACATTTTAGAAGAGAAGGTTTGCAATGCCTTGCTATTTGCTTAGTGGCTTAATGAAAACGCCAATAATTATTTGCATGGAAAATGTAATTTTGTTATGTATTGTATTATCTGAAATTTTAAAAGCCTTCTCTCATAGTAAGAATTTGTGTTACGCTAGGTAATTTCTTCCGTTTACCGTCCTTTAAAGGCTTTTGCCAATTGTCAATAGTTTCTTCTCTTCTTCCCGAAGCAATCCATCTTATTTTGAGAGTGTCGGTCTTCTCTAATTAATTCCTTATCTTTATGAATGGTTGGTGTGTGGGCTCTGTCTAGCGGGTAAAGTTCTTTTTGGAAAAAAGAACGTCCCAATATTTTTAGAAACAGCGATAATTGTATAGTATTAGGAACATCGAATTTCGAAACACTCGATGAGTTTGTGGTACATTTTTTCTTCAGCGTTTGTTTCTCTCCTTTTCAAGCTTTTCCTTGAAGCTTTTTGCTTAGCAATTTTTATCTATTTTATACATTAATTCACTGTCATCATGCTGTCATGACGAGGGGGCAGTCATAATGTTTTTAACATAAAAATTGCTAAAACCTAGGAAGCCCGTACAAATTTTGAGGTGTTCATATTTTCTCTTTTCTATAGGTGCGTTTCTTGGAAGAAAATTCCTCGGTGATGGTTGACGATATAATGAGAAAAACAGAGATTATTCAAAATTATGTGAGGGAAACAAAACCAGGTACTGATTAAAATTGTTTTGTGATTCTCTTTGTCTGTGTACATGCTGAACACTGAAAGTCTTTAATTCCAGTCCACAGGATTACGTCACTTTGTTTTCAAGAATGTTTTATAGCAATTAAAGACCGGGTGTTTATATTTGGACCGGGGGGGGGGGGGTTGCGGGGAGGTAGCCGTAGTTTCCATGCTCTTTTGATAATTATCTTAGACTTGTTTCGTAATCTTTCATCTGGGCCATTCAAATGAATTCCAGTATTCAAGAGGAGTATTGTTCTGTCGTTTTTTATTGTAGAACAGGACACCCCTAAGCTGCAACTCCAAGTTTCAGGCTTAATGCGATCATCAGAAAACTGTTCTGCATGTACAGCCTGGCTACACTGCATCAAACACTATATCTACGCACAGAAATTTCCACAAATATGTTGTCATATACAATCTATTTGCATGAAACCAAGTTTATATAGAGACTCATCACTGCCCTTGATTATCTAATAGACAGATGATATTATTTTGTTTTTAAGAAATGCACGCTGATTCAAATAGAAGAAGAAGCATGACACTCAAGGAGAAAATGAAGGACTCTTTAAGTATTGGTAAACATGGTAAATCGGAAGATATGCTTAAAGAAATGAACGCAAAAATGCAACGATTGTTGGAAGAGACACTCGAAAGAAACATCCAACTGCAAAAGGTACTTTAAATGAATAAAAGCTACGCAGTTGGTTCCGGTAGAGCTACACTGATATAGTCCTACCAAACGATTACATAGCTTGTTGGCCGGACCTTAGATGTAGAGCTCTAAGATGAGGGGGATCCAGATCCCAAATGCTGACAATTGGCTGAGCAAACTGTTATTTGCCGACAAGTTTGAAAATTCGCCAATGCGGCGCCCCTAGCTGGTAGAACAATCTTCCTTTTTGAAAGGGATTATTTTTTGAAGGAGGGTGTCATACGCCCTGCAAATATGACCCTGTTTATAAGTATTGGTATAGTTTGAAGTGAACATGCAAGCTGCGGTGTGACTATAACAGGATTCGGTTGTGTTTTTTAAGAGCCAGAAAATGGCTTTGAAAAAAGCAAACATTTAGTAAACTAGAGCTTTTCGTCTGACACTCTTCAGAGTTTAAAACGTCAGAACATAGATCGAAAACACGAGCACATGACTGTATAGGTTAACCAATCAGGACATGACTGTATAGAGGTAGAAAAGTGTTTCGATCACACAGAAGCGTAACATGAATGGAGTGCGTGGGTACGGACTCAGCCCAGGAACACTCAAATTGTAAATTGAATTCGCAGCCCTTAGCAAAAACTTTGGTTACTCTGGCTGTTAACGAGCTTTCAAAAGATTGAATCAACAAAAACTTTTATCCGTAATAAAGGAATCTATCCGGAAAACTTTTTCCCATAAACGTTTTCAAAATAAGTCCAGGAAAAAATTATTGTTTTATGCAGAGTTGGCAATTTTGAATGGAATTTTTATATGCTTGGTGTTCTGTTTGGTTTGTAAATATCTTGATTTGATGTCACTTTTTTTTGCAGGATGTTGACCACTTAACAAGAGAATTAGAGATGAAATCAGCAGCTGAGTCAGCATGACGTAAGAGTAAGTTACTGTACATTTGACTCTTTCTAGAGTCAATCAATCACACAGTCAAGCGGTTTGGAAACTAGAAAACGGTCATCTAGAAAACGGTGATGGTTGTAGTTTAGATTAGAGTATGGTTTCAATTTAATCAAAAGTGCCTCAAGAATAATTGAGATGGCGCTACGTCGTATATGTAAATACAAGATTTAAACTTTTAAATGATCCTTTCCATGATAATCAGGGGGCTTTTCCCTGATAATTGTTGTGACCATGTCCTTTGGATGCTAGAAAGCTTCCAATTTGGAAAAGTGATTTGAAATTTGTTCCCAGGTTGGAGGACAGGGTCGCGATGTTGTTTCTAACGGAAAAGGGGCACTTATGAGAAGGGGGCTTGTCCAGACGAATAAACTCCGACCATTCGGCAAGTGAGATTCGACAGCTTCTCACTAAATCTTGTTTGTCTCTAACAACGCTTCATCCAAGGGTGTAGTGCTAAGGGGGCTCAGGGGGCTGAAAAGTAGCCAATTTCTACTTTTGCTATTGTTTTCCACATTTTGTGCAAGTGCCCCCTTGTTATTTTGATGGCACTACACCCCTTGCTATCCTGATATCTAATCTTACTTCATACACTCAGGTAACTAAGAAAGAACAATCAAATATAAAATAGAATGTTTCAAATAGCATTATTCCTCACAATATCCGCATATATTCAGTAAAAATAAGAATCGTAGCAATTAACTTATATTGTAATTTTTTTCAGCAAAAATTGTGATCAATTTGTTGTCAGTAGGTTTGCTTCCAAAATTAATCGCCTTTCAATGTACAAATGGGAGTTTTAAATGACATCTTTTGACCAGAAAAACAAGGAAATTTAGTAGTCTTGCATAGCACATTTAGCCGTTCAATTTGTATGGCCAGGAGACATATATTAGTTTTATCCCACTCCAGACGTTAATGCCAGTATTATTATCCGGGCCAGTTTTATTCTCATTGGTCCTTGGATTTTGCCACAAAGCCCACGCATGAACCGCTACGACGCTGTGACGTCATCAGTTAATGATGCTTTATTTTCCATCCATCTTAGAATAGGAATAATTGTTTGAGTATTCGTGTATGTTAGACGCGTGCATTGTTTGTAGGCCCACAGACCAGCACAACCGAACCCATTTAACAGGGGCCAACGATTGTATCTTAAGGTAGTTCCTTTCAATTTGTAATTATGAGATTTTAATTTTGTGTCAGTATTGATTGAATTTGTAAATTTATCGCAGTATCTTGGAAATAGCAAAATTATCTGTTTTTGTTTAGAGGTAATTTTCTTTTTCTGATGACTTATCCTTGCTACTTAATAAATTGACTCAGTTTAACAGGTCTGTTGGGGAAATACTAAGTTTTAGCATAGCTTCATAATTATTCAATAAAAATCCATAGCTATGAGACATGCGGAAGGCTAAATGTTTGACGGCCATGAAAAAACGCAGCTAATAGGATGATGGAAACTAAGACCGGGAATTTCCAATGTTTCCAGTTTTCACTTCTGTTGACAGCAGTAGGGGTGTCTCTCTAAAACGAGATTCATCCTAAAAAAGGTTTCACGAAGTCCTGTCATAAAGAACATCTTTTCTGGTACGTACTCCTCCCAATTTGTTGTATCGGGCTTCCATCGTAGCAATAATAATGTAAGAGAGAATAAAAAGAAAATATATTCATTCCAATTTCGTTTGATTGCGAAACAATTATGAACAATTTTGTGGCTCGCACATTCCCTGAAATTTAGTGAGATCAAAATGGCCTTTTAGTGGAAATTTTCTGTGACACACACCCATGTATAAAAAGCTTTGAAAGTCTCGTCATGGTTCAGCCCCTAATGTTATGATTGATTGTTCATTTTGAATTTGCCTAAAATTGTTTCCATTGTTACAGCTTAGGGGGAGTAGGGTCATTCGTTTATTATAATAATAATGATAGTAAATAGAATGATAGTAATAATTATTTTAAACTAGTTGTCATTTCATTTTGCAACAACATATAACACTTACAAACCTCGCTACTACAAGGTAGTTTCTAGGTGGCACACTTAAATTGAACAGCTATCAAAATAGAAAAAGCAGTTGTACACAGCATACATACCAGCACGATGATGTCATCATGACGATGTTGATAATGCTGACGAGGATGATAAAAGTGGTGATGATGTTGATAATGTATGTTTTACGGGTTACAGTTAATACGAACTCTTATGATGAAAGCTAGATTTTGGATTATCAAAATCTCAAAATATCAGAGCTGAACTGGGCATGAATTTCAAAAAATTAACTAAGAACAAAGGAAAGATTTGATTGTTAAACATTTGGAATAATCGACAGTTCAATTATTAGAAATTATCTGATTTGTGTTGCCAAATCAAGGATTTGTGAACCGGAGCGAAGTTTGGAAACGAGGCCATTATCAAGACGATAGGCCAATAGGCTAGAACAGGGCGCCAAAACAAATAGATATGGAACGAAGGATGACACGAGAAACTAACTTTTAGAAGTGAAAGAGCAAGCTGTTTGTGTCGAGGAAAGATGTCTGATCAAGATGTCTTACTTGCAACTGCATCTGGCGAAAATGTCAAGTTTTGGAGCACCCCAAATATCGAGCTGCAAAGCGTTAGATTGTTCGGTGGAATGGTTAATTGCACTTGCTGGAGCTTGAACAGTATCCTTAATTTTCTTTTGGATAACTGAGGTATAACTAATCATTGGTTTCAATGTTGGTTTCCATCCCAGGAGCAGGCCTGGTCGTTTATATTTTTGCAGGTGAGCTGCGAATCGCTCGCCGCCTCAGTTGCTGAGGCGACCTATAAATCAAGGAAAATTTACTTCAAATGGTCTAAGTCAAGGAAATGCTAGAAACCAATAAACAAAGCTCTGATATATGAGTTCTAGCATCTGTTATTGGACTTAATGGCTGTTTCAGATTGATCTTTATCTATAAAGTTTATGTTTTCAACTTGCCCACCTTCCACCACAGGGCATATCGTATATTTTACTGGGTGGCTTCCTTTCAATCTCTGATCTTAAAATTTTTGTTTTGCACCCCTTCTTGAGATACATCTCAACTGAATGTGCCAAGATATCTTTTTTCTTTCTCCATCAAATTTTAACCATTATCCTTCTCTATAACAGAGTTTTCCCATGGTTTAATGGCTCATGCCTAGGCAACAGTCATAAAGCAGAAGGTTCAAGACACTGAATGCCCTTTCCACAGCAGAATTTGAGCCTGCAATAGTAATCATAAAATTGCACATTGCACAAATTTGTGTATTGGAGCCCTTTACAACTGACAAAATTTGAAGCCACAGAACATAACCTGTTAGTTGTCTTCTTGAAAAGGTCTGTCAATGGTTGTTGGGCAAAATTTTTAAATCTTTTCTATTTAACAAAAACATCTTCAGGTAAACAATTTAGCTTCCAAAAGTGGAAGTGAATCTTTCTTCAGTGATCTTTCGACTTTCTACAGCAAAGTCTTTATCATTATCCTAGTATTGTGGGTGATAAGTTTTTATAGTATTATAATGTTTGTTGTCTTCTTCAGGAAAACTTTCTTGAAAGCAAATTATTAAATTCGTTTTTAATGGCCTTCTTTGCTATTGCAACAACTTCTTGTGACTTTGTTGAGAACTCCATTGCTGGTATTATTTCCATAATACATTCTTTGTTCACTGGCTATGTTCTTTTATTTCCCTCTTTCAAGTACACCTCAACAATTTCACCGTTCTCTTCTACCTTGAACCATGCAACTTGACTGTCTAGGGTTTTTTCATCTTTCTTAGTGTTTTTCTCCAACTCATTTAGGTCTCATATAGTATAAACGCAGAAAATGCATCATTTTAAGCAAACTTTTGACTTTTGTATTTGTTACTGTTGCTCCTTAACTGTCTGCTAAGGTATTTTTTAAGTTAGTTATCATTTTTGGATACATGTCGGTATAGATAAATGCTTTTGATACTGGCACTAAAATGACGCTGAAATCGCTTTTACAAATATAAAACAATTAACACTTGTAACGTTGTCAAGATTCCGAGAGAATGAAAAGAGAAAAAGAATGAAAATTCAAGGGGAGTGGTTTTCCCCTTAACGTTTATTTTAGGAAGCAATTCACAGCTTGTCTTGGGTTCTGAGGTAAGCGAGAGATCACTCGCCTCAAACGGCCAGGCCTGCAGGAGTTACTGGAACTATCATTCAAACTACAAACTAAGGCATGAGGGTGCTGCAAACTAAGGCACGATGAGAGGTACATTAGTGCATTAGGGTCTGCAAACTGTGTCCCACACAATATTATTATATTTGGCTGATTATAAAGATTTGACAGATGGGGAAAGGATTCTAGCTACTCTTTTAAAAACAAGTTATTTTGGAATGATAAATAGAATGTTAAGTATTTGTTTGTATGACAGTAATACTAGTGTTGCTTTGACAACTCAATGCTTGTTTACCGTCCCATTGCCATTGCAGTCAAGTATCTAGGCCATTACTAATAAAAAAGAGACATTAAGAAGCTATTAATTGTGTATTTTTCAATAAGTCTCAAGATATTACAGTAAAATCACATTTTGACTTACTAGATAACTTGAAATTGTACTGGTCACAACTGAAATACTGTGAAAATATTCGAATTTGTTTTGCACAAATATTTCCATATATGCTACAGGCCTTGCTCTAAGTAAAATGAAGGTGCTCCATAAAAAGAGCCCCTTAGAAACTCTAGGCGCTCTATTTCGCACCTCTAAGTAAATTTCCTTGAGAGCATCCTTCGAGAGCTTTAGAAGATCGAGAGCTTCATATCAAAAGCTTCAGAAGAATGTTAAATATGAAATTCAACGGTGATACCAGAAAGCACCATAATATGAAATAACAAAACATGCAACAAACACTATGTTAATGTAAATATATAAATATAACAGAACAAAGTCGCAAAATTGTTCATGTTTTTCTAAATATGTAAGTTGCCATCATGCGGTGAGCTTTTATCAGTGTCAGTATCACTACTGTTATGTTCAGCTTCACATATTGCTTCATCAAAACGCATGGCTTTAAATCGAACATTTAACTTTGTTTCCTTTTTTCATATTACAAAGTCAGGGGTCGTGAGTTCGAGCCTCGCTCGGGTCGGTTATTTTCCCGCACTCTCTATTAATTAATTTTTTCATATTATCCATTCTATATGAAACGCTAGAACATCTACTACTCACAAAAGCAAATGAAAAGCAATGCGATAATTTGGACGGAAACGTGATCGCTGATTTGCACAGGCGATTTTAAGTTATTAAGAAAAACAGAAAATAATATTTACTTCGATAGAAGATTAACGCTTGCTCGAAAATCAAATAAATCTGCCGGAGAATACGCTTGATGGCCTGTATTCTTGATGGTTATTAGAGGGTTATTAGATTAAAAATGATATCGAAAACCCAACGTTGAATTAGCTGAATTTTTTCTCAAGGGGTAATCTTACGCAAATCATAATATTGCGGTCTGTTGGGAAGATTGTTTATGCTTGATCAAGTTGATTCAACAAATTCCAAAAATTTATTTTGCTCCGTGTTAATATTGTTTTTACGTTTTGAGGGGCTCTATAAATCGCTCTCCATGGCTTTTTTTGGGTGCGCTCTAGGCGCGCGCGCTCGATCGAGCGCCTTTCCGGGCAAGGCCTGATGCTACCTGATAATCCTCATATATCTAATGGTGACAACAGGTTTCATAAGGGTATAGAAGAATGGTGCTGGGATCCTTGACCCCAGTCATTTTATGAAAATAGGAGAAAAAAGTTACAATTAAAGGCTGTTGTGCAACTGTCACCCTTTGTGACTATAATTCCAACACCAGCCTAACAACATACTGCATGAAAATACAAAACACAGTCAATTCTCAAGACAACTGCCACTAAGCATGCTGGTTGGGCAAGAGCCTTTAACAGTCAGCATATTAATGATGGTTGGTCAGAAAATTCTAAAGGGCATTTTAAAATCACTGCTAATTCAGGCCTGGCCATAAGACTTTTAGCAGGGGAGCAGTTAAAAGCTCTTCTAGTAATCTGGAGGTGAGCAATTTCTAGATGAATAAGAATATAAACAAAGGAAAATTGATTTCAAGGAGAGCAATTTGCTTTAGAGCAATTTAGGAGAGCAATCTGTAGCTCTCCTCCAGCATCGAGGAGAGCCTGGAGGGGAGCAAGATCTATGGCTCGCCTCAGACAGCCAGGCCAGGCTAATTCTGTGGCTTTTATACAAACCTCAAATTATTTCTTCCTTAAATCAGAACAGATACACTGTTAGCAACTGCAGTAGAAGAAAATGTCATAAATGTTGCAAGTTTTAAAGGTGATTCAACAATAGATATTGCAACAGGGGTAAGTCAAATAGTTTTCCTATCTGTCAATCTATCAAAATGCTACTCATATGAAAACCCAGGATCCCAAGCCAAGGATGATGATTAAGCAAATCTATGGCCCAGACAAAAAGACGTACCCCTTCTCTGTAATGCTGGGACTTCACATCAGTATTTTTAAAGAAACTTAGCATCTGCCCTAAAACACATTTGTAATGTTGGGTAGAAGTAATGGAAAATAGTGTTCAATTAGGTCTGTTCTGAATTATGTGTGATTTGTAGCAATTTGTAGACATGAAATACTCGAGGAGTGTAATTTAAAGCATGACATTTGTTCTATTTCTATAAAGCAAGGAATATATTTGACAAAATGATAAGTTTTTGTATTATGTTAGAGAAATTAAAAAGGTATTCACTGAATAACTTGAATCCCTCTCTCTTTTGCCCTCAGAAGGAGCTACCCCAACCAACCAAAGAACAACATGTATGATATTTATGTTCTTTGGTTGGTTGCCCGTAGGCCTATATTTTAGCCCTGCCAATTCAACAAAGCATATCATTGCTGAATAGATCTTTTTCTATAAATGTCCTTTTTATTTTTTCATATACTTAATAGTCAAAAGGCTGTACAATATCAATAAATTACAACAACCTTTAAATAAGTACTTCTTCAAAGAATCAATCAAATCATACTTTATTTTATCTATTTGTGAAAATTTTTTGTTCAATGGTTTTGACAAATGCTGAATTTGCATTTGTAGGAAGAACAAGTCTGTCTATGCTTCAGCTCAAATTCAAGATACTTGCTCTCAGGAAGCAGAAATGGGGTTGCTCAGATTTGGGATTTGAAACATAAAACATCAAGAAAGTCATTTGTCAAGGTTGTATCTAAAGTTCATTTATTGTTTGTTGTGATATCATGTTTCTATCTGTCTCATTTTAAATGTTTTTTTATCAAAATATCTGTGTATGTCCAAACTATTTTTTGTCAAATATTTTTACTTTGTATAAGCTGCATCTATATAAGTTTAAAATTATTATCAATAAACCTTTTCATATATCCAGATCGAAATCGTCATGAATTGTTAATTTTGCACAAACATTTGACTCTTCCTGTAACTTTTTACTTCTGAGTGTCTTATCATTTACTGTCACGTTTTTATTTTTCAACTGCCTTACCAACAGTTAAGATACCAGAATTAAATTTCATTCAGTGAAGCATGAGGCACCATGTGTATTTGTAAATATGTTATCCTCAGACCGATGCATATTGTGAAAAAGCAGCTACAATCCTTGCCAAAAGCCTTTGAGTTGCCCTGTTGCTTTAAGGTTCTTTTGAAAACTTAGCTGGCTTCGATGGAAAGGGCTGACACTCTATCCCATCTCCCCTAAAACAATGCTGCTTGTTAAATTAAAACAATGCTGCTTGTTAAATTAAAACAATTATAAACAAAAATCTTTTTTCGTAGTGGGAATGCAATAGAAAATGTTTAAGAAGCTTGTGTACTGTTGTGTACCAAGTCTTTGTACGTTGCATAGGTTTTGGTGAAAATGACTGCGTTCTCGTAACCAACATATATAATTATTTTCATTTCTCTATCTTTTACAGGATCAGAGGTCTAGCATACTCTGTACAACGTTTAATTACAATGATACAACAATAGCATCTGGGTGCGCAGATGGCGATGTTCTTCTTCACAATGTTGTCAGCGGATCTGCTTCTGGGCCACTTAGAAGACCAAAAACACAGGTATTGTTTCACGATAATGTTATCGTAACAACATGATCTCTTTCTGATTTCTTTAGAAGCATGAAAGTGTAACCCGACCTGAGCTAAAATGATGTACGCTTTCTTTTGTTCCCAGGCAGTTCGCGGTATTCAATTTTCAAATTTCCAGAAAAACCTTTTGGCAACAGCTAGCGACGATTCTGCTATAAATCTCTGGGATGTCAGCACAAAGCAGTTAGTTGCGGAATTCAAGGATGAGCATAAGCTGCCATCAAACGGAGTATGCTTTTCACCTGCAAATGATATGCTGATGTGCAGTATTGGTATCGACAAAAAGATTGTTTTTTATGACGTTGTAGGCAAAAAGTAAGTATTCATCTTAAGTACTGGTATCGACAAAAAGATTGTTTTTAAAAGATTTTGTAGGCAAAAAGTAAGTATTCATCCTAAGTTCTGGTATCGACAAAAATATTGTTTTGTATGATGTTGTTGGCAAAAAGTAAGTATTCATCTTAAGTTCTGGTATCGACAAAAATATTGTTTTTAAGATGTCGTAGGCAAAAAGTAAGTATTCATCTTAAGTTCTGGTATCGACAAAAATATTGTTTTTAAGATGTCGTAGGCAAAAAGTAAGTATTCATCTTAAGTTCTGGTATCGACAAAAAGATTGTTTTTAAAGATTTTGTAGGCAAAAAGTAAGTATTCATCTTAAGTTCTGGTATCGACAAAAAAATTTTCTTCTAATGATGTTGTAGGCAAAAAGTAAGTATTCATCTTAAGTTCTGGTATCGACAAAAAGATTGTTTTTAAGATTTTGTAGGCAAAAAGTAAATATTCATCTTAAGTTCTGGTATCGACAAAAATTTTTTCTTCTAATGATGTTGTAGGGAAAAAGTAAATATTCATCCTAAGTTCTGGTATCGACAAAATATTGTTTTGTATGATGTTGTTGGCAAATAGTAAATATTCATCTTAAGTATTGGTATCGACAAAAAGAATAACGCTGAATAACGCTGTTGCCCCTCGCTACATTGGGTAGACACGTACCGGATTTAGCTTCATCTAAACGTATCTAGCACATCACATGCAGCTGAAATCAGGTTAGGGAAATGAAAGGCCCAAGACCATGAAACAAAAAAGCATACCAACACAATCCAAAGAAATTTTACGAAACTGGGTGATATCTAGTTAACCTCTCTGTATCATTATCCTTTTTTCATTTTGCTCCTTGATATAAGATTGATTATATTGCAACCTGATGCCAGATCCCCGAAATTCCTATCTTTTAAATACAATTTTATCTTTTTAGAACCATTAAATCTATCAATACGGATGCACCATTGACGAGTGTAGATTTCTTCCATAATGGATCAAGTTTGATTGTTGGCACCGCCACAGGTTGGAATCATTAAAAAATCATCGATTTTCTGCCATTTTTCTAACCAAACATTTTCACATTTATATAGCAAGTAGAATCACTTATGTTCCAATTCTTACTAATGTGCTAAAGGGGTTTTCAGGTCCCATTTGCTGACAATGCGGCTGGGCAATCCTTTATTTGACGTCCAGAGTAAATTTTTTATAAAAAGGTCGTCACACGCCTCACGGCCCCCATCCCCAATAGCGACGGCCTCGGCCATTGATCACTTTTACTTACCTGGAAAACTAGTGACTCTTCCATCGGACAACACCTTTTAGACAACCCAGATTGTGCAAAACTCTACAATTACGACAGGTTTAAGATAATTGGCAGAGCCCGTTCGTCTTTTCATATGGCAGTTTGGGAATCGATCTACATACAAACAAAAAATCCGCCATTGTTTAGACAGAAGGAGTTCGTTTTCTCTCTTGGACTCAGTGGCAACTTTTCTTTGGGCATGCGGCACTGATTGGACAACTATATTGGTCTTGTGCTTGCGTTTTTCAGATTGGCCTTTTTCGATCCACAGCTGAGTATATATCTTCCATCATGTTCTTTCGCACTTTTATTCTGACGTTTTATACTCTGAGGGGTGTCAGACGAAAAAGCTTTTAGTATGTTGTGAAATGTTTGTGTTTTTCAAAGCCATACTTTAAAATTGCTTGAAAGGTGGCAATATTGCGCGTAATATTCTATAACTTCAGTTTAGACGTTTGAAAACGCCCAAAAAGCAGATTTGAATTCAGATACGGATCGAAAATAACATGATTTGGAGATGGTTTAATTGTTTATTGTTTCAACCAATCAACAAACGATAACCCTTCACATAATGGAAATTGAATCCAATTTAACTGGTATCTATACTTATTGAATTATATTTATACTGTATCACTTCTTAGTGGTGTTAGTTTATATTGTTGTATATTGCAGGAAAATTGCAGTTGTATGACCTGAGATCTGGATCTGTACCTATCAAATCAGCAGTTGCCGATAAAGTCGCCATCAAAACAGTGTCTTTTCAAAAAGCTCTAATTCGGACTTCCTCAAAGGTACCTTATTCAGTGGCGTAACGGAGGCATCTGGGGCCTTTGGGGAAAAAATGAGACGGGAACCCTATTTATGGGACGGGACCCCTATTTACGTACAGCCAAAAGGTTCCGTCGCATGGTGTAGAGCATGTCAAACACAATAGCAAGATGCAAACTGACAATTTTTCACTTTAACGAGGAGAATTTGAGATCCTCGAATTAGCCCCCTGGGGGCTTATTTATTTTTGATATTTTTGGATGGGGACTTATTCGGGGGGGCTTATACGAGGGGGGGCTTATAAAATTATTGTAGACATTAAGAAGACATTATTAAAAGACTTCGTTTATTTTAGTAGGAATTTCTTTATGAGCATTTAATTAATTACTACCAAAAATATGAATTTGTTGTGGTAATTCAATAAAATGCCATAGGCAACCTCAGGTGGCAAAAATCATCAAATTGAGGGTTCCAATTCGAGAATTTACGGTAGCAGTAGGGGCTTATTCGAGGGGGGAGGGGCTTTTTCGAGGGGTGGGGCCAATTCGAGGACTTACGGTATATGCTTTAAAACATGGGTACAGTTTGGGCCCTTTTTGGTCGGTGATACTTGATTATCGGACCAGAGTGCACTAAACTGCGTTACACCACTGACATTATTCCTATTTGATTTAGCATCGCTATACTTTTGGCGTCAGCTTAAACTCTTGAATTTTCATGTCGCACGTGCAACCCTTGTACTTTTTGCATATATGAATTCATTGGCATTATAAATAATCGTTCGCTAAAGCGCATATTACCTTAGCGTGACAAGAAAGTACTGTTTTAAATATGGAAAAGTTAGATTTCAATTTTTTTTGCGTTTAAGCCAAATGATTTGAAGTAATCAAACCGGCCCGATCGGTTCAATTTCCCGTCATTCGTTTTCAAACCGGGCAGTTTTGAAAGCTTTGCAACTAGCGAATTGTTTGGTGTTTCATTTTGCCCACACCTAACTTCATGAAATAAAAGCAAACATACTAAAACAGTACGACCGTGTTTAACATTGTTAATTTTCTGATTCGGAACAGAAGAGTCTGGTTTTATCATTAAATGAGATACCCATTGATCAACATAACCTGATACCGTTTGTTATCCACAGGACCTTACAAGGAAAGGTAGCAATTCATCGATCAGTTCAACGTCATCAACCAAATCACGAGAAAGTACCAACGATATAAAAGAGCCCAAGACAGTGCCCAGTGAGGAAAAGAAGAAAACTTGGGTTGATGGGATTGCTAGCGAGTCAGAAACTGCCAAGCAGCCAGTCTCATTGTTCTCACCGCTACGAGGAGGTATGATAAGAAATGAAAGAAATTGTTTTAAATGTTTTTTAGGCAATGCTTCTGTTCTCTAACGGATCCTTGTTGATAGCAGTAAATCTTTTCTAAAAGGTTATCCTGTATAAATATGGTATTTTATTTTTTATTGTTATTATTATTATTATTATTATTATTATTTTTAAGCAATCATATTGTCTTATAATGGAAAGGCTGATACCGTTCTTGTTTCAACTGTTCGAAACGACAAACACCCTGGAGAGGACGTTGTTGATTTGCTTATACTTTTCACACTAGTTCAGTTTGTTCTTCATCTAGAAGTTAACGAACAGAATGAGACTTGCGGGCTCTGGGGGCAGTGTCATCGGGCGCAAGCCTCCATTTATATGGAAATACTTTTGTTTTTGTCATAAGCATATATCTATATAAATTTTTGGTAGATTTAACACCTGCGGTTGATGCAAGAAATGAAGACTCAGACATCGTGCCGATGGAAATAATGCGGAAGGAGCTTCTTAAGAAGAGCTCGCTTTTGTCGTCTCTACATGCAGAGGTACGTGGTCATTTGTGCAAATTTTTCAAGATTTAGTATTGTTTTATGTTGGCACCAGAAAAGAATTCAAAAGCCCATCCTAGAAAGTGTCTGGGTTTGCTTTGAAAAATCTTATTAGTCAATTCTAGTTATTTTTATAATTGTAGGGCCAGAAAGTCAGTGACACACCCAAACCAACTCGCAGCGAATTATCTGATCAAAGCTTACCCCGGAATGCGTTGGAAAAGGAGGGGAAAACCGAAACGAGGCCTGAAAAAACCAAAACGAGAATAATGTTATCGAAAACACCGAGCGATTCTCAACTTTTACATCGAACTGAATCTTCTCCTGAAAGAAGAAGTGTGGAGTCATCAAAATCATTAGTCAATGGACAAAACGAAACGTCGCCATCTCTCGGAGCTACAAGTTCGGATGAGAAACCACCAAATGGGCTGCATGAGTTCCAAATTGAATTCATCAGGAATATGATTGAAGACGCGATTGAAGATACAAGGTAAAAATCATAAAGCATTTAAGGCAGGCGTGAAAAAATTACCCCCTCCTGGGGGTCTAACCCTCTCCTGGGGTATAACACCCTCTGTTCAATACAGGCAGAGGCTTGATGTTAATGTCTAGCAGACCTCATAAATCTGCCGCCCGAGCGGCGCTCGCAGACAAAAAAGCTCATTCTCAGGAATTTCTGCAGGCACATTTCTAAATTTATTTTCATTAACCTTTGTTGTATTAGAGTCATGCTTTTTCACACACCTTTCTTGGTATTGAAATTGAACGGTCAAATAGAATATAAAAGGTAGTAGTTGCAAGTCTTTATTACCAAAATGACAGAAGGTCCTTACTCTAAAGGTGCCATTTGATTCTCAAAATCAAGTTGGCTGTTTGTCTCTTTTCCTCTATTATCTCTTGGTGGAAGAGATCATTTGCAATTATTGTTTCATTTTTTTCAGAGAAACGCTCGCAGGCGCAAAATTATTAATGAGCCCTGGTGTCTAGATGTAAAATGTGAAAAATATCTATGTGGTATAATGTGGTTACTTTCAATGTTGAGAAAGGCCTTAGGTGGACATCTCAAATGTTAAAAAATCCCCAAGGTGGATGCCTCTAACGTTAACAATTTCTGAAGGGGAATTATTCATGAATTACCATTTTAGCAGCCATTAGTTTTTGAAGAAAATGTTTGTCAGCGATTTATTTAGTCAAAGTTGTTGTTACCAGTCAAAGGAACACAGATGTTGCTAGTCGAAGGAGCGGCTAACAGATCCAAATATTGTACTTTTTCATTGATATGAAAAAATATTTAGGCTCAATACTAAAACAATCCAATACAATCAAAATTGCTGTGTAACTGGCAAGGATATGCCAGCACCGTTTCAAGTACACACGAGATTTGGCGAAAAATGTCCGGTTGTTACTCGGCGGTTTTCTAAGTTACTTTGTACATACTGCGCATGTCAGCTCTCTGCCACTTACATATGGCCCACAAGGAATCGAACCACAGGTTGATTGTATGACATACCAGAGGTTTCCGTTCTCATCTTGTTCAGATCCAACCAAACCTTCAGCATCATTGTCAACACAGACTGCAGACGCACGGCCCTGGTTTGAGTAATATTCTGACATTAGGTAGCCTTTGTATTCTAGTGTCCACCCTTTCGGACAGTCATCTCTTCCCGGTATCATTAGCTGTGTACCACGTGCCACTACCTCACAAACAGCACAAGGTGCGTCTTGATTTTGCAAAGCTGCTAAGTGACTGAAAGGTCCTGTTTCATATTCCACTCTATAAATGTATTGTGACGTATCTGCAGAAGAGTGTTTGGCAAAGATTGGCTTCGAATGTAGACAAACAGTATTCGACATCCCTCCTGTGTACTGGTAATAGTTGCCAGCAGCAAAACCTTAAAAAATACAAAGGAATAAGTGGAAATGTGTATAAAGCTTGTGATAACGCATGATGAACATCAGACAAAGAAGTTCCCTAATGATAGCGTTAAGAGCGAAACTCGGACTTAGAACCTAGAATAGTCCAGTTCTATACACAAAGAATAATGATAACTAAAGATGCCAAGTGCATTAAAAGTTCTCTTAATATTTTTATCCTTTGTATACTTACAAACTTTCGTAATGCCATTTTGCTTAAGCATCGCCTATATATTGCTTTTTAAGAACCCTTCTTACAGAACCTTGAGGCCAGGCAGATTCACTAAGCATTTCCCTTTGTTACATACCATCTTAAAGACTCATGGCTAACAATGAGCCTTTGCGCCCATGGAAAATCGTCCAGGCCACGATACAAACAATGGCGGTCTGAAAATGCATTATGGGAGGCCTACGCAGCGCAATGGCTCTTTCTTAGCAATGAGTCTTGAAATAGTCTTCTGAAAATTCCTTATTTTCGTCAATTGCATAGGCCTATATATAAGCGGGGCTAAGATTTTTATGTCATATATTCTTTGAAAAGTCGAATAAAAGATTGAAGTATTTATATTTAAATTTTCACTTCATGCCTAGCAGACGAAGGTTTAAGAAGGTTTTCGTAAACATTTTACAAAACAACACTAATGAGAAGGAAATTCTTCTTGAAATAACAAACCTTTATATAAAAGTTTCGTTCCTGCAACACCTGGGCAAGTTTCTCGCCCCCAACGTGTGTAAACGCTGTTTCCAGTTCCATTTATATAATGGTGGTAGTCCTCCCCTTTAGTACCACGCGGGCCTTTTTTCCCTGGAAGGCCAGGTATACCTGCAAATGAATACACATTACATTAATTTTGCGCTTAAGGCGACAGTCCCGCGTTAGGAAACATTAATACTCTGAAGGCCTAAATAAACATGGCGGTCAAACGGTCAACGACATATGTGAGACTGAGAAGGCGAATGAAGACAAAAGAAACTTAAGTGTGCCACCTAAACCCTAACTTGTTTCATTGTTTCTATGAGTGTTACTTTAAATCACTCTGTATCCAACCCATTTCTACTCATTCCAACGCCCCTTTATTCCAGCCCCCCCCCTCACTGCCTATTAGCGATTTCCAGCGTAGCTGTTAACCAAAGTAAGGTCTTTATTAGGCAAAAAACCTGCACCTCGTGAAATTTAACCTTGATGGGCTGCGTATTCTCAGTCGTTTTTCTGAGCTTGTGAAAAGATACTTTCAAGAACTTTTCTGTTTTGAAGTGGGTGGTATCCTTATCTTTCCCACAAGGAATTTTACATTTAAGTTGCAAGAGGCCATCTGCTTTGTTACAATACTGTTCGCACATACAGTCAAGATTTAGAATGCCTTGGCATTGATGCAGCCAACTTGCAGCTGTAATGTTCGTAGCTAGCAACATATTACTTTTTATTTCTTGTGAGTATTTTATTTAGACATTCGATTTACATCAAATTCTAGTAGAAGCTAAAATTAAATTGAATTAGAAACAGATCACAGACAATTTAAGAAACAAACAAACTAGACAAGCTAACAAGCTAACAAACAAATGTAGGCATGTATTTGAAAACAGGTTAGTTTGAAAAAGGATGTTTTGATAAACGCCTAACCCGAAAGTGGATCAGTTTTCAATGCAACTGGTCACACGTCCAGGTAGAAATGAATTTGTGTCCGGCCCCCTCCCCCGGTCTCTCTCAGCAGACAAAGCAAAGGTCTCTCTCATTTAAGGCCGATTTCCATTTGACATTTTTTGTGCGCGCAGGCGTAGCGCCCAAATCTGAGCATGCGTAGTTAAGATCAAGTGGTCTCAATTTTGCGTCCGCTGTGAGCGCTAGAAAGTTGATAGGGATCAACTTTTATATGCGCTCGGCCACTTGACAGCAGCACTAACTACGCATGCTCAGATTTGGGCGCTACGCTCGCGCGCACAAAAAATGTCAAATGGAAATCGGCCTTTACACTATCTATAGCTATAGTTTTTCTGATTTGCCAGATTGTAATTCCAAAAGAAGTTGAAAACACATAAGTACCTTTTTCTCCTGTTTCTCCTTTAGCTCCCGGTAATCCTGGGAGACCAACAGGCCCTCTGAGATGCGCCAATAACAGGGCCAGATTAATATTTGGAATGGACGTTAACGCTTCGGATTTCTTTATTCTGAAAAAGTGTTAAATATTTTCATATAAAGTGGAAAACTTCTTTGATGCTAGCGTGCGAAGCCCCTGGAAAGCGACGGGGTTTGGGAGTGTAGCCTCCTTAGATATTTACCATTATTTGATTGTAATTGAATCAAGCATCTCATTGTTTATATTGCAATAAAACATCTTTTAATGAGGTTAAAATGTAGCGGATCGGCCTGCCCTACACCCTTCCCCAGGTCTTTGCGATTTTGGGCAAATTCTCGATGGAAATGTTTCGCAAGGGGGGGGGGGTACTGTCCCATTCCCCCTCGCATACGCATGTGTTTCATAGAATTTCGGGGGGTCGTTATCCTGCTTTGTCGAGCGAGTTTTACATGGATAATTAAGATATGATCAAGTGAAATCTATGTACCTATGTAAGAGGGTGGCATTTGAAAAAGCAAATGTAAAAGGGTCTGGTCAGGTCAATTGGTGTAGTACATAGAAGGAACCGACAGCATAGCCTCTCTCTGCAGGAGATTCACAGTTCAAAATGCACGTATTCAACATCCTTGGCCAAGGGGCAATTCACTCTTGCAAATAGCGTATGAGATTTTCCCGAAAAACAAAAGGATTTCCAGGGATTTTTAGATAAAACAATTGGATTTTCACAAAAAGTGTACGAGATTTTCTTGGAGTGATTTCCCCCTCGTCTTTGGCATCCCGGTTGCATGAAAGAATGTTAATTCTACCTCTAGAAACAGTAGATCGTCATAATTACTGTTATTATTATCATCAGACCATACCTGGTCTCAAGCAAGTCTGCCCTTCGTTGTAACTTTTGGAGCTCATACTCTGCTGGAGTAATTACACCTTTAGAAACATCGCGCTTGCTTCTAATCCCGAGCTGTTCTCCACTAGCGCTGGCTTTATGAAGAAGGTTTCTTGCTTCGTCTTGTAGTAATTTCTCTGTTTCTGCGATTTTTGCATACCTGCTCCTCAGATCTGTGAATGCTATTGCAAGAAACAACATGTAGGAGATGTAGGCACCGTAATAAACACAGTCAACTGCTTTGCTTGCCATGTTTGAACCTTTGTCATCACAGTGTTGGAACGCACTGATATGCTTGCAGTTCAAGTCTGGGCATGTTTCTGATCGAAACTTCCTAAAGCGGTTCGAGTTCCTCGTCTTTTGTTTTCTTGGTTTCTCGTGGTTAAAGTGGTTATATATATATATATATTTATACTAGAAATAGCTCTTGCTAGTACTGCCCGCAAACAATAAGTTCCTTGATAATGATTGTTTTGAAGATTTAGGACAGGACATTCGAAGAAGACACCATCTTGGGTTGTCACAATTTTATAAAAACAGCTGCTCTAGTCGATGCTAAACTGTTTTTTTATCAAGAATTTTTGGTGTTCAGTTTGCTTTTGATTTAAGTCCAACGCCCTTTTGGGGAGGTCGTTAACCACCACCTTTTTACTTCACCTTTTCGTGAAGTAAACAAAGACGTATGAAAATGGACACGTGATAGAACGGGTACAGCTAAAATCGAGCATAATAACCATGAGCGCCTATTTCAAACAATGAGTTTGATTTCTTAGTACTTATCAGGGTCGATCAAAATTTTGACCAATCAGGGTCGAGCCAGAGCTCAAACACAAAGGATTCGTACAGCGATGTACTGGCGATAATCATAACAATCATAACTTTTGCTCGTACGGTCTCGAGTTTTTTGGCTATCGCGCGCGAGTTGCGGGCAATGACGAAACTTGCAAGACAACATTGCGGTAATACTTCATAGAAAAATTATATACTTCCAAGACAACATTGACCAACTGTCTGAACGAAGAACAGTCTAAAAACAGTTAGTGAAGAAAGTTGTACCTAATCAACACGGTTCCCCTCAGTAAAAAGTATATTTTTGACTGAATATTTTTTGTCCTAGGGAATCGATCCATCGAGGCTTTGTCCATATTCAAGGTGAAATGCTACGTCAATTCCATATGCAGCAGGTAATACTAGCTGTTTATCAAATAATTGCGGCAGATATTCTATTGAACGTGTCTGGACGCACCCTGCTTGTCTTCACTTCTGATCTTTGTAGAGATTACAGATTCCTAAATTAGTAGTTCGTAGTTCGGTTTTTCCAGGGATGTCCCCAAGTACGAGTACGAGTCCCGAAGTTTTAAAGAAAATGCCCCTACAGACAGTGGCGGTGCCAAGGGGTGGTATGGGGGGTAATTACCTCCCCACTTTTCTCAAAATATGGTCTATATATTTCTTCTAAAAATGGATTAAAAAGCGCTGGGTAGGGGTAGATCAAATTTCCCAAGGAAAGGGGACGAATCACTGGAACGAGGCAAAAGGGGCGTGGTCACACTGGCCACGCCCATTACCCTTCCACTCTGTGACAGCTGGTGCCGCCACTGCCTACAGAACAAGGTAGCCTCTTTATTTCTTCTGGAAAAGGGTATTTCATAATGCTTCCGCCGTCCTTAAGTTTTTCCCCAAACCAAACGTATATTTTCGACTGCACAGGGCAAAATAAAAAGGATCTCCATTTTTTGGCTGTCGAAGGAAGTCGAGTTGAATTTCCTTAAACGGCTGGCTGAAACTTAGGTCCATAAACGATTGACTGAAACTTAATCATCTTCATTTTGTGATCATATCTACTTATTGCGGCTTCTTCCTAAATGAACAGCCTTCAGTTAGCTTGCTCTATTTAATTATTTTAAGGAGGGTTGCCCTTTAACAGAAGCTCATTTTCAAGGGGCCCTCTAATAAAAAACATCAACTACGATCTAACAAAATAAATTAAAAAGCTATTGCAATATCGGACTATAAAACTTATAGCTCAAGTCTCAGAATTTGTTTATTATTCTTCTAGCAGTGTGCTGATAAATTGCAACACACAAAGATCGTACAAAGAGCAATCACTCCTTTTTTTAATTTTTTTTCAACCAGCTATTTGCTAATTTTTAACCGGACGAGGAAGACGGAAGAGGCACTGAAAGTGCCCAGTACTTAAAGGGCTGTATTTTCGTAAAGACAAATGTAATCCTGCTAATTCTTTGCAAAAAATTAATTATGACTGGAGTTTAGTGTTTAGAAAATTTGAAATTTATGACGGGTGTGCAATATGACAAAAATTTGCATGAAATCTTGACAATCTGTAGCTATGACAGCAACCTCGCCTTATTAATTAGTAAATTAATTAATTAGTTAATTACTGAGTCTGGGTGTGTCTGACAGATTTAAGCTATTTTTGAATTCCTGATTCTTGGATTAGCCAAATCATACAATTATTACACAAAAATGCTAAATGTAGGTAGTTTTTAAGTACATTAAAACTCATGATTAAATTCAAAATGGCGGACATTAGGAAAACTGCTGAGAATCAGCAAAAATTCAAATTGCTCTATTTTTAGAACAACTAAATATTTTGAAGTAAAATTTTTAATGTGTGTTTATCTCATGATTATCCACTTTTTCACAAAAACTGAGTGAATTCTGAGACTTTGGGTTACAAAATTAAGAACGTTGCCCCATTTTGAAATGGGATGAACCTTTTGGAAGAAAGGACTTGTAGTAAGGAAAAATTGCTCAGGACCCGTGACCAAATTGCCGGGACTTTTTCGTTTCAATATCAACTTTTTTTGAGGTCCCGCTTGAAAATGCCAGGAACACCTCCGCATCGGTGCAAATAGATGGTTGCGGCTCCAAAAGCGGCAAATGCTCATTTTGAAGCTATTTCAACAAATAGTGGGGTAAATCATATAATTTACGCTGTGATTGATGTCAGGGATTCAAATGGCGTTATAGCGACCCTTTTAGTTTCAAGCTCCACTTGCATGTTTCAAAAATCATATTGGCATGCTTGAAAAATCAAACTTCTCAGAAACTGTCTTTATCTGTTCTTTCCAATCTAGAGAGCAGTCAATTTGCAAACCGACATATTGTGTTTTTTAACCACCTCCAGGTTGTTATTGTGTATTATCGGTTTCAAACCTTCGTGATCTGATGGAATCCTGTCAAAGAGTATTTGATGCAAGTAAAAGTCGTGTGTCTTGATAGTTGATTGGAGAAGGGTACCAAACTGTTAAGGCAAAGGTTTGCCGAGAGAGGGCCTGAACTATTTATTTTCTGCTGTCTTATGAGCATGAATAGCTAAAAGCAAGAGTTTGTTATAGATTCGAAACGTACAGTTAACCTTAATTCGTTAACTAAGGGCCCCCTAATCTAAAGGCGCCCAAAAGGATTCATATTTGAAAGACATCGCTCAAGACAATTCTAAGAAAGTTTGAAAGCTCTTTAACGGAAGCAAGTGACTCACCTTACCCTAATTAACGACAACATTTTCATAAGTTCATCTTGCAATGGTGTTTGATATGCTCTACCCCTTCGATTGGACTTGCTTGCCGTCCATAAATTGGGCCCCTTCTCAGTTTTTTCTTAGGGCCCTAGCTACTTCCGTTACTACATTACCTATCAAAATTATTATATGCCCCTGGTCAAAGTTGTTTCTAGACCAGGTTAGTCAGTTTAATAGACATCTTTTAAAGTTAAGCTTAAAGGGTTTTTACTAAATTACCAATAACGGCTGGTATCACTCTACAACTATCAGGGCCTCCGACGAAGGGGAGGCCGGGGGGCCTTGGCCCCCCACTTTTTTGCAAAACAATAGAGTTTTTTTCAAAATCTTTTGTTATGGGTATTAAATTTTTCCGTGGCCCCCCCCCTTTTCAACCTTTGTCGGAGCCCATGACTATTGGTTTCACAAGTAATTTTATTTTGTATGTTGATATAAAGAAGTTTACATGTTTGTGCTGATCTTTGAAATAAGTGTCAATAATCTGATTGTCTTTGGTTATTGAATGTTATTAGCTTTAAGGCTGATTTCCACTAGGCGAATTCTTTCGCGCGAATCGAATTTTTGCCAATGTGAGCATGCGTGGTGTCATGTTCTCAGATTTCGCAGCGAAAAAATTCGATTCGCAGAAAGTAGATCACGGTCCTACTCTATCGCTACGAGAATTTATTCGATTCGCGCGAAAGAATTCACCTAGTGGAAATCGGCCTTTACATACACGCCTGCTATTGGGTTTCAAAGGACTTTCGCGTACTTTTTGCTGCTTTGGATCATTCAAATTCAGTGCTTCGTGTGTTTTTTCTTAGGATGAAATACGGAGGCTGGTTGAACAACTTTCCCCGAATCAACAACTAATTGAAGAAAATGCAAGGTTGAAAGAGGAAATCAGACGACTAAAGACAAACTTTTGAACTCCTGGTTAGTTTAATGGTGATCTGTGCTTAGAAATGTCTCACAATTAGAAAATATAGTAAGGGCATGGACAACGTAAGCGTTTCAAAGTTGGAGGGGCACTTTCAAAGTTGGAGGGGCACTTTCAAAGTTGGAGGGGCACTTTCAAAGTTGGAGGGGCACTTTCAAAGTTGGAGGGGCACAGGTAGGAAGGGGCATTGTCTCAGGAAATGTAGCACTATTCTCAAAGTTAAAAGGAAGGACTTCTAAAAAAGGGTCTTTTTAAACAAATGGGGTGGGGACACGTATCCCTGATGCCCGCAGTCCTAAAGTCCTTGAAAAGGAATGTTTCAAATGAAAAGATGCTACTATCAACACGCAGATGAAGTGACAAAATAACTGGATATACTATTTGCTTAGATTTCGCACACGTTTCGCAGGGGTAGAATGTTTCACTACAAACAACATCAGCCAGCTACACCAATAAAGACAGTTAAATATATTTTCCGATTGAGAGTAAATTGTATTTTCTAACTATTTTTCTGAGTTTGAGAATTATGGAAATGTTGTTGTAATGACGTTTCTAATCATGTAGAAGATATCAAATAATTGATTATGTCCAGATATGTAGTTACGAGGCTGTTGGACCTTACGGGGTGTGACATCCCTGCGAAAAGAGTCTCGTTTCAAAAGCGACGTGTTTTTTGCCATATTGGTGTGCTAAGTGGTCGAATTGTAAGTAAAAAGGGATGGCTTACCCACCGTGTTTAGAAGTTGGACCGGGACATCCTCTTTAGAAAAATCGCAGGCGACGGCCTTAACTGTCACACATGACATACAGTCTAAACACAATAGAGAATCTTTATCACAAATGCAAGTTTATTTGGTGTCACCATGGGCATGGTCTTAGGTTTCGCTTCTACTAGTTGCCTACGGGACAGCCCCCTCCTAACATTTTAGAACGGCCGGGGCGAAATATTAGTTCTACATTTAACTTATTTCAAAATTTGATTTTACAACGTATTGGAATCTCGTTGTCGTGTTGCTTTGTTCCTGACTATTTCCTTTATATTATTACTCATTGCAAGATTTACAGCATCTGACGGACAGCCTATCCTGCGTTTCTTCCTTCTTCTAAAATCATTGTCCGGGTTAGGCTGCCTTATTGATCTCAGCTCATGTTGAGACTAGGTAAGAAGTAATGTCATAAACATTGCATCAGTCTTTTTCTAGGAATTTTTGTTGTTTGACTTGGGATTAGGCACAGTGAAAATTCATGGTTGTTTAATTAACCGTTTCTTAGTTCAACTTGTAAAATTATTTATGAAGGATAGATTGGTGTTTAACCGCATGTTTATAAGTTTTGCAAATAAACAGATGGTCGTCTTTGTCCTGTTATTTTCCTGATGGATAAAATTCACTCTTCCCTTAAAATTTCATTCTAGAAGTTCCCTACAGCACAGCCCCCTTTCCTAACTTTTTAGGACGGCACCCCTGTGCTCAGTTCAGTTCAGTTCATATATTTTAAAATTCCTCTACATACAATATCTTAATAAAAGCACTACTTACATACAATGACTACAAATTACATAAACATACTAAGAATAATACACAAAAAATAACAATTTACATAAGATGTTGCATGCAGGGGGATTTCTTTAGGAGGAGCTCTCTCAATAGATAAACTAATCGAGGAGAGAGCACCCCCCTTTTTAAGATGTTTCTGACAGAACAATATTTATCACTTTAGGATCAACTTTGATTATATTTCATAAATAAAAAGGCTCGAAGCTTTTGTTTTGGTTTTGCTTGTGCTTTGGGGCACCAGTGCCCCGTTGCTTTGAGCGCCCTTTTCTGGTCACAGCGCATGCTCAATGCTATTTGGCGCCATGAATTGAATTTTCTGGTTTCAAAATGGCGGATGACAGTGTAGCATCGAATAAGTCTATTGGGTCTCCTTTGCCTCCGGTTAACGAGCGGCTTGCACAGCTAAGGCCATCAAAAGAGCTTCTCGAATATTATAGAAGAAAAATTGCTGAGTTTGACAATGAACATCAAGAAATGGTTGCAAAACTTGAAAAATATCGATGCACTTACGAGGAGCAGGTAAAGAATCATCCTCTCTCTCTGGGAAAGAAGCTAACCTCTTTGCAAGGATTATCAATGGCGGAAATTGTGGGGGGGGGGCACATAGCATAGCTGTTAAAATATTAGCCAGTACTAAATAATCAAACAAACAATATATGACAAAAATCGAAACTGCTTGTGAATTGTATATTTAGTTTCAATTCCGTGCGTAAAGATTAGCAGAAATTTCCATTGAATTCTTCCAAATAAAATCACTTTCAAGCGTATTTCCCACTGAAGAAAGCAAGATCAAATGCAGAAAATTGATATTACAATTACAATCATGTTGTTATCATGAACGACTTGTAAATCTGTCGACCTCTTGTATCATCAATTGTCTTAGGTGAGATATCGATCTTGATATCAAAATTCATAAATGGATTGTTCTTCTTGCTGCTTAATTATGGCGTGGTCAGCAAAGATTTCTAAGTGGGCCCGCCAAAAATTACCTATTTTCATCAAAATGTGCAGTTTCCTTAAAATTAGAAATGATCCAAGATGATATCTTGTCAGAAAATCGTAGGCCTGGCCCCCCCCCCAAATGAAAGCCTGAATTTCCGCCACTGAGGATTATTGTACTTTAATGCACATAATCTCTTGCTTTATCTAGTTAGTTTTATTGTCTTTGTCTATCTTTGCTCCTCCACTCGATATTGCTTAAAAATTGGTAGATCTACTGAGAAATTGATGGTGGCTATCGATATATCCCTACACAATGACAAAACCTAAATGTATCTGTTTTACAGTTTGTGTATGGTGCATAAAATATCATATTGGTACCAATGGTTTCCTGGTTTAACAAAGGTTTTAGGGATATATATATATCAAGGAATGTTATCAGTTGTCCCTGTCTACAGAATGTGGCTTGTACACACACAAGATTTTTTCAGAGGCTTGTCTAACGCACATAAAAATGTAGGGCCGCACACAAATTTTTCAGGGTACTGGAAAAATTTTAAGGACCACCCTCTTTGTGTACGGAGAATTGAGTACACTATGTAGTGGGTCGCAGGGGAACACATGCGTATACCTATATATATATATAAAAATTTAAATAGATGATCAGTAAAAAAACAACTTGATTAACGTTTTGCAATATGCTTCTTCAGAATAACCTTAACTTACATTTGGAGCGTAAAATAAGGAATAAAAAACAATAGTACAAAAGAACACATTTTACAAGCATTTTACACATTTGGCTGATTATACGACACAAGTAAACTTTCTAGGCCCAGCTGAAGGTGAGAAAAGCGGAAAAAATATAATAGATAAAAGAACAAAAGAGAAGCGTGAAGGCAGATGGTAAACTACCCAGGAATGCACAAAAATGAGAAAGGGTGAATGCTGTCTGTCCCTACCATGAAGACTAGAAAATAATATTGTGTAGAAATAATAAATAGCTGTGAAAAGAAGAAAATAATCCAAGAGATTGGAAATAAAAATAAAACTATGTTTCAACTAACCTAATATTAAGGCCCCGGGGCACGAAAGTTTCTAACTTATACTGCCAGAAACTTTCACATATCCTACCATTCCCATTAAGTCTATCTATAATAGTTACTTTAATATCTTCAAGAAACCCATGATGATCCTTCCCTGCAAAATGTCGAAAAAAATCAGCCTGAGGTATACCCAAAGAGCCCCCGATAAACTTACGATTGCACGCCTTGTAGTTATTAAACCTAAGCCTAAACGGCGTGCAAGTGCTACCCACATACTGTACACCACATACTTTACATTCCATAAGAAACAACAACAAACAGCTAAATTTCGCAGCACTGCGTTTCTGCCTTCAGGTCCCTAGGTGCTGTAGGTGAAAGGTTCCAAGATCATCGCATCAGTCAATATTGAAAACTTTATAACGGTTTCAATTCCAAAAAGCAACTCGAGTATGAAGTAAAACTAACCATGGACGTAGCGGATGCTATGAAACTACCTACAAAGCATCAAAAGAGTACTGGCATTCTTCGTACACAGCCACAGGATACCTATGTTTGAAACTTTGGAAGACCTTGCACACATTGTACCAAAACTGAATAGTATGCACTCAATGCACCTTTTGTCAGTACTTGTGGTACTTGTGGACACATGTACACATTTATATTTGGTCTTGCACACACAAGATTTTATCAAGAACTGCAATGCTCTGCAGACTAAAGTCTCACAAATCATTTGAATTTGTTTTTTCTGAAGTCTTGAGCAAGTTTCTACTCAAGTATAAACTAGGCTTTTTTAATATACCAGCAAAAAACGGCACTACAAGTACAGAAAAATGTTTGCCATGTCACAAATAGTTTTCACCAGCTTCAATAATGAATCCTCAACAGAGTCATCAAGGGCTTGGCATTCGATTGTAATGGCTGTTTTGGCATGTAAACCCGTGCCCCCAAGGGCCCATGGTCAACAAGCATGACAGCTATTTTGTGTACCTCACTGGCCAGATGTCGATAATCCATAAAGATAATGCATAAAAGATAATGTTGGGCCACTTTTCATTAAATTAAATGCTGCCAAAATCTAGATTCAAAGCATGGCAAAGTCTAAAAAGAGGGCTGTAGGGGGGTGGGGGTAGCAAAATTAGAAAGAATCCAAAGGGCCAGACATTTTTTTGTCACACTGGAAAATTAGATATATCTGGGTTTCATAAAATCGGGATTCGACTGTTGATTAGTCCTATGATTATTTTAAAAAAATTAATCCACACTCCTGAAAAGGTGTTAACCCTTTTTACAATGCTATAGAGTAATAGTACCAAAGAAAGATAAACATTTAAACCCGTCTCAAAAACAAAAAAAAACAATCATTAATAAAGAATTTTGCTCTCGAAATAAAAGAAAGCATGTGATATTTTGCACTCCTTGAAAGCAAAAGGTGTGTGCCAGGGCATGGGCATGGGATTGCATGCCTTTAAGACAAAAGCCCAAGCCTGGGGAGCTCAGGGGCAGTAGCCCCCTCACGTTTTTGCTGAAGTATGATATTAATATTGTGGCATCAAGGTAATGGTTGAAAAACTATACCATAAAAGTTTGGCAATTTGTCTAGATCCCTCCCACCCCAAAATTTGCCCCAATGTCTCTCTTGATGCCAGATAGACAGAGCTGTACATGCTTCCAGTATATCAATATTGTGGTGTCAAGGTAATGGTTGAAAAACTATACCATAAAAGTTTGGCAATTTGTCTAGAGCCCTCCCACCCCAAAATTTGCCCTGGTGTCTCTGTTGATGCCAGATAGACAGAGCTGTAAATGCTTCCAGCATATAGAAAAGGATGGCTCTGAGTTTAATTTTTCTTGATTCAGTCTTAAGTTAGTTATAGGCTAGGTTTCATGTATGACAGGCTATGGCAAAAAGTTTTTGCTTTAAATTTTAACAATGAATTCAAATTTTAATCCTATATATAATGAAAATCTTTAACAATCAAAAAATTATATGATCATATATTTAGCATTTAGATTTTAGCAATAATTGTTTATGTTTTGGGGTTTTAGCAGCTTTTTGTTCACCCAATTACTTTGCTGAATGTAAGTAAAACTGTGCTTTTTTTCGAACAGTCAAAAATATACATAATTATTGGTTTATTGCCATTTATCTTTTTGCATACCTTCCAGCATAAATTACAATGGGAACAGAGACAACGAGAAGAAGAAATAGCAGAGCTTCAAAAAGCTTTAAGTGATATGCAAGTGTATTTATTCCAAGAGAGAGAAAATGTATTAAGGCTGTTTGCAGAAAATGATAGGTTAAAGATAAGAGAGCTAGAGGACAGGAAAAAGATCCAGCATTTGCTTTCACTAACCAAGCCAACAGACACTGAAGTAACATATTTCATAAAAAGCCACCCTCCTAAAGGCAGAGCCGGAGTAAAGGTGAATAAACAAGAAGAAGATGACAGAACCTTTGGCAGAGGCCCTGGAGGACACAAGCCAAATAGTATGCAGTTGTTTAATTCCTCTGAAATTTTTATGTTTTATAGACGGGGTTTACCTATTAGAATCCGGAGCTTCCATTTTAAAATCTTATATGACTATGTCATCTTGAAAATTGCTCGTTTATGTTGTCCCCATCATATTGTATATCTGAGAATGTAGTTTATATGAACTTGAACTTATTTTGTTTCAAAGTTATGAAACTGGTATTATCTTTATTTCAGATATTAAAAGTTCAAATCAAGTTGGTAAACAAAATAATGATAAAAAGCAAATAAAAACTGGAGGAGCGAATGAAAAATCAAGTGATACACAGCTTTTAGTGTTGCAAGTTGAGTCATTGCAAGCGCAATTAGAAGATCACGCAAAACTGGCAAAGCAACAGGAGGAGTCTTTATTAGAAGATAGAAGAGTGAGGATTGAGGAACAGGCTGCGCAACGTCAACGAGATGGTGACAAAATAAAAGCACTAACTGAGCATTTGCACAAGACTCAAACGCTGCTATATGAAAGCACAAAGGATTTCCTTGAACTGAAATATGAAGGCAGGAGAAAAGAAAGAAGGTGGATGATGGAGAGGGACAAAATCATGCAGGAACTTGATTACATAAAAGAACAGATGGAAATGAGCAAAGGAGACGACACCCAGGTAATGCAACCAGATTTAGAGACAGTTACAAACGGTATCATCAATTTTCTATGCTTTACTTTTTCTAAACTTTTATGATATAACTGATCACGTAAACACAATAAACAAGTTCTGTTATTTGTTTTTGCTCGAGGTATTGCTGAAAAAGTAGAGCTTCTGTTTTAAACCTAGTCGGTCAAATAAATAACATCAGAGCACTAAATCCTTATTTTCATTCTTAAGAAATTATTGAATTTTCTTGATTGGGTACCAAAACACAATGCAGGTGAGATACAGGTGTAACATTAGACAATCTACTATACCGAATTATTTTTATTGAGGTGTTACGCAAAAGATCATTTGAATCCTTGCGATTTTATCAACGTCTAGGATGCTATTCGAAGTAATGCTTAGCGGTCTAGGGAGTCTTTGAACCCCCGAACAAGAACATAGAGTACAACGTAACTCTTTGAACTTCAAAATGTGTTTTTTATCAATGAAGTCCTAAAAACATCCACGTGTAGAGAGACGGGTACATTCAGTCGCTCAATTTGAAATTGCTGTACATGTCTGTACATCTAACACGGAGCATACTCAACATGCTCCAACAAATCTTTTGCAAGAGCTTTTGTGAATTTGAGCAGTCCTCTCAAACCGAATGGTTTTCCTTCTAGTTGCATCACTCTATTCAGTATGTGGATGCGGCAACAGCACCTGACCCTTTACCCCCGGAAATGAGACCAACAAATAGCATGATAATAACCTCGTTAAAATCGAGCCTCGTACAGGCACAGCGACTTGCTGAAATGTATCGTGAACAAGTCATAGGCCTCGAGGATGAATTGGCGAGAATACGCGAAGAAAATGATGTAGGGAAAGATATTTTCCAAGATCGTACCGAGAAGATGACACAGCGTCTCCAGTTGATGAACCAAAGATACGAAGCGTTGGAGAAACGAAGGGGTTTGGAGGTGGAAGGGTTTAAGAATGATATCAAGATGTTAAGATCAAAGTTAAAAGAAGTGGAAAAGCAGTTATTTAAGGTATGGATCATACGACATCTTAACGTCTATTTCCTATACATTTGCATCCACATTAAGTAAGAAGTGTAATAGTTGATTTAGGATTCATGAGGCATGTGCTTTACTTCGTCTTATAAAGCATGCAGAAAGTACCCTTTCAAGTCAACACGTGCCTCTGTTTTTTAGAAAAAGACCAATTTCTCTTTTTCTAGACTATTTTGGTAAACACTTCTTCATTGTAGGTTGTGATACTATTGTAGTCAAATTAATTATCTTTGGTTAATCGTCAATTGATGAGACCTTTGATAAGGATATCTGATCACACCTGTTTTAAAGGGGCGTTGTCATATTTAATCCTTTTTGAAAATTTGCTTGATCGATTCATTTCAATTTAAAACAGGTGTGATCAGATATCCTTAGTATGCTTTCGCCATACAATTTTAAAATACTGCCTACCTCACTGCTTTGCCCCCATAAATAAAAATATTTAGTCAAGAAATGAATGTACTTGATCAGCCTAGTCTGTACTGGAAGTGAGCTTATCAATACAAAGCTAAGATCAACTTTTTGAAATTGTAGGCAGTGTTAGCTTTTTTCGTCTTCATTTGTCTAAGGAATTCTCGAAAGCTGAAACAAACCAGTTTGTCTCTATCTGTGTCCACTCAGTCAACTTATCTCTTAAGCATTTAGCATTTAGCTCGCAAGCTTTTATTTTGATAGATCTTAGCCAAAATTTTTCGTCTTTAGCCAATCTACAGACCAAAGTTGAAAGAAAATATTTAAACACGGCAGCGAAACAGTACTTTGGTTATTTCGCTTGTTGCAAGCAACGTACTGGGTAGTTTCGGGTACGGGTCGATTAAATTACTTATTTACTTGCTCTGTCTTTCTGAAAAATATTCGTACTTCGTTACAGGTGACTGTTAACCTTGGCGATGATTTCGACTTTGAAATCTTGCAGCAGACAAAAAGAACTTCAAACAGATCAAAGAAAATCGTAGATGAACTTCGCAGCCTAAAAGGAAAGATTTATTCTTTAGAAAATGACATGAAAAATTTGTAAGTCATTCTATTCTATCTAAACCTGGCATAATGTGCCTAGACTTCGCCTTGTTATCACCTTGTGTAACATTGTTAATGCCAATTTCTTCATCGTAAATTTTGTGAATATCATGTAAATACTTCAGATGTTTTGATTGCTTGTGAAATTGGCCATCTTTTTTTCAATTGGAAATTTTTACCTTCTTCAAGTAGTTAAGAGAAACTGGTTTATAAAATTCATGTAAAAATGGGACCATACAGCTCGTTGTTATGTTATGTTAAGGAATACCTTCTAATATGTCTACCGAGTTTTCGACGAACCTCAAAACAAGCCTCTTTCTATACCCCACCGTGTTTTTCCAGCTTTTCTCGATACTCTCTTCCCTGCCTACAACAATACCTCAGACCTAAATTTCACCTTTTCATTTTTTTTATGATATGATATTTAAACATTTAACATGCTTCGGTACTTGTGCTGTTTTTCAATCCGACGTGTTAAAAGCAAAATTAACAGAAAAAAAATTACAATTGTACTTAATAAAAGTTTTTAGTTAAACAAAATAATAGTGAAAACTCCAAAACCGTTGCCCCGCAACTTTCTCCTATTGCTCTTCTAGCTTTCCATTTGAAACCTCTATTTGGCGCGTATCTCTGAATTTTAATCCCCCAGGTTGTTAACTTGCATCGACCTTTGCCATCAACTTATGTCTGGCCCACTTGATCATAACCATTGACCCTTCTTGCTATAGCGTCACAGCAGTCATAACAAAATCACAGATTTGCACAAATGCAACGCTAATCAATTCCCAGCGCAAGGTGGACAGTCTGTGTAGTCGTTGGACTTCTAGCAAAGAGCAATGCACTATAGATTCAGTAGTTACTACTTACTTTTAGTTATTGTGTCATCAATCTATATTTTCTTTTACGTGGCAGTCACGAAAAGACAGTTTCTAAGTTTTATGCTTGTATACACGCGAAAACGCACGAATTATGCAGATTGCTATTCTTCGCTAGCGATTTCGACCGACTACGGACAATCAAATGTTAGTTTTGTGTCACAGAAACTTTTGCGTGAAAATAAGCAGAACACCGTTTCGGACACAAACGGAAGCTTGTCAGTTATTGCAGCTGGAGCTGTTAAAAGAAAGATCGCGTGCAAGATTCCGCAGATCGACCCGTTTCACAATCTTGCACTCAAAGAGCTAAAAGACGTCGGCAAAATCACTTGCTCCAAAAAGAGATTAGCATCTGTCCAAAACGGTACTTTGGTTTTAGGGGTAAGCAGTATTCGGTACGCCCACTATCAGTTTATCCAAAGACCCAAAGACAACGATCTAGAGTACATGCTTTCCGATCCTGTACAACTGGTGGAGCCTGTTGTGGTTTTCGTTACCCCAGGTAAGCCCTTCTTCACATTGAGATTTCAAATGAGAGCTCATGCGTAAAGTTATTCCACGCATGTCTTGTCAGATTTTTGGTAAAGCAAGGGTTACACTATTTGAAATGTATAACAGATCAACAGGTACCGTCTCAAGAAGATCTGTTTACAGCTTTGCCTACATTTCATCCACTTTGCCTAACAAGAATTTTAGAAAAATACTTCCCTTAAGATGTAAAAGATAGGTTTAAAACGCCTCATCTAGGGGCTTAGCCAAAGGGATAGCCAAGCACAGGTATTAGCATATGGCTAAAGATCTTATTTTTGCTATTTAAGCTATTGTCACAGCGACCTGATTCAAGTCTAATTTTCTCATTTATGTTACTGCAGGAAGCACTGGTTGTCTTGTCACAAAAGACAACAAAGTCATATTATTTGAAGGAGGTGAGCACATCTCTGTATCCAGCAACTGCACACCTGAAGGGTTCCTCGATGTTGGCCATGATGGTAGAATTCGTGATCTCAATGGGAACTTTCTCACTGCCCGGCGTAAGTTTAAATCAATGGTGGGTACCCGGAGGACGAACGGGGGCTGCCTTCACTATTTTAGCGGACAATGGTCTTTTGCTCTAAACAATGTAAAAATGTGACGCCATCTTATCAAAACAATAGGCTTGCCCACCCCCAATATTTGACCGCCTGTCCGCCCCTGGCTGAGATTTCTCAAGAGAATTCTCTCTTTCAATCTACAACCCCGGACAAAAATATTGAGACAAAATGCAATTTTTGTAATTTTCTACTTCAATTTGCCCCTGTAAATTCGAACCCCCCCCCCCCCACGAAGCAATGTTTGATTTGTAGTTCTATCATTTTTGCTTCAAAATCATGTATTCAACATTGAATTGGGGGAGGGGGACAAGCTATTTTTCAAAGGAAAGAGAGAACATAAAGTTTTTTTTAAAAGTCTCAACTACTTTTGTCCGGGATTGTAGCCTCCTACCTTAAGTCTCGTTAGCCTTATTACAGAGTCATCCATCTTGAAGCTTAATAAACTAAACAGAAATAGCGAGTTGATGGTTTCTTGTGTGATATCTAGACGATTTTCTCGCATACAGCCATTCATTAGCTTTTCCTCATTTTTCTAAAATTTCTTGACAAAAGTAACTGGTTGGAGACGGGTGGTTTTCCAGTCTTTTAGATTATCTTCATTTTCAAATCAGAAAATGAGCTTTAGTTTTAAGCGAAACCGGCACAATCGAGGGCAGGCCATTAATTTTATCGTTGACAAATTTCTGTCTACCTCATCGTAATTGTTCTTCAGAGAATCCGACAAGAGAACCTTTGGGTCCTTTTTTAAACACTTTCGTTTTTGTAATTTAGGTTGTGACCAGGAAAGATGCCTGTCTGAGTTTACGCGTGAACCCCCTTCAATGCCTTTCGAATTTCGCGAAGACGGTGTCATTGTCTTGTCTGGTACATCTATGTGTCTCAGTCTGGTGAATGATGTCTTTGGGGACTATGACGAACTTGTCTTTGAAAAAAACTGCAGTGTGCAAGCAACCAAGTGGCTAATGCACCACTTTCCAGAAAAGGGTAAGTCTGTTACGCTTTGGTTAATGGGGAAAGCGGGGCATCGACGACAAGGCATTTCGAAACATCGGCACCTACAACATATGGCGGCTAGCTTGCTTATGTAATTTCGACTTTTTATCTTAATTAAGAAATTGGGGCGTAAGCGTTTCGTCCGCACAGAGATAACAGTAAATCTCGAGATGAGATACAAAAACAAGGGCTGTACGTAGAGTATAAACTTGTAAAAAAGGGACAGAGTGTTTTTTTTATAAATGATGGTTGAAAAAGGGGAATTAGAAATACATCGGAGATTTAGCAGAGGAAAATTAGGAAAATACCTCTAATTATAATTCTGCATGCAAGTGATCTCATATCGTACTGTCTATGCAAATACCCCGGCTCCATGAAATTTTATCTGCTTTTAGATAAGGTTAGGGGTCTAAGCCGGGGTTTTTTTTCGGCCTCTAAAACAAGTTTTGTGTGGTATCTTCTCCTATGGTCTTTGAGCAAACAAATTTCCAAAAACCTAGAATATTTAAAGATTAAAACGGCTTTTTCTGTTACTTGTTTAAAGAAAAGAGTGAATTTTTCTAGTAATTAATTGCAATTCATCTTATGCTACTTTTTTTATAGATATTATTGCCACAGCAGACTTAAAAGAGGATTTTTTGAAGCTAGTTGTCATTCAGCAGAAGGTGGTTCATACAGAATACCATGCAAATGTTATTCCAAAGTCAAATGAACCAGAAAGCCACCAGAGCAGTGACATGTTAATGCATGAATATAACGTGGCTTTAATAATGCTTGAATCACAATCAGCTGCCAATGTACAACGAAAAATGCCGAAAACTTTCAAGTATCTACAGGGGACTGACAATGCTTTTATTTTCAATAGTCACACGATCGTAGGAGATGGCACGACTGATCAGCTTTGTGCCATGCTCATTGGGAAGCTGGAACTGAATCTTCCCAGTGCCTTGAAGAATCTGCGAAATGCTGTGACCGTTGATAAATGGCCATTTATATTCGCTGATTTTCATGACAAAAACTATACAACTTTCTATAGTGAAGATGACATTCTCTTTTCAGCGTTTAATTACAGGCTGATCGGCTTCAAACGCGCTCCAGCTGATCACTACGCACGTGTTTTCTGGCTTTCTACCGCAGCAGCTAACGACGATTGGCAATGCGTAGGCGATTCACCGGTGCATAAAGTCAACCTCGCCTATACTGAAAGTTTTTTTGATGCATATCCTAAAAAACCCAAGTTTTCAGTTACTGTCATGTCAGCAATTTCCCACAATAACCTAAATAATATTCAGTTTGTTGACGAGGACCTTTTCAACTTCATTAAGAGTATGAAAGTGAAAGGTCACCTCAAAGATACCTTTTTGTTTATTGTCGGAGACCATGGCCTAAGGGCTTCGAGTTTTAGAGCCTCATTTGCAGGATGGCTTGAAGAGAGGCTACCCTTTTTCGCGCTCTTGGTCCCCGATTCATTTCTTAGCAAAAGCCCACTAAAACGGTGGAAAATTCGCAAAAATACCGGCGTTTTAACATCGCATTTTGATATTTACTCAACATTTCATGAAATTCTGTGGCCAAATCAACAGCAAAACAACACAATTGGAAAAAGTTTACTCTCTAAAATTGATCGCGAATCGCGGACATGTGAAATGGCGGGAGTTGGTCATCACTGGTGTCCTTGCAATAATCTGAAGCCTCTTGAATACATTAGTGAAAGACATATAAAAGTCGCAGAAGCTGTTGTGCAGATTATTAACGCTAAGAAAAACAGTGTCCCGGCAGGTAAGGCGAAATGTGCCGAGCTCCAGTTGGACCAAGTCAAGAGGATATCTTACAAAGACATGGATGAAGAGTTGGTTGAGAAAGATTTCAACCAAACAGAGTACGTAGTTGTTTTTATGGCAAAACCAAGCGGTGCAATCTATGAAGCAAGCGTTCTACGTAGATACCCTGATAAATTCATTGTCAGTCCAGACATAAGTAGACTGGATTTGTACGGCGAGCAACCGAAATGTATAGTTAATAAGTATCCAAATTTGAGGAAGTTTTGCTATTGCATAGAAAGCACTAACATGTAATTAATGTCTGAGGGTGCGTTTACTAGTACATGCTCGATGATGAACTTTTATCAAATTTTCATGGCTGTTCTCGTTAAAAACGTCTTATTTGCATTATGGGTTCAAAGCCTGAAGCGATAAAACAACTAAAAAGATAAGTAACAACGTTTTAGAACTGGAGCAAATTTTCCCTCAGTTTTTCCTTTCATTTTTCTTTTAAAAAAGGATTATAATTATCTTATGGCCTTTTTTCCGTGTTGTGTGTTGGCTTTTATAATTTAATGATGACGTCATCTATTTGGTGATGATGTCATCTATTTGGGGCTCATTCTCAGACGGTTCGCTTACTCAGTTATGTTAAGTGTATTTACGGCCATAAGAAAAACTTTAGCTACGGGGAGACAAATCTTTAAAAGCGGCAATATCTAGAACACGAAAGGGAGTTTTCAAAGATCAGCCTTTAGTGATCTCCAAAGAACACTAAAGAGAAAACTTTGAAAATTTCAAGGAATCAGGGTACTATTTTCTTCACAGCTAACAAGAACCTTCAGACAAAAAAATGTATAAGGATGAAGTTTCTTATCGTTATTTATGTTTAACCCTTTCTTCTATGGCACCATAAAGGGGTACTCTGTTTCAAATTGACGGTTTCGGGAGTTATCAGCGTGGAAAGACCTCTTCAAAAATGGAGAAAGGAACATGAATATATTGCCAAAAGAAAGGCAAGAAAGAGAAGCCGGTATCCCATCGGGGCTGTGACAAAAAACGGTAGCGAAGCTATTAAACATACCAGGCCAGGAAACCCCGTAGCTTCGAAGGGGTAGCATGCTAGCCATTTGGGGGGGGGCGAGGATGGTGCCTCTTCAATGAATCGTCGCCAAATGATTTCAAGGAAGCGACCCCTGAAACATAAGGCTGAAATAAGTTTGTAAATAAGTTCCCTAATGCAAGAGCGTGTACCAACTGAGAACCGTCCAGTTGTATGCAACTTCTCAACAGACAAAAGCGTTTCATCATCGTTAGAACGCAAGAGTCTAACTCAATTCTTACTGAGGGCAGCGAAAATTCTAAGAAAAATTTTTGATCGTGTGTTTGTATATTTTAATTATGGTTTATAAATGTAAAAAGTTACATAAGTAAAATTTGTCATACATCACACGGGATCTCTTAAAATCCTTGACCAAAAAAGCCAGTGACCGAAAACATAACAAATTTTTGTTTTGAGCCTTAATATATTCTTAACGTATTGTTGATCTTTTAAAATCTGATATTTCTTCGCGGGAACATAGTTATAAAAAAATCAAAGGTTTTAAAGGAATATCCGCCCTGGAATAGATATCGCATTTTTTGAAAAAACGAAATATTTCAGTCAGGCACTAATCAGTCGCAACTGCTAAAAAATGAGACACAAATATGCGAGCTGGGACTGAGCTATATACTTAAAATATTCTCAAAAATGGATGATTCTGAGCATGAATATTCTTATAAGAGAAGAGTGTAGCCGATATCGGAAATTAAGTTTCTTTCAAAGAGAAAACTGCCGAAAAAACGTTCTTGTTTCTACGCGGCAAAGGCTAGCCTGTGCCCCAGTCCACAAATGATGCCATATAGATGCTACCACGGTGAACTGGGGCGAAGGCTACCAAATTCACACTACCTTATTTTTTTTGGTAGTTTGATGCATTCTTTGTCGGCAGTTTCGTTGAATGTAAATGTTGGCATCTTGAATGTTTGTCTCTAGCGCCACCCCAGCACATAAATTCAACAGTGGATATAGAAGATAAGCGTGGAGAAGCAGATTCTCACAAAGACGCTCCTCCGTTTCTCCACTCCAATCTTCTATTTCCGCTTACGAATTTATGCTTTTTCTCAGAAAGACGCTCCTCCACTCCCATCTTCTATTGTCCCTGCGAATTTATGTGTCTGTTGTACCCAGGGTAGGTAATCGAGCACCCGGCAGTAGATCGGATAACATTATTGTTTATTAAATGTGTTGTGATTGAATATTATATTGCTGAAATTGTTAAACCACCTGTTAAAATGATAAACACCCCGATGGACAACATTAAATAAAATTTGTTTAAGAATTATTATGCAGTGGAAAAGTCTCACTTCAAAAACATACTGATGTTTGTAGTTATAAGCTCAATATCATAATTCAAATAAAATAATTTAAAACATCACAATGCAACATTAATTCTATAAATAAATTCGATTTACACGTATTTCGAGTCAACACAGATTTCCAAAAATTAGCAGATGAATTAGAAACCACCATAAAATTCCAATTTGATAACGTCACAAATCTATTTTTAGAATTGCTCAATTTTGGCTACACAACCTGAACAGCATAACAGAGCATCGTGAAATGCTATACATATGCAAAATCAGTTGAATAGGTTACGGATTGGCTTAGATATGATCACATGTGTACAGTTCCTTTCCTTATCAAATCGACTGTAATTTTAGCAAACTTGAAAATTCCATTGGCCATATGGTGTTTAATATATTTAACTGATTTTGCACAATGATTCCAAGTGGTTTGGTCAAAACTGAAATATTCTGAAAACATATTTTTGATGATGACACACACGCACCCCATTGGCCTTTACAGCTAAGAGGTGATTGTTCTTGGGGACTTAGGATAATAGGCAAATACTTTTGGGTCCCATTTTTTACCAAGTGTTATGGCCTCTCAACAGAAAAAGGAGTTCATTGAATGTAAAAATTCTCCACGTAGTTTATCACTAGCTTAGTTAAAGATTTTACAATAAAAAGCATTAAGAAAGCACCTTCTTGATTTGCCAATTTTCTAACTTAACTCTCACTCCAAGAACAAGTGAATGGCTAAAATGTTACTATAACGTAACTAATTCCATAGAGGCACCTTATGTTTGAGGCAATATGCATCTTCAGTTTGGAGCATCTACTTTCCTTTTACACTAAGTTGAAACTTGTCACATTGCAAAATACAAAAACAATCATAAATTCACAGTCTTTACCACCCAACCCCAACCCAACCAACCCTACTCTATCCCAAATCACATCCCATCCCATCCAATCCAATTGATTCACAATCACAATGATTAATGGCTACCTCTAGATTAATGTTCAGCACAAAAGCTTGTCTGGAAATAAATCAGATCAATGTATTGACAAATTTTCACAAACTTCACACATTGTAAACAAGATTTTCAAGCCATATATATCAATCATCAATCAAGCTTTTTTTCTTTACGTTTTTTAATTGTTTCATCTGAACATTTGTTTGGAGATCAGATAGGGATTTACTATTGTGTGATTCTAATTCCCATGACATTGAATGAATGAAGCTGGAAAAATTTTAAAGGATTTTGATTTAGGGTGAAAATTTTACCCTCAGTTGCTATTTCTGGTCAAATTCCTTCAGATACAAAATTTATAAATTGTTATCATCATAAATAAATATTACAAGTGCAAGCATCATGAAAACTTAAATGTAGACTAAAATTCTAATCAACCAAAATTTGAAGTCAAAAATATTTTTCAAAGCAAGGCTCTTAGTTGAATTGGTGTATTAACAAAACTATTGCCTGCATTTGTGGGGAATTGAAATGTTAAGATCAAGTAAATCAGCCACTGAATCTAGAAGCACATATTTTAGAGGACATGGTGGGTGGGGGATATTCTGGCAGACAGAGTAGATGGGGGTTGTTATGTGGACCTAATGGGCATGAGAAAATTTTTGTGGGCATATTAGATGGGGTACATGTTGGTAGACCCAGTGGGTAGGGGATAAGCTGGGGAACATAGTGGGTAGGGGACGTGTTTGTGGACCTTGTAGATGGGGGGTATGGAAGTGGACCCAGTTGGTGGGGGATGTGCTTGTAGATTTAGTAGGTGGGAGGGGGTATGTAATAGGATCTACTGGCTAGGGGAATGTATTTTTGTGGAGCTAGTGGAAGGGGTGGTGGAGAGTGCAAGAGCCTTAGTGTCTACGGGGTTTGTTAATTTGCTTGCCTTTGTTAGAATTACTTCAACTCAGCTGCTATCAAAAATCAATAACTAATCAACCATTCAGAAGCAACAGTCTCAAACCTCTCAACTCCAGTCACTCTAGTCATTCATAATGACAACAGACCAATTATGAACAGCAACCCCACCGGCCAACACTTCTAGATCCTAAAATGACTTTATTTTCATTTGGATAATCTGATAAAGAGCTCTGTTCATAATTATTCTTAAGAAGTTCTGCAGTGCGAATGAAAGCCTCTTCCACATTTGTACTGTCCTGTCAATGAAACAAATTGTTGTCTGTAAGCAATAAGTTCAGTATAAGAAATGTCGCTTTATGTCAGTATACTAACAAAAGGTTGATTTATGCTAATCAAACTAGCATGTTAAAGTCCCATTTAAATATTCCAAAAAAAAGAAAGTTTGAAGATGTGAAATGAAGAATGACTGCTCATTTCTTAAAATCTTACTTGGCACTAAACCATTGTAAGAAACTCCTGGACTCTTACATTTACAAATTATTTACCAGATTACATCTATTTTTCTACCCTGCTGTAACTTTATTCAATAAGCCCACCAAGAACCTTAAAGTAAAAGGGAAAAACCACCTTAGATAGGCTGTGATAGATATAAGAAATAAGCTTAAAGAAGGTTTAAGAAAAGAGCTGCAAGTGAGAAATGTCAGGAGCAAAGTTATTGAGAACACACAACAGTTTTATGGACATGGGCAAAAACCAAGAAGTGATCATCTGGCAACAGAGTAATGGACATCAATTTATGAGGACAAAAAGACAAACAGAAAATGAGACGCACAAATAATGTGAAGAGAGATCTGCAAATGACCTAGCTGAGGACAGAAAAAGTTGGAGGAAGTGAGAAGCCCACCATACCAAGTATAGGAAACACCATCAGAGAAGGAAGAAGAAAATGACAAAGAGGGTTATCAACTTACTTTTGCTGATGTTTCTAAAACTTGATTTATTGAATAATTCTTTGCAAAAAGTTCTTCTTCTTCTCTTGTAACCTCCCTTTCTTCTTCCAAGTCAACTTTATTTCCAACAAGCACTTGGATCCTGCATTCACTAGCATACTTCTCAATGTCTTTTAACCACCTTGCAATATTCTTGAAAGTGTCTGATTTTGTTATATCAAATACAACCATTACTGCATGTGCTGCACGGTAGTAGCTTTGTGTGATTGTCCGAAATCTTTCTTGACCAGCTGTGTCCCATATTTGAAGCTATATGTATAAAATATCAATGAAGCAACTCTAAAAAATAAAGGGAAAATAATGGGATAGGCTTTCTCTATACTGCATTTCAACTTTTTCAAGTTCATTATCCTGTCATGACTCTGACTGATTATATGTGCAATGTGATTCCCCACCAGTGCCCTCCCTCAGTCCAGGGTGCATTCCATGTACTTAGGCCTGAAAATCTTCAGCAATCTTCATCTCAGGTTTAGTTGGCTTTCAGCATAAGTGCAAACCAATAAAAATGTTTTGGCATACGTAAAAAAAGCCACATACATAGTCTACAGGAAAAAGAATAAAATAAAGCCTCAAACACCACAGTTTTTATATTAATAAGATTTCTTTGTATGGCATACAATTTTTACAGCCTTACAAACTGCTCATATTTTTGGCTTACCTAAAAAGATGCCCAGTAGACTTTTGGTGTACAGTTGACATGAATTGCACCCTGGTTTTCAGTGTCCCTGAATGTCATTATACAAGTTAAACCTCAGACAGAATTGCCTAATCCTATATATTCCTCTGCTGCCTAATGTTGTATCGATTTACCTATAATTACATTGTATGTATCGAAAAACAAACTTCTAGGAAATATAAACAGCATATAAGCATGTTTGAAATGAAATGTTTTGCTTCACAAGCTTTCTAAGGCAAAAAAATTTCTTCCTCCCATTCATTAATTTTCTTCTTGAAAGCTGATCATTACCCAAACCTACTTACGGTCTTGAATGAGTGACCACGTACCAGATTGCAAAGTTCCCCTTGCAACAATTTTTTCTTCAAATCCCGCTGGTGCATTTTTGCAAATTTAGATTAATCCATGCATGCAGTTGCAGCACGGACTCTTCACCACGAACCTTACAAATGCTATTTATAAATAAAACCCCGCAGCTTTTAACATGCTTTTTTGCTATGATTGGTTTATTTTGATATTACCTAAGAAACTTTGAAAGTACTTACCTTAACCTTTTTGCCTCCGATGATTAGAGACTTGATTACAAAGTCGACACCAATGGTACTAGCGAGTCGATCAACGTATGTATTGTACTTAAAACGGTGCACCAGTGCAGATTTTCCAACACCAGGATCACCAATAAGAACTATTTTAAACAGATAGTCAAAATCGTTCTCAGAATCAAGCTCTGAATCTCTTCTCATGCCTGGAAAATTGTAACATTGAACTATAGTTTGTGTGTGCGTATTTAGGCAAATGAACCATCGACGCCATTTACATATAGCCTCCTTCTCGGACTGAATACATATTTGGCCGTCGCCGTGGGGCAGTCGATGATTGCCTAATTACCACCTGACAAGACAATAATTCAATCTTCCGCAACTGTTTGACAAAGTTTGCAAATTTGGAATGACTAGGAAGCTTGAAATATAGAGAGTCTACCAGACGTTTAATTACTTACCTCTCACTGTAATAATATAATGCACAGGACATAATAAAGCTCCGAGTTATTAATTTCGGTGTGAGCAACCACGTGTATTTTACAGATGTCTATAATATTTAATGAGCACATAGGTGGATGGGTGTCCAATAAATTAACTGTTTGGCGTCTAAATACGTAGCTTTGGGGTCTAGCAGCGAAAGATAAATTTTGCCCTCGTAGCTACGCCTCGAGAAATCGTATTCCAGACAATTTTATTTTTAAAACTAGGATCAATCTAGTAGGATCTAGGGTCAGATATGGGGTTAATATTTTGTTAAACATATGATTAGAAGTTATGCGCACAGCTTAATTGCAAAAAAGATATTTGCACGAAGATTGGGTATCATTTTGAACGTGCCCTGTTGAATTGATGGATACGGGGCTAATTTGAGTGGGCTGATGGGTGAAGAATTAACGTGCCACATATATTTTAATATGAAAATATTTTGAAAAATAGACTGTGATTTGTTTTTTTGGAAAATGATCAGCCTGGTGATCAAAGAAGTTTTAAAACGAAAATTAAGGATTAGCATAAAATTCGACTCGATGAAATATTATTAAAATGTACAAAAAATTATTCTATATATGCAAAGTAAAGTTTCCATTTTTTAGTCATGGCCCTCAGGCAAAATTAGGCATGGCTTTTCATTTGTTCGCCTATATTTTTAACAGTACTTATAACTAGAAAACTGAACTGAATAACCCTTAGAGCGCCCGGCTACTTCGGCTCTGTCACTGGGCAATAGTCTCCGACTTGATTCATAATGATTTGATTTTATTATTATTGATTTGATTTACTAACGCTTTTAAGATCGCTAAGAGATTATTAACAACGTCTTCTCGAGCAGCATCTACTCTGTAAGGTTTCTCGAGGTCCTATCATTATTATCATTCTTTTTATTAAATTTTAAATTCTAAAAAGTCTCTGTGCACACATTCAGCTTCGCATCATTCAATCAAGAGATTAGCACATCATAAATTTGAGGAAAAAGCAAAAAGGAGCAAAGCGCGGACCCTGAGGAACAGCGCGTATGGATTTATGTGAGCCTTATTGAAAATCGAAGTCTGGTCAAGCGGAATAAGGTTACAGGTTTAATTTTGTTTTAAATTTCCATTTCATGTTTGTTTGAAACTTTTCTAATCATGTTAGAAATTTTTTCTGCAAGTGTTTCTTCCTTTTTTATGCAACTTCATTTCATATCTTAAATATGTGATGTTTAAAAAAATGAAATGCAGAGCCGACACCAGCATTGATATATAGAGGGGCGGAGATCATAATATTTCTGACGACATATCCACTTCAGTGACAAATTTAATACTACGCATGCGTCTCATTTGCCATTTCCCATTTGCTAGGTATAGGTCTAGTAGCCCAACCCAATTTGCTATGTTTTAGATGCAGATATATTTTTTCAAGATGTAGTTGCCTTCATGGTGAAGTGACTAGTCAAGGCAAAGGACCACCAAATTATTCCATATGGACCAACTTTGGCTTCTTTTCAGTCAATGCAACATAAAATAATCGATCAAAAGTAAAATTACTAATAATAGAATATGGAAAGCTATGAAGAATATCATCAACCAGTCGTTGGAATGTGGCTTGTGACTGGGGAGAATCCAAAAATTTTCCGACAAACAGCTTTATAGGGGGGTGACGCGCCCTCCCGTGCACCCCATTGACATCGGCTTTGATGAAATGGAAAATTAACATACGCGTTAGCAAAAAAACGTTCTTTAAGAATTCAAACAGTTTTAGCAATGAAAGAAAATTTGAATAAAGCACCTAGACCTCTTCGTTTGATTGTTTCAAAAAAAATCAAACCGGCAACAGGAGTGATCGAGGGGTATATCACATTTTGCGTTCATCGTACAACATCATATCAATAGATTTTTAGTGATTTTTAGAGGATTTTTCTTGAAAACAAATTTGAAAGCAAGAGGCTTTTTGTCGGTGTCGTATGAGATTCACATGGAGTTTTTTGCCCCTCTGGAAGGGTGAATATTTTCTGCCCTCTGATTATATTGATAAGCATTGATCTAAACTATCTTTATATCAAGTCCCAAAGCTTTTCAGCATCCAAGTGTGTATGGAAGTCCATTGGCAATGCAACCAATTTCACAGGAAAAAACAGATTCTTTTCAAGTTATTTCTTAGAAATAGGCTTTTGGTATGAGAATCAACTCAACAGTTTTGTTGCAGCAGCATATGCACGTTTCCAACTGTGCTATAGAAGAATCGAAATACACACGAAGAACAGTACAATTCGACTTCAAACACGCCTAAGGAATTCGAGCAATTTTCCTGGAGTATCTTTGATCGGAGGAAGACGAATTGCGTCTGGAATGTTGCCCTTAATGCCTCTTCTGAATGCTCGTATCTTCCTTTCTGGCCAGCAGTCAATAATGATTGAATGTACGATAAATACAGAATAATAGATTCAGGAAGGATGGGCCCGCCCATTCGGAGATATTTCATCGCCTATTTCTTGGCCCCCTTGTTATTTCAATTCATAATGGTTAAAACAAGGGATGATAGTTGACATCTTGGCCGAGAAGTGGGAGGCGACGATGCATTATCAATCAATGCTCTAGGGTCATTTACCTGCCTATGTGACAGCTTCAGAAAAATGTGAATTATAGTGACACATAAAAATACTAACGAACAATTAGCGACTATAAATTGCTACGTTCCAACATAACACTAATTAGACCCAGCACCTAACGTGTGGAATAGACAATCACAACGCACACATATTGTCATTACTGCTGCAATCAAACCACAAGTAGCTGTCTTTTGCAACGCTGCACTGCAGAAAACACCATTTCAAGTAGATTAACAATACAGAAAAGTGTGTCGAAAATTCATCCAACACGATGACAACTGGAATCTATCTGTTACAAGTTGCACTTTTTCTCACGTGGAAGATTTTGCCGGGTACAGGACTCGTGGCGAACCGGTGGGTTTCCTTATTTGCCTCTTGTTCTTAACAGTATCGAGATGATAACATGTTTACAAGTTGTTTTAAATTTGTAATGCTGTACTCCATCTACGAAAGTAACATTTCCCAGATTGGATTTCTCTAAATAAAACTTCGTTGCTATATTGCTCAGAAGCGTCTTGAGGGACAAAGTAGAAATTGTTAGAAACTGAGACATAGATGGAAGTAGGAATCAAGACAGAAGCTTTTGCTCGATTTTTGCATGATGTTCTAATTTCAAGAGTTTCTATGAGAGTATGGAGCGAAAGGAGGTATAATGAGTTTTTTCAAACACTAACTACTAATTTTCATAAAAATAAATTTTACAAGAACAGATCTTTGAATTATACGTTCCAAAAGACGAAAATTACCTGTCTTACTTGTTGTTTTATGAGTTATTTAAACGAATGAATATTTTGATAGTTTTGATAATATTATACTGAAAGTTTTATCTTTCGTAAAACATCTTTAATGCTGAAATTATTTAGAAGTTTCTTGTAGTCGGTGCACATAAGACTTCTCTACGTTAGTTTCCAGTGCGCCTAAGATTTTTTACTTTCGGAAACTCAATGCCATGTGCTACTGCCAGAAGACAAATATTTTAATAGTCATTTTGAAGTCCAATAGTAATTATAGAAATGCATAAATCAGATCTATCGAGACTTTTTAGCTTTGTCTTCAAATGAAAAAGGATCGAACCTTTCTGGCAAATTTTCTTACTCTACTAACGTTTATCCGTTATCAATCGAAAATGTGATTGTTGTTTGCCAATTCGAAAATAATTTTCTCAAGCGTCTCTAAAATAGCCTCATTTTTTACTGAATTTTCAACTGAAAATCACACATAACCCTTAAAAAAGAATGATCAAAACACTTCAAAGAGCCTCATTCCTTCAAGCCCTAAAATGTTCTAGAGTTAAGCAGTGTCTCAACTTGAACTTCAAAATTGAGGCAGTAATTGAAACCTAGGGGGGAGGGGGTTGTATAAAGTAAGATAATTGAGTGTTTCAATTGCATTTCAAAGTTGGTGGGCCACCAGTAGGAAGGGATACCGTGTCAAAAAAATAGAAAATTGTATCTAAAAATTGTCGAAGAAATAGAGAATTGTTCTAAAATCTAGCAGGCACTTTTCTAAGGGGGAACCTCCAAGAAAAGTTTTTTAGAAAAGCTGAGGGTGCATGCTTCTGGTTCCCGGGCTCCGATGTCCATGAAGTGTATAGGCGTGAAAACCAAACATGCCATCAATCAACCTACATCACCTCAGCTCTGGCTAGAACCACTCTCGTACTAGCCATTGTACCAGTGCTTTCGTATTCGTAATCAAGTTGAAAATTGGAAGTGCCACTGCTTAATATTATGCACTGATTATCATGCACTTTAAATTACACGATTAATTGCTTGTGTTCAATTGCAATTGAGGTGTGCTCCACCTCTAAATGGTCTAGCACGCCTTCTGGATAATTTTCCCAACAACCCCTATTAATGTTTCAATATCATTAGCCATTTACCAAGACCCTCAGCTGGCAAGCAAGAAGTTGCGAAATTATTTGTGGAGGTGTTTGAAGTGGCAGTTTATTGATCTTATTAGCATTTAAGCCAATTTATGAAGCTCGTTAGTATCTTCAGTGGCTTCTAGCAGTTTATACAATCATATAAGACAAATAAAGCGTTTTTGCCTGAGCCCCTAGAGTTCAGGATAATTAAAGTCGATTCGCTAGACAATGTTATGAAAAAGCAGCATTTAACGCTAGTACCTTGTTCGACCATTTTATATAAAGCCCCTTATCTTTTGCTTCTAAGCTTACAGCTTCTAGTAGACCTTAGTTGGCGTCTGCAGATTTTAACGAGGGCACTTTTTATATGAAGACTGAGGCTCCTTTCGCCAAAAAATAAAAACAGCCTTCGATGAAAATATGAGAGAATTAGAAGAAAATACGATGTCTTTTTTGAAAATTTCATCTCTTTTTAACAAAGCAGAGGAGTTTTTATCAAAAATCAACCGTGCACTAAAAATGTCGTGAAAAATTGCTAGTAAGTGGTCATAACAACAATTGATAGTATGTAGAACGATCAATGTTGAAATAAGGACAACATTAAGAGCACTCGAGCCTCGTATTATAAGGACGACATTAAGAGCACTCGAGCCTCGTATTATCAAGAAAAATAGCAAATCGAGCCTTGCCAAAAGTATCTGGGGTTTATAAAAAAACCTTCTTAGATCAAAGATTGTCAAAGAAACCCACTTTTAAACATCTAGAAAAACATAGGAATTTTCACGGGAGAGGATAACAGATTGGAGACGCCACGGAAGTTTACAACCTTCCTAAACTAAAACAATAAGAAACAGGCGTTTTCGTTGCCATGACCTCCTGGTTATCGTCAGCCGTCCAACGTCAGCCATTTTACTGGATTCTGAAAAGTTTATCAATGTTACTGCATATTTGGAATTTCGAGAGAATCAAAGCTTCGTGATTCACAGATATGACGTAAAAGAGATGTAAGGAATCCCATAATACAAAGCGATAACCGTGAGAAATATAAGGATAAATGTTAACTATCCAGTGTTGACGCCTCTTTGCGCAAGAGAATGTGGGTATTGGGCGCTCAAGTTCATTGGAGCACCATGGAATACAATTTTCCCATTCTTTATTCTTTTATTACGCTACATTACCGATAATGAAAATGATTCCTTGTCTCTTAATTTGGCTATGATTAGGCCACTAATTGACGAGTAATGGAAGTTATAGATCGTTCATTGATATAGGAAAGGGTGCTTCTGTCTCCGAAGACGATAGCCGTCTGTGAAGAGTCGCCTGGTTTTCACGTATCATCCATTTAAAAATATTTTAACATCCTTGACAAGGTACAGGATATATTTGTTATGGATAGCCTTCCAAAGAGATGTTCATCTAGGTTTTTGTCTTGAAGCAATGCATTGAAGTTACAAGAGGTATTGGTTTCTGCCGCCAAACATCATCACCACCCACTTATAATGCATCTTAAAATACATCACGCACATTTTGACAGTGCATCAGAACGGTGGCTTTAGCATGTAGACTACTTCATAATTCAGTTTATCCCTGGAAAGAAGAACTAAAAACTTACAGGTTGTTTTTCATTGATTAATCTATGAAAGCACCTAGCCCTTAGCAATCTTTTTTGCCTTACAGATAACCGGAGTCTCATTTTAAAGTTGAATGTTCCTTGAACCGCTTTTGCAACAAACCGTTGCTTTTTTCAGGCATCTTTGACCAAGTAAACCTTTTTTAAAGCATTTTGTCTGAATCTCATGCATGCCCGGTTAAAGGGAAAGGGCCAGACTCTTGAAAAAGTTAGTTCTTCTTTGTAGGGATTATTGTAAAACCTTCAGAGTCAAAAAGCGAAAACTAGAACATCTTCAAGCAACTTCTTGACACTGTCTAGCAATAGCCAAAGCGATATGTAATTGATCCACTCGCATGCCGAAAGCATGATTATGCATCAATACATTTTCTACGTGAGATTATTGGAAAAGTGGTTGAGGGGGGGGAGGAAGGAATCGGTGAATCGGTGAATCGGTGAATCGGTGAATCGGTGAATCGATGAATCGGTGAATCGGTGAATCGGTGAATCGGTGGGACAGACAAACATTGTTAAGAACAGAATAGGCCTAGTGTTTTGCAGTCCATCTTTTTCCTTGCTACCTCACCTTCCTATCGCATCATATCTACCTTCAATATTTTCAGATGATTACCCGAAGCATTTCAAGCCTCAATTCATGTTGGAACAACTCACTTTTCAGAAAGAGAGAGGCCTAGTAAACTGCAAGATCTCTTCAGACCGACTCTTCTCGCAATTGCATTGCTTGTGTTTAATGCATAAAAAGGACCAGCAGATTGCACACAGGAGAATCAAGTATCTGTGCTAAATCTTTGGTAATATTTAACACGATCTTTCGATTTATTTTAGACAAGCCCGGCTTTTCAGCAGCAACAGTTTCGATGTCAAGGATGCAACATCGTATTGTAGAGGCCTATCCAAGTTGAATCGTCGTCAAGCTGTTTTCTGCGTTCAGAAACCCAGTGTCGTCAAAGTATTGGAGAAAGGTTTTAAAGAGGGAATCAGTGCCTGTGTGGAGAAGTTTAAGAACAACTCGTACACGAGGTGGAATTGTACGAATACCGCAAAGCAGAGCAAGAGCAATGTGTTGTTTGGGATTCCCATGGCTGTTGGTATGAGACTAGATCTTTGATTATTTCGATCTAAATTTTAAAGTAAAATAATATAAAGCAATATATATAATCAAATTTGCTGCTTAAGATAGAAGTCAAAAGAGCAGCTTTTGAGTCAAGTGCTCTAAGCTTAACCAAGTGTTACAAACTTCAACTGCAAAAAAGAAATTTCAAAGATATTTTTCAGCAGATACAAGAGAAAAACTGTGTCTCTGTCGATGCAGGAAATGACGGGAAGTATAGCAGGCACCGCGGAGCAGGGGGGGGGGGGCTTTAGTCCTCCCACTTTTTGCAAAAATTGCCAAATATTAAGTATCAAACTACCAGAAAAGCCTCTTTTTATACGGTTTTAGCCCCCCCACTTTTTAGACCCCCTACTTTTCTCAACGCTCCACGGTGCCTGTATAGGGGTTACAAGGGCAACTGCCGGCCCCCACCCTCCATTTCAATATGACACGGAAAATTTGCTTCAAAAATAGGATGTCTCGGCATAAGGAATAGAAGACTGAGACAAGTAGTTCGGATAATTTACGGTACTCGGTCAGTTATCATTCAGTCAGTGAATTCAACAATCATCAACCATCATTCAGCAACGTCATCAGTATCATAATTTTTAGAATATTTAAGCCTTTTTTAATGTTGCTTGCTTTAGTTTAAATACAAGCCCTAATCTTTGACGTTTAAATCTTCACGTGTGATTAATTTTGTTTATGCCATAATGTTGTTGATGTCCATTTTGACATAATAGCAACATCAAGGATCTGACACCATACTATACTCTTGATACTTTTGCTGGGACTAATATAGCAACCTCCTTTAACCAGGAACGAAAGAAGCAGCTGTAATGCAAGCCTTTGGTGCTGTTGGGATGTTCTTGACTCTAACACAAGAGTGTATCCGAGGGAACATACCTGATTGCCCAAGCGGACAAATGTACCGAATGTGTCAAGGTAACGGAAGAGGAAAATCATGCTCCGTCATAAACTGGGAGATACCAAAGAAGCTGTTTTTTTCTTTCATGCTATCTGGTAATGGAGGTAAATACTGGAGAAGCCCAAACAGGTTCATGGCAAGATTCAACACGGCAATAGGAGTAGTTGTGAGTAATCTTTAATGAATAAACCCAAAAATGATTCCACTTGATTGATTCATGATCGATGAGGAAATATAAGATCGTTTGACTTTAAATCGAGCAATGAAATCATCTTTTTATATTGTATGTTGGATAGGTTTAACAAGGAGGAGTTCTCTCCACTGAATAGTTAATTGAGAGACCTCTCCCACAAAGCACAAAGGCCTAGAACAATATAGAAAGAATCCAAATACCAGATTGACATGAATTAATTATTTCATGCTCTCAGAATCCCTTATATTTGCACTTTAAACAGAACTCCAAAAGGAATGAACTGTTTTCATATACACTTTTATGATAAATAGACGGTCTTGTGTGAATAATGTCAAAAGAATCGTTTTTGAATTTTGCGTTACACGTATTTGCATTTTGTCACACGCACTTACAAATTTACCTCTTCTCTATACTAGGCTGTAATGGAAAGTACGATCAAGGCTTGTGACTGCTCACGACACGGGGCTATAACATCGCCTTGCTTGGCCAGCTCAACTTGTGCAGAACAGTTGCCGGTTTTAGAAGACATATCAACATACCTGGTTGATAAATATTTGAAATCAAAATCTTTCAGCCCAGTAAAGCCAAGAAGTGCCATAATTAGGGCGACATATCCTCCTGAGATATCTGGAGGCAAAACTGTTTTTATACCAGAACCCAAGATTCCGCCGGAGGTCAATGGGAAAGAGCTGGTATACTACATGGCAAGTCCATTGCACTGCGAACCGCAGAAAGCATACCACTGGGGAGGAATCGGAGGACGGCCGTGTCGACCAGATGCAAAAGCGTTTGACAGTTGCAATATACTTTGCTGCGGGTTTGGATACATGATAATACCAGAAATCGATAAAAAGAACTGCAAAATCACACTTATGCCCAGGTTGTCTATCAAGTGTGAGACGCGTGAAATCTACAAGTACTACTGTAAATACGTTTGGATGGTGCGACGAAGACAAAAAAGAGGGAAATTTGCCGTACCATTGTCATCACTGCGAGATAAAAATTCTCATTTGCTCGATCAGCTGACGTCACACCAAAAACCGTGAACATCCTCGAATAGACGAGTTTGGCCGAAGAGTTGAGAAACCATTTAAGGCATTGGTAGTCCTTAACGGCTGCTGCTGAGGACCCCATTTCAAATCTGTAGGCGGTACATTTGCTAAAGTCTCGCAAAATTAATGGGAGTCTTGGTTATGTGCAGGTTCCATGTAAGGAAAATACTGTAAAATCCGTTGGACTGCCTCCATTAATAGCTTATAGATGCAATACGGTCGTTGTTAAGCGCAAACATGCAGCTAATAGTCGAATTAAAAGGCTATATTGAAGTTGTTGTGCTGTATGTAATAGTTCTAAGTTATCATTTTTGTGGAACCAAAGGGGATAAGGCGATAGGGGTGAAACGCTAAGGGCCTTACAATCCAACGAAATTTTCACTCTAACCTCAACAGTGGGTTATGGTACAATTTTTGAACTTGAAATGTGAGCCAAAGAATTAAGAATAGAAAGCATATGAAATTGATAGTTAAAACGTAATAACATTTGTGATCGCACCATTTGCGAAGCCCACGAAAAAACTCAGTTGGCTAAAGAATTTGTGAGTTGAGTGCTAAAAAGGGAATGTGACTGAGGTTGGATACCTCGAAAACCAAGCTGAAACATCTACTGGTGAGAGTGAAAAAAATTTTAATCTCGTAGATTTTATTCTCAGCTTTAAAGCTTCCTTCACCATCCGAGCAATGGGCTTAACGAAAATATGTAAGATCCAGGCCCGAGAAGTGGCCAGAATGATATTTTGCTAATAACTAATAGCAAAAACATAAGACCCTTTTTGGCGAATGCTTTGTATCACCCAAAGGCTAGGTTTAGAAGGACTATTATGCAATTTAAATGCTTTAGCCGAGGGACGTAGTTATAGCAACGTCATATTGTCAAAAGCGTAAGGTAGAACATTGCAAATATGTATTTTTAGTCGATATTACGTCACTGTAAATAGCACATGCCTCAGAATGTTAAACTGTAAGTAATTTAGTATTGCCTGAATAATTAATTTATAGACATTTATCTATTGATGTTTTTAAGTAAATATCACTTTTGTCTCAAAATCTCGGAAATGATCTTAGCATGTAAATTACACTTATTTATCTTATAAAAACCAAACATCAATAGTGAGTTTCTTGTGAATGCTTCCTAGTCAAGCTCGAATCAGTGCTCGGGAAAAAAGTCAACGTACAGACAAATTCGTTTTGAACGAAAAAAATTATAGTGTGTCGTTTCAAAAATGAGTTTTGGGACCACGAAGCTATCCTTGTTAATATTTTATCCTGGAGTCTTTGTTTCACGAAATTTGTTATGCTAAAGTGAACACAAAGTCTAAACTTCAACGTGCCTGCAAAAAAATGTATTTTGTACCGCCAAAAATGGCAAACCTCAATGTGTGTGACGTTTTATTATGGAAAGAATTATCTCCATTTTTGGGCCTAAAGAGAAAGCGTTTATATGACGGAGAGGTTTATTTGAGAAAAACGGTTGTAGGCTTCCAAGGTGGCACAAATAACTCGACGCACTTTGTATACGGGTTAACAGGAGTTTCTAGTAGCAGAACTTTATATACGATACGAAACATTGGAAAAATTAAGATTGAATAAGGTCATTTCAAACAAAAATGCATTTTTACTATTTGAGAATTTAGCAACGTTAGCCCAGTATAAACATCGCCATATTCAAGTCATCATAGGGCCATCTGAGTAAAGCTTACATTAGAGGAATGTGTTGTCTAGGCCTCACTACTGCTGAAAATTGCTAAATTGTTTGGTTTTCACAACTATTATTCCCTGCCCAGCCTTGATTAATTGTTCTTGATGAAATATGCCGTGTAGGATACATCGTTATAAAATCGTTTAAGTAAACTAACTTCTACATTTTTAGCCCGTTTACTTTTGCTCTGATGAAGCCCCGTATGCCGGTGCAAAATATTAGCCATACTTGTGTTTGTTGTTGTTTATTCTCGGTACGTTGTGGTGTTCCTTATTCACTACATTTTAAAACTAACTTGGTTGCCTGGTCAAGCAAAAATAAATCAAACCAGAAATGTATCTTTAGTTCTGTGTCAGTCAGATGCACTTGAGAAAATTTTTAGCAACAAGCCCATCACCTAATAAGAAATATGTTGCATATTAGAAAGTTTATACATGGTTTGTTCCTTAGTTGTAAATTTTTGGAGAAAACCTCTCATTTCCTGAAAAAGATGTTGTTTGAAATATTGTGTCTTGGAGGAAATGTGCCTCAGGTTAAGAGAGAAGGGGCCACATGATGAATCTAGAAAAGGCGTATTACATAACCACCTTTCCTTGTTAGGTGTGTTCCAAATAGAATTAGATTTTGAACGACTACATTAAGAAAAGTGTATTGAGTTTCATTGAAAAATTATATTATTTCTCACGATTAAAAAGAAATAATAAAGAGATGATTATAAAACGATTAAAAAACTGATTAAAGCTGTATGAGACTTTCTGAACACCTGGTTTTGTATGTCGGCAGGGCGCGCATCACTGATCCTGAACTGGTGGGGGCAGCAATGCAAAGAAAGTTTCCTCTCACAATCTCTTGCTCCAATTGTGGAAAAAATTTTGCTGGCGTCATTTTATTTATGGGACTTTGGTTCAATGTATTCGTTGTAGTCTACAGATTTATCCATTTAAATTAATTTGAGCTGATTTTAATCTCTTATTTCACAAAAAAGTGGGGAGGCCATGGTCTCCTGGCCCTCCTGGGGCGCGGGCCCTGGTCTGAAGCATTTCAAAATGCCAACATTCTAACGAATTTTAACAGTTTCTTCGAGTAAGCAAGTCAATCTTTGTATAAAGTCGAAAATGAAAAGAGCGAGTAGGCTAGTTTTTATTTCCTTACGTTAATTTTCTCTAGTTTTTTTGGCTTCTATTGCCACATAACTTCCACATTAATGGGCAATAGCTAATTTTTCTATCTTTCACTTATTTGTCTTGCTACCCTTTTAGGATTTTAACTATTTTTTACAGATCTGATCGACATGATCCTCGAATTTTAATTATCATTAATCTGAATTGCAAGCCTGATGATAAGTTGGTTGATGACAATACTGTATCAAGCCAAAAATTTGTCTTGACACGTAAACCGACCGGGAACACACATCGCATATCGCATGTTCTTCCCCATTCTGAAACAGAGGCTCACACTTGTTTCTTCTCAGAAATGGCGGAAGAGATGAGAGAGTTTGTACCTGAAGAACATGGCTTGAAAAGTGATTTCAGATTGACTAATTACACAAAGCTTAAAGGATGAGGTTGCAAAGTCCCCCAAGAGCAGTTGAAAAAGCTACTCGAGGGACTTGGATCCGACCATACGACAGAAAATGGGCTAAATGCTGGACTGACCGGGCCTAAGAAACCCAAACTGGATGTCGTTTTGGGCATTGGTCTTGATAGCTGTATGGTGGCAACCCGTCACAAAGGCATACATCTCGTACAAACAACAGATTTTTTCTATCCACTTGTCGATGATCCATATGTTCAAGGGAAGATTGCGTGTGCGAATGTTTTAAGTGACTTATATGCAATGGGTGTTTCAGAATGTGATAACATGTTGATGCTTCTCGGTGTATGCACAGATTTAACAGCAAAGGAAAGAGAAGTGGTAACCAAACTGATTATACAAGGCTTCAGTGACCTAGCTAGAGAAGCAGGCACAACAGTTAATGGTGGACAGACTGTGTTAAACCCATGGTATATCATTGGTGGAGTGGCTAGCAGCGTTGTAACGGAAAATGAAGTTATTTTGTAAGTTGAAAATATTGTTTCAGATTTAAGGCTACTGAGCCCCAAATTTTGCTTTAGATTCTTTGTGCCCTTATTCAAGTTCCATCAAACTCATTTCTATGCTTCAAAGAGGGTGAAATTTTGAAATGTTACAGCATACTCTGTCCTGAATTGGAAACTTTGATATTTGCACAGAAAAAACCAGTTAGTGAATTTTTGTGCAGTTGTAGCAAAAAATAACAGTAATTTGTGCTAAGATGTATATATTAATATATAGCAGGCCTTCCTGGGAATAAATTAGCACAAGTGTGGCATTTTACACCCCTAGGCTGTTTTAGGTGTGTGATGGAGTGCTATTGGTGTTTTGTCTTATTTCCACAAATGTTTAATTACATAGTACATAGAGCCTTCAAAAATCCCCATTCTTAAGTCATTTCTTCAGTTTTCACACAACTTTAGCAATAAATATTTCTGGTGGCAAAACTATAAAGGGAGGGTAAGGATATTGCCAGAGATCTTTACTAAATTTGACGCTGGAAGTATTTTAGATGCAGTTACCAGCAATCCCTCTTACCACCAACCATGGTGACAGTCTTCATGAAACCCTTGAAGGAAATTAAAGTTTTGGCCCCAACTTTCAATTATATATGTCTCATCAAAAGGTATATGAAAACAGCTTTGAAAATGGCACAAAACATATCAGTGCAAACGCTTAAAACAGAACAATTCTATTGCAGATGTCTCCAGGTGTAGTAATAATATAAAAATAATAATACCTTTTTTACTTTCAGTTTGACAATAGTGTGAACACTAATAAACACTAACATGAAGCAATTTAAGAAATTGCATTATGGAAGTCATTGACTGCAAGCGCTACAGGCGCATTGGTTTTCGAAATAAAAATCTTTTATAGCTAAGAACTTTCAATTGCCTTGCATTTTTGGATGATTTTATTTCATTTGGACGAGAATTCCAAATCTTTGGACCCAAAAGCTCTTGAAAATTTCATGCCTTTGTCACAACCTGCCGTTTTCCAAATGTTTCTGCTTTCATATGAAAACGATACAGCTATGAATAATTTTTGGGAGAATGGGATATAATCGTTGGACAATTATGCCATAGTGCGCAAGCCCTTCTGGGGAGTGTTGTTTAGCGTTGCGTCACGCTTCGTTTATTTTGAACCCAGCAGGCGGTTACTGAAATCACTCGCGTATAAGAATAGCGTACAGAAAGCGAGCTTTCAAGCAAGGGGCCATTGGCAAAGGCTTTCAAAAAAACAGCAGCTCCTTAGAATGATGGATGAGTGACAATCTGATACACACAACTTACTCCAAATCTTTGTTGCATTTTGCTTATTGTCATGGACCCCTTTACATTTCTTGCTGAAGTTATATTACTTTACATTACATTTCAAATTTAAGAGTATAGAGCAGAAGGAATACGGCACAAATCTTTTGCTTGAAAATTCAACTTAATTTGCCAATTGAAAAAGGTATTTTTAAATCATGTGCATGCTAACACAAGTCTATAATGAAAATGTGAGTTAGTTTTTACAAGCACTGGGCTAAAAGATGATTGCAAATTGCCGTATAATCATGGTTTCTGCAGCCTTAGATGTAAGAATGAAATTTACTGGACCACTACTAGCCCCGATACTATGGTGATTTGGTCCGTGTTTAGTTGCATTAAAGTGTCGTCACAACAGCTCTTCAAAATGATTTCGATGACCCAGGACAGTGGACAGGACCGGCGAAACACATCAAAATTAAAAACATAAAACAATTTCTTGTTTTTTTTTGTCACCTAATTAGTTTCCAGCGCTTTGGTTAAAAAACGAATGAATGATTACAAAAATAGGTGTGCGGTTAAACACACTCCTTGGTATGGGGAGGCATGTACCAGCATGTGCAAGTGCGAACACACACCTTTCCGGGGAAGGCCTGTATAGCAAACACAAAACTAGGCAAAAAATTGAATTACACAACAGCAGCAAATTATAATTTCTTGTTCAAATCTGTAGAATACACTCAAAATTATAAGGGAAATATCTGGTATGTACAGAGCAAGTTTTCCTGTCTAGGCACTGTCTAGAAAATTTGGTGTTTTACTGGCAAAAATGCTATATTCACAAGAGAAATTCCATTCTGTTTTCAATTGAACACTCAGAATTGATACTCAAATTCTTCTTGTTACCCTACACCTGTGTTTTGACTTTAAAATGACTTTAGAGTGTTAGTGTGCAGAGGAAGAATTGCTTTCCAGTGCAAATTTTTCAGGGCACAGCACCTCACGCCTACCATGTAGCTGTAGATGTTGGCTAGGGTGGGCAAACTGTAGCAAGAACCTTACCTGAGGGGGGCAGGCCTTGAAACAAGAAAACAGATATATAACAAACAGATATTTGGACTAACTCAAGCTCACAGAAATATAATTATGCCAAATTTTCATAATCTAATTCGGAAAAACTGTAGCTAGAGGGGTCAAGTTGTTGTCAAATTTTCATTTAGGGGGCACAGCCCCCGTGCCTTCCTGCAGCTACATGGCTGCCTCACTCATGCCGCTTATCAATGACTTCAGTCCCTAAGATTTCTGCCTCGAGGCTAACAAGGCATGCATGGTGTTATCCAATATTATGACAGGGGGAGAGCTTATCAAAATTACAAATAGTTTAAAATTCATCTGTTAATCATTTTTTTCAAAAGAGAAGAACACATTTTTCTCTCTTCAGATTCATATGCTTTCTTCACAGACAAAACTTGAAATTAATTGCTACCTTGCTTGAAGAACAGTCACTGTGTTGTATCTTGCCAATCTTCATTTTGGAGCAGTTACTATATAGCACAAACACAGAATTGCCAGGAAAGATGTCATATGCAGTATAGTACAACAGGCTAATTTTCACTTAGGTTTGGAAAAGGTCAACCAATCCCTCAATTCTATCAGGCCCAGGACCGTCGAGAAGGGGGGGTAACCAGGGTAGTTACCAGGGGGCCCGGGGCCTTGAGGGGCCCGTAGAAAATAAGGTATGTATTTTTGGCTATGAGTTTTCAATTAGCAGCATTGGCAGGGCGGGCCCATGACCCGATTGATATTCGAGATTTAATCTTTCGACACGGAATCAACAAGCTGATCTATGATGAGGGCCTTTTTTTTGTTATGGTTTATAATTAAAACATTGACGATACGATCATAATATACTTCTCCGGAAGCCGAAAAATTCGATTGCACTTACATATATCTACTTTTAGGTCAAATGTTTTAGTTATTCCTTGTGTGGACTTCCTATAAACGTAGAACTAAATCTTCCATTCACGGCGTACACCAGAGAAAAAGCACATGCGAAGAGCCAAGACAAATCCAAACGCTATAAAAGTCTTTATCAAAATCACTAAGCGGGATCACGATCCAACCAACCCCTGCGATGTCATCTTACAGGCACAAGTCTGGTGCTCAGAAAGGGCAGGAAAAAAGATGCGAGAAAAAAAAGCAAAGAAAGCCTCTCGCACTTTGTTTGAGGTAGGTGCTTACAAAAGAGACAAGGAAGGTGATTCAGGTGATTTAAATAAACCTGGTGAAAACTCTGTTCAAAGCACTGCTGAAAAAGAAGAAGACACAAACGGCTTGGCTGCTTCGGTAGACCATGACACCACAGAAAGTAGAGAAATCACTACTGATTCATCATTAAATCAAGATACTGTTCATAGTGGACCATCTAGTTTTGATGTCGGCACATTGACCGGATTTCCAACGATAAAGGAGTTAGAAAAGGCTGTTAAAACTGGTCATTTGCCCCATCCTTCAGAGTTTCCCAAAGATTGCGACGGCCACAAATTTCCAACAACGGTCCTGAATGTGAAGCAGCAAAATGGGGAGGTAGTAAGACGAAGCTGGCTTGTTTTCAGTCCTACAAAGGCTGCACTCTATTGTTTGCCATGCAGGCTGTTTGGGCACACTAATAATAATGGTTCAAAAGCAAAATTGGCTTCTCCTTATGGTTGGGGAGCGAACGACAGCTGGAAAAGATTGTGGGAAAAGAATAAAGATTTCGCCATGAGGAAAGCAAGAAAAGCAGTTTTTCAAACATTAAATTAACTCTGATTTTTAAACTGATTTCTTTTAATGATTTGTTTTATATAGTCACTAATTACATGTTCTGTTAAAGACCTTAAAATACAAATTCAAGTGTTTCAGGGGCGTTGATTTCAAAATTCATGCCTTTTACAGTCCATCTAACTGCATTGCTAAGGGCGTAACCCAAAAAAGGTTTTTGCAGCCTTCGACTGTGGGGCCCCATGACAGTCCCAGCCCTGGGGCCCGGCCTGTCTCTCGACGGCCCTGATCAGGCCTTTTGCCTTGCTTTTTAGAATTTGTTCCATTCCTGGAAGGTGTCTTTTGAATTCTTTGCATTGCCATAAATGTTCTAAGTTTTCTTCCTGTAATCCACACCTTCTGCAACTTGTATTATCATATTTTCCTTTGTAATTAGCTTTTAAATCGGCCATGTTTAGTTTCAATTTTAGTAACGTTGGTCCCTTTTAATGTTTTATATATTCTTTTATTCCAAAATTGCCTTTCTAATGAACCTCATCTTTGTTTTACCGCTATTCTTAACTTGCTGCGCTACCCTCTTTGTGATTTTGCTTTTTACTATTTTTTCCAATCTTTCCTTGATAGATCTTAAATTTGTTTTTCTGAGTATTGTATATTCAGTTCAATCAAGTCATTCATTATTTCATCATACCAACAATTTCTTAGGTTAAGGTGCTTTTGTTCTTGGTATACTTGTTTTGTTAAAGGTGTTTCTTTCATGTTTATTAGTTTATGTAAGTACAATAGTCTTCACATCTTTTTCTATATTTTCAAGGATTTTTAAGATTTTTTTGTTCTCATTAGTCCATGTTTCACACCCATATAAGATTTTAGGGATAAGTACACTTTCAATCAATTCTATGCTTATTTCCATGCTTTATTTTTTTAATGCTGGTTGGCTGATTAAGAATTTTATTTCATTAATGATTGCCTTTGCTTAATTTTTCCTGCTATTAATGCATTCCTCTACTGTTCCTCTGCTATTTTTTAGATCTCCTAGGTATTTATATTTGCTCACCTCTTTTTAGGGTTGTCCCATTTAGCTTTCGTTTCTGACCTTGGTCTTTACTCTGTTTGTTTTTGAAATTCATTATCATTCTTTCACTCTTATTAAGGTTAAAGTTTAGTAGATTTTGTTTTTGAAATTCTTCTGCTTTGTTCAACGTTTGTTGTATTTTCTCTACTGAAATAGATGCAAACAGAATATCATCTTGATACAATAGAGGTGGGATAATCATCCTTCCATTTCATATTCCTAGTCCCTTTTTAATTATAGGTTCCATTCCTTTATCAATGTGATTTGCACATATCGGAGCTGCTAATGTTGTGCCCTGTTTAAGATTTTCACCTATTTCAATGTCCTGAGTTATTCCACATGATGTATTTATTTGAACACAGCCTTCTTTGTTCAATTCATAGATGCTTTTTAGGTATTTACCTTTAACTTCACTTTTATATAAATCTAGTAAACATGATTTCGAACATAATTTGTCAAAAGCTTTTTCTAAATCAAGGAACACTAAGTTAATATCACATTTAATGTATTTGTGGTAATCAGTCACTGCTTGCCACACAAATAGGTGATCCTGGGTGGATCTTCCCTTTCTCCCACCAGCAGCAGCCTCTGAAAAGCCATTTTCTATATTCTTCCTTAGCCTATTTAGTATCAACTTTTCAAATATTTTGCTGATATTGATAATTAGAAATATTCCTTGCCAGTTTTTTAATTTTCTCCTATTACCTTTTCTCTTGTATATTGTTTTAACTATTAATTTTTTGATGTTTTTTGTGTAACCCCCTTTTCAAACGCAATATTTATAATTTTCAAAATTGATGTTTTTTCCAGAACTATCACAGATATTTTTCTTTATCTTCAATTCAACATCTTCTTGTTTTACGTTTTGTGTGAATGCATTTTTAAGGTTAGAACGGTCTGGCAAACACTCCCTAAACAGTTTGCACTGTCAAAATGAGGTGAAACATCTGCCCACAGCCTGTTAGTTGCTTCACCGTCAGACCATTACACATGTCTACTTACTTCTCGATTCAAACAAGCAAAAATAATTCGAATTGACAGCTTTTCGTGAATTCGAATTGATTTTTTTATTCGAATACGAAATTGAATTGTGTTTGACCTAATTTTTGTTTGCCGCTTAAAAGCAATTTTGGAATAAAGTGAGATGTTTTTCTCTCCACAATTCACATAAAATTCATTACACATATTATCTAACCCTGGACTTTTCTTTGTTTTTAAGCTATTTAAAACATTTTGGAGAAAACAGTTTGGTTTAAAAAATATTCTGGGGATTTACTATCACCTTGTTTTCTTCCAATGTTTTTAAACAGGATTGTTTTTAGCCTTACATGTTTCTTGTATTTATTTTCTGGTTTCTTATTTGATAATAGTTTCTTGAAATAGCATTTTCATGCTCTCTAAGGATTTCAATAGTGTCTGGGAGTTCTTTTCCATTTACATTTAGAATTGATCATGGGTACTCAGTTTTCTTACCAAGTATATCTGCTGTTAATTTATAAAACTCAGCACTATTTTCTTAAAATTTCTTAATTTCATCCATATTTGTTTTGAGCCTTTTTAATTTTTCTATATTTAGTTTTTTCAAGGATTTTTTTGTTAATTGTCTTGATTCTTATTTTTGTGACATCCCTATTAATTATATTCCCATCATTTGTATATGTTGTTAGTTTCTTTTTTTAATTTTCTTTTTTTCATTTTCAAATCCTTGTGCTCAATATTATTTTTTGTAGCATTAAACCTTTTTTGAAATATTTTTCCATTACATTATCTTTTTATCCCATTTGAAATAGATTTGATTTATATTTTCTAGCTCATCCACATTAAATGTCACATTCTGTGTTTGTTTTTTTGAAATTCTGAAGGGATTCATCAATGATTACCCATTTATACTTCTTTATTTTCTTTTGGAATAATGTTATCTGGGTTTTACCATGCTTCAAAGTTGTGTGCTTTCTCCTTAATATATCCTAATAAAAAATGTGCTTAGACCTTGGCAGCTGTAGATGTAAACACCTATTAAAATTACGACAAACACAATCACAGTTGTCTGCTAAATATGGTTATTCTACAATCACTTATGCTATTGGTGTGCCCAGCGTAACTTATAGTTGGACTGTTGGATTGGATTTTTTTAATCACTTTTTAGATCGTTGCTAACATTTACACTGTTGCAGATCATTGCTAGTTTGCAAGAAGGAATATTTATTCTTATCACCATTGATGATGAATTGCATAAGAAGATATTTTTTTTCATCTTAATGTTTGAATGAATATTTTCAAGTTTTATGAAAATTTTAAGTGAGTTACCTATTACAAAATTTTCCTATTTTAAACATGGATTTTTGTCTTGAAGCTTATCACAAAACTTTTTTGTGACTTTTAGGCCAGAGAATGCTGTTGCAGGTGATGTAATAGTATTAACCAAGCCACTAGGAACTCAAATAGCAGTTAATGCACACCAATGGATAGAACAGGTAAATATTTTTCTCAACAACTGAATTTCCAGTCTTTTATTTAATGGTTGTTTTTTAAAAGCAGCATAATTCTGTGAAATAAATTGAAAAACTTATTGTGCATATTTAAAATCTGTGAAAGAATGCATTGGCAAATATAAAATTGGATCTTGCAATGTAAAAAAGCTCAAATTATATTATATTTGAAGATTCAGAAGCATGTTTTTAGAAGCTAAGTTTCTTTTTAAGCACATGACCAAGAAATGTGTCAATATTAGAGAGTTAAGCCAGGCATAGCATTTGAACACACTGTGGCTCATCTGTATTTTCATTGAAAAATTCTTCTAGTTATACACAAGTCATCCTTGTTTCTGATTATGATTATGATTTTTTAATGCTTCAACTTGTAACATATTAGGTTTTGTATTGAGTTATCTAATGTTATTACCTTATTATGCTAGGTATATGGTTATATTTTATTTCAGCATTGAGTTATGTATTACAAAAGGCAATTCCTTTTAGTGTGTGACTTGTACATATTTGTACTCTAGCAATGCATTTTGTGTAGCTTGTGGGAAAAAGCTTGTTTATTTCTGTTATCAAAAGAACCCAATAAACTTTACAAACTGACTCTCTTTAAAGACAAGTTAGATTTTATTGCAATGAAACATTTCTTTTTCTGAAGCCTGAGATGTGGAAGAAAATTGAACATACAGTGTCTGTTTCTGAAGTGAAAACTGCCTACAAGAAGGCCATGCACTCTATGGCCTGTTTGAATAAAAATGCAGCAAAACTCATGCACAAGTACAATGCGCATTGTTCCACTGATGTAACTGGATTTGGAATATTGGGTCATGCTATGAATCTTGTTTTGAATCAAAAGGAGAAAGTTTCGTTTCTTATAAACAAACTCCCTATTCTTGCAAACATGACAGCTGTTTATAAAGCTTGTGGAATCAACTTCAAATTACTGGAAGGATATTCTGCAGAAACATCTGGTATCTTAACACTTCTTCCATATTTTTCAGCTTTAAATTTTATATTTTGTTGGGGTACTAAATAAAATGCTAGCTTTGTAGCCTTAAGTATGAAGACCTATTCAGTAATTTTGTCTTGCATTTTCAATTTCAAATACACTCTGCATTATATCATTCTAAAAAATGAAACCATAACTGTTAATGTCCTGTTAGATGGTCAGATTTTTTCATCATATATCTATTTGATATTTGTGCTGTTGAATATTCTAAAGGTTAAAATACCATATACACTTTTTTATAAGAATATAGTACATAAGAATAATAAAGCTCAGGCACTGAAATTAAAGAATAATTTAAGAATAATGCAAGGCTCAAGCTTCACCAAGAATTAAATTTTTTTTTATTTGAGTTTTTTGGAAAGCAATGATTTGCCTCACATTATTATTAGAGTTTCACACTATATGTCTTGACCTGGAGGCATTTGGCTTGGGAATTATTAACACTATAATGTAACTCAGTTTCACCCTGTGTTGCTTAAGGATAATTTAACAATAATCTTAGGCTCAAAATAATATTTATTCTTATAGAAAAATGTGTATACTTTATTTTCATGCATGGCTGAAACACAAGTCACAATAGTTATGCAGATAATTTCTTCTTTCCTTAGATAATTATTAATATTGGTGAACAAATATGGTCCTTTTACAGGGCCTTTAAAATAGTCAGAAGTAAATCAAGAGTCATTCTCTAGAAAACACTGGACTGGTTTGTCGTGTTGTTATATTGATAACTCCATTTGTAATGATATGGTTAATCCAGAAGTTCTAATAGCCTTTTCTGTTTTGTTATCTGATTGCCATTCAGTATTTTGAAGGAAGTGGCAGACACCTAAGGGGGAAAGGGGTCTGTCCCCCAAATATTTTGGAAGACAATGGTCATTTGTTCTACAACAATAGGGGAATGTGATGTTATCTTATCAAAACAATAGGCTTGCCCCCAGTATTGACAGAGTGTCTGCCACTGTTTGAAGGGTTGTTGGGTATTAGTTGCCACTTTTTATGATTTTAAAAAACAAATCATGTTGAAAATTTTGTCTTAATACAGCTCTTAAAAAGCAGTATTTTCAAGATAGCTGCTTTGTGTTTGTAGGTGGGCTTCTTGTTTGCATGGCCCCGTCTGATGCAGTGGAATATTGTAATGAGTTGGAGAATATTGATGGAAATAAAGCATGGATAATTGGTGAAGTCATTCAAGGTGAAAGGGAAGCAAAACTTTCAGAAAACTTTGAGATAATTGAGGTTTAGTGTTATTTGGTCTTGTTTTGATAGTCTAAAAGATTAATTTGATTACTTTATTATTAAAATCAATGGCAATTAAGAATTGCCCCCATATTACTATGATTTGGACATATTTTATACTTTTACATGAAATTGTTGGTCTCGAATGAACTGTTTCAGTATTTGTTGATAATTAGGGTTATAATCAAGTTATCATGTAACAGCTTTTTATGAAGTTTTTCCAGAAACATTGAACAATTGTTGGTTAGACTGATAGAAATAAAGTTGTTCATGAAGTGATTAAGCTTTTGTGCTTTTTGGATGGGCTCTGCTTTAATAGTCATATAGTTGCAATGTCAAAGAACTTGGTATATTTTTAGTATTGTTGTTTGGTAGTGAAAATACTGAATCCAATGGGAAGATACTGAACTGTATAGGTGTTAATAGTTAGATGTCTGATAGTTCAAACTTGGCAATCAGAGTTTTAATTATCTAGAGTTCTATAGTTAAGAGCGTTTTTAACACAATTTTTTCTATGGGACAGGTTTTTGTAAATGTAAATGTAAATTTGTTTGGTACCCAGAGGTGCTAGGTCAATCATGGCACATTTCTCACTACCCAAAGCTCCCAATAATTTGTAATTTTGGAAATTTATATAGTATGCAATAAGAGCACAAGAATGGTGAAAAATATGCGACAATTGACAATAAACCGTTATATACAAACAAGCAGTATCGGACACAAACTGAATATTCACAAATATACATAAACATAATTCACTAATCACACCTCAAACCTTTCGCTACCCCACTACTCAAAAATCAATTTAAAAGTATGTTTTTATAACTTGCATTGTATGCAGTGCATGCAACAGGCTATTTTGCAAGGTCTCTTGTGTTTCTAGCTATCCATCCAGAGGGTGCTTTGTTTGACAATGTGTTTATTATTGTGGCCTCTGCAATTTCACTGGCGAATAATTATTACATGGTAGACAAGCTGTAAACATCCAGCAGTGGTCTCTCTTTTAGGATTTGTCGACTGTGTTTAAACTTTAAGGCAATCTCCTCAGCGTCTTTTTCTCATCCCTTTTGTTTTTTGACGAACCTCTTTTTGCTTGGGCTTCTCAGCAATAGAATACTCGGCATGATGTTCCTCTAATTCATGAACCTTTTTCGATGGAATGAAAATAACAGCTAGTATACAAATCATTTGGAATACGGCCCCAAGCCACAACCCACAACGCATTAATGTGTCGCCCAAGCTTTCTTCATGCGCCATTTTTGTTACCATTCTAGGACTGCAACAACAACGCGGTAAAGTACCTTGTAGGCGTGGACAGTAGGCGGGGAGAATGGGCGTGGACAGGGGCGGGGACAGTGGGCGGGGGCAATTTTGCTGTGCTTTCCAAAATTTTGCCAGTACCATTTTGACAAATATCAAGAGCGAGGGTCGCTTAGGGGCTCCAGAGAGCACGCAGAAAGTGTAAAGGGAACAGCGGAGCATGAAATGAATCTTAAACGAAGGGGGTGCTTTTATCTCGGTTGAGATAGCCTTCGCGCAATCTTTTGTTGCTGTTGCTGAACGGGGAATGTAAAAATTTGTTCATTTCCAAGACAGCAACAGCAAACAGATTGCGCACAGGCTAGGTTGAGAGAGATCTTCCTCTAAGCAGGGGTGTAGTGCTATCAAAATAACAAGGGGGGAGGGGGGGCTACAAACATTTTTGCAAAAACAAAAGCAAAAGTAGAAATTGGCTACATTTCGGCATTAAAACGTTGCAAAGATCAACTGCATAATTACTCTAAATATGAAATATGTTTATGTGGGTCATTAACGTGTATTTTACATAAAATCTATAATAGTTTCCCCCTTTTCGACTTTTTATGAAGACCTATTTTCTCTGCATTATATTTTTAGCTTCTTCCTTTAAATCATGACAGAAACCTGCGAGTTTTTAATTTCGACTGCGTGTGCTGGCTATGCTATGCTCTAAAATCAGAGTCGTCACCAAAGGAGAACTGCAATGAGGGCAATAACGCAGCTTTATAATACCAATTCAAAACAGTATGGTAATCCCACCAACTTTGTAGCTGCTTTTTAGGAAAGAATGATTTCTGGCGTTTCAAAGAGTGTTACCTTACTGTCCTCCTTTCTATCGTTTTGTAAACCAAAAGTTCCACCACTGACTGTTTTGCGTGTCGTCCGAGTAAGACAAAAAAATATATATTTGAATGTCCTATGATTTATGTTTAGTGTTGTTTTCGAATGACAAACGTCGAGACAGTATTCGCAAAAACCCATTTCAGCAAAAATCGTTGCCAAAAAAAATAATATTGCAAGCATGTTTGGTTCAATTTTTATTTTCTTTTCGCATCTGCTTTTGTTGCATCTAGGGCCGCCGAGAGGTTCTGTGGTCCTGGGGCAAAACAAAAAGGTGAGGCCCCCTTCAAGCGAAGCGAGCAGATAATTCCTGCGACCGTGCTTTTTATATTAGCTCAAATTCATTAATTTTCTTGCAATCGTTCAAATTTTTTTACTACTTTTAGGCATGATTTTGTTAGTTTTAATTTATTCCATTTAAAAAGGAATTCGTAGCTTTATGAGCCCCCCCCAATAGACCTCGAAGACATAATTTACCCTCGTGCCTCTTCTCTCGGTAAAAAAGGGAATCTTATTTCTTTGCTATTCGAGTCATAATGCAACATTTTTTATCAATCCTGCTGTATTTTTAATTTAATATTTATTTAGAATTTATCATTTAACTTTCATCCGTTCAAAGAGCTCTGTGTCAAATACAGTATGATCGATCTTAAGTAAATTGAACTTTTAGAAGAATTTATAAATACAAAACAAACAAATTTTTGGTACCGTAAAATTTGAAGATAGTACAAGAATCGAAACATAGCATACTGAAGTGCTTTCGTCCGACACCCCCCCCCCCCCCCCTCCCCAGAATATAAAGTTCTGATAATGACGAAATTTAAGCAGGAGCTTACATCCAAAAACTGATCGACAGTGACGTGAAAGGAGGAATGACGCATGTTTTTAATCTGTCTACATCTACTCAAAATTCAAAAGGAGCCATTATCTTAAAATCAGTATAACCTATAGGTGCTGCTGTAATCAGTAGGCCTCCTGATTAATTAATTTCTTTCATTCCTTTCTTATTTTATTTTAGATAATTGTTACTTGGCAGCGTACCGTACCCCTTCTAATTACGATTTTCCCGTGTTTCTTGTTTATCAGATGCTTCTGTTTCATTAAATTGATCATATTGTAATTTGGACGGCCACTCGTTAGCGTGCCAACACAAAACCGCAAGATCCGCCTTCGGGGGCGTGTGTCGGGTGTGAAGGGGTATCGCTAAACGATTACGAGGCTAGGTGGTGGCATTTTTAAACGAACGCTAGGCCTGTGAAAGACGTGTGCGACACATCACTGTTGTTGGATTTTATTTGTTCTAACGAGGATACACATTCACGCGGTCTTTGCTAAGCAGAGAATGAATCTGGGAAATATTCAGAAGATAGCGCGACCATATTTCCAACAATTCTCTTGTCAAAATGGCTGGAGAGCGCTGTCCTCAAAACCATACCTCAGCAAAACTAAAGTAGAAAGTGGCAAGATCCTTGCCTTGCGAAGGGAAGACATAAATGTCTGGGAACGACGTGCACCCATCGCACCCCAACATATAAAATCCCTAAAGGAGCAAGGAATAAATACTCTGGTTCAACCATCTACACGAAGGGCATATACCATGCAAGAATATGAAAATGCTGGGGCAATTATCACGGAAGATTTGAGCCCAGCATCTGTAATCATCGGGGTTAAACAGGTTCCAATTGACTTGCTGATACCAGACAAATCATATGCATTTTTCTCGCATACAATAAAAGCACAAGAGGCTAATATGCCACTGCTTGATGCTATGTTGGCAAAGGTACGTCGAATGAAAATATATTCACATTTCTTTAAAATACCCTTTTCGAAGGGAAATTAGCTAGGCAGTTAACCTTAAGATATTTTTCTACACAGCCTCTAAGATATTTCAGACTGTACATACAACAATAGGGTATTTAAGGGGTTTAATAAACAGTAAATTATTACTAGCCAGGATATAATCAAGCAATCTCTAAAAACATATAGGCCTAATCATTTTCCTTCTCAGGTACTTTGAAGTGTCATTATTGCCACTTCAAGGCCATCTTTTGTATATTGGATCTAGATGTTGCTTTCATTTGTTAAAACCTTAAAGTTAATTGCCTTATTGATAAAAGTTTGCATTCATGACCATACATTTCACATTTCACCAAAACTTCCTGTTTGCCATTCAACAAAGCTAATTTTAAAAAGCCCTTTGATGATTTGATTTAATCACAACAAAATACCTTTAATTGGACTAAAAGTCAATCATTATTAAATATAATCAGAACTGTAGCCACTATTGTTTCTTTGGAGGTAGATAATTTAGGACAAAAAACTGTAGTCAGAAGATATATGTGGTCCAGGGTAGCCCCTACAAGGTCAATTGTCAGCAAAATTCATCCAAGGTGAAAGAGATTTCTGATGGGGTCAAATGATTAGGCAGAAAGCTCTTTGACAACATGTTGTTCTTTAGTTTGTACCATTGGCTAGCCCTACAAATCACTACTAGTATGGCTTATGCTATCATCTGATTGGGTAGAAGATTTTTAGTGTTGGTGCCTTCCTTGGCTGTTCAATATATTTCATTTGCTTATAATCAAATAAATGTATCTCTTGTTCATTTATTTTGTACCTATTCTACATCACATGCAATTTTGCTGGAGCTATTGCTGCCCTTGCAAAATTCAGCTGTCTCTTTGTTTTGCTTTGTCTTGCCCTTTTCTTAATGCTTTGACAAACCTAGGAGCAAAGTGATCATTTGATAATCTGCACTAAGTAATTTATTCCCAGTAATCTCCGGATTTAAAATCACCTGTTTCTGGTTTGAGAATTGTTAATTTGCTACCTTGTTAGAGATGGAATATTCCAACCATTTTCAGTGATGAATTAGATTTTTAAGTTAAAGCTGAAGCTCAGTTGGAAAAAGCATTTGTTTGAGCCCTCTCCTAGCCTTTGGTAATACTAAGGAAGCACATCTACTTTCAACTAAAGAGATCACAATGAGGCAGGTCTGATGCATGCAAGAGCAGTCTCATATTCTAGTAATCTTAGAGATAATGCCTTTGTAGCGTTTTTCATAGCATCATTTTGGAAATTTGAAGTAATGTATTTTTTGCATTTTAGAATATTCGTATTATTGACTATGAAAGGATGGTTGAGGAGAATGGTCAAAGAGTTGCAGCTTTTGGGAAATTTGCAGGAGTTGCAGGCATGGTTTATTATGTTTTAAGATTTTGCCCAAGGCAAACCTTTTCTATTTGCCCAAAGGAAATTCTTCTTTATGGAAGCTATCTTTGTTTAATTTATGGAAGCTCCTTTTGACTTTCTAACCAATCCTTTATCCAACTTACAAAAATGAAAACCACTTGCTGAAAGTAAATTGATTAGATTTGCTTGTCTGTTAGGTGGTGTGTGAAGAATTTATCCAGAAGTATGTGAAATCTTTTCAATTTTAATTTGTTGGCTTTTCAATAAAACTGGTTGCCAGGAAAGGAAACAATGTCCTAATTAATGTAAGCCAATTTCAAATAGAGTGTGGTTTTAGAAGGAGGGGGACCAAGGTGATATATCAATTAAGAATGCCAAGGTGTATATCATGCTATACAGGTAAATAAGGGGGTAATTTAATACTGCCAAACTACTTTTGCAAACTTTCATTGTCATCAAGTAAACTCTGTGGATCAGGGTTTTTAAAGGAAAGTTTAGAACTGCAAATCACATGAGCAAAATACAGGGTTGAAAAAAACATTCACTATTTTGCACTTGTTCAATGATTTAAGGAATTTTCTATAGCACTGAAACATTAAGGGTGTTAAAATGTATAGCTCTGGTCGCACAACTGAGGGAATGAACATTGTAGCATGGGCAAATTGAACTCTCCAATTGGCTGCCAATGCAAGACCATTCACTGAGTATTTCAACTCAGTTGAATTACTAAGAGACTGGACACGTTCACAGATTCACTGATTAGTTGATTCTCTTTCGCCAAAGTGGTGCGACCAAAGTGGTGCAACCAAAGTGGAGCGACCAAAGTCAATCAAGTGGAAACCCTCTTTAAGTGGTGCATTGTCCTGCACAGCAGCATTGTGTGGTGACATTGTGTAGTAGGGTGGCCAGCTCTTTTTTACGCTGCTTTTTCCTCCCTAGAATGCTTCAGCTATGTACTCATTTTCAGCTGAGTGAATTGAGGGCCGTTCAGGAGCTGGGATCAAACCCATAGGGCTGGCATGGGAGTCAAGTGCCTTAACTATCCAGCTACCGTGGCACTGTAACTGAAATATTAGGGGTGTTAACGTGTTAAGATATTGGGATGTGCCGTTATAAGAAAAATGTTGTGATCATAGTTGAGTGTTTCATATGAAATGTGAGACACATTGTAGATTGGCTTTACTAGACATTTTATGAGGATTTGTCAAAAATGAAAATACATACCTATGATTACACAATGTTTTGCTTTTCAGTGCAAATTTTCAGCTACATTTTTCAACCTCAACTTCAAATTTTTCTAACTGAAATCTCAGTTTTGTCCTAACCATTCATTAATTTCGGCTCTGATATGTTTTTTGTTTTAGTATTTCTTTTGTCAATTATGAATGCTAATTATTATTTTTATAGGTATGATAAACATACTTCATGGAATTGGACTCCGATTACTAGCTTTAGGTCACCACACACCATTCATGGTAATTCTTTGCAAAATATGCTATGCCAAGTTTTAGTATATAGACTTTTTCTAAACTAATTCGGAGCTACAAGCATTTTATAAATTGACATACTGTGTACCATCATCTTGACGATATTGTTGTTTGTTGAAGTTCCAATGTTTATTTTTTGGTTCAAGTACACAATCAGGTTTTCATCAGTTTTTGGTCCGTCGTTTTAAATTAAATTTCTCTGCATGGTTTTGTTAGTGCGGCTTATAATGAAGGGCGACTTGCATCTTTTATACAGCCCATTTGCTGCAGCTTGTATTCGAGGGCAGCTTAAAAAACAGCTTATAATCTTAAAAAATACAGTATGTTGAGCTCTGCTTACTGTATTTATATTGGCATTTATCTGTTTATTTTCAAGTATATCGGAGCAACACACAATTACAAAAACAGCAGGCAAGCAAAGCTGGCAATCTATGAACTTGGCGAAGACATCAAAGCTGGAAAGCTCCCTGCTCATTTTGGGCCTTTGACATTTGTCTTCACTGGTTCTGGAAATGTATCGCAGGTATTGTCTTCGCAAAAATAGTTTTGTTTAGAATTTTTCTGCTATTTTGGAAACTGTTTAGCTCTGCGTGTTTCGTGTGCAGTCGCGGCTTGCAGCGGTACTAGTTGTACCAGTCTAGTACCATTTTATTTTGAAAGCTTGAAATATTTTTGCATTGTATGATTTTGCTTTTTTCTATGAAAATTGAATTAATGGCAAAAAAGGGAAGAGTAGTGGAATACACTGTATCTTAATTCTGACCCTCCTTATCTTAATTCTCTTTGAAAGATTGGCATTGAATAAGCCCTTTGTGTACACGACGTTACTAGACTTCATTCATCCAGTACTACAGAAGTCTGTCCCATTGTCATTTGTGACTCAACGTGACGTAAAACCGTTCTTCTTTCGACAATCAAACAATGAAAAAATTATTCGCAGTACTAGATTCCTCTCTCTAGTAATAAAATGCGGCGAGGCCATTAAACCCCTGCAGCTGGCAATATCACATGACAAACCGAGGTATTATATGAAAACTTCTGACCCGCCATTAAAAGACAATTTGGCCATATTAGCTATAAGACAAAAATTTTCCAGGGACAATGCCTCTGCACCACCCTTTCTTTAGCTGGTTCGTGTTGCTAAAAAGTTTTTTTGGCTTTACTAGTACCATCTTATTTTCGTGCCATCCGCCACTGTTCGTGTGTGTCTGTCCGTGTGGGAAAATATGTTTAAAAATGTCTATATTGAATCGTAAATCCAACGTTAAAAGTTGGTATCTTCCTTGTCCCTAAGTTTATTTGACCTCCCCCACACAACGCCCTCATGCGCATCTTAGCATTAATGCTATAAAAGTAAGAAAACCCCTTTAGCCGGATTTTGCTACCCTTTGCCCCTACTTATTAGAGGTAGCAAGTCTTTTTCCTTGTTTTGGGAGTTTTAGGGTGGGGGGGGGGGGGCAAGCACAAAAAAGTTTTTTCTCAAACAGTTATAATAACTTGGTTGAAAAGTTTTGATCGAATAAGGTTGCTTGCTCCGTTTTAGGATTTGCTTCCTAGAGAATAAACTTTACGAAAAGCGCTAAAGGCAAAGGGCTTGCTTAAATTTTTGTCCAAAAACCAACCTGAAAATTGCATCTACTAAACAGCCCTTCAAGATTCAAACATGTATTTGCTTGTTTCTGTGTGTGATATGACATGCTTGTATTTTAAATCCCGAAAAGAACAAATTTCTTCGTATCTCTGCCGAGAGCTTTTCTGTGACCTGGGGCAAGAGGAAAGATTAGGCTTGTGATGAAGTCATTAAAACAGCGATTTTCCTTGCTTATTAGGAACTATGTTACATCTTTTCGATTGTTAGGAACTATGTTACATCTTTTAGGGGCTTCTCTCAGCTCAGGGCCTGGGCAAACTGCCCCCTGCCCCCTCTCAGCGGGCCTATTTCAAATGCCTAGCTCCAAACCCTTATGAATATATACGAATATAGTATAGAACAGGACTGTTGAGCAGCCAAAGAAGAGACAGTGTGTTTAGTAGAAATTTTTACATAATAGAAGCATTAATTCGAAAACTAACATAATTAAGCATTAAGGTCGTTACGAATGTCATAGGCGATTAACCGATTAATGTGTGTCATGTGATTGTCGTGTAACTTTACTTGACATATTGGGGGCCCAGCGAAAAGCTAATCTAGTGAATTTTCTATTAGCTGGGCGCGAATAGGAATCAATTTCATCAATTTTGAACATAGCAGAAATTGCTGGCGAAACAGAACAACAGTTCGATACGATTTGTACGGCATTATGAAAGGAGCACAAGCTGCAACATTAACGTTTAAGGCTTCTAAAGAACGAATTTCCCCCATAACTGAGTTGTAAAAGTGGCGAAGACAAGCGGCAAAGGGCGTGGACTTTGGCATTTTCGGAAGGTCCATAATGTGGGCCTGGATTACACGTCTGGGGAGACCGAAATTCTCCTTTAGCGTTTCTTCTAAAACTCCGTAATTTAGTTCGGTATTATCCCTTTAGTAGTATCGAAAGCCTCTCCCCTTAGTTGGCCCATTAAATACGTGAATTTGGAAGTGTTAGGGAGGTCTGCGGAGTTCCCAACTTGCGACCGAAAACATTCCCAAAAGCTAAACCATTCGGTGATATTCCCGTCAAAGGTCGGAAGGTTATGGAAGATAAAGAATATTAGCCATAACTGATTTATGTGTCTTTGTTGTTGTTCAATCTCGTCGCGTTGCGGTGTTCCTTGTTTACTTCTATTTTATCGAATTTTCGCCGCAAGTATTCCATCGGAGTCCGTCGAGCAGCCTGCTATCGTGGCCTTTCCTTTATTCACACAAGATTAAGAATGTTGTGACTATGAATTAGCTGTAGATAGCCTGTCAAATTTCGTGAGAGGGAATTCAATTTTGTCGATTTTATCTTGTATTTCCATCGCAAATACCATTGCAAAAGTCGTCGAATTCGGTTTCATCTTTCAATTCCTCGAACAAAATGCTTCGTAGCTCCTTTTCAATTGTGATACTTTCCAATTGTTTTGCCTTTAACGCTTTAAATGATGATTTTAAAGAACGTATTTCTTACGTCGATGTGGATCTTCACTTTAGGACAGAACAGTAAACAGTAATTTTGATTTTATGAATTTAGGAACATATTATTTCAGTAGACAAGGTTTTAATTTAAAAATTTTTCATGATTTCAGGGCGCGCAGGAAATGTTTAAAGAGCTGCCTCACGTGTATGTGGGGCCACACGAATTAAAACACGCTGCTCAGAAGTACGGTAGGTTGGTTTATCATGTATCTGGACGACTTTGCAGTCGGAAAATTTACTCCATTGTTTCATCGTATCTTTCATCGTGAGATACATCTTGCCGCAGGGCTATTCCATTGTCCCATCTATATCCATTATTTCTTGGAATTATCTCACTGCTATGCAACGACCCTGCACCCTGATTTTCATCCTTATTTGCAACTCTGCGCTTGAATACGTTTGAAAATGGCATTTTGTCCCAGACTACAGTGTTCGGTCTGCAGTCTTTCAATCGAACCCGTGCACGCATCAAATCATTTCTTGCAGTTTATGCAGCTTTGATACTGTCTCTTATTGCTACGCTCTCTGGTCCGGTCCAGTTCTGTATCTCTCTGTTTCGATCATAGAGATAGGGATACCTCTATGGTTTCGATTCATTCATGGTGCGTGCACAAAGTGAATCTGTCTGGAGAACGGTAAATGCTTCTTGATCCCAAACGGCTTTTTTGAACAGCTCCGTCACTCACAGAAATTTCAACAGTTTTGTCGAAATAAAAGCCAGGAAAGTCAGGGAAACCATTCAGATCAATTACGTTGATCAAATCAGATCACTTTGATCAAATCATTTATATCAGCCAGATTAATCAATTGTAAATCAGACATTTTTTACTAAAAATAATTAGACAAATTCCTTCCCGTAAAAACACTAAATGTAAGAAAACAAGAACACAGTTTGGTGTAAGACGTCATAATCGACGATTGTTTAATTTTTAGATCATCGCACTTTGGTATATACAGAAGTGAGTCGACAAGACTACCTGGTCCCTAAGCTTGGAGGATCTTTTCAAGCCAGTGAATTTGAAGCACACCCTGAACGCTATCGATCTGTATTTGCTGAAGAGGTGAGTTTTTGGCAGATCATATGACCGTTGTATTAGTAGAGATCTCCTATTTACGTCAAGCGTATTTACTGTCTACGGAAATAATTGGTCACGTGATGACCCATTCGCTTCTTGAAAGAAGCAGAAATCCAAATAAAAAACATTCTTAATACGGTTAAACTTGATTCCATTGCAAAGGAACAAGCATGTTTATATGAGATACGTTTATGATGTCATTAGATTACTACGGGTTCTTTTCCTTCTAAACTGCTTGAAGCTCATGACGATGTTTGTAAATCTGTTGTTTATTGATTGAGACACTAAACACACACACGATTTTGACCTTAAATTGGTGCCCTCTTATACAAGCCAATTCATGATACTTAATTAGCAGACTAAAAAGGCAGTAATGGGGCTAATGGTGAAGTAAACCTTGAAGGATTGGTGAAGGAAACACTGTTTCATTGAAGACCAGCTTTTTATTATATAGTAATCAGCACCTTAATTAGAAAGTATTGTTGCAAGAAAATACTACCATTTTCGATTATATTGTCACATCTAGAGGGATTTTCAGATAGAAGACTGGCAGCTCTAGGAATGTGAGAAACACTTAACTACTAGCCAGATTCTAGCGCAATGAGGTATTATTGATGCATAAAGTTGTCATGTTCAGAAATCAATTCAACTCAATGAAGTTTTTTTCAACGTTCAATTCAATTAATTTCTAGATTGCACCTTACGCCAATGTGATAATCAACGGTGTCTACTGGGCACCGAAGAACCCCCGTCTTCTCACGTACGAGGATGCACTGATGCTTTTAGAGCCAAAAAAAGAACTTGACAAATATTCCGGGTGTCCTGATTTACCACACACACTGTTAGCCATATGTGACATTTCTGCTGATCTAGGGGTAGGTATCTTGTACAGGATTTGCGCTTTAATCTTATTGTAAAAAATTATAATTACGATGTTCTCAAAAATTTTAAATTTAAAGTAGTTTAAATGTTTTGAACTTTCAATCTTGAGCTTTCAGCTCAGTACGAGTTATAGAAAATTGTTATTTAATTAAACACGAAAGTATGGATTTTTGAAATGAGGAAATCTGAGCAATATAAAAAGATAGCTTGCCAATAACAGGATCTTAGACACTGTTCTGCCCACCCCCTGATAGATAGAACCTTGGAAAATGATGATTATGTCTGGCAGTAGCCAAACAAAATTCGCGGCGGCCCGCGATAATAATCTCGGACCGCGAGAATAAACTCGGGCCGCGAGAATAAACTCTTACGTTTGCAGAATTGACTTTCAGCAGAATTGTTTTAAAGAATTGGGTCCAACTTCATCTTCCGGCATAAGACATAAAAAGAGGCTTTATATAAAGATAAACTGCAGCTGCTACAATTAGCTGTTTACATTTTGCTTTTATAAGACCACACCCGTCACCCCCAAAACGAAATCCTAGTGTTGAAAGACTTTAGAAACCCCCCTATCCACTAGAAACGTTTCTTTAGCTTGCTTTGCCAGTTGTAGCTCATAAAAGAAACTAGAAATTATCAAAACATGGTTCTTAACATATCTACATTCCCTGCCAAAGACGTAGAACACTAAAGTCGGTAAATCATAGCTATCATAACTGTTCTGGGACAGGGGATGAAGAAAGTAGTTTATGTAGGAAAAGATTGTGAAATTTCAGTGTCAGTTGCTCGGTGTCTTAAGTAATTTTGGCAGGCATTGTATTGTTTGGGGAAATTAACTTCTTTATTTTTAATATAATAAATCAAAGCTGTGAACAGGATCTCAGATTTAGTCATATTATTCTCTTTTAATGATTATTGCATTATAAACAAAAATTCATCTTGCAATTTTTGTGTTGCATTTAGAATACACATTGAATTTTTGTTTAATTTTTCTTTCACCGTCAGGGCTCAATAGAGTTTATGAATGAATGCACTACAATCGAATACCCCTTTGCTCTTCATGATATTAAAAAGGGAACAACACAACTAGGGTAAGGCTCCTTTTTCAATATGATCATGTCTTTTTGGCTTTTTGTTTCTTGGTAGTAGAAGGAACTAATTTATGGTTGATGTTGGATGCCCTGAATTATTCTCGGACAAGCCAAAGATTCTAAGAAGTCCCTCTGTCTTGAATAATTATACGAATTTTTGAGCTCATCTACACGGATACAACTGAAACTAATTTTTTGCATTTTACAGCCCGTTATTTGGATAATGATATATCTTCAATTGGAAATGCCTTCCAGGGTGGAATGGTTTGGAAACGCAAATGTTTCAGAACACGTTCTTCCGTGTAGCATAACTTTTGATTCGTTTTCTTAAGATGAAAACAATGTGAAAACATATCTTTGTAGAAGTGGCCAGTAATTGATATGAGCAGTTAGTCACTCTACTTGTAGGATTGTCCCGGTGTATGCTACTTAACACGGCTAGAGAGTAGGGATTAGGTAGAAAAGTAACTCTCGTTAATTCCTTTGTTGTTTATGAAGCTTGAATAACATAATAGAGATTCATAATTCCCCGTTAACCTCGTTTTCATTTGCAAATTTCGCCATTTGCCATGGTGGTTTTAGTCTCGTAGTGAGTTAAAGCATGCGCTAAAATTTCCCAGCGTTTGAGGTAGAAGGAAAAACCCTTTGTTTTCCATTGGACAGTCCATGTCTTTTAAACCCCAGGGTGTCCTACCAGTTTCCATTAAGTCTTTCCTTCGTCCACAAAAAGTACTGAAACCACAACATGGCTAGAACCGTGACAGCGCCCGTCATTTCTCACCGTTCTCATCAATGCAACTGCTTCTTTTATTGACTCTTACCTCCTTGTATATGGCTTTACCTCTCAAATGTCAATTATATTGTTTTTTTAATAGGATGGCTGGCGATGGCGTTCTTATTTGCTCCATTGATAACCTCCCTGCGCAGTTACCACGGGAAGCAACTGATTATTTTGGTCGACTTCTTCTTCCATGGATCCCAGAAATGGTATTATAATCCGTACAGAAAATATTATAAGAGTTGATTTTGACATTTTTTTCTTTTCACAATAATCAGACATACATTTTCATCCTCACTGTTAACTTCAGTCTACTTCACTGATTTCTCAAATTTTCTTCAATTTTTTCTCTTTTAGGTGAACTGCGATGCTCGTAGACCCCTTTCAATGGAATCTGGAATTTCTAACGTGGTCAAAAATGTGAGTTTCTTTGCGGCAACCCAGGCATTGTAATAATCAACGTTTCTTGCTGAAGATTTTTGTGTGTGTTGCAAGTCAGAAACGAAACCTTGCAAAGGACCATGGGATAGGATGATTTATTGAATTACAGAAAACATTAGCCAAATCTCATCCAGTGTACAACATAATTGAACAAATTCAATGATTTTGAAGTAACAAATATTTTCAAAAATTGGGTTTTTAATGACGTCACTCTTGCGAACTCTATATAAGATTCTCTTTGAACGAAAGATCACCTATGTGTCTACGCAGAGGCTGGGTCTGTCATTTTCACTCCGAAATTCATTCGTTTGCTGTATTTGAAAATAAATGTAATTTTTGTACAAGGCCTCGAAAACAGAGTACACTCTTGCCAAATAGGTTTAATAACAAGTAAATTTTTTAGGTTTTACCATGTTTTTTAAGGTTTTTAGGTTAAAAAGCATGTTATTCTAAAACTTAGAATACTACAGCCTGCAGTCATTCTTCTAGTTTAAAACATGTAACTGGAAAATAATGGCATTTCTTGGAACAAAATAATTCTCATCTACCACGTTCTAAGCATACCAACAAATGTTTAGTTGGTTTTATCCATCAAATTATAAGCCCATCAAAAGCGCCTTTTTCCTGAGATAAGATTATCACAAGCGTTATGAAATCAGAATGGTTTTACAGCTAAGATTACGGGGAATAACGACCAGCGTTCGATAACTCGTTGCAGCCATCTAGTGATGGTGCAATTTTCTCTATTATTCTGCCCTATAACGCATACAAAATACACTCTTAAGTTCTGAGCTTCTTAGTATCGTTACTGCCAATACTCAGGCAGTGCATAACTCTAAAGTTGGACGATCTATTATGTGAAATTTTTTATTCTATTTTTTGAAGCTTTTTCTGTAGTGATGTTATGAGGCTCTTTAATATGTACTGTAATGTAAGCAATCGTATTTCTGCCTTGACAGGCTATTATTTGTTCAAATGGCGAACTAACTGAGGACTACAAGTACATAGCAGATTTGCGAGCAAGGTATACTACATAAAACCTTCAATCCTTACGATGCCTTTTAATCTTTTATAAATCTCTTCTTTTTTCAGATATTGCGCTGTCGCCTAAAACTATTCCTAGCTTTACTTATTCAAGCATCTGCGCAGAATTCTGGCACTAGTTGTCCCTTAATTGATTGACCATTTGGGCACTTGTGCTTTCTCGTTGTCCCTCGCAAGATTTCGCCATCGCTTCCAATCTTCCAGCACCCAAGAACACTTTTTGTCAGTCCAAGATTTTACATATGCTTTTTCAAATCATTGTTTTTTCCAGTGCTGAAAAATTCATTTCAAGTTCGGTGCTATATTGCTGTGAGAAATATTTGATATAATTTGGCTATCTTTTGCATTTTTTTCTCTTATTATTGTTAAACAAATATTGTAAATAGTTCTTTTTTTGCTGAAAGGTATCTCGTGTAAAATAAATATTGATTCATTGATATCTAAATATTGCATGTCACTTTATCAAAATAATTTGTTGTTTTGTTGCTGAATATCGAAGACATGGAAACGCATTTTTGTGTCACCTATTTATCTTTGTAATGATAATGATTGAGAAAGAAGTTGATTATTATCTATGAAAGACCCGTCACTTAGCAGCTTCGAAATTTTACTAAATGATTCAAAGGTGATAGTTGCTGTGACAATAAATATGAACAATTAAACTTTTACAGATTCTTGGTTTGTATCCTTCTGTTCGACATCTTAATCTTACATTTTCTCTGAGGTATTCACCTCTTGCAATTATAAATTTTGATATTTCTTTTTTAATGCGTTATCTCTACCGTGTCTTTTGTCCAACATGTCATCGGTTTTTCGTCTTTTTCCTCTTGATTTAAAGTTTTTCATCTTACCTATGTTATTACCAATAAAATAAACTTTTTGACTTTATTAGAATTCACCTTGTTTTTTAAAGCTTTGAAAGCTCTTTAAGTGAAGCATGTAGCCCAGCTAATCTTAGTTACCGAGATAAAGTATCATTTTTACACATTGCTATTGTGTTTGAAACGTTCTACACCCTGGATGGGGCTTTCTTGGAGTCATAACCCGGATAGGTTTTCCCAAAGGGCCCTAGGAACCTCTGTTATGCCACTGAATTAATAATTTCAATGTTTTTAATTTTGTTTTCTACTTTACAGGCATGAGAATGAAAGGAAGCAAGCAGAGCTTGGCGTCCAATCCTCTGTATCAAAGAAAATTCTTGTTCTTGGTGCAGGAAAAGTTTCGAGTCCTTTTATTGAGTATCACACAAGACGCCAATCCACGGGCGTTACAGTTGGTAAGTTCATGTTTATTATTGATAGACCCGATATGGATTCAATTGAGCCATGACTTTTTTCTTGAGCGAAATGGTTTTCATCTACTGTATGATTAATTTCAAATCCATCTTGAAAGCTTATGACATATGATTCGTTCCAATAAAGATTTGTGTTTGTTATAAGATTTCAATACGTACAGAGGTGGAAAATTTTTTTCCTTTCTGGGAACCTAATTATCTGGCTCAAAACTTTCTGCAAGATTTTAAAAGGTAGAAAAATAAACTTTCTGTTTGTGCCTATATCTCTATACTTAGTTCATGTATAGGAGACGGCAAACTTAATTTTAAAAAGCATGATACTTCTCATTTGAATGCTCAATTTGCTTTTATTTTAATACTTGCTTTATTCAATTGACAGAATTTCCTTTTTGAGCTAGCTATCTGATATTTGATGGAAAAGCCATTTTCATTTCAGAGACTGAGTAGATTATTTGGTCAATTGATTGCGAACTAAGTCAGTTAATAAATAAAGGAAGAACTGTGCTTGCTCCCTCATAAAATCTAAAATCTAGCAACACAGTACGCTTTTGTATCTTTGTAGCTAAATATCTTTCTTGGAGTAAAACAATACTGTATTTAGCTGGAGAAGTTCAAGACATGTTTATATGAAACTGACTCTGAGTAGGCCTAACTCAAGATATTAGATATGGCTTACTGCATAAATGCACATGAGGGAAATCAACTTTAGTCAGAAATTAATTCATTTAGTCAATCATCATGATGGAAAACTAAAATCCAAAGGGAAACCCATACAATAATCTCCAAACAGTTTCAAAAGAGTCAGGGACAAAATCATTCGAATTGTATGGTGCATTTTGTGGAGAAGGCTAAGCCTAATCTTTTGACAAGTGAGAAGCAATATGTGGTTGAAAGGGAGTCCTAACATGCACCAGATTAATTTAGCCAAGCATATTAACTTCTGATCAATGCTGCTCACATCATAGTGCAAGAAATATTTTCTGTGAAAGTAGATTCCAGTCCCTATATTAATCTCGGTGTGAATCATGGTTTGTCTCAAAAGCTCAGCTGCCAGAAAAATTTTGATGGTGAGTGGTTGAGATTTCTGTGAGACTATGCCCCACCGTGCATTGGCAGCTCAGATTTAGCTGTTCTCGGGCAAGTTTAAATAATATTTTCTGCCAATTTGACTTAACTTATGTCACCAGGTTTTTATATTTACTTTCAAACATTCAAAAATTATCTGTGAAACTTTCTGCTAATATTTTCATCCAGAAAATTTCTGAGAACTACGTTCCCACGTTCCGATACTTTTTCCGCCTCTGACGCTTAAGCCCTTCTGCGATCCTGTCTAGAACGTTCTTTTATAATATAGTGTTTTTGACTCGTTAAACGCTCTTTTAGTCTCCAGTCTTGAAGACGAGGTTCAGCACCTGGCCAATCGACACGAGAACACCACCCCAGTAGTGTTAGACATTGAACGTTCTCATGAAGGATTGGATAAGCTAATTCAATCACATGATGTTGTAGTAAGGTGAGTTTGGAAAGACAACGTTTTTTGAAGATGCATTGATTTCATATCAGAATGCCTTCAAATGCCACTTGTTTGCTGGGGAAACCCTATTCTTTCTTGCTTGTTTCCGCTTAAGAAAATTAATTTGCTCTAGTTACTTACAAAACTATTTCTCAAGCTTTTAAAGTATTCTATTATTGAAAATTAATTCCTTACATTTCTCATATAATCAGTTTGATATTATTTGTTCCCTAGCTTGTTGCCCTATGTGCACCACCCTACCATCGCATCTTTATGTATCAAACACAAAAAGAACATGGTCACTGCAAGTTATGTACTGCCTGCTATGAAAGAACTTCATGAAAGGTATATTTTTAACCATAATTTCCTTTTTTAAGATAAAGAGAATACTTTCACTAAAATTACCTTGTTAACTTTTGGTGGAATGTGGTATGCCAGTCATGAATTTCAAAAACTTGATTTTTCCCTTTAGGGTCATAAAAGGAGTAGATGATATGGTACTACCCGGTTTGTTTTTTATTCTCAATGATTTTTCTTCAATTCCTTTTGTAAAATTGGGGGGTACACTCATTGCTATAGTTACGAAAATTAGGCCGAACCATTTAGCCCCCCTCTCTTTCAAGCCCGGAGATATATCCCAACTGCAAACGTCTATTCTTTTTTTAACTTTTGAAATAGCCCCCCCCCTTACTAACCAAGACCCAATTCCCCTTCTAGCATCTACAAAATGAATAAGGCTTCTGTCCTCTACGAGCCATATAGATATTTTTCATTAAGTAGTAACTGAGTTTCTTTGAATGAAATGGTTTTTTCAACAGGGCGAAGGAAGCTGGAATAACCATTGTCCAGGAAGTGGGATTGGATCCAGGAATAGACCATTTACTGGCCATGGATTGCATCGATTCGATTAAAGAAGAAGGTGGCCAGGTTTGAAGGCTTATTATATTGGTGTTGAATTCTTGAGAATTGCGTCTGTCCACTGAGTCATGATAATTAGGCATCTTCTGAAGGTGGTTGTTTTCTCACTGCAAAATTTATCTTGGCCTGACGATGTATGGATCAAATTCGACCTAGAAATGTATATAAAGGCTGCTACGTTTAAGTATAAACCCTCCGTGACTCTTCATCTTAATTTATGTTTCTATTGCTTGCATTTAAAAACATTTGGTATTATCTAGGTTGAAATTTTCATTTCCTACTGCGGTGGTCTGCCAGCCCCTGAGCACTCTGAAAATCCACTACGATATAAATTCAGGTAAAATCTTTTATGAATATTTCCTGTGTTGGTACATGCGGCTATAATTCTTTGAATATAACGAGAAAGATGATTGAATAAAATGTTTAGCCATAAATACCAGAATAATATGTTTTGGGCATACCATTTCATCTGTAAGATCTTTTATACCTCATTTTGACATAATTTGTATTTTATGGTAATAACGTGCTATTAATTGGCTTAAAATCGACGGAGAGTGGGCCTTGATGGAACTAAATTAATGCTTAAACTGTTCCTCATTTTGAATAAATTTCTAACTTGAATAAGCTTACAAGGAAGTCCAGTAGGACTTATTTTTTCTGAGGAGATTCCCTCAAATATCCCTAAGGAGATTCCCAGTAATGTAATTCTGAGAAAATCAAGGGAATCTTCACTAATAAAGTTTTTAATTATTCCATGCTTTGCAGCCAACCTCATTCATGTGTACATTTCCCCTCATACTACCTTCCACATGCATTGCCACTGACAGCCTTATGATTGGCCCTGTACCAGCTTTAGGTCCTTATTCAGTCTAGCTGTGCTGATAAGCCCTGATATGTGGCGAAACCGGTCTACTGTCGACGGTTAGAGATGGCAGTGGTTCTTTTTACTGCGATTATTAGAGTGTACTGTGTATTACTTCAAACATTGAAGCATACATTGTTTTGCTTTAGCTGGAGCCCAAAAGGAGCACTGAGAACGCTGCTTAATGGTGCAAGGTACTTAAAGAATGGACAGGTATGTTTCTTGGATACTGTTTTAAGAATGTGATCTTTCTTCATGACTTTTCAAGAGAAGTAGCAATGGCGCTGGAAAACTGGAGTATTTTCTTGAATAAAATGCAGGTTAAGACCTTTAAGTTCTGTCTTCTTTCGTGGCATTGTCATTTTTGAAATTCGCTATCCATATGTGTCGAATTAGGGCTTTTTTTTGGATTCGCATTTACATGAAGTTGAGGTTATCCATTTGAAAGTTGTCTGTTGACTATGCTGTGCGATAATGTTTGCGTAAAAATATTCCCAAAACTTCAATTTTATTTCAAAAGCGCAGCACCTGTCACAGTTTACAAGCTATGTCTGGTCAGTATTTAATCTTACATCTGGTCAGTATTTAATCTTACATCTCGCGGCTAATTTGATTTTAGCTAATGGAAATCGAGCCTGGAATGTTGCTTGAGAATGTATCACCCCTGGATATTTTCCCAGGATTTCATCTGGATGGATACCCAAATAGGGATTCTACCCACTACGTACAATCTTACAACATCCCTGAAGTCAAGACAATGTTACGAGGCACAATACGATACCATGTGAGTTTCCTCTGTCAGCAGTAGCTAAAGCAAGGGTTTTTTCAAAGTTTTTCTCTGATACACCCCTCTTAAAACTAGGCAAAAATAATCTGAGTGTAAATCGGTGAATACTTGCTATAAGTGGCAAGACGTCAGTCATACTTTGTCATAACATCAATTGTTTAAACTTTAAGCTGACATGTTCATTATTGTGGTGACATGCATTGTATGGCTATGTACCTATGATTATTATGACAGATTGCTCTTATTTAGTTGCTGGACTCATTCAGGGGCCTGAGTCCAGTTGTGTGTGGAGGGGGCTCAATGGGGCTCAGCCCGCCTTGTCAAAAGGTAGGGAGATTTTGGGTGGCTCAGCCCCCCTGAAAAAGGGCCATTATGTGTTTGGTTAGGCATTATATCTTTTTGGAAGGTCAATTAAACCTTTAGCATGCTACTGATTTTCCGTGACTGAGCTATTTTTATCAGCCCTTTAGAGTCGGCGAATAATTTGAGTGACATCATATACGGAACAGAGAATCTTTTATTAAAGTATACAGGGTGTGATCATGGGTGTGGTCTTGCGTGTGGGTTCTAAACACAGCTTCCCTTCCTAACTTTTTAGGACAGCACACCTGCCTGAGTCTATTTGAAGGTTCTTGCTTATCAAGTAATTTTTGGACTCATTGACTCGATTCTTTTAGTGACTCATCTTAGAAAATTGAGTGATGGTGTTTATTGCAATTGAGGGGCGAAGACAAAGACGACGAGGATATAAATTATGATTATGATGATAATGATGATGGCTGTTTACCTGATTTCAATACTTATTCTATTTGACCCGTACTACAATTCCATTATTACAGGGTTACGCAGCAGTGTGTCGTGGACTTTTGTCACTTGGTCTTTTCAAGGAAGACCCTTATCCGGCAGACATGATTGGAAAGACCTCGTCCTGGGTAAGGTTATCTCAATATCTTGCTTCGTAAATTGAACAGTCTTCGTTTGTTAAATCACTCAAGGCAGCTCCTTTACAACTAAAGTAAAAATTCTTTCCTTCGTTTTTTAGAAAGATCTTATGAACCTCCAACTTGGAACTTCCACTTTGTCAGAAAAAGAGCTTGAAATAATCGTAAAAGACAGAGTGCAAAACGACGAAATTGCTTTTCAAGGTGTAAAAGGGTAAGCGCCTTTAGTTTATGTAAGCTTACATCAAGTAAAGCACATCTTTTCCTGATTCTTTTTGGATCTTGAAAGCTCGATGGGTTCGAGTTTTTATCACGAGAGTCCAAAATGGTTGTCCTTCTTGACTCAACTTTCCTCAACGGATCATATGATTCACGACATTTCAAATTTTGCTCAAGAAAGCAAAGAAATAAAGTGAGCTTGTTTCATTCAATTTTTTTGTTTTTAAAAACATTCCTCATTGTCATCAGCAGTATGACTGCCACCTTTTTTGCTCTCTAGGTACTAAGTGAAGTTTTAGCTGATTATACAGGCTCTTTACTGCAGAGCTCCAAATTTTGAAATAAGCTTTTATCATTTTCAAATGGTTTTGTAGACAATATCTTAACGTTTGAATGAATTTCCTCACGAGCATTTTGTTGTCTTTTCCCTGCTAGACTTGGCCTACTTTCAGAAGAATCAGTTCAGATAGGACAAACGCCATTTGATACACTATCAACGCATTTATCTCGTATTCTGGAATACAGTACGTTGCATCACTTTTCTTTATCAATTTTAAAGACTACCCTTTTTGCCACTTCGGAAATTTTAGACTCTAAATCCTGCCATGGACGACGATATGATACTTTATATACAGGGGGCACAAATAAGAACGATTTCAATTATCAACCAGTGACGACCTCAAGAGAAATCACCTTTCTAAAACAATGGGTTGATTTTTCTAGATCAGAGCTTAAACTGAACAAAGGGAAAGAACTATACCATTAGCAAAAATCAAAGCTGACTATTCTTCACCAATTTTATGTTCAGTAACACCCTCTGAAAGTTCTATCCCCCTTTTCATTTTATGGAATAGATAAACATGGCCTTGATTTCTAACTAATGTGGTTTCTCAATGTAAACTGGAATAGATTTTTTAATACAAAGACTGGTTATTTCTTCACATGCCGGTTGCGCAAGAGCCTTCAAGTTTGAAATTTAGATTTATTTTTTAAACGAGCATATGAACGTGGTTTTATGATGTAATATTGTAATGAACAAAGTAAAAAACTTGTATTAAGTAATTATTTGTCGTTTAAAACTCTTATCTTTCCTATTGACATTCTCCAGAATTTTAATAACTTTGAAATTGTCTCTTTTTCGCTGAATAGAAGTTCTTGCTAAGAACTGTTTGTCTTTTTAGACCAAGGTGAACGGGATATCGTTTTGCTTCGTCATCAAATTGGAGAGCTTAAGAGCAGCGGGAAAAGGGTATCGTGTCTGAACTTATTTTGATTGTAATTAAAATTGGCTATTATTATTTATTTTCATTATCATAATCATCTAACACCATCATCATTATTAATAGATACTATTTCTATCATGATAATAAACTAATGATTTTTATTTGCTTCAAATGATAATTCTACCCTCACTTTGCTGATGATGATGAAGATAACGAAGTAAGAACTTCGAAAGCATTTCAAATATTTAAGTATACACACTTCCAAACTAACTGCGATAGAAACCCATAATCCAACGGAACATTCTGTGCGAGATGCAGAATGGAAACTGTACGAGATGAAAACACTACAATTGGAGGTTTTGTGGCGTTAATAGCTGATCTCATTGAAGGGAAACTTTGATAACTTGTCAAGGATCTTTTTCACCATACGCATCATTACATTTTAATATTGCCAAATAAACCATAAACGTGTTAAGATAATTGGATATAAGGTCTATATAATTGGAAATTGTACATGTGAAATTGAGGACAGTAACGGAACTAGTGTTTTATATGTGACAATACGTGACAATAAGTTATATTCAATTATATGCAATTCTGGTTAAAGTAAGGGGCGACCAACCCCAAAAGCTTACTTTTTTGGACACTTAAGCTGTCTCTACAGGTCCGTTGGAACCAGGGAGCTGGGGGCTGGAGCTTCTCAATAATTGTCCAGCTAGGGTACATTCCCTTTTGTAACAGTGTAATGAGTGAGAAGGAATAAAATGGGTAGCCCCCTACCCAATATGAATTTCGTTCCGACGGCACTGCTCTATGTAACTAAACCTTTTCTAGCATAGGCCTTATTTAGTTAAATGCTATGATTTGCCTTACAGGTGCAACATGACATAAGTCTGGTCGCATACGGTGATCCGGATGGCTATACTGCAATGGCTAGAACTGTCAGCATACCAACTGCGATTGCTGCGGATATGGTCTTAAATGGTAATGAACGGGGGTTGACTTGCATTAGCAAATTTTCTTAGACATTTCTTTACAAAGAAAAAAGAATTTTGTCCCAATATTTCCTCCCTCTTGTCAAAGCTTCGCACTGCCCGGCAATAATGTCTCCATTCAAGACACCTCCCTCTAGTCTAGACAATGGACACTGCCTTGCAACAGACTTACCCTAGTCCAACAAGGTCCTCCATGCAAGTAGCCCCTTCTTGGCAACCTGACACCTCCTTAGAACTGAAAGTTGATCTAGCGGTGGCCCAAACCTCTGAGCAACTATTCTTAGTTTGGACATTAAGTGGTTTAGGACCCATTTCTCTTATCAAGCATAAACAAAAGGTGACCTGAAACGCAATGTTTAAGTGGACTTGAAGTAAAGATCATGGCGTGCATTGTGTATATGCTCAAAGAAAATTGGTGTCTAAGACTTGCATCGCGAATAGGCCCTATTTTTCGTAATCCTAACGAGAGATCAAAGTCGATACCCCCACTCGCTCCTAACCCGACTCTGGTTATTTAAATAATAAGCCAGACGGTTAATTACGTATTATATCTTCCTTTTAAGGTGAGATCTTGCAGACTGGAAACGTCACACCTCTTGCAAAAGGAATATACAAGCCAATGTTAAAAAGACTTCACGCGGAAGACATTTGTTGGACTCACAAAACAACAGAGTTGTGAACTGTGGTAATGGAAGTTTTGCTTAGTTATTTTATGAAACATTGCATGGTATTTACTAAACAATTATATTTTATCGAGTATTTATTTGTTTTCATAGCTATGTACATGTTTTATAGAGGGCAGTTATCTATTAGAAGCTTCTAGCGTTCCTACTTTTGGTGCAAGAGCATCTAAAAAGAGGGGCAAGGAAGGATTCTGCTACATTTCAATGTTGGAGGGGCATAGGCAGAATGGGACTCCGTTATGTAAAGAGGCACTTTTACAAAAGTAACAAAATCAGCTTTTCTTAGAAAAAGGGCTTTAGAGAAACGTTGAGGGGTGTGCCTCTTGTGCCCTTTGGCTCCTTGGTGGAAAGCAAAGCAGGCTCTGGAAGCCGAAGTATAGCATCGTATTCCTTGAACACCTTTGGTTGGCTTGGGGAGAAGAAGGCACCTATCTGAATTAAAACCAGTACATAAATATCAAATTTATACCGATACCTTTCCTTCCATACTATTGTCTGTATTTATCTTCTTGTCCTTCAACCGAATTATAGGCAGGCTATTCTTGCGATCTTTTTATGAATCAGAGACGACAAAACTGTGGCCACCAAGGGAATTTGTCTTTTACAGTTTGGAATATTTCCCTTTTTTAGCAGAACTTCATTTAGCATTTTTAGGGAACCTCCCCTTTTTCTGAGGCATAGTGTTTCTTACCACTTGTGCCCCTCCAAATTTCGAAAACTTTTGACGTTCTTTTTATCTCTTATCAATAATAGTTTTGAAAATCTGATACTGTTGTCATCTAATTCAATTCCAGTCCCTGCTAATCAACTGCAAGTATTTTTTATCAATTCTCTTTGATCGTATTCTTGCTATTCCAGACAATCACATTGATTCTAAATTGTAAATTGATCCTTGACTTGATAAATGATTTCCTTGAACCCTCACAGTGTTAGCTTTTTAATAGCAGCAAATCAAGTATGTCATTGTATTCATTTGCTTAGCTTATTTTTGGATATCTTGAATGTATTTTGGGTTATTCATTTTTGCACTGTTCAATTTTTATGTTCATATTTATTGACCTAATCAGAACATTTCCCGTCAATATGTTCTATCCGGGAGTTGTTTTCAGGATTCTTTAAAATAGCGATTGCACCCTGATTGTTCTCGTTATGAATTCGAATCAATGATCAAAGTCTCAATGTTATTTGAATCTATAGTAAGTGCCATGATTGATGATAACAATGTCTGCTTGGCATGTGTTACATTTTTTCTGTCATTACCTTTACCCTTAGCATAACCTTTTTGATTTTGTGGTTTACTCCAACAATCCTTAGCCTTACCATAAGATTTTTAAAATATTTCTTACCATCAAATTTTTTTCCTATTCTTTATTCGCCTAGTCGTTAATGCGTTATCAAAGGATTCCCCTTCACCAGCAATTTGTGCGCGATCAGCAACATTCAAAATTATGCCTTTTTCTTTCTCCCATGATAATTCCGTTTCCCCCATTGTATCCAGCGTTGTATGCAAGTTGTTACAAGTTGTAGGCAATTTTCCTTACACTATTTCACAAGAATCATTTTCGGGCACGGACCGTCTCATTTCAAGTAACTGATCTCTTAATCTGCACATTTTGTCCAAAGAATCCAGAGCATTTTCACCTCATTGCGTTCTCATATATGACATTTTGTCTTTCAAATCAATTCTCCTTACCAAAGATTTCTTTTGGAATTGATTTTTAAGGGATTCCCATGTTTCAGCTGCAGATTTGCAATTTCAAACGTAAACTAGCTGGTTGTCACTTACGTCAATCGATAATATTGCTCTCGCTTCGTCTCTTTCTCTTGGAATTCATTTTTTCTGTGCATCATTTGCCTCTGCAGTTAACTGAATTTCCCCTGATGCATATCTAAACAGCTTTCTTGCTTATAAAGCATTTCCATTCTGAATTTCCAATCGTCATAATTGGTCCCGTCAACTGGAGCGACCCTAACACTTGTACCATCGAATTTATCCATCATGATGAAGTAAATGTACAACAAATTTATAGCCAGTGTCCTGGGCCTATAACCTGTCTGTCATATTGAATTTAACAAAAGCATGCATAAAAATTAAGACGTGAAATACTTCCTGTAAGGAAAGAAAATGAAACGTCATTTCTAATAAGCATTAGGTATCTTTTGTCAGCTCCCAATCAGAGCAGACATCTTCCACGTGTAAATGTTTGCCCAGTCTCAGAAGTGCAGCCGGTTTCAACATGAAAATGCATCGCTCCTCAGAATACAAGGTCTGAATGAAACTGGGCTTACAGCTTTAGCTTTGTGGCAACATCGTCTTACTGTTCATCCAAGAACAGCACATATCATGGCAAGGGTTGTCAGCTTCAGCTAGAAGACGCTTGTACATGGTTGGATAAAGGATGCTGTTTATAAGCGGTTACTTTCTGTATTTATGGTGGACGATTATACCAATATCCACACTATGCATAGGCCCAAAACGACAGTTCGCTTCTCTGTTTCACAAAAGGCAATCCTACCCCTCAAGAGGTATGGTAATACCCCAGCCCTTCCAGTTGATGAGATGGGCGTTGTACACAATCCTGTTGGTGTCGATGAGCAACTTCTTCTAACTCTCCTGAACAGGGCCTAAGACAAGAAATTTTTACAGATCCACATTTTTTAAAATAATTGGGCGTGGTACTTTGCTGGGGTTGGCATCATGGGGATGGCAAATATAGGAACTACCATCATAGTGCAAATAGCATGTCCTAATTGGGCAAATTCTTAAATGAATGAAGTATAAATGGAATTTAAAAATGGAAAATGGGACCTACACAGAAACTGAGCAAGAAAAAGTTAATATCCTCAATAAATTTTTTAGTTCGATATTTATAAAAGAAAATGAGACTTCTGTCCCACTGATCAATAAACAATTCTCAGGTTCAGTGCTAATAGATATGGATATTACAGAACAAATGGTACTAGAAACATTACAATCTTTGAAACCCTCAAAGTCGCCAGGTCCCGACGGCCTGCACCCGAAGGTCTTACGTGAAATTGCTGCACAAATTGCAAATCCGTTATGTATTATGTTTAGAGCAAGTCTCCAAACTGGACTAATTCCTGATACCTGGAAACTTGCTCATGTCACTTCAATAAACAAGAAAGGCAAAAAAGATCAAAAGGAAAACTATAGACCAATAGTTTTAACTTCGGTTGTTTGCAGAATAATGAAACGATTGATTAAAAATGTGCTAACTGATCACCTACTTGAGAACAAATCATTTACACCGGATCAGTATGGTTTTAGAGAATTTCGACCGTGTTTGTCGCATCTATTAGAAGTCTTCGAAGAATGGACATCCCTTTTAAATGATAACATTCCCGTTGACATATTTTATTTCGACTTTGCCAAAGCATTTGACTCTGTACCGCATAAACGCCTTCTTACCAAAATCAAGTCGTATGGTATTGAAGGATACATATACAACTGGATCAAGAGCTTTTTAACTGGTAGGAAACAGAGAGTTGTATTAAATTCCTTCAAATCGACAACAGTGACTAGTGGACAACAGTGACTAGTGGAGTACCTTCGGGAAGTGTCCTTGGTCCACTGTTACTCTTGCTGTATATAGACGATTTACCTGACAACGTTAAATACTGTCAAGTCAAGATCTTTGCTGATGATACGAAAATATATTCTCCTTCTAACTGTCAAGCGCAACATATTCAAAATGATATTGAATGGTTCAAAAATTGGTCAAAAACATGGCAGGTTCCGTTTAACAGTGATAAGTGCAGTGTACTTCACTTGGGTAGCTCCAATCGAAGAAATGGATATTATATGCCAGATGATTTAACACAAACAGATACGATGATTAAATCAGTTGAATCAATTCGAGACCTTGGAATTATTGCTGACAACAAATTCAAATTTGACAAACACATCACAGAAATCGCAAAAAAGCTAGCGGTGTTTTAGCGTCCATTAATAAAACCATGAAATTCGTCAACAAAGAGACCTTCAATGCTCTTTACAAAAGCCTAGTTAGGCCAATCCTTGAATACTGTGCGCCAGTTTGGAATCCATGTAAAGTAAAACAAATTAAGACATTAGAATCGGTGCAAAGACGAGCAACAAAGTTGGTGAAGGAACTCAAAAACAAATCGTACACGGAACGCTTACTTTTCCTCGATCTCCCAACATTAAAGATATGATTACAACTTTCAAAATACTACACGGCATGGTCGATACTGATAGTAAAGTATTTTTTAAACGAAGTACTTCAGTTACGAGAGGACACAATCTCAAGCTTTTCAAGTTTGCTTCATCGTCGAGCCTGAGGAAGAACTATTTCTCAAACAGAGTTATAAAGGAATGGAACAATTTGCCAGCAACCATAGTCAATGCGAAATCAGTTATAGAGTTTGAGAAATTATATGACGATTTTTGCGGGAACGAGAAGTACAACTATGAATACGCTTAAAAACGAACGCTAAAGGGTTTAATAGGCAAATGGCCTCTTTATCCCTCGTTATATCATATTATTATTATTATTGTTATTATTATTATTATTATTATTACTATCCGTACTACCTATTACACTTTCTGCCGCAGAAATAAATCTTGGAATAATCCTGAACTTCTTCAATTCTAACGATCTCGGCTACTGACGACTTCTAAAACAAACAATGACGAACACACTTTTTCCTTTTTTTGTTAATTTCTTTTGTTTGTGCTTGTAATAGTCTTTTTCTTTGTAAACCCAGGCTAGCCAATTGCAAATTACCTTTGTAATAGTGAAATTTGTAATTGTAATTTTAATTGAATTGAAAATGAAAAGTTTTCATTATTATTATTATTATTATTATTATTATTATTATTATTATAATAACTCTCTCCATCGATCAACAACAAAAACGGTATCTCATCTCTAAACTTTCCAACATTGCCATTCGTACTACGTACTACATATTTTGTTGCAAAAATAAACCATGGACAAATCCGGAATTACATCCGTTTTAGTTTTTGTTGTTTTATTTTTCTCAGTTTTTCCTTTTACCTTACGATTGTTATAGTTTTTTCTTGTACAACCAGGCTAGCCAATTGCAAATTACCTTGTAATAGTGAGATTTGTAATTGTAGTTTAAGTTGAATTGAAAATGAAATGTTTCCATTATTATTATTATTATTATCATTATTATTATTATGATTGCCATTGGTCATTATGCAATCGAAATGACCAATGGCAGTCATAAAGAAAAACTGCTATCAATGTTTCCCAGCCTTCTGAAAGAAATTGATGACTTGCCTCTGCATCCCAAAAATAAACTTCTATTGTACCACAGATATGTATTGTCCAAAGTTTCTTGACACTTCACTGTTGCAGACCTATCGAAGATCTGGGTCATTGAGAACCTCGATAATCTTGTCTCTAAATACATTCGCCAGTGGCTTGATCTTCCCATAAGTGCTACTTTAACTAGTATAGTTCTTTCTAAAAATCAATTTGGTCTCAATCTTCAGCTACCTTCTGTCAAATTCACTCAATGCCAAACTGTTTCACGCAATGCCCTCCAAACTTCTCCTAACACAAACATTCAAGCTTTATGGAAAAACACCAGTAGTGGGATGAATCTGCAATACGACATTTACTGTAACACAAAAGATGTACTGAAAGCAGTAAAATCAGACAGTAGAGAGCGCTTGGCACACCAATTACTATCCCAGGGTGCTATTATTTCATTTCTGTTGGACCACTCTCTTAAAAGCTCAATGGTCTTTGGTCTGTTGTGCAGAGCAACCTACCCACGAACATCTTCAACTTCACCATCAAGTACCTGAACAATACTCTCCCTACGCGCAAAAATAAAAGCCTTTGGAACCTAAGCCAATCATCTGATTGCGAATTCTGCCTTCTTCCCGAAACTTTACTCCATGTCCTTGCAGGCTGCAAAGTTTATCTCGAACAAGGTCGTTATACCTGGCGTCATTACTCTACTCTAAATTTTCTTGCAACCTCCTTGAAAGCAATAGAGGGATCCTCTCTTTTTGCCGATATACCTGGCTTCTCCTCACCATCCATCATAATTGGAGACAATCTGCGCCCAGATCTAATTCTGCGTACAAAGGAAAACATTCTTTATGTTTTGGAACTAACGATAGGATTTGAAACTAACCTTAACTGCAATGCAGAAAGGAAACGTTCAAAATATGCTCGCCTTGTCTCAGATCTAAGACCAAGGTTCAAATCTGTCATATTTGTAAATCTCTCCATCAGCTCTCTTGGCATCTTCGGCGACTCATGCAGCTCATTCCTTGAAATGTGTGACTCTCTTTCCATCGATGATCAACACAAACGATATCTCATTTCTAAGCTTTCTACGATATCCATTCGTACCACCTATTACATTTTTTGCTGTAGGAACAAAACATGGACTAACCCAGAGCTACTCCCCTTTTAACGTTTTTTTTTCTTTTCTCTTTACTACGATTGTAATAGTCTTATTTTGTAAAAACAGGCTAGCCAGTTACAAATTACCTTGTAATAGTGAGATTTGTAATTGTAGTTTTAACTGGAATTCAAAATGAAAAGTTTCCATTATTATTATTATTATTATTATTATTATTATTATTATTATTATTATTATTATTATAAGTAGCAAAAGCTGATTCTTTACAATAAATGGATTGGGTTAATAAGAAAATTAGCTACATATAGCGATGTCTTAATATGTGAGCAAAAAGTTATCGAAAGGAAACTCTTTTACATGGTTTGTTTATAACTCTATAACAAAAATAACTCTATCAAAGTTATTTTTTATTTCCTTTCACCTTCAAAAACTCCCTTAAGTCAGCTTTGCTTCCCAGAATTTGGTTGTTTTTTGGTATTTTATTGAAATATTAATATCTTTGTTAGGATTTTTTGGGAGCTATGCTGCTTTGCCCACCTGCTTCTATCTTGTTGTAGGTGGGAATCAGCCTCTCTACATGGACAGGGTGAGGGTTTGCTGCAAGAATCAGAATCGTCTGGAAGAATTTCTTTGAGAACAAGTCTCATATCTCTGTGATCTTTGTCGTTTATTTCTCAAATTTAATGTATGATTGAATGAAATATTTTGTCTGGGACAAAAGCTGGGTGAAGTCTCTTTTACTTATGAAAAGTACTTAATTGCATTCAGCCCATCAAATACTTTGCCATCAAATCTGTTTTTCAAAAAATTTTGTTACTATAAAGGAGAACCTAGTTACAGATGGCAAAAAAACTCTTCTCTCACTGATGTACAAATTGTGCTTTTTTCTTCTTATTGTCTTTTCGCCCATCTTGTTTGTAATGCAGACACCACGCACCAGCACCAGATCTCAATTTTGGAATTCCGCTAAATTTACCATAAGATTGTGCTAGATTTGCAAAAATTATGCTAGATTTCAAATCAAGGCAACCCTGCTCGAGAAAGAGGCTAATGCATGCTCAGAATATCAAAAGTTGCCAGAGTTGCAATTTGGCCTTTTTGACAACCCAGTGTACTCATTCTTCATAAACTAAAAGGCATTTTAGATTCATGGTTTGATGGCCAAATTTCTCCATTTTGGCAGTTTCTCAAAACCCCTTGGCAGTCATAAATTGATTTGGCCGAATAAGCAAAATTTGGCTGAATTCTGGATAATATTTAAAAATTTCAAAATTGCAAATGATGAATGAAGAAACAAAGTAAAAGAAAACAGAAAGTTTTAGATCAAAGCAATCGAAAACTTTTGTAACCTACAAAGCAAATTTTGATTACGGTTTCACTCCCAATTATTAACAAAAATTTAGCTTTTTGTGTTCTGCGTTTAGCTGGCTGCATTTGGCTGCCAACCACAAAATATGTGGCTGCCAACCATTCAAAACAACTAGCAAAATCCTGAAGGTTGAAAGTCACAATTTACTCCCAAAATGAAACCATAGATGCTGGTGTAAAGTGTTTGGTAACGATAGACAATGGATCAATGGAAACAATGATTCTTTTAAATAATATCAGAATTATGCCAGAGTTATGCTAGATTGCAAATGATGCTAGATTTTATGCTAAATGACGTTTTTTGGCCAACATTATGCAATATTACGCTAGATCAGGTCACACTAGCACCAGCCCACAAAGGAGTGGTTGGAACGGGACTAGGAGTCTTGCCCCTAAATTTTTTTACGGCCACGCCCTTTGAAACACCGGAAAACATCCCTTTCAGAAAATATTTGCTTCTTTCTGTCCTTATTCATAAACATACAAAACCGAGTTAGATAAAATACAAGTTTATCTTTGATCATTTATCTTAAGAACATGCATAAAGCACCACCAAAAGGAACAAAAACGTGTTCTCAGCAGAAATGTCACTGTATACAAAGTCCATCTTACTTCAAAATAGCACACAACAATATCATACAGCGCAATTGATTTTTCTCCCCATGTACTGAAGCTTCGAGCTCTGAAGTTTCTTAATTCCTCTTTATTGACCATTGCTTATTTCTTATCGCAATTTTCTTATAAAAAATGAGTGCAATACATAAGTCTAGGATTTGGCATTCACTTCGAATTGAAAAAATGTTCCCATTTCTCTCTTAGGCATTTCGATTGGTATTTTATGCTGCACTTTTAAGAACATGCATTATTTACAAATCCACACTTTTTATAATTACCGTTCCACAATTTTAATTCACATCTCCACAAAGTGAGTCAGATCCACGCTTATTTTCGGCCCTGCTCCTGAAAGAGAAAATGCCTTTACTTTGTATGCCGTTTGCTGAGTATATGCCTGACTGGATTCGGAAAAGGTTCTTCGACCCTGAAGCAGAATGAAGCATGCTGGCTTTACATGATTACCAAGAATATAAAAAAATCAGGTCAATGCGATCCATGGAAAATACTTTGTTGATGGATTAAATAGAGTTACCTTTAAAAAGTTTTTCAGCATTCCATGAAGCTGAAGAGCATGCTACAAACATGGGCTTTGTCCTGTATTGTTTTAGTCAAGCTTCAAAATGTCCTTAGGGAATCAAGTGATTGAATTGAAGATGAGTTGTTTACGCCAGAGCTAGGCCTGTTCTACTGCGTGTGATCTATTCAACTGGCGACGAGGATAACCAGAAATCTGTGAAAATTACGATGTCTACGTTTGGGAATTTGGAACCATTCGAAGGAGGAGAATTTTTAACGTACAAGGAGAGATTGGAAGCATTTTTTGTAGCGAATAATATTGGTATAGTGCCTGACGATGCGACCGATGCGGTCGTGCAAGCTGCAGAACGAAGGAAAGTTGCTGTTACAATTTCACTGATTGGAAAGAAAACGTATGCTACATTGAAAGATTTATGTTTACTGGATTCGCCTGCGGGAAAGTCGTACAATAGATTATGTGATCTACTGTGTAATTACTTCAAGCCGAAAGTTTCGGAGGTCGTTGTGAATTCTGGTGTCTGGCCAGCACAACACTATCACCCTTCGGTGTCAATTAATCGGAAACTATCTTCCTTCGAGCCTCAGCATTTACTCTACGATGTTCAAAAGCAACAGCTTCAACCTATATGTCAAAGCAATGCTGCAAGCTTGGGTAATGTTTTTCATATTTCGTTTTCACCATTACAACAAAGCTCCTTTAATTTGGCTATCAAATGCTTTGTACTGGAAGGAGACAAATCATCCACTATTCCAGGTTCTTCAACATCACCTACAAATTGTAGATGAGTATGGTGTGGAGAACTTCAATCCACTTTTGAGAGCCCAGACCAGTGCCCATAACACCCCCAGATGACATCAGAAGGAGGCCAGGGGAAATACGTACCACAAAAGATGTCCTGAGACAGTTTAAGTCACAATTTCTGTCACCTAGGCCTGCAACTTTTAGTCATAACCAGCTAAGAACACAAAAGGTCAAAGCAGCAAAATTCATAGTTTGGCAATTTAGAAGAATACATGCCAATCCAAACTCAGCGGGAAAATTACCAAGTGAAAAAGGAACCCAAGAAAAAATGATATTCTAGAAGCTCCCTCCGATTTTTGGTGAAATGTCAGTGCAAATTAAAATGCTACCTTTCAAGCAAATGATAGTGAGTCGGACCCTGAAAGGTGATTTGCTTGAATTTTGATATCCTTAAGTGCTGGAGAAAATAAATACAAAACTTACGGTGTTGCTAGTTACTGTTCATTTGCTTTTCAAAGTCTACATGTAGATTCTATCTATTTACGTCAGTTTAAGGATAATCAGGATTTACATAACTTGCGCCCAAGTCTACTTGTGGACTGAGGCAGAGGTTAGATTTTCGAAAGTTTAAGATCAGTTGCACGTTCTAGTTTTCTGGAAGTCAAAAATGAAAGCCTTTTTCAGGTTTTCCTTTGACATCGTTTTGGAAATTTGATGTTATGTTCTTTAGGCATTTTAGAATATGCGAAACACTATGAAAGGATGGTTGATGAGAATGGTCAAAGGGTTGCTGCTTTTGGAAAATTTGCAGAAGTTGTAGTCATGGTTTATTACGCTTGTAAAATTCTGCCAAAGGCTAACTTTTTTCCATTTGCCCAAAGGCAATTGCTCTTAAAGGAATCTACAATGCCTGCCAAAAGTACTTGGAACACCCAGAAGTTTACGGTGCATTTGATATCTTTCATTCATTTCATGAACAACTTTCTACTTCCTCCCCCTTTCTCCTAAAACACTGGTAATGATTTAGAGAAATATCATAAAAGATGCGCAAAGGAAAGTGCTTCCTAAAATCCTAACCCGTTTGATAGTAAACCAATATGTTCTGTAGGGGAGAGGGGGATGATTGATTTTGACATTGGAAATTGACATCGGTATTTCAGACTTTTTCATTTGATTAATTTGTAGAAGCTCCTCTTGACTTTCTAGCCAATCCTTTGTCCAGTTTTAAAAAGTAAAACCACCCGCTGAAGGTAAACCGATTAGATGTGCTTGGTCGTGAGATAGTGTGTGAAAAAATGATTCAGAAGCATGCAAAATCTTTTCAATTTTAATTTGCCGGCGTTTTCTCAATAAAGCTGGTTGCTAGGAAAGAATAATGTTTTTATCGATGTAAGACAGTTTAAAAGTAATTTTGGTTTTAGAGTTAGGGGATCAAGATTATATACAGGTATAGAAGGGGGTTATTCAAAACTATCAAACTACTTTCACTTTCACTTTGCTCATACAACATATCACTGTTGTTGGATTTTATTTGTTCTAACGAAGATACACATTCACGAGGTCTATGCCATGCAGAGAATGAATCTGAGAAATATTCAGAAGATAGCGCGACCATATTTCCAACAATTCTCTTATCAACATGGCTGGAGAGTGCTGTCCTCAAAACCACACCTCAGTAAAACTAAAGTAGAAAGTGGCAAGATCCTTGCCTTGCGAAGGGAAGACATAAATGTCTGGGAACGACGTGCACCCATCGCACCCCAACATATAAAATCCCTAAAGGAGCAAGGGATAAATACTCTGGTTCAACCATCTGCAAGAAGGGCATATACAATGCAAGAATATGAAAATGCTGGGGCAATTATCACCGAAGATTTGAGCCCAGCATCTGTAATCATCGGGGTTAAACAGGTTCCAATCGACTTGCTGATACCAGACAAATCGTATGCATTTTTCTCGCATACAATAAAAGCACAAGAGGCTAATATGCCACTGCTTGATGCTATGTTGGCAAAGGTACGTCGAATGAAAATATACTCACATTTCTTCATCATACCCTTGTCAAAGGGAAATTAGCTAGGCAGTTTACCTTCAGATAATTTTCTACAGAGCCCCATAGATATTTCAGACTGTACAAACAACAGTAAGGGTTTAAGAAAGGCTTATTACATTCGACGAAACGAAACGAAACGAAACGAAACGAAACGAAACGAAACGAAACGAAACGAAACGAAACGAAACGAAACGAAACGAAACGAAACGAAACGAAACGAAACGAAACGAAAGGAGACTAGACGAGACGAAATGAAACGAAACGAAACGAAACGAAACTAAACGAAACGTAAAGTGATATTTAACGGAACAAACTAAAGAAATTGTAAATCATTAGTAGCTAGAAAGTAAGCCAACAAGCTCTTAAAATATATATATTTATTTCCTACTCAGGTACTTTGTAGTGTCATTGTTACCATTTAACTGCCATTCTTTGTATGTTTGATCTAGATGATGCTATCATTTTTAGAAATCTTGAAGTTTATTGCTCTATTAATACAAGTTTGCATTCATGATCACATTTTCCTTAAAATTACATGTTTGCCATTCAGCAAAGCCGATTTTAAACAGCCCTTTCATGATCTGATTTATTCTGAACAAAATACCTTTAATTGAACTACTTCAAAACAAATCTCAGCCAGCAGTTGCTAGAGAATTGAAAAAAATTGAAGAACATAAAAACAAAATTTAATGAATTGCTAGAAACTTTTTTCATTTGCATTTCAACGTCTACATGTAGTCTACATTTGCATTACAACGTCTACATTTGCATTCCACATTTCTAATTAAAGTTGAAGATCAGTCGTGTGTTCTAGTCTGCTGGAAGTAAAAATAAAAACCTTTTTCAGGTTTTTCTTTGACATCGTTTTGGAAACTAAAAGTTGATTATTTTTGCATTTTAGAATATTCGTATTATTGACTATGAAAGGATGGTTGATGAGAATGGTCAAAGAGTTGCAGCTTTTGGGAAATTTGCAGGATTTGCAGGCATGGTTTATTATGCTTGTCAGATTTGCCAATGGCAAACATTTTCCAGTTGCCCTAAGGCAATTGTTCTTAATGGAAGTTATAGAACTGCTCAGAACTTAGAACGAGTTTTTGCTCTAACTGTTCGTAAATTTTGCCTTTGATATATTTTTTGTGTTAAGTATTTTTTTTGTCAATTATAGTAGAAGATGGGCTAGAAATGAGACATGTTCTCTGTTACTCCGAGTTTCGCGCTTGCGCACTCATCTATTTTGTCTATTATGAATGCTAATTATTATTTTTGCAGTTATGATAAACATACTTCATGGAATTGGACTCCGATTACTAGCTTTAGGTCACCACACACCATTCATGGTAATTCTTTACAAAATATACTATACTACGTTTATTTTTTTAATTTTATAACTTAATTCGGAACTACACGCATTTTGTTAATTGACCCTGTTTATTCGAATGTAAGCCGCGGCTTTTAATTATTTTTTGGCACAACTTCCTGCGGTTTATGATAAGAAGCATCTTATAAACGAGGATGGCTTACATTGCTTCACCCATATCCTGCCAAGCTTTCCTGTCACTTCGAAGCTGATTGTGATAATGTAGTGGATGAGAAAGAAACACTTCTGGACAATATTAATGATCCGTCATCTGGACAATATTGGTGTTGGTTGAAGTTGTAACGTCTATTTTTTGGTTTAAGTACAGAGTCAGGTCTCTATCAGGTTTTCGTCCGTCATTTTATTTTAAATTAAGGCCCGAGTTACACGACGTCAAATTGGTTTTTGCTACGGATTGCCCACCCCAATCCGAAGTAGTTGCACTTTGCTTTTCCAAGTGATCACACGACTTCGGATTTACTTTTGCTTCGCTGTGACACGATGTCGGATTGCTTTGTACTGTGCAGACAAAAAGCCGCTGCAGCGACCGGGCTTAAGCCAGAAGCAACGCTGGGCCTTGATTTTTCTCCTTTTTCTAATTCGATAGCTACAAGCAGCTATTCGTTTCATTAACAATTTTTTTCGTGCCAAAAAGTTGTAAGTAATGAACTTAAATAACATTCTGTTCTGCTGCAATAAAGTGGTAAAACCCGCAAACATGTGAAGAAAAATTTTGATTAACAATTTGATGACAGCCATGTTTATGCTGAATATTTCCTTCTTATAAAAGCGCGCACAATTTGCACAGTCAGCCTCAAAGTAAGGCAACGTGATCTGGAACGAGGTTTCGGAGTGAAAATCACTTCGGACTTAGTGATCAAACGAGAAGGAATGCGAAGCGAAGTACTTCGGTTTGATTTTCACTTAACCTCCAGAGCGGAGTGACATTCACTCCGGTTATTCTTCATCTCTTCATTACTGAGAATTTAGATATCGGTCTATGAACGAATTTTTCTGTAGTGTGGGAAGAAATCTTAGCGTTAAGATACCACAGCAACCCAACCCAATTTTGTCTGGAGAGTTCAAAATAAATGAATCAACTGAGCAACCGACTGAATTTAAATTTCATCCTGTAGATGAAACTACTATTAATAGAGCTTTGGGCAAAATCCATATATTCATCGTCCTTCCCAGATAGATGGAAAATAGCCCGTGTGGTCCCTATTTTCAAAGAAGGCAAGTCTGATGACCGATCTAATTACAGGCCCATTTCTGTTCTACCGGTCGTGACAAGGCTCTTCGAAAAACGTATGTATGATCAATTATACCGGTACCTAAATAAGCACAAGTATCTAGTGTCTCAGCAGTCAGGATTTCGTTCTCTGCATTCGGTTGTGACATGTCTGCTAAAAAGATCTAGTGATTGGTACATCAGTATAGACAACGGGAGGTATACTGCGATGATCTTCATAGATCTCATGAAAGCATTCGACACGGTTGATAATCAAATACTCTTAGATAAAATGCAATTTTATGGAATTACTGGACATGCACACAAATGGTTCAGTTCTTCTCTTGATAATCGGAAGCAGTACTGTAGAGTCAATGGCACGACTTCCAGCATCGTAAATGTTGATATCGGAGTGCCACAGGGATCGTACTTAGGGCCTCTTCTTTTCTTCTATACATAAACGACTTGCCATTTGCTCTTAAGAATTCTGAGGCTAAAATGTATTCTGACGACACAGCAATCTCGTATTCTTCTGATATAAGTGATGAACTGGACATAGTTATCAACGAGGAGCTTTCATATATTAAAAATGGCTACAGGGTAATAAGCTTACCCTTAATGGTGTCAAAACCCAAGCTTTGATAATTGGCTCTAAGCCAAAAATTAAAAAGCTAAAGAATAATCCTAGCACACTTCCTTCTTTTAGGTTAGGGGGCGAGGAAATCGACCTAATAAACGAAACAAAATACCTCGGAGTCGTGATTGATAATTGCCTTACTTGGGAAAGTCACATTAGCACGCTACAAAAGAAGATCTCCAGAGCAATTGGTCTATTAAAGTATGCGCGAAATTTTGTTCAAACGGGCACTTTGATAAATTTATATAGAAGCATCATAGAGCCACATCTCAGCTACTGTTGCTCCGTCTGGGGCTCTTGTGGTGCTTCAAAGCTAGACATGCTTCAAAAATTACAGAATAAAGCCGCCAGAATAGTAACAAATAGCCCTTTTGATGCATCTGCAGCTCCTTTGCTCCGAAAACTTGGTTGGCCATCTGTACAAAAACTGATCAATAAAGAAACAGGTTCTATGGTTTACAAATCTCCTAACTTTCTTGCACCTAGATATCTCAGTGACCTATTCGTGATATTATCCGGGGTACATCCGAGAGAGTTAAGAAACTCTAAAACAGACCTTGCAATACCCATGTCGAGAACTGGCAATGGCCAGAAATCCTTTGCGTATCGTGGGGCCAGTCTCTGGAACAGTCTCGATTTTGACACAAAAATGGCTCCTTCAATCAATGCCTTCAGGTCCAAACTCAAGGAAAAATAATCATTTTTTTTAATTTATATACATCTTTGATTAGCCATATTCCGATCTTTTTATTGTGAATTTTATTGTATATAACTTTATTATTTTGTAAGTAGTTTTGTTGCAGGGTCAATTGTGAAACAGTATTTAGACTGAATTTGTACCCTGGACAAAAAATTTTAAAATGAAAATGAAAATGAGTTACGCCCAACGAAATACTTCGGATCGCCTCAGCGTCGTGTAACTGAAACCCCTATCAGAATAAAAAGCAATCCGAAGTGAACCCAATCCGGCGTCGTGTAACTCGGGCCCAAGTTTCTCTTGGTTTTGCTCGTGCGGGTTATAATCAAGGGTGGCTTACATTTTTATAGGCCCATCTGCTACGGCTTAAAATCAAGGGCAGCTTATAAACAAGGACAGCTAATAATCTAATAAATACGATATATAGAGCTCTGCTTACTGTGTTTATTTATTTTGCTATATATCTGTTCTATTTTCAAGTATATCGGAGCAGCACACAATTGCAAAAACAGCAGGCAGGCAAAGCTGGCAATCTATGAACTTGGCGAAGACATCAAAGCTGGAAAGCTCCCTGCTCATTTTGGGCCTTTGACATTTGTTTTCACTGGTTCTGGAAATGTATCGCAGGTATTGCCTTTTAAAAAATAACATTGTTTAGAATAACCCTTCCGTTTGTTTGGAAACAGTTTAGTTTTGTTTATTTTGTGCAAGTTTATTGTGACGAGAAGGGTTTAATTATGTGCGTAATGAATTGTCAATCTTAAGTTGAAGATTGGTCTCTTCTTGTCCTTAAGTTTATTTTACCTCACCCGCACATTGTCCTCATACGGACCTTAGCATAATTGCAATAGAACTAAGAAAACCTCGTCAGCTTCTATGAATTGTGGGTCATATTGCGAAGTGTTTTTCTTTAGTCGTAAATGTAGCACATTCTGAAGCCTGCCGTACGTCAAAATGTTAGGATTCTAACATGACAGGTAGCTTTCTTGCACAATATAAAGGTCTTTAACCCACACAGGTTTAAAGATCTCAATCTTGAAACAGAAACTCGTGTTCACAGAGATTTAAAGCTGTTGAAGGCAAATATACGGTGGCCCACAATGGCCATGGCACAATATTTTTTCATGGCACAATCTTTCTTCATGGCACAGTTCTATATTTCTACAATACAGATATATATATATATTTCCGCAGATCTCACAGCGATTATTTGTAGAATTAATTGAATTAATTGATTATACATATATAATTGAAATATATAATTGTGCCGTGAAGGAAGATTGTGCTCTAGCCGTTGTTGGCCACCGCACAAATAGCTGTACTAAATCTATTTTGTAAATCATTTATTGCACAAAAACAGTGGCTCCATACTAGAGGATAAAAAATGGAGTTATGTATCGAGACTAAAACATTAGTAGGTAAGACGGGTCTTGCTTTGAAGAATACACCATTAGCTTTAGATAGATAACGTTATCGATGAAAACGATAACGTTATCTATCTAATAGATGAAATAGATGAAAACGTTAAATGTGAATATGTTCACATCCGTGGCTTTGCCTAAATGATTGTTTAAAGACCAACCAAAAAATTGCTTCTACTAAGCAGCCCTTTAAGTTTCAAACATATATTGGCTTGTTTCTATGTGTGATATGACATTCTTGTACTTTAAATACCCGAAAAGAACAAAGTTCTTCGTATATCTGCCGAGAGCTTTTCTGTTACCTGGGGCAAAAAGAAAGATGAGGCTTGTGATGAAGTCATTAAAACAGCGATTGTCCTTGCTGTTAGGAACTTTGTTACATCTTTTAGAGGCTTCTCTCAGCTCAGGGCCTTGGGCAAACTGCCCCCTGCCCCCTCTCAGCGGGCCTGTCTCAAATGCATAGCTCCAAACCCTTATGAATATTTAAGAATATATGCTACTCGGTATAAAGAATAGGACAGTTCTAAGTTGTTACTCTGAGTTTCACGTTTACTGTGATCATCAAGCGTGCACAGCTCTGTCGTGTATGGCATCGAGCACTTTAGAACAGTAATTTTTATGATACCAATATATGACTATATTTTTTCAGTCGACAAAGTTTCAATATAAAATGTTTCATTGTTTCAGGGCGCGCAGGAAATGTTTAAAGAGCTGCCTCATGTGTATGTGGAGCCACACGAATTGAAACACGCTGCTCAGAAGTACGGTAGGCTGATTAACTATTTATCTGGACGATTTCTCAGTCGGAAAAATGGCTCCACTGTTTCATCGTGTCTAAGGATCCATCTTGCCTCAGGGCTATTCCCTGTTTAGTAAAAATCATCTTTTTATTCTCTCCTTTGTTAACTTTTCTCTTACTAAATTATCCTTCATCCACCCTAACCGCCTATTTTAAAAATATTCCTCCATATCTTGGTGTGTTCCAAGCCTGTCTTGTTGGAAGAATCACATACAGCCCTTCAAAATGACAAACGTAAGCTAGTTTCATTAGTTTTCACAAATTTCCTCCCTCTCTAGAAATAAAAGCTGTATCATTTTTTGTTTCAATTTAATGATAACAGACGGATCAAAACTTTCCTTTGAAAACAAAATTTAACCTGATCGAAGAATTTTCCCGGCTCCATTGTGCTTTATCCATTATTTTTTAGAATTATCAAACTGCAATACCCTTTCCCCCTTAGTTTCATCTTATTTGTTTTTTTGTTATCTGCAATTTTGCACTTGAATATATGCAATTTTGCGTTTTAAAATGGCACTTTGTCCCTGACTTCAGTGTTCCGTCTGCGCTCATTTTTCACCGTCTCTCGTCAAATCGTTTCTTGCATTTTATGGAGCTTTGATGCATTCCTACGCTCTCTGGTCCGCTATGGTTCTCTATTTCTCTGTTTCGATTGATCCATGGCACGTTCACAAAGCGAATCTATTCGGAGATCGGTAAATGCATCTTGTTCCCAAACCCCTTTTTTCAAACCGTGTTCAAATGGCCCTATCGCTCAGGGAAAATTCCACTGTTTTGTCGAAATTAGATGCCAGGAAAGTCCAGGAAACCATTTCGATCAATAACTTTGATCATTAAAACACTAAATATCAGAAAACAAGAACACAGTTTGGTGTAAGACGTCATAATCGACGATTGTTTAATTTTTAGATCATCGCACTTTGGTATATACAAAAGTGAGTCGACAAGACTACCTAGTCCCTAAGCTTGGAGGATCTTTTCAAGCCAGTGAATTTGAAGCACACCCTGAACGCTATCGATCTGTATTTGCTGAAGAGGTGAGTTTTTGGCAGATCATGTGACCGTTGTATTAGAGATCTTCTATTTACGTTAAAGTCTACCTGTCGTTATATAAAGGCTGAATTTTTGGCTGCCAATAATTCACTTGACAAATCAAACGCAGGAGCGCGGTTTTTCGAATTGCGCGGTGTTCTTTGATCTCTGAACAGTTAGATTCTACTGTAAAGGCTGGTCGGCCTAAAAAGGAAGAGTCGTATTCGGCAAGGCTTACGTTGCTTGTTCAAAAGAAACGAAAGAGCAATATTTCAATTGTCAAGCGCGATGCCATCAAGCCAGAAATGGAGAATTTTTACAACGTTTGCTTGATATTTTCGAAGACATTTCTGACGAAGATATCCAACAAGCCAATGATTATGGTAGCCAGCCCGAAGATAAAGCGAATGTCGAAAGCAGGTCTGTCGAAGGAATGCCAGAGACTGACAGAATACAAGGCATAGAATATGTTAATGTTATTCACAACACCAGCAGGAAAGTTGTGTCTGATTCTGTCAGGTAAGTTTTATGACATACTTGTTGGGCCTAAACATTCGTTCGGGCTTGCTTGTGTTTAATAGGTTAAATCAGTCAGTTGCAATGTGTTCAGGCATGTTCCAGGCTACGCAAACAGTTTCCTTTCTATCAAAATTGTTATTTTTCTTCTTAAATGGGTTTTTTTACGCTGTCAGTAATTGGTATCAAACAGAAAAGTGCTTCTAGTGTGTGACCGCCCAGGAAGGTTTCTTGCAACAAATAATCAAAACGAGGTTATCGGGCAATTTATAACGACAGTGAGACCTTAAAGGGGCCTGTGCAACCAGCAGCCTTTGCGCGCTCGCATTTGTTTTGTTTTTCTAACTGTGTTCTTCTATGCAAGACAAAAATGGCGAGGATAATTCGATGGGTAATTTCTGGTATCAATGTAGCGCTTCATTTGGTTTTATTTTGCGCGCAGCTTGTGCTAACGGCTTTCCACCATTTTCACGGACCGCGAAAATGGCCGCCTTCCCAGCTTACGCCCGCAAAGGCTACTGGTTGCCCACGCCCCTTCAAGCGTATTTACTCTCTGCGGAAATAATTGGTCACGTGATGACCTAGACACTTCTTGAAAGAAGCAGATTATTACAAAATATTATAAGCCACAAATGCATACAAAATCAAACTATTTGATGAGGCGTTTAATAGAAGGAGGCGTTTATAAGAGGGCGGCGTTTAATACGAAATGAAAAGTTTGCCAAATGAAAAATGACAAGAAAAGAGTGCGATGGAAAAAGATAAAAACATTCTTTAAACAATGTTCTCTTTTTCCCAAACACACCTAATAAAGATTGTATGAAAATTTTTTGAAAGTTCATAAAAGATATGCTCATGTTAGGGAAATGTCAACGAATGTCAATATTCCCGTCTTTGTCAGAGTCCTTGTCTCTGTGACATAACAACTTTCATGGCTTTCGAATAGTAAGCGTATTTGTTACGTCTTGTTTGGTGTGTTTTCTAACAAAGGCAGCTTTTCAAGATGCTGCGTTTTGAAGAGGGAGGCGTTTATTAGAGAGCAGCGTTTTTTAGAAGGCGGCGTTTTTCAGAAAATGTTGACTGAAGATGCGGCGTTCAATAGAGGACGGCGTTTAATGCAGAGGCAATGTTTCCTTGAAGATGAGCCATTTTATAAAATTATATATTAATCAGCATTTTAATTGGTAAGTATTGTTGCAAGAAAATGTTACCATTTTGGATTATATTGTCACATCTAGAGGAATTTCCAGATAGAAGACTGTCACATCTAGGAATGTGAGGAACACTTAACTAAGAAGAGCCATTTGTTGTTCAGCAATTAATCAACGCATTTTAATTGGAAGGTATTGTTGCAAGAAAATGTTACCATTTTGGATTATATTGTCACATCTAGAGGAATTTCCAGATAGAAGACTGTCACAACTAGGAATGTGAGAAACACTTAACTACTAGCGAGATTCTAGAGCAATGAGGTATTATTAATGCATAAAGTTGTCATGTTCAGAAATCAATTCAATTCAGTAATGTTTTTTTTTCAACTTTCAATTCATTTAATTTCTAGATTGCGCCTTACGCCAATGTGATCATCAACGGTGTCTACTGGGCATCGAAGAACCCCCGTCTTCTCACGTACAAGGATGCTCTTACGCTGTTAGAGCCAAAAACAGAACATGACAAAAATTCTGGGTGTCCTGATTTGCCACACACACTGTTAGCCATATGTGACATTTCTAATGATCTAGGGGTAAGTATCTTGTACAGGATTTGATTTTTGAAGTTTATGCACCGTTTTATTTTTATCTTATTTTGAAAAATTATAGTAAAGATGTTCTCAAGATTTTTAAATTTCAAATGACTTAAACTCTTGAGTTTTATGCTCAGTACGAGGTATAGGAAATTGTTATATAATTAATCATAAGATTATGGGTTTCTGAAACGAGGAACTCTAAGCAATATAAAAGGTAGCTTGTCAACAACAGGATCATAAACACAGGGGTGTGTGAGGCTGTGCCCCCACCCCCTAAAATAAATCATCTTGGGAAATAATGATTATGTCTGGCAGAGACAAAAAACAATTCTGCGGCTGGCTGCTAGAAAAAAGGCTTACGTTTGCATTGCTAGCTCACGTTTGAAGATTTTTAGTAGAATTGTTTTAAAAAATTGGATTTAGTTTCATCTTTTGGCATATGACATAAAAAGAGGCTTTATATCAAAATAAACTGCAGCTGTTAAAATTAGCTGTTAACTTTTCGCTATGCTATGACCACACCCGTCATCCCCCCGTTTTTTTCTTGTTTTGCCAGCTTTAGCTCATAAAGCAAACTAGGAATTATCAAAACATTGTTCTTAACATATCTACATTCACTACCAAAAGTGCTAGAACACTGAAGTTGGTTTGAAAGGGTGAATTCAAATATTCCCCTCCCCCCTGGGAATAATGCAGGTTTTCTATAAAGCCGCGTAGGAAATTACGAAGCAGGTTTTCTTCGCGTATGGTTTTTGGCTTAACTATAAGCATTGTTCTGGGAAAGCGGGTGGATGAAAGTAGCAGTATATAAGAAAAGAATTATTGCATTAAAAAAAAAACAACGCCAGTTGCTTGGTGTCCCAAGTAATTTTTGCAGGTAATGTTTGGGGAAATTACCTCCTTTCTGTTAGTAGGTTCTCAAATTTAGTCCTAAAATTCTCTTTAATGAATATTGGATTATAAACCAAATTTCTTTTTTCTTTTTTATGCTGTGCGTCTAGATTTTTGTTATTCTACCTTCAGGGCTCAATAGAATTCATGAAAGAAAACACCACAATCGAGTGCCCCTTTGCTCTGCACGATATTAAAAAGGGAACAAAACAGTTAGGGTAATGCCTCTCTTTGTTAATTCGATTATATCTTTTTCTTTTTGACTTTTGATTTTTTGATAGTGAAAATAACACGAAACACAAAGATTCTAAGTAGGTATTGAATATTTTTGTATCAAAATGTTATGTTTCGTTATATTTCCCTTCTCCTTGAAGGCCAATACTCTTTTTTACCATTAGACAGTCCTACCAGATTCTAGAAAGGTTTCCCAGAGTCAGAGAAACATCACGGCCTCACGGCCATTGGTTGTTGAAACAAATGGAAATTGAGGAAGGTGACCAAAAATTTGGAAACTGGAGGTGGTTGAAGAAATCGTATTGCCTTTTGGTTTTCAAAGTACAGTCAGACGAAAAATATAAAAAATCAAATAAAATTCATAAATCTGATGAATGTGTTTGCAAAACTGCTTTGCACTTTAAAATTTAGGCATTACCTCTTATGATTTATATATGATTTATTAGTTAACATATACATGTAACTTTTCATCTGTTTCAAAAACTACCTATAACGTTGCAAGGGGACGGAGTCAATACTAGTTGAGTTCCCAATTTTTTTGACCAAGCCTTTTCAGAACCCATTAAATATGAGGCTGGACTCTGGGTTTTCCATTTATCCACAAAAAGCACTGAAACTAATACACGGCTAGGAACGTTGGAAATTTGTCACAGTTTTCCCCCATGCGACCAGACCTTTTTCTTTACTCTTGAACCCATATGTGTTCTTTTGTTTTTTCATAGAACGGCTGGCGATGGCGTTCTTATTTGCTCCATTGAAAACCTCCCTGCGCAGTTACCACGGGAAGCAACTGATTATTTCGGTCGACTTCTTCTTCCATGGATCCCAGAAATGGTATTTATTTTACTGAGTGATTGACTGGTTTCATTGACTGATTGACTGATTTCATCTTACTGATTAACTGATTTCATCTTACTGATTAACTGATTTCATCTTACTGATTAACTGATTTCATCTTACTGATTAACTGATTTCATCTGACTGATTTACTGATTTCATCTACTGATTGACTGATTTCATCTGACTGATTGACTGATTTCATCTGACTGATTGACTGATTTCATCTGACTGATTAACTGGTTACATTTTACTGATTGACTGATTTCATCTGACTGATTGACTGATTTCATCTGACTGATTGACTGATTTCATCTGACTGATTGACTGATTTCATCTGACTGATTGACTGATTTCATCTTACTGATTGACTGATTTCATCTTACTGATTGACTGATTTCATCTGACTGATTGGCTGATTTCATCTTACTGATTGACTGATTTCATCTGACTGATTGACTGATTTCATCTGACTGATTGACTGATTTCATCTGACTGATTGACTGATTTCATCTGACTGATTGACTGGTTTCATTTGACTGATTAACTGATTTCATCTTACTGATTGACTGATTTCATCTGACTGATTGACTGATTTCATCTGACTGATTGACTGATTTCATCTGACTGATTGACTGATTTCATCTGACTGATTGACTGGTTTCATTTGACTGATTAACTGATTTCATCTTACTGATTAACTGATTTCATCTTACTGATTAACTGATTTCATCTTACTGATTAACTGATTTCATCTTACCGATTGACTGATTTCATCTTACTGATTAACTGATTTCATCTTACTGATTGATTGATTTCATCTGACTGATTGACTGATTTCATCTGACTGATTGACTGATTTCATCTGACTGATTAACTGGTTACATTTTACTGATTGACTGATTTCATCTGACTGATTGACTGATTTCATCTGATTGATTGGCTGACTTCATCTTACTGATTGACTGATTTCATCTTATTGATTGACTGATTTCATCTGATTGATTGGCTGATTTCATCTTACTGATTGACTGATTTCATCTTACTGATTGACTGATTTCATCTGACTGATTAACTAGTTACATCTGATTGATTGGCTGATTTCATCTTACTGATTGACTGATTTCATCTGACTGATTGACTGATTTCATCTGACTGATTGACTGATTTCATCTGACTGATTGACTGATTTCATCTGATTGATTGGCTGATTTCATCTTACTGATTGACTGATTTCATCTTACTGATTGACTGATTTCATCTGATTGATTGGCTGATTTCATCTGACTGATTAACTAGTTACATCTGATTGATTGGCTGATTTCATCTTACTGATTGACTGATTTCATCTTACTGATTAACTGATTTCATCTTACTGATTAACTGATTTCATCTGACTGATTGACTGATTTCATCTGACTGATTGACTGATTTCATCTGACTGATTGACTGATTTCATCTGACTGATTAACTGATTTCATCTTACTGATTGACTGATTTCATCTTATTGATTGACTGATTTCATCTGATTGATTGGCTGATTTCATCGTACTGATTGACTGATTTCATCTTACTGATTGACTGATTTCATCTGACTGATTAACTAGTTACATCTGATTGATTGGCTGATTTCATCTTACTGATTGACTGATTTCATCTGACTGATTGACTGATTTCATCTGACTGATTGACTGATTTCATCTGACTGATTGACTGATTTCATCTGATTGATTGGCTGATTTCATCTTACTGATTGACTGATTTCATCTTACTGATTGACTGATTTCATCTTACTGATTGATTGATTTCATCTGACTGATTGACTGATTTCATCTGACTGATTGACTGATTTCATCTGATTGATTGACTGATTTCATCTGATTGATTGGCTGATTTCATCTGACTGATTAACTAGTTACATCTGATTGATTGGCTGATTTCATCTTACTGATTGACTGATTTCATCTTACTGATTGACTGATTTCATCTTACTGATTAACTGATTTCATCTTACTGATTGATTGATTTCATCTGACTGATTGACTGATTTCATCTGACTGATTGACTGATTTCATCTGACTGATTAACTGGTTACATCTGACTGATTGACTGATTTCATCTTACTGATTGACTGATTTCATCTGACTGATTGACTGATTTCATCTGACTGATTGACTGATTTCATCTGACTGATTGACTGATACATCTGACTGATTGACTGATTTCATCTTACTGATTGACTGATTTCATCTGACTGATTGACTGATTTCATCTGACTGATTGACTGATTTCATCTTATTGATTGACTGATTTCATCTGATTGATTGGCTGATTTCATCTTACTGATTGACTGATTTCATCTTACTGATTGACTGATTTCATCTGACTGATTAACTAGTTACATCTGATTGATTGGCTGATTTCATCTTACTGATTGACTGATTTCATCTGACTGATTGACTGATTTCATCTGACTGATTGACTGATTTCATCTGACTGATTGACTGATTTCATCTGATTGATTGGCTGATTTCATCTTACTGATTGACTGATTTCATCTTACTGATTGACTGATTTCATCTGATTGATTGGCTGATTTCATCTGACTGATTGACTGATTTCATCTGACTGATTGACTGATTTCATCTGACTGATTGACTGATTTCATCTGACTGATTGACTGATTTTATCTAACTGGTTAAAGTGATAAATTTCGCGCAGCTGATGTAACAGGCTTTGTTGGTTCTTCTGTTGAGGAAGGTGACAGGACGTTTCAGCCGGCTTTCGAACATATGATGAGTTGATTTTGACATTTCGTTCTTTTCACAATAATCAGACTTACATTTTCATCCTCACTGTTAACTTCAGTTTACTTCACTGATTTCTCAAATTTTCTTCAATTTTTTCTCTTTTAGGTGAACTGCGATGCTCGCAGACCCCTTTCAATGGAATCTGGAATTTCTAATGTCGTCAAAAATGTGAGTTTCTTTGCGGCAACCGAAGCATTGTAATAATCAACGTTTCTTGCTGAAAATTTTGTGTGTGTTGCAAGTCAGAAACGGAAGCTTGCAAAGTACCATGGGAAATTTTATAGTGTGTCGAATTGTGTGTTGAATGTCTATTTTTGAAGAAGACAATATAATGAAAACAATGAGAGTTTCAAAATCTCATTTTCATAAAAATTCGACGTTTGTAAGTTATAATTGTAATACAAAAGTGAACAATAAACAAAGTTTTCTTATCAGCGATATATTCGTTAAGGCCTGAAATGCTTTTATCTTTTGTTGCGTAGTGTTGTGCAATGTTTGTTTTTTCATCGAAAACATTTCCTCGAAAGTATTTTATCATCTAACATAAACACTTTGAGATTAGAATTTTTCCTAGTGTCCTTAAGAGCACGACCCAAATTTTTTTTTCTTGATCTGACTGTTTGTTTTCCCCAATTTTCAAGCAGCTTCCCTGACCATGATATGTGAATCGATAAAAAGTATTTTTAGAATTGTTTAATTTGGACTACATATCATGATATAGCATCTTTGTTCTCTGTTCATAACTTTATGAACCAAGCCAAAATGTATTTCTTTAGCCAACATTAGATACTAATTAGCCATATCTCACCTAGTGTTCAACGTACCTAAATAATTTTCCATCTTTAGAGGTATTTCCAAGTATTCTTTTAGGATATGTGGTCAACATGTTTTCTTTTACAAATTGATTTGAATGACGTCACACTTGAAACCTCTTTTTAAGACTCTCTTTGAAAGAAAGATCACCTATATGTCTTATTCAGGCTGGGTCTATCATTTACACTCCAAAAGTCACTCGTTTGCTGTATTTTGAAAGGAATGTAATTGCTCAATGCCTTTAAAACCTTTCAGAGTACACCCTTACCAAATAGGTTTAAAAACAAAGTAGACATTTTCTGTGCGCTATGGAACCCTCTTTTTTAATACCTACCTAATTTTTTAATTATTTTTTTCGAATTATTTAAGATTTTTAGTTTATTAAGGATGTGAATCTTTGGGAATACTTATAATATATCTCGCTCTAAGCATACCAACGCCCATCCAAAGCGCTTTTTCCTGAGATAAGATTATCACAATCGTTATGGAATCAAAATGGTTTTACAGCTGAGATTACGTGAAAGTAACGGCCGTTGAATAACTCATTGGATCCATCTAGCACTAGCTCAGTTTCCTCAATTTATTCTGCCTTATAACGCTCCACAAGATACGCTTATACGTTTTAAGCTGCATAATATCGTTACTGCCAATATTCAGACAGTAGTTAACACCAAAGTTGGACGATTTATTATGTGTTCATGTGTTATGCCGCATGTTAAAGCTTTTCCTGTAGTGATGTTACTAAGCTTGGTGATATTTACTATGACGTGAGCAATCGTATTTCTGCCTCGACAGGCTATTATTTGTTCAAATGGTGAACTAACTGAGAACTACAAGTACATAGCAGATTTGCGAGCAAGGTATACTATATAAAACCTTCCGTCCTTACGATATCTTTTTAGTCTTTTAAAACTCTCTTCTGTTTTGAAATATTGCCTAGAATATTTCTGGCTTTTCTTGTCTAGGCACTGCTGCAGATTCCTGGCACTAGTTGTCCTATAATTGATCGTCCATTTGGGCACTTGTGCTTTCTCAATGTCCCTCGCAAGATTTCACGATCTCCTGCAGTTTTCATGCACCAGTTATGCCACTGAATGAATAATTTCAATGTTTTCATTCTTATTTACAGGCATGAGAATGAAAGGAAGCAAGCAAAGCTTGGCTTCCAATCTTCTGTATCAAAGAAAATTCTTGTTCTTGGTGCAGGAAAAGTTTCGAGTCCTTTTATTGAGTACCACACAAGACGCCAATCCACGGGCGTTACAGTTGGTAAGTTCATGTTTATTATTGATAGACCCGATATGGATTCAATTGAGCCATGACTTTTTCCTTGAGCGAAATGGTTTTCATCTACTGTATGATTAATTTCAAATTGGTTCGCCCTCTTTTTTACAGCTTAGTTCGTCCTCTGTATCTTAAATGTAAAAAAAGGAAGTGAATAATGGTGAAATATATCTGTTCTGATTAGAAGTAAAACAGTTTTAATTATCGTTATTTTTTCTCTCACAAACATCAAACTTCTGAATATCCACTTCACGCAAAAATCTTCTTTATTCCCTTCTCCGTTTTGATTCCCAATTTTTTCTCCCATTACTTATTTTCTTTCTCCCAGTACTCATTTCCCTGTACTTTTCTTCCCCCTTTTTCTCTCATATCTTTTTATTGCTCTCTTGTGCTTTAAACACTCACAGTCAGATCTCATTAAATTGCCTCTATGTTTTTTCCTTTTCGCCACAATCTTTTTTATCACCATACTTCTTTCACCCGTAATTGTTTCTTTTCTTCTTTTGATCTCCAATGTTTTCTTATGTCTGAACCTTCTGTTCCTTTTGCTTTCTGATTTTAACTTTTTCGCCCTTTTCTTCCATATCTTTTTCATCCCCCTTTCCTCTCTTCCCCTTTTTCTCTCATATGTGTTCATCGCTTTCTTGTGTTTTTCCTTTCTACTTTTCTTTGTCTTTTCATTTATATACTTCTTGCTTCCCCTCTTTCTCTCGCTTCTTCCTTTTCTTTCCCATTCTCTATTATCCCCTTTTTTTAATACCCTTTTCCTTCTTAAATGCTCATGACATGCTATTTATTCCAATAAAGACAAAATGTTTCTTTGTTTTCTATCTTCATTTGTGTTTGTTACCAGATCCTAATACACTTGATCCAATATACAGTGTCTTTTGACTCGTTAAACGCTCTTTTAGTCTCTAGGTCTAAAGATAGGGTTCAGCACCTGGCCAATCGACACGAGAACACCACCCCAGTCGTGTTAGACATTGAACGTTCTCATGAAGGATTGGATAAGCTAATTCAATCACACGATGTTGTAGTAAGGTGAGTTTGGAAAGATTTAGTTAAATGTATTTATTATTGAGTGGAGAGTCGAATCTGTGGATTTGATACCAAAATGCCTTCAAATGCCACTTATTTGCTGGGAAAACTCTATTCTTTCTTGCTAGCTTTCGCCAAAGAAAATTCATTTGCTTTAGTTACTTACAAACTTATTTCTCAAGCTTTTCAAGTATTATATTATTGAAAATTACTTCCGTACATTTTTCACAATACCAGTTTGATAATATTAATTCCCTAGCTTGTTGCCGTATTTGCACAGCCCTACCATCGCATCTTTATGTATCAAACACAAAAAGAACATGGTAACTGCAACTTATGTGCTGCCTGCTATGAAAGAACTTCACGAAAGGTATATTTTTTAACCATAACTTCCTTTTTTAAGATATAGAGAACACTTTAACAAAACTGCCTTGTGGTTGGATGTGGTATGCCAGTGACGAATTTCGAAAACTTGATTTTTTCCTTTAGTATCATAAAGCAAGGAGAAGATGGTACTGATGCAGTGGCCGAGTCATGGGGGGGGGGGGGTGATTTTTATGCTCAATGATTTTTATTCTGCAAGATCATGATTTTTCATACCTTACAATTCCTTTTGTAAAATGGGGAAGGAAGATGCACCCACTGCTATATTTGGGAAAAGCCAAGCTTGATATTTTTTGAACTATGAATTTCATTTGATTCTTCTAGATCACAAATAATTTAATTTCATTTGTTTTTAAAATTTTGATTGTATATATATATATGTTATATGTTATATATAACTGAATTTAGATCCAATAAAGTTTTTATTTTTCTCGGGGGATCACTTATTGACATGTTAAAGATTTGTAGCAAACATTTAAGGGTAAACTTGACCTGAAATATTTTGGTCGCCTATAGATTCTCGTTGACTGACCCCCCCCTCTTCCTCCCCCCCCCCAGTGTCCTATGAAAGTGGATACAAACGATGAGGCTTTTCTTAAATTCGTTTCAACCCCGTTGAACTTCGTCTCTAAAACTAAACTACTACGATAGAATAATGAGCTCTAAGATACTGGGGTAATGAGATTGGAGAAAGCCTTCGCATTTATCTAGAACATCAACTTTTATCATTTAAGCAGTCTTTCATCACGTTATTCAAAACAAGAAATACTTGTAAGACGTTGCCTTGTCTGTCCAATGAGATTTATATCTTAGGGATTTTTGCGTAATAAAGCTTTTGAAGTTAATTAAAAATTAGTCAAATTTATGCTACTGATATTCAAACATGTCTATTATGTGCTTTGTCGCGGCTTTAATTTTAAATCAGATAATTAGCGGATATGCATTGCTAGGAAGCATTGGGCAACCCGGCAATCTTTATTAGGACTTTCAGAAAGGTCATCCTTGATAAGTGTAGAGGACCAAAGAGTTTCCTCTTCTATTAATCCGCTCTCTCTGAAAAGACGAGTGTTAACCTCCATCATTAAGCCCCCTCTCGTTCAAGCCTGGAGATAAACCCCGGCTACAAAAACATTTACTCTCACCAATTTCGAAATAAGCCCCAATATGAATGAAGGCCCTTCTTTTTTAAACCACATTCTAGAATGTCCAAAATGAATAAGGCCTCTATTCTACGACCCTTTTCGATTTTTCATGGTAAGAAGTAACAGAGTTTCTTTGAATGAAATGGTTTTTTCAACAGGGCGAAGGAAGCTGGAATAACCATCTTTCAAGAAAATGGACTAGATCCAGGAATAGACCATTTACTGGCCATGGATTGCATCGATTCGATTAAGGAAGAAGGTGGCAAGGTTGGAAGGCTTATTAGATTGGTTTTGAATTCTTGAGAATTGTGATATATTTTGTCATCGTTACTTATACTGTAATGATTGTACAACTCGATTGAGTCTGTTTATTGAGTCCAGATAACTACAATTTTTACTGAAGTCCATTAAACCGAAATCCAAACTGGCTGTCCTTAGTTTTTCAAAAAATCTGAGGCTGTATTTTTCTTGATATGTTCTCAAATTTTTAGGGTGTAAGCAGGACAGTTACTGGCTATTGCGCTCTAGGGAGGTGTTTAGGCCTTGTTTGCTAACAAAGTGAGTGAGACATGCTTCGATCGGCGACAAGTTTGAAAGTTCACCTAAAAGCATACCTAGATTGCAAAACACTTCTCCTTTTTTGAGATGAAACTTTTCCAAAATCACTTTTTACAGTATCTCAACCGCACATTGTTCTTAATATGTTCTTAACTTTTGATCAGTTTTCAGGCTCCTGTTCGTATAGAATTGTTCATATAAAAAAATGAGTGTAAGAATATTTTGAAGGTGGTCCTCTTCTTTCGGTGTGATTTTAAAAAATGTGTCGATGTGCTTTATGTGATTGATCACATTAGTAATCGTTTACAGCTGCTCGTTGATGTGATCGCATGATCAGTTTCCTATCTACCTATAGTATTGCAGTTGTACTTAAATCTAGGTGTGAATGGAGTCGAAGTATGACCGAGAAGAGTTAGGAAGAGCACTGTACGAGTGAAGAACGAGACAGTAATACTAATCAGATTTACTGTCATGTGGAGAGATGAATAGTGAAAGTAAAATGCTTGTATAAATCTCTTCTTTTTTTTCTGGTTGGCCTGTTTTTAAAAATTAGGCCGGGTAGGCTGTTACTGTACAAAGCATTACTTTCCCATACTTCCTGGTAAAGTTTTATTCAAAATCGTCTTTGCCGGATGTTCATCTTTTACCCTTTGCTCGTGTCCATACCACAGCAGTGTGTTCCCTTGCTCTTTGTACACGACATTTTCTATGTAGCTCCTTTCTCATGTTCACTTAGCTTTATCCCGTAGGGTGGCTCCCTCTATTTTCCTTAGCATATTCTCTAGGAATTTCACTGGAAACATCTGAAGCAAATGGTTTTTTCTGAATCCAGGATATCTCTTGTGCGGCCAAAAAGACATCCCCATGTAACATTCCCGGCAGGTTTTTTTCTCACTGCAAAATTTGTCTTGGACTGACGATGTATGGGTCAAATTCGACCTAGAAATGTACATAATTAGGTTAATAATTTTAAATTTAAACCCCCGTGACTCTTCATCTTATCTTATGTTTCTATTGCTTGCATTTAAAAACATTTGGTATTATCTAGGTTGAATCCTTTATTTCCTACTGCGGCGGCCTGCCAGCCCCTGAGCACTCTGACAATCCACTACGATACAAATTCAGGTAAGATCTTTTATAAATATTTCCTGTGTTGGTACATGCGGCTATAATTCTTAGAATATAACAAAGAAGGTTATTAAATCTTTCATCAGAAAGATATTTTTACCTCATTTTGATATTTTATAATAATTTTGTAGTTGCGGGAAATAACGTGGGCTTAACATCGACGGGCAGTGGGTTTTGCTGAAACTAAATAAATGCTTATAAAATGTACATTTTTGGATGAATTCCCGAAATATATCCAAGCTCACAAGGAAGCTCAAGAGGAATTATTTTCCTTTCAAATTACCTTAAGAAAATTCCCAGAAGTGGAAGAAAGCTGAAATGAACTGAATATTTTTAAGTTTAGATGAAAATATAAGAAAATAGACTAATTAATCACTTTTCTTTGCAGTCTACCTCATTCAAGTGTGAATTTCCTCGCGTAATACCTTCCACATTCATTGGCACTGACACAGGGGCATCGTGGCTAGTAACTCTTAGGGGGAGGCATTGCTTGAAAATTTTCCGACAATGGGTTTGAATTAGAATTATGACGTCATCAAGCGCGTGCGCTATTTTTAAATAAAGAAAGACATGGTAAACAACATGCATCTTCTGCAGCATCACTTTTACTGATTGCAATAAGTCGGTAAGAGAAAAGCCAGCATCCGCATTCGAACATTGGATAATCATAATCATCAGTAATCAGAATCTGTGATGAATAGTAAAACTCACAATAGGGCTGTTACTTAGATAATTAATGCCTTAAAGGAGAACTGACACGCAAAAATAACTTTGGCTTATTCGATGCAAAATTTGTCGCTGACTTCAAATCTGGAAAAAGTTTTCTTCTTAGATTCGCCGTTCTTCTGATATTTGCGCTTTTATCCGTCAATTACGTCACAGCCAGGACTCGGGAATTTCCCGAAGCGGAAACAAGATTATCGCCAGGAGTTGTTAAAATTCTCGGTTGACGTCACAAGTGACATGTTAACAATGCCGTTGTAAAGGCTTTCACCGCAACGGTGAAAGTACAAATGAAGTTTCGTGTTTTATTGAAAATAGTCCGCGGTGAAAAGACAAAAAATTGTCAGGCATTTCATTTATAAATATAAAGAAGCTAGAAAATCCTAGCTACATGTCTGCTAGGACGCTAATATCCACATAAAATTTATTTTTATACCATGATATCTTCGAACCACATGCTTGGAAACATTGAAAGAACCTCTAAGCTTGTAAAAAAAGGAGTCGACTTTGTTTGAAAACTGATACCGTTTCTTCAAAGTTTTTATTTTTATAATTATAAATAAAATCGAAGCATGGGGGTGGGGGGGGGTGTGGTTGAAGCAATATCCAAAAGACAAACGAAATCTAATGGAGACAGCTGTAAAAGCGATCCTGCAACCTGCTTTGGGTGCAGAAATATGAATTCAAGAAAAATCTTGGTTGATGGGAGCTGCGAGTGTGACTAAAAAATAATTTCACTGAACTTGATTATTGTATTTTAACAGAGGTTAAGATACTAGGGAATAACCTAGTCTTGCAAAAATACCATCCCCCACCCAAGTCAAAATTGTTTGCAAAAGAAGATAATGCGCTAGTTGATATTCCTATGACAGCTAAACAGCATTTTCTTTGACTAAGAAATCAAGTTCTTTGACTAAGAGCTAAGAGCCTATTTCGTAACTCCAGATTTTTCGACTGCCAGGTAACTTATCAGTTCCCAAAACCCTTCACGCCCGGTGGAAATGGCATATATCTTCACAAGTCGACTTTTAACCCGCCTTTACTATTTAATATCACGATACAGTTAACGCATTTGAAACATTGAAAACAATAATAAAATGCTGCATTGATAATTTAGGGCATCATAGCATCATAATTTAGGGTTCCGTTTAGGGCATCATAGGCATTTCAGCGAATTAGGCCATACAGACAAAGCAGTCTGAACAAAGACGCCTCAATCTGAAATGAAATTTTAGTTACGATACCTGATCTCATTTAGATTGTAGCAGTAGCATTGTTTTTAATAGAAATTCCATATCATTTTGTACTTCTAGTCTTTTCTTTGTTCATAACATCGTCAATGTTGAGCCATGGGACGACTGTCTGCCCAAGCGGCAGCGCTGGTTGGTAGCAAAAACTCAGACGGCTGAAATTCTCCATTTGTCTCGAAATCAGTGTAATAAAACTCCGATTCAGAGTCCCAAACCATTGAAAAAGTCAATTATGTGTCAAAAATGCAAAATTAGCTCCTTTCACATGCACAAAATAAACATTTGTCCGCAGCATTTTCTTAAAGGTTCTATAGAGAAACACAATACGTGCTGAGAACATGTCACTTGTGACGTCAAAGATGATCGCCCACTCGTGACGATTTTCGCCTCGAGTCTCAAGTTGCCGGAACAATTGTCGTTTCTCAACTTAAAACGCCTGTATTTCAAAAACGGTAACTGTGATTTAAAAAAATTTTTCGATCCCGGAATTTGCTTGTCACAAACTACCGATATAGCCAAACTTTTTTTGCGTGTCAGTTCTCCTTTAAGATCCTAAAGAAATGAAAAGTTTCCTTAGCAATTGTGAGTCAACAAACTTGCCGATAACGATGTTATAACTGATAATCAAATAAACCAACATTTATTTAACCTCTTGGCCCATTGTTGATCGTAGTCTGTTTTCTACAGACTTGACGTTTAAAAAGGTGCACTCGCATTTAGTAATATCAATCGAGAAGCTTGCCATTTCCTGTAAAAATGTACAGATTTGGATAGGCAGACTTTGAAATAGATAAACACGATTTTTACTGTCTTCAAAAACGTTTTCTGTTTTTTATCTACCACCTTATGCTCATTAGTTCCTTTGAACTTTCTTGCTTTTTAAACCGGTCTACTGTCGACTGTTAGATACTGCGACTATTACAGTGTACTGTTTATTATTCCAAACATTAAAGCATACCTTGTTTTGCTTTAGCTGGAGCCCAAACGATACACTTTTGACGCTGCTTAATGGCGCAAGGTTTTTAAAGAATGGACAGGTATGTTCCTTCTCAATGGAATCCTGTGGTACTTCTTGTATTTTCATTAAGTGGAGTGTATTTTAACCTGATCTTGATACAAACAAGGAACTTTGATACTGTTTTAAGAATGTGACTTTTCTTAGTAACTTTTCAAGAGAAGTTGCAATGGCGCTGGAAAACTAAAGAGTTCTTGAAAAAAATTTAGGTTAAGATCTTTGAGTTCTGTCCTTCTTCAAATCTGATATAAAATTTGGCATTATCGTTTTTGAAATTCGAGCGCTTTTTGGATTTATATTTACATAAAGTTAACGTTTTCCATTTGAAAGTTGTCAGTTGACTGTGCTGTACGAAAATGTTTGCATAAAAAATATTCCCCAAAATTCAATTCTAAATCTGTGAATACAGTACGAGGACGGCTCTGTGGTTAAGGGCGCTGACCACAGACCGAAGGGTCCGTGGTTCATGTCCCTGGCATTACCATATTTTCACGCAGAATGAGGAGAAATGCCAGCTCTCTGTAATTCCAGGCGTAGGAATCACGAGGTGTGGTCATATTGAGAGGGAGGACGAGGACACTGCTCGATAAGCATAAGCTTCTCGGTGTCCTTAAAACTACTTTCGGATGCTAGGTAGAGACAAATACAAATACCATTTCAAAAACATATTTTTCCTTTTATTGACATCAAATAGTAAAATTAGCATAGCTCAAAGTTTATAAGCTATTACTGGTCAAATAATAGTCTTATATCTCACAAATAATTTGATTTTAGCTAATGGAAATCGAGCCTGGAATGTTGCTGGAGAATGTATCACCCCTGGATATTTTCCCAGGATTTCATCTGGAGGGATACCCAAATAGGGATTCTACCAAATACGTACAGTCTTTCAACATCCCTGAAGTCAAGACAATGTTACGAAGCGCAATACGATACCATGTGAGTTTCCTCTGTCAGCAGTAACTAAAGCAAGGGTTTTTTCAAAGTGATCTCTGATATTCCCGTCTGAAATCTAGGCAAAAAAATATGAATGTAAATCTATGAATACTTGCTGAAAGTGGCAAGACGTCAATCATACTTCGTTTTCACATTAGTTTATTATGTTGGCAATTATCGTTATGGTTATAATACATTTGATGGCTATAATTTTCTATTTATAAAAATTTCCTTTTATTTTTTTATCAAGTAATTTTTTGACTCATTGACTCAATTCTTTTAGCGACTCATTGAGATAGGCCTTTTCTAAGAAAATGAGTGGTGTTCTTTAGTGCAATTGAGGGGCGAAGACAAAGACGACGAGGATATTAATGATGATTATGATGATTATGATGATGGCTGTTCAGCTGATTTCAATACTTATTCTATTTGACCCGTACTACAATTCCATTATTACAGGGTTACGCAGCAGTGTGTCGTGGAATTTTGTCGCTTGGTCTTTTGAAAAAGGACCCTTATCCGGCAAATATGGTTGGAAAAACCTCGTCTTGGGTAAGGTTATCTCAATTTCTTGCTTTGTAAATTGAACAGTCTTCGTTTGTTGAATCACTCAAGGCAGCTCCTATACAACTATAGTAAAAATTCTTTCCTTCGTTTTTTAGAAAGATCTTATGAACCTCCAATTTGGAAGATTCACTTTATCAGAGAAAGAGCTTGAAATACTCGTAAGAGGCAGATTGCAAAACGACGAAATTGCTTTTCAAGGTGTAAAAGGGTAAGCATCTTAAATTTATGTAAGATATCATCAAGTAAAGCACTTTTTTCCCGAATCCTTTTGGATCCTTAAATTTCGAGGCGTGTGAGTATTAATCACCAGAAGCCAGAAAGGTGGTCCTCCTCCTCTCATGACTCACCATATTCCTCAACGGATCATATGATTAACGACTTTCCAAACTTTACTCAAGAAAGCAATGGAATAAGAAACAATGTGTGCTTGTTTCATTTAATTTGTTCGTTTCTAATAATATCCATTTGTGGTCATCAGTGTCATAATGTAAATAGGAACTATGGACTCCCTGCGGAGCAATCTATATAATCTCGTTTCTGTTATGTTTATGTTTGATTACAATGAGCCAGTCGTACTGTCTTCTCGATTACTCTATTGAGAATTAGTCCCAACAAAAGATGTATTAAGCTTTCAAGATTACGCAATTTTCAGGTGAAAACGAGGCTTTCGGCCCCCCTTAACAGACCATAATTCAATTTTGAGCATTAATTTTGAGCAAGAAATATGTTAAAATTAACTTTAAGACTTTAGATTATTTCCATTTAATCCCCTTATAAAAATCCTATCCAGGAAGTGGGCCTGCGAGTGCACCAGCCCTTGACTGCCTGGAGAATACTTCTCTTTAAGGTCGGTGGCAAACAATGGAAACTGTTTCCCGGCTGATGCACCTGCCCGCAAGACGACTGTCTCCGGGGGAAAACTGGAAAAGCGAGATTGGAAAGGGAAAAAAAATTAGTCAAGATAGAAGAAAAAAAAGAGGGAGTGGGTGGGTGGGAAGCTGTAAAGCGTATCTATCTGTCTCGTTCTGCTTGCAGAATGAGAGTGCACTAGCTATCGTGCTATGTGGGCGTACCATCACACATGCAGGGACGAAAACAAGTTGCTAATTTTGGGGGGGCGTGGAAGTATGAAAATTCCAACTTTAAGTGATAAATTTTTCATTCGACCAGTAGATCTGTTGTACCTACCAAATTGATATTTGTAAATAGCCCGAACACCATAGTTCTATTTTCTTTATAATTACCAAATCTTTACTCAATAATTAGCCTAAAGCATAAAAGCCTAAATCTCTAAATTTTGATTAACATGAAACAAACATTAAACATACTGTAAGAAGTAAAGCAACATTTAAGCAAAACCAGTATTAGATATACTTAATGATTAGTAGTATTCTTTCAGATCAATTGATCAATTTTATCTAAATTGATCAATTAATCAATTGGCGCAGATCAATCTTATCTAAAATACATTTTTCACGATATAGAAGCACCAAGAATTTGGGCCTTTTATTTTCGTTCTTGATCGAAGAAAACTACCTTTAAACTTTTCAGAGGGCCAAATGCCTTTTCATTCTTTACAATTGAAATGATGATTTGAGAACAAACTTGTGCATATGCCTGATTCGAAAGATGAAATACTCTTCTTTGATCAAATACTTCTACTGCAGTTTTTGCAATGTGTTCTTGCTCCACAACAGTTTTGTCATAGGAATTTATGATAAGGACTCAAGGAAATTAACAAATAACAGGGGGAGTTTAGCATAAACTCGTTTTTTATAAGAAGCGTTGAGAATTTTTAGTACTGAAAGATTCTTAATCTTTTATTGAATTAACTACTCGTAGTTTCTAAAAAAATTCCCACTCTAATATTTTCTGATCAATGCGGGTATTATTATTCCAAACTGTAAGTTTCAAGTTTCTTATCCGTAAGTTCACCTTGCCTGTTCGTAATTTGATTCAACTCCCGTCAGAAAGAAAGAAAAAGAAAACGGGGCAAGTGTGCAATTTGGATCCAGTGGAGACGGGATTCACAATAGAAAACGATTGGATGGGTCAGCTTCAGCCTGTGAATTTTAATGTTTAGAATTTTTATATTTAAAATAAAAAAACTTTTTAAAATATAAAATTCACAAGTTTGGTCTTAAGAAAAAAATTCCAAGTCAACCGTTACGTTTTCCAACTGTAACTGGATTTTCCAAACTTTGGGGGGGCGTTACGCCCCCCACGCCCCCCTATTATTTATGTGCCTGACCACATGGAGAAATTAAGGGAACGGAAAAACTATTGTTAACAGGACAATAGGTAATCAAGTCACGTGTGGTATTTTCTTCTAGTGGATTAACTCTGTTTAAACAAGTCTAAACAACATTTAAACGGTTTTTGCATTGATTACTTTCATATACGCCAAAACGAGACTTCAAACACTAAAAAGAGGCTGATGGCTCCCCAAAATCCCCGTATAACATTGATTTTCGAAATCAGCACCCTCGAATTGACCAAAAGCAATTGGTTCCATAAATTTCGCTCTCGGGCGACCATTCCCCTATTCTCTGCCTGGTCTACAGAGCTCCAAATTTTGAAATAAGCTTTTATGACCTTGGAAATATAGGGAATAATTACCGATTCGCAGCAGGATTTCGGATTTCAACCTGTGAATTAGAAGAGATCATTTTCAAATGGTTGTGCAGACAAGATCTTAACGTTTGAATGAATTTCCTCACGAGCATTTTGTTGTCTTTTCCCTGCTAGACTTGGCCTACTTTCAGAAGAATCAGTTCAGATAGGACAAACGCCATTTGATACACTATCAACGCATTTATCTCGTATTCTGGAATACAGTACGTCGCATCACTTTTCTTTATCAATTTTAAAGACTACCCTTCTTGCCACTTAGGAAATTTTAGACTCTAGATCCCGCCATGGATGATGATGTGTTGCTTTTCAAAAAGAAATATCTCAATTTTTAAGCAGTGGCGACCTTAAGAGGAATCAGCATTCTAAAACAATTGGTTGATTTTTCTAAATCAGAACAACTCTACCATTAGCCAGAACCAGTGCTGATTATTTTTCATCAAAATTCTCTTCGGAAACTCTTTATTATAATTCTTACACCCCTAGCCCCTATTTCACAGTATCTCCCCCTTTCATGTATGAAAATGCTATTATAAACATAGCTTTGATTTCAAGCAAAAGTTGCTTAAGTCAATGTTGACTGGAATATATTTTTTAAGATCATGGCTGACTTTTTCTTGACATATGATGTACCATACATCCTCGTGAATTCTATCAAATACTGAACTGACGTTTGTCTTTACAGGTAAAGGTGAACGGGATATCGTCTTGCTTCGCCTTCAAATTAGAGAGTTTAAGAACAACGGGAAAAGGGTACCTTACCTGAGCTTATTTTGATTGTAATAATATAAACAAGGTGTTAAGATAATCGTATATGAGATCGGATGTGAAAATTTAGGACATTTACAGAACTGTTGTAAATATGTTCGTATTTTATATGTGATAATACGATTGGTTAAAGTAAGGGGTTATCTACCCCAAAAGCTCACTTTTTAGTGCTTCTTCAAAAACAATCAAGCTGTCTCTTCAGGCCCGGCGTAACCGGGGGGGGCCTGGGGTGGGGCTGGAGCTCCCCAATAATTTTCAAACTAAGGTATATTTTCTTTTGTAACAGTGTATTGAGTGAAAAGGAATACAGCCCCCCCTAATATAAATTTCGTTCCGACGGCCCTACTCTATGTCACTAAACCTGTCTCTCTGAGGCTCTGGCACCCAGATTAGGATAGGCCATACTTCTAATGCAATGATTTTCCTTGCATCATTTTCTGCATTGTATCAACAAACAATTTAGCGTGTCAGTTCACCTTTGATTAAATGCAATGATTTGCCTCACAGGTGCAGCATGACATAAGTCTGGTCGAATACGGTGACCCGAATGGCTTTTCTGCAATGGCTAGGACTACCGGCATACCAACTGCGATTGCTGCGGATATGGTCTTAAATGGTAATGAAACTGTTGACCTGCATTACGAAGGAAAAATGATTCTGTCCCAATATTTCCTCTCTTTTGTCATGGACTCGCACTTTGCCCGCCATTAATGTCTCCAGAAAAAACACCTCCCTCTATTCTAGATAATTGACACTGCCTTGCAACAGACTGTTAGCACAGAATAGAGATCTATATTCTGTGCTTTTGCTCTACTCTCATCTCACAAGGGTCCTCCGTGCAAGTAGCCCCCTCTTTGCTACCTGACATCTCCTTAAAACCGAAAATTGATCTGACGGTGGCCCGAAACTCTAAGCAACCATTCTTAGGTTGGACGTTAAGACGCATTTATGTTACTGAACATCATGCAAAAGGTGATTTCTAACAAGCAATGTTTAAATGGACTTGAAGTAAAGATCATTGCGTGCATTTTGCATATATTAAAAGAAAAAAAGTTGGTTCTCAAGTCTTGCGTCGGGACTAGGCCCTTTTTTCCGTAATCCTAATGCGAGATCAAAGTCAATACCCCCACTCACTCCTACCCCGACTCTGGTTATTAAAATAATAAGCCAGACGGTTAATTACGTATAATATCTTCCTTTTAAGGTGAGATCTTGCAGACTGGAAACGTCACACCTTTTGCAAAAGGAATATACAAGCCAATGTTAAAAAGAATTCAGGCAGAAGACATTTGTTGGACTCACAAAACAACAGAGTTGTGAACTGTGGTAATGGAAGTTTTGCTTAGTTATTTTATGAAACATTGCATGGTATTTACTAAATTTTATTTCATTTAATATTTAGTTGTTTTTATAGCTTTGTACGTGTTTTATAGAGGGCAGTTAACTATTAGAAGCTTCTAGCGTCCCTACCTTGGGTGTAAGAGCATCTAAAAAGATAAGAGGGACAAACAAGGATTGTGCTACATTTCAATGTTGGAGGCACAAGCAGAATGGGACTTCGTTATGTAAAGGGGATTTTTTACAAAAGTAAAGAAATCAGCATTTCTTAGAAAAAAGGCTTTAAAGAAACGTGGTGGAATACAAAGCAGGCTCTGGAAGCCGAAGTATAGCATCGTATTTCTTGAACACCTCTGGTCGGCTTGGGGAGAAAAAGAAACCATCTGAATTAAACCATTGCATAAGTATCAAATTTATGCCGATATTTTCCCTTCCAAACCCTTGTTTGTATTTTATGTTGGTATTTTAAGGCTCAACCAACGGGTTTTTTTATCAATTCCCTATTCAATTGAACATTGTCGCGAAAAATGGTTGAAAAACCTCAACTTTTTCACGTTTGCTTAGACCCTCACAGTGTTTTCTATTTACTAGCAGCAAATCAAGTATGTCCTTATATTAATTTGCTTTTTTTTAAAAATCTTTAATGTATTTTGGGCTCACCGGTATTGCACTCCTCATTATTTATGTTCATAGTTATTGACCTAATCTTAATAAAGTTTTTTTGCACCGTCGATAGAGGCTATCAAGTAATCTTTATTCTTTATTTATGGGATTTACTGAGCCTGCACGCGGACCCGACTGGTTTTCCAACAGACGAGTTTAGTTACCTGAAACGTTGAAGTTGAATTGAAAATTCTAAGTTTCCTATGACTATACTCTGTCATTTTACCTTTACCACGTGACAGATATGAATGGGGCCTGGTGAGCAATGTTATCCTACCTTGTTATCCCAAGGTGTTATCCCACCTTTCAGCCTAGAAGCTGGCATATGGGGTGAAATCATAACATGTTTATACACAAGCTATTTTTTCCACCTCTTAGCTCTCCCGGTCATTTTTTCGGCATGAAATCCCTTTCACCTTCCAGCCAGATCTGGCAAGCTGACACCATAATCTGATTTGCCCCGTTTAGAGCGTTTCTCTTATAAACACAAGATAGAGACTGTAAAGCATTGTATAGAAAGACTGGATCTCACCTACCAGTCCATAGACTTATATATACAGACGTTAAGTCTTTAAAAAATGTGGTTCAATTGCAAGGTCTCATCTCAAAGACCGCGGAGCATATTACGTATTGAAGGGCTTAAAACGTTTTGGGGAGGCTTAAGAGACCAAGAGCAAGGCGAACTTCTGTATGGGTTTAAATGCAATTTGGAGGTTCTGGAATCAGTTTCGCTTCCTATATTCGTCTTGAAAAGTTATATTAAGATCATCAATGTTGATAATATCACCGCTAGTGTTAAATATGAGAATCAACTGCACTACCGCAAGTGTTCGAAACTACACAATTCATATCCATTTTGACCCCATGGAAACTTGTTTGTCAAGACTTATCTCAACATGTCCAAACTTGTTAGACCCCGCTGGACCTCAGTTTGTTTTCGAAACTAATTTGCAATTGAAGAGATAGTGCAAGAGAGCTGGCTACTCAATCTAAACTGCAATACTTCATCATGGCTCAAGAAGGAACATCTTCAAGGTACACGCGCATTCTCAAGGTTGGGTTTAAATCTTGCCTAATTCTAAGCACCGCTGCACTCTTGTTGGCTTACAGAGATGTTAGTGTGAAGGAGCTAGTTATAGCAGAACATATAAACACTTTAAACTTGAAGCTGCCAGAACGTCAAACTGTGGCGATTCGTTCAAAACGAAGTCTTGGATTTGATGATGCTTTCGGAAATCTTCATAAACGCCTTGATTTCCTAGAAAAAAGGTATGTTGATTTTCAGCAAATAATCTGCTGCAGAAGTCAGTTAATCTTAAAGCAGAAGAATTCTTAAACTTTTTTTTCCATCCAGTCCGAATAAGCTTCGCTCTCAAATTGAATAGATCACCTGTTTTAGCATCGAATTTTGAATAGGCCCCTATCCTGAATAAGCACCATTCTCGAACACCCTCCTACGCCCACTAGTGCACATAGATTTGAACAAGGGTTTTTAAGATAACATGGAAAAGCAGAAGCAAGCGGCGACCGCCATAGACCCCCGACCGCCACAGACTTGGCCCCCTTGCTGAAGAGTGCAAAAGAAAATTGAAACACTAATCGGCAACTTCTGTTTTGATGTAGACAGATTTTAAATCCTCAAGGGGTACTCGTATATTTTTAGGTTTTAGGGGGTGCTAAGGTTACTTTGAATATCTTGCTTCGGCGGCTTAGTTATAAATGCCGCCGATTTTCGTAACAAGGTAGTCAGGCGTGAGGGTGGATAGGCATCGAAAGGAGACTTTCCCTCACGTCAAAACCTACAAGATCAGTGGCTGACTTAAGGGGGGGGGGCAACTAGGGGTAGATGCCGCTCCCTCGACGAGTTGAAGCAAGTCTTGCGCCCCTTTTTTGGAAATTGTGCATCCCTTTTGAAGAATGAGAATCAGGTGAAAAAGTTTCTGAGACCGACAGGTTAATTTGCTTCAAGGATTACCTCAAAGTTTTGTTGTTTATTCCGAAAATGGTTCTGAAATTTTTGTATAAAGCGTACTCTCGTCATCAATTTTTGAAAATTTTTAAGCGCCCCCACTACCAACTGCTCCTCCTTCAAGTTTGCTCTGGATCCGCCCCTGTACAAGGCTGAATCTGAAAAGTCCTCTCGGTTCCATCAGCATGTCGACGTTTTCTTCTCTAAAAAGTTTTGTACAGAAAGCTAAAGTTTGGTTCTGTGACTTTCATTTGCTCTAGATTCAAACAGAGTAGTGCTTTTGACAAGTTTGGGAACTCCACATATGCAGCACTTCTACCATTTCTTCAAGGGCCAAGAGGTCCACCAGGAACACCCGGTGAAAAAGGAGATCGTGGCCTGCGAGGTTAGTTTAATTCAAGCTAAAAGCCAATAGTGATTTAACTGCGTTCTATGCCCGATTGTAAGCTAAAAAACTGAATTTTTAATCAAAAAATTTCAAGTGGCCATTGGACACATTCTAATCATAAAACTGATATTCTGAATTTCCTAGGAGAAAGAGGGAGTCCTGGCAGTTTTGGAGAGATGGGCCTGAAAGGTGATCACATTGACCATAATGCCGAAGCATCTGGGGGCTCTGTTTACATCCGTTGGGGTAAAACGTCGTGCCCAGAGAAAACAAAAGCAATGCTCGTCTATTCAGGTATGTTAGTTAATTCTCAATTTCAATCCATCTGCTCTGTACATTTTCTTAAGAAACTAAACTCGTGTTTAGCATCAAGCTTCTTAAATCTTTTGTTGGTTTAGTGCTAACATTTTTTAAAGATCCCTTAAATACCAAATTCTTAAGAGGGTGTTTTAGAAACCCAACGGCGCAGGTTGGAAAGTGGGGGATCCAAGGAAAAATGTAACAGTCATAACAAAAGATTTTGAAAAAGATTTTTTGTTCTGCAGATAATGGGAGGGGCATGCCCGCGCCCCTTTCTTCGTCGTAGGCCCTGCACAAAAAGGTGACATACTCTCGTTAAAGGCAATCTGTCTCGTTGTGGATTGGTTAACGAGAAGAATAGCTGGAACAATAGCCTAAACACGATTCCAGCGCTTCGCCATTTTTTTACAATGCGATAAATTAAAGGGGGACTGGAAACAATAAAAATCCCTTTGTTCTTAAAACCAATCAACGTCATGACAGATTGCCTTTAAGTCGCTCATAAGTGGCTTTCTTCATTTTGAGAACTGGGACCGAGATCAATGTTGTAAAAATGGAAAGTGGGGCAATCCATGGACCTTATTTTCTTGGCATAACATTTCACGCTACAGATTGTATGCATATCAAATTTTGCAGACCTACACTCGTCAATAACCTTTTTCATTTCGAGGACTGGGACCGAGATCAATGTTCTAAAAATGGAAAATGGGGCAAACCATGGGCCTTATTTTCTTGGCATAACATTTCACGCTACAGATTGTATGCATATCAAATTTTGCAGACCTACACTCGTCAATAACCTTCTTCATTTCGAGGACTGGGACAAAGCTCAATGTTCTAAAAATGGCTTGTGTCATATTTTACGCGATTGTTGCAAGATTCAAAATTTATGCAAATGGATTTTTCGTCCCTATTTCTTCCCTCAATCATAGAAACTCATTTATCCCCGTTTATATCACATGGTCCTGTTATTCATATTGCCAATTCATTTTGCCATAGGTATATCAGCTGGTCAGAGCTCTGGCCATACAGGAGGGATGTCAAACACATTATGCCTGCATTCAAACCCCAAATTTGGGAGTTATTCAGATTCTGTGGATACCTTACAATGGATTTATAGCGTTGAATACGAGATCAGTGCATTCAATCCTTTCAAGAGGCAATTGCACAACCATGATGCTCCTTGCGCTGTTTGTCACGTGGCGACTCGCGGTGCCAAAGCAATGATTCCCGGTCGCATCACTTGTCCATCCGGCTGGACAATGGAATATAAAGGATACCTGATGAGTGAGACGTACCAGAGCCAAGGCCGTACCACTGCGGTTTGCGTTGATGAAGATGCAGAAGCATATCCTGGAACGTATTCTGACGGCGGCGGGAGTTTATGGTACTTGGTTCAAGGTATTACGAAACCGTATATTTCCGGACGCGAACTCACATGTGTTGTCTGCACACGATGAGCTTTGATAATGTATATGTTTATGTTATGTTAGAATAGATAAAGAGAATATCATAATAATGCCTAATACGGTATGCATTAATGCCTAATATGGCATTAATTAATGCCTAATATGGCATTAATTACCATAAAACTTTGGTGACAGAATATCAATATTTTCAAAATCGTGCTCGGGAAGCAATGATTATGGTGTCTAGCATCTGGAACTAGCTGATGAATAACATGGCTCATCCTTTATTTTGACAGCCCCCCAGACCCTTACCTTGTCGGCAAATCTTCAAAATTGAAGTTTTGTCGGCAGCCTCTTGGAAACTGGCAAATTTTCAGAAGAAAGAAAGACAATTTTGCCATTTTCAAAATATATATTATCTGTTGTTGATGACAGCACCAGTCACTGTTGCTAAAGATGAACGCACATTTGGGGTCATCCATAAAGTACGCACTCAGGGGGAGGGGGGAGTCGATAAAAAATTGTACACTTGCATACACGTGAGTACGCTTAAGAACTTCCTAAACGTGAAATATGAGCCTTGCAAGCTTGCTCATTCATTGTTCATATGACAGAGATTTTAGTAGGAAGTTTGATGCATATTTTCATCCTACCTAAAATCTGCTCTGTTTGATGAACTTCCGATAAAAACTATGTGAAAGGCTTTGCCTTTTAGAAAGCTAAATACAATAAGTTCAATGTTAAAGAATCTGCTTCGATGTGCTTCACATGATTACATAAATTAGACAACTGCATTAACATATATTATAACAAGGAATGGTCAGTATGGGCAATTCCCTGAATTCCCCTGGAAACTCTCAATTATTTGTATTATACCATGAAACGGGAGGGAGGGGCAAAAAAGATATAAGCATACGCAGTGTACGCAAAAAGGGGGGGATATGCGAAAAGCGTACATGTGCGTACAAGGGGGGAGGGAGGGTTAACAATTGGCTCTCAAACTGCGTACGTACTATATGGATGACCCCTTTAGCCGACTGATACTGGTGAAAACCTAACGAGAATGATTGATGGTCGTACAAACTCTCTCATAATAAAGGACAGGCGCGGTCTGGCCCGGGTGGCAAAATCCAACAGAATCATTCTTCATCAAAGTTTTCAAGAGGATCAACAGCAGAATTTTCTGGACATTTCACAAACACATTTTCGCAGATTTAGTGTTTCAGGAAGTTTCGAGTATCAATCATCCGCTTTTTTAGGCCATAAACGCTAAAAAACGCAAACGTTTCTTCCCTTGAAAGTTTCTTCCCGTGAAAGTTTCTTCCTTGAAAGTAGCAAGCAACAGATAAAGGCTTCCTTTCAAGTTCTTCTTTTCTCTGAAACCCTCTGAAAAGTGTATGCTTAAAAGTTATATTGAAGTTCAACGTGTTTAGAATTACAGAGTTTGATACATACTAAGGAATCTATATCATTTTAAGTTCTCTCAATGATGTTTTAGTGTGAATAAGTTTGTAGATTACTAGATTTCAAATTGTAGACAAGATACTAACCTAGACAAATGAAAAGATGACACATAACAGAAAAGAACATGCAGGTTGAATTTTTGATTACTTTCTTGGTTCAATTTTCGAATATTATATATAATAGGTTCGCTTGAAAATATTGCTAAAAGTTTTAGAATAGGATTTTTTTTCGAACTGTTATTAGAGTTTCTTGGAGTTACAAATAGAACCATTGTTTTGCTGTTATTGTGCAGAGTTTAACTGCATACATAGAATCCTTGATTTACATAGAGAACCAGAACCGTCAATAATTGTTTGGACTGAGCATATTTTAGCCTTTTCTCGCATTAGAGGGTGTGGCTCGAAAAGTTTTTCTACCACACCCTGAACCAGGACCTTTTGGTTTGCTAGTCACCCTGAAATTATGACGCTGAGCAAAACTGAAATATAACAGAATTAAGTGCTGAACAGTAAACAATAAAAACTATACATTTTAACAGTTACAGACAGTTACATAGATATTTTCCTTCGTTTTAAAATAATCTGCAACCTCAAAATTCCTGAGAATAAATATTCGCGAATTTTATCAATAATAATCATAATCATTTAAGAACCATGCCCGTACCTGTTGCCACACCCATTTTGTCGGCAAACTATTTGCACCCCCCCCCCTCCATAAAAATTTTCTAGCGACGGCCCTGTGTCATATTAGCAGGAGAGCGTTCCCTGACCATAACCGATCTGTGATTGGCTAATACAATAGAAAGAATAGAAAGACCGATCTTTGGTATGTTTGAAACTAGGTTAACCGATTTATCCTATCTTGAATCGCTAGTTCCGCTGTCAAGGAGCCATGGAGGGGGGCCCGGGGGTGTTGAATACACAACAGAGAGTCTTAAACACAATCGCAGGTGTGTTTTGTGCGGCCGTGGGTGTGGTTGTGAGTGTGGATTTTAAAAGAAGCGTAAAGCACATCCCTCCTTTTAACCATTTAAGGAATACGTCGAAATACGTTATATGAAAATCAGCCTTTAGGAACAGAAAAGAGCAAAACGGAAAGATATATATCGTTGATCGCTGGGCATGATCCCCGATACAGAGCATTAAGTCCAGGTAACTCCACCCTTGTTTAGCAGGGCTGCCGAGAAGTGGGGGCAAGGGGGGCTAATTGCCCCAAGGCCTCGAGGTCTAAGCAGCCTAATAAAGTACGGAATTCTGTTTTAATATGGAATCGACTAGAAATTACTGAAGTACTTAATATACGTAGATTTTAAAACATCTTGATTGCACATGAAATGGTGCAAATTTCATAATGGTTCCAATAGGAAATTTCTTCAGGTCTTCTAAAACTTACCCCATTCTAAAATACAATTGGCGATGCGCAAAAGAGCTATCACAACCAACAATTCCTTGAACGAGTTTTTTTTAATACACAATTTTAACTTGAACAAACTTCAAATGAATTTATTTATCATATACTCACCGACATAGCCCCTAGCTTAACAAACCTGAGAGCGATTATGTTCACAGCCGAAAACATATATCAGTTAATTTCAATTCACCACAACTCTTAAATTCGAGGGGCCCCGAGAAAATTTTTTATTCTAAGCTAAGTTTCATAAACGTTTTAAAAGACTGCAAGAAAAGACTGAAAGAAATATTCTACTTCTGGTGAAGGAAGTTCCTCTATGCTGAAAAAGTAAAAAAAAAGAATGAACGTTTTCCCTTATGCCTAATCAGGCACCTTGCTCCAGTCAAAAAGTGGGGTGGGGGCTGAAAAGGGCATGAAAGGAAACTTTTTAAGGCCAGGCCCTTTAGAACTTCGGAAAATGCCCTTTTAGAAAAGTCTTGCTTATTCCACTGATTTTTTATAAACCATCTGATTCAGAGAAGATACCAATAACAATAAAAATGAAAGGGATTTGCTTGGGGATAATAAAATCCCAAGCTAACCAAGTTAGAAAATACATCGTATAATTAACCAAAAAACCTAGAAAAAACCTAGAAAATAAACAAAAAGGGTTCCCAGTCAAGAAGAACTGCTACTACTTAGAATCCATATCCAAAGTTGCGTTATGTAAACTTTCTAAAAAATGGGGATGGGGGCTAAAACATCTGCAAGCCAGATGGCTGCGCGGTGCTTGTGCCTAATGGCAGAAAATTTTGATTCTCTGAGCGTATTAGACCCCAATAAAATATTCCAAAAGTTTGCAGTAATTAATGGGGCCCCAATCAACTTGGGCCCGGGACACCAACAGATGTAAATGCAGCCCTGTACAAATAGACATTTGATATTTAGAATGATAAATTTTAAAAAGTAAAAGTGCTTTCTGTTCTTTCTTAAAGCCTCTTTTGTGCATGCCGTTTTAACAAATGTTTTCGCGATAACAATGAAGAAGATCGGATGGCAGAGAAAGGTGTCTACATTATATCCATGCCATACATCCAAACAAAGAGTTGTTCGAGAAGCGGTTGGAAAACGGCCTGTTTTTTTGATAGGTGGTTTGCTGTTGCGTACATAAATTTTTCCCAAGATAAGCGAAGAATTTATACCTTGTATAGTAAGCATATAACCATATTTAGCTCAAACTTAACTATTTCAAGATGAGACAAGCTGGAATTGTAGTGACGACTGCCTCTTGCCCCCAAACAGTAATCAAACAAGAACCCGCTTATTCTCGACCTCAAATCGGGGGATCTTACAACAAACAAACATACAAACTAGTGGGGAATTTTCCACCAGGCCCTTAAATTTCCCCACTAGTTTGCCCATGATTCCCCTCTTAGCAAATTCCCTTTTGTTGAAAATTGTTATAAAAAGCATGACTGCTGTTTATGTCATTGTCGTTTTATGTATGTGTCAAATTATATGTTACTTCTTCCCTATCATCGAAAATGCAAATCTCTGACTCTGTTTGATTTTCTCGCACTACACCAAAGCGAGGTAATGAAGTTCGCGGGAAAACTAATTGTCCTGGAAACATGTCTGAAATTGCGTCATTTTCCTGCAAACATGTCAAGATCTGAACTTCCGTCATTTTGTCTGGTTTATTTCACATGTTATTTTTTGCTGCATGTGAGTAAGGACTGACGTGCAAGACCTTGAAGCCTTATATACTATGCATACTCGTCCTTTTTCTTTTGTTTTTGCCATCAGTTGTGTCGCATTAAGAAAATTGCTCTTTTGTGTCAATTCCCAACCAGTGAAAATTTCTTAAAAGATCCCCTGACTCAGATTTATTCTGAATGGAGGACTTTTGAGACCTCCCAAATCCATCTAATTTTTTGACGTATAATTATTTCTCTCAAACTCTTAAAATACCATAATTATTTGCAGCCTCGTTTACACTTGTATATGTATTGTACAATGATATAGAAACGCTCCTATATCATTGGTATTGAATTCTTTAGCCACATCCTCAAGTCGGTCTTACGTCAGATTTCGTGGGGGGACCTTCTCCCCCCTCTTTTCTGATAGCTGTTTAAATCTGTAGTTGTTTCATGGGCGGGGCCAGATGGGGCTCCTGCGAAATGTTTTGCAAAAAAATGTTTTAAGAGAATAAAAGAACAGAAAAAAGTAAGAAAATAAAAGAGAATAATAGTGCGATAAATCCTTTCACAGTATTGCTTTATTTCAAAGGAACAAGCCGGGGTCTATGGTACCCCATAAAGTAACGAATTCCATTTTAAGACTGGAATTAATCAAACGTAAAAAACCATGCCTTAAAAATAACAAAATGTTTGCAAAAACGAACCGCAAGGAATATTTTGCAATGTATTTAAAGCTAGTCTAGAGGGTGTGGTTGCAAAAATTTTCCGCTCGCTTCGCTCGCAAGTAAGCCTCCTCTTTTAAATATACCTTGGACCCCCAACAACTTCTTGTCGGCCTTCCAATGTACCGCTAACATAACGAGTGCCCCATAAAATCATAGGCATAAAATATCCTGAAGCATTTCAGTGCGTTTTTCAAAAGTTGTAATCAACTCGAGCCCCCTCACTTTCAATTTCTTTGGCGCCGCCCCTGTGTTTGCAAAAAGTTCTGACGCTGCCTTAATCTAGTCCATGATTGACTTTCTGTACATAAAGCCTACCAGATTGACTAAAACAACAAGATTTTAAGGACTTTATGGTTTTAATTTCAGCAGGGATGAAACGTCTTCACACCCCAGATACTCTTTCATTTCAAATTTACTACCCTTGATAAATCTAAGTTTAGTCTTACTATTATTTTTAATATAATTCTTTATGATTATGATCATTTTTTCTCTAACAATTTTTTTCCACTGTTTTTTGGTTAAATTTTTTATCTGATTTTCTTTGAGGTTAATATCAATCATTTTTATGGGAAATTTAAACGTTTTTGCCCTTCATAAACTATCTTGGTCAATCTACTTTCGTTCATGTTTAACATTAATCTTGTCTCTTTTATTCTAAATTCCATAGGCATTAGGCCACATTCAAGGACTATTCCATCATATGACACTGATTGGGGTAGAGAGTTAATTATTGTTACTGCATCTTTTTGCAATTTTTCTAAGTCTTTGAATTGCTTATTAGTTACGTTAGTCCATGTTTCACATGCGTACGAAACTTTTGGCATCAAAATTGCTTCAATCAGTTTGAAACTGATTGAAAAACTTTTTTTTTGAGTGCCTCCTGCTTAATAAGGAATTTTATTTCTTTAATAACCCCCAAAGCAGAGTTTATTCGTTTACTGATGCACAAATCCAAGGTTCCTTTGTTATTTTTCAAGTCCCCTAGATATTTATATGACTCTACTTCTTTAATAGCTTGGCCATTTGAAATTAAAGTTTCTTTTTGGGCTTTTTTACTTTTTCTATATTGCATGATCATTTGTTCACTTTTATCCAAGGTAAAATTCAGGAGGTTTTTCTTTTAAATTTTTCAGCAATAGTAATCATTTCCTGCATTTTCTTATGAGATATGGAAGCAATTTATATATCATCCTGATAAAGTAGTTGGGGAATCAAAATGTCCCCAAAGTAAATTCCTAGGTTTTCTCTTTTTACTATTTGCATACTTTTATCAATATGATTGGCACAGATGGGGGCTGCCAAGATAGTTCCTTGTATAAAATTTTCTTTAATTCTAACCTGTCTTGTAATTCCACTAGGTGTGTGGATTTGAATGTATCCTTCATTGTTAAATTCGTAAACATTTTTAAGAAAGTTTTTTTTACCCCACTTCTATATATATCTATGTTGCAAGACTTTAGCCACAGCTTATCAAAAGCCTTCTCCAGGTCCAGGTAAACAAACTTCACTGAACATTTTAGATATTTGTAGTAATCGTTTATTGCTTGCCAAATAAACAAATGATCTAAGGTTGATCTACCCTTTCTTCCTCCTGCGGCTGCCTCTGAAAGCCCTTTCTCAATAACATTGGCACCGCGTTGTTATTTGCCTCTCGCTCTACCATTCATTGTTATGAAACGTCTCTTACATTTGGAGGGGGGGGGGGGGGGCTCTAGGCAATTTGGCTAACTTTTATGGTAGTTCTTTCCCCATCATCTTTGATGCCACTACTTGAACATCGTAGTAGAGCAAAAATGAGGGGGCTGTTCTTTCCCCATCATCTTTGATGCCACTACTTGAACATCGTCGTGGAGCAAAAATGAGGGGGCTGTTCTTTCCCCATCATCTTTGATGCCACTACTTGAACATCGTAGTGAAGCAAAAATGAGGGGGCTATAGCCCCAAGCCCCCCCCCCCGGCTCCAGCGTGCTTGACATTTCAGTTCATAACGTTAATAACATCGCCGCTTGTGGTAAATTTTATAACCGAACAGTCGTTTCGAAACTACGCATTTCATAACCTTCTATGACCCCGTATTCCAAATTCGTCTCAACAGGTCCAAACTTGCTAACCCCTGCTGGACCTCAGTTTGTTTTCGAAACCAGTGTGCATTTGAAAAGACATATGGCATGAGAGCTCGATACTACAAACTCGACTGCAGCATTTCACCATGGCTCAAGGAGGAACGTCTTCAAGATTTGGGAATTTTTTTGATGTCGGATATAACATCTGCTTGATTTTTGGCACTGCTGCCCTCTTGTTTTCTTACCGTGAAGCAAATATAAAGGATGTTGATATTACAGTGCAGGCAAACACTTTAAAGAGCAAGATCCAAGAACATGAAACAGTGGCTATTCGATCCAAACGGAGTGTTAGCCTTGACGGTGTTTTCAAAAGACTTGGTGATCGTCTCGATCTCTTAGAGCAAAGGTAGCCTTTTTTAAGCTAATAAAATGTTTATTTACCATCTACTCGAAATAACTATTATTCTCGTCAGTTGGAGAGATGATAACTCCATCTTCGGGGAATTCCAACTTTTCACAAAAAGTTTTCAGGTAACTTTCTTACATTCCTATTTATCGTTCGAAATCTCACTTGTCGTTAATGATCGTTCGAAGTTACTGAAGGTCTCTGGGACCAGTTTGGGATCATAAATCTATCTAGCAATTCTATAGAGCCCAGGTGTGAGCTTTGCACCAATGCATTGCATCGCAGCAGGTATAGCCTGCGTCACAGGCTACAGCAGGTGCGGATTGTAAAAAGGTTAGTTGTTGCCGAGATGGCAAAAGCGTGACAAGAAATTATTTTAAAAATCTCATCTTTTCAAGGGAAACCTTTCACAATGACTGGGGGACAGGGGGGATGTTAGATGATGATTGGACTTCGCATTTTTACAATTCCATGTTAAACTACGATAATAATGGTAAGTAAATTAATAAAAGTGTAATATTGGTGTCCCTTAACTAAGGCTGACAAGTGACAACTGAAGCAGTCTTTTTAGCAAGAGTCATCGAATGACTCTAAGCAACATTCATAAGCTCACTTTTAATAGTCATGACATATTGGTTGGACTTAAAATTGACACATTTTCCCTCGTGTTAACAAAACAGAGAAGATGTTATCATGTAATGAGCCGTGCTAATAAAAATATCATTTAAAACTGTTATTCAGTGGACTTACAAATAATTCTTAGTTTGCAGGTAAAGAAAATCAATTTTGAAATAAGAACAACATTGAGAACAGCCGAGCCTGAAAGTATCAAAAAAATAAAAGCGTCAAAAGTCGTCAAAAGTATCTTGTTCGTATAAAAAAGAGGTAGTGCATGACATATTAAATTTAGACAAGACAAAGTTAAACAATAACAGCCGGTTGTAGTTTCAGGCAATTAATCCCAGTTCTAGATGCAAAAAAAGCTTACTGTCTATGCAAAAGTGCAACTGAACCTACTCAGTAAGAAATCTAAATTTCCATGCATATAAAGCTTGCATTGCGTTTAAATCTGTCAGTTGCATCTCTTTTCTTTTCTGGTTGGGTCGTCGATGGCTGATCTGTGGCGAAGCAACAATTTTTCACAGCTTTCTTTGCGTTACATGATCCTTGGCTGTATCCAAACACAGACTTTGAGGGGGAGGGGGTGCTGAGACCCCACATTTTTCGACAATGTTAGCAAGGTCACTGCGCTCACTGAGCCCCCCCCCCCCCACCAGTACCTACCAGTATCTTAAGTTGTGCAATTGCAATGTGTTCAAGATTTTGGTGAATCTGAAGCAGCTTTTTATCAAAAGGGTGCACCAAAAGTTGAACGCATTGAATTCTTGTTTTCATCCCAGATTGCTTCCGTTTGAGTGAATGTTTATCAAATGGTTTCTTAAAGAAAAATAAGATGGTCTGTTTCACATATTTAATACTTGTTGCAATGCACCAGTTTTGACGTCTTTGTTAGATGAGACAGCAGGCTGCTGCTTTTAAGACCTATTGTCTAATATTGGTTATTTTCATTTTCTAGGTTCGAAAACACTAGTGCTTTTGCCAAGGCTGAAAAATCACCGTTTGCTGCACTTCTACCTTTTCTCCGTGGGCTGAGAGGTCCACCAGGGTCTCCTGGGCAAAAAGGGGATCGTGGCCTTACAGGTTTGTTATTTTCTCAACACGGACTGTATAGAATATCTTGGATTGTAATACAATACCAATAACTCGAGCCTCCAAACAAGTGCCGAGACAGCGGCTAAGAGACTTGAGTCCTTGTCTCCAAAGCAACGATGATAATTTCGAGTTGACTATTTTCTTAATGTCGAGTCGCCAAGATTGTAACCTTGAATTTGGTGATAAGACCTGCAAATGGGTTTACTTCTTTTTGATAACTCTCAACACTTTTGACCAATCAGTGAATACTGACATAACGTTTTGCAAATTTTTAGATTTGGTTTCGCAGTTTTAATCTTAACTCAAGTTTGGTCAACGCACAATTTTAGTATCAGCCTCCTTTTGATTTCGACACACATTCAAATCTCAGCCTCGTTTTGATTGGAACAATACGAGTCTGATACTAAAATTGTACGTTGAAAAAACTTGAGTTAAGATCAAAACTGTGAAACCAAATCTAAAAATTTGCAAAACGTTATGTAAATATTCACCGATTGATCAAAACTGCTGAGAGTTATCAAAAAGAAGTAAACCCATTTGCAGGTCTTATCACCAAATTCAAGAGTACAATTTTGGCGGTAAATGCACGCTATGTACCAGAGCCTTGAAAAAGAAGTCTGGTCTAACAGTCAATGTGTGGAGTCGAACAACGATATAAGGAAAAGAAGGGAAGAAAGATTCCTATTACGGCCTCCCACTGTTAGGCCCAAATCCTTCAGTAAGTTTCTGGTGCCTAGGTAGTGTTACCCTGGGTACCAGACTCACTATATAAAATAATAGAGAGTCTGGTCTAGTGCGCCCCATTCTCGTTCGGGTGAACTTACTTGAAAGAACTGAAGTCTATTTAACAGACTAGGCCTGTGAAACAAGACTGTCGGATAAATAACAAAGATACTCAGTAGTCGGAGGAGTTTTGGGAAATCTTAAAGCCAATGTATTTTATATAGTTCTGTAAAGTTGACATTATTAATACAGTGATAACAGACTTTTCTGCCTCAAGATTCCAATCAAATCAGGTGTAAAACGCCTTGGCAGCAAAAAGCATATGCGAAGCATGAAATTAAAGTTAGCACAATGCAGTTACTAAATGTTAATCATTGTTAAATTTAGCATACAACTTAAAATAAGACTTTTGTAATTTTCCACATAAATTAAGTGTACTTTCAGTCTACTTCCTCACTGTGAAGGCAGCGCGCTTGGACACCGCGGCGGTTAGAATCATCACGTTGGAAGTTCGCCACAGCAAATATGGCCAATATGACAAGCGAAGCCCCGTATGCCGGGGAAAATATTAGCCATAACTGATTTACTTGTGTTTGTTGTTGTTTGTTCTCGGCGCCTTGCGGTGTTTCTTATTTACTGCATTTCACTACAAGGCCTAATTTCTTTGCAATGAGAGGCACTGCCTGAAATATCAGAGACTTTCCAAAGTCAGTTGGCAATATGGCGAAGGTGTCTCTTCTCTCTACAAACAAGGCTTTCAATGTTGTTCTGTGTTAAGTTCCACAACATGCGGAAAATATTCTTTGAGTACAGTTTTAACAGCATCTTCAAACTAAATCGTTACAGTCGCTAGCATTTATTTATGTTGTGTTCTGTTCAATGTTTTACACCAGAGCTAAGTTTATTGTTTCGCTGTGACCTTTGAACGTACAGAAATCTGTACACTCGCTCCTGATTGGTTAATATAAGCACACCAGAACGAGAATGGGGCGCACTAGACCAGACTCTCTATTTTATTTCATATATAGTGAGTCTGGTACCCAGGGTAAGGTAGTGTTGGCCGTTGATAAAGATTGCTCGGGCTATATAGAGTTCGAGTTGTCTGGATTATTTTGTTATATAATAAATTTGTTTTAAAGTTACTTGGCCTTTCTGGTTTCTAACCTTCTTTTTCATCAATATCTTGCATTGAGTGAGGCTCGAAAAGTCTTCCAGTTGAAGTCTGGACACAGTGACGAGGCGAAGAGCAACAATGGTATTCACTTCGCCTCAGGATCTGTAATACTGTAACTGTTCAAATGAAAACCCCCAAAACCGTTGCTAAAACCAAAGGGTTTTGCTTATTGTTGCTTTTGTACTTTTGTACCTACATTTTAAAACTTGCTACAAGGACCAGGATAACAAGATTTGTCTTCGAAATTATTAGGGAAAAGAGGTAGAGGTGGCAGGAAGGGAGAGATAGGCCCAAGAGGACATCATATTGACCACGAATTCAACACGACTGGCACGTCTGTGTACACCCGTTGGGGAAGGACATCGTGCCCAAAACAAACTGGAGCAAAGCTGTTATATTCAGGTTAGATGTTTCATGTAACTTGCAGTTGGAAATACGTTGTAAAAGAATTGTGCTTATATGCTCTTTTGAGATCAAAATAATTTATCCGGCGGTTCCAGTGTCGTTTTTATTAAAATCGTAAAAATTTATGTTATCAAAAATGTTCTTCTCTCGCAAGAGTTCTTGATTCAATTATTACATTTCAAGTCAAGGTATCTTTTGAATATTCGGCTTTCTTTACTTACACCTAATATTCAAACTATTGTTGTGCCCCACCACTGGTGATCCCTTTGGCCCCAGCCATTTTTTCTAAAAAAAGGCTTCTGAATGACTCCCTTGTCACATTAGGCAAAAATTGTTAAAGATACTCTGTTTAGAGAAGTGTGACGAAACGACCTAAACCGGGCAATACTAAAGAGAACACACAGGGCCGGTGAAACCGGAGGGGCCGGGGGGGGGCATTGCCCCCCACTTTTCGGAGAGCTAAAGAAAAATTTTAGGCAAAAGTGGAAATAAATATAGTATATGATTTTGTAAGTAACTTTGCCTAGTATTCTCTTAAATGTGTCCTTAGCTTTACCTTGGTTGCTATGTCTTTACCATAGAAGACATACATAAAATTTATTATGGGAGTTAGATCGAAGAAATCGGTCATTGTCTAAGTTTTACAACGAGTAACAGCTTGGCTTAGCAAATAGATCAAGAAACCTAATCCTGAATAACTTGATACCAGCACAAATTGACGGAGTTTCGTTTTTTCTATTGCCTAAACTTAGCACACAAAGTCTATTTGTTAACGGAAACTTTCTCAGAAACATTACAAAAAGAAAGAAATCAGCTGTTGAAGGAAAAGAAACTGCCGGAAAAAACCTATTTGAGGATATGAGAAATAAATTATGGGCAGATTTGTTCTTAAAAAATATCATGAAGAAAACTTCAGATTTTGATCGTTTGGATAATCCGTTTCTACTAAGAAAGTGAAAATATCGACGCAATTATAAATTCTATTTAAACTCATTATGACAAGCCCAGTTTGAAGGTTTTTCAAATTTTTGTTAAAGCATTTAATTTCCGGAAAAATTAAGATCAGATGTTACAAAGTTATATCCTAACTATACTAAATTGCTTAACTTTTTACTTTTGGTTGATAGTTCTTCTGTTGATATTTCAACGTTAATGTTTTTTGTTAATCCATGTTTCATTTATTTTTCTCCCCCATTTTATTTCGGGTACTTTTAAATTCTAAAAAAACGGTTTCATTACGAGTTATATGATAGTGGTTATTCTAAAACTTTGCAAAACTTTTCTATTTCAAGTCAACATCACAATAGACGCGACTATGCGACACGTTCAGTCAAAATTCATTTTAGATACAGTTTCTGGCCATCCCTAAGACACCATAATTCTAAAATTTTTCTTGCCGCCAACCATGGTGGCGGCCTTTTGTACGCCCTTTCAAAACTTTGATATTTTGGCCCCCTAACTTTCAAACACGTTTCGCCCGCCCTGACACCAAAAGGACACATGATGTATACAGTTATCATTTTTCATCAATTATTCTTCTTTTTAACTGTTCAACTGGTACGAATCCTTTATCATCATCATCATCATCATCATCATCATCATCATCATCATCATCATCATCATCATCATCATCATCATCATCATCATCATCATCATCATCATCATCATCATCATCATCATCAGCATCATCATCATCATCATCATCAGTATTTGCCAAATTTGGAGATACTTCATTGAAGTTTTATATTTTAGTTTATTCAAAAGAGTGAATTCTATCAAGTCCCATTATGCTATTTTCAGATGTCTCTCATACTCATGCAACCATCTGATGTTTTTTTCCCGAAAAGAGTGCCCTTAAGCATCTTAAAAATTCATATGTGAAAATTGCTGGCATTTGGTTAATGTTCCATAGATCCCTCATAAAAGAACAAAGGTACTAAGATAGGTCTTTTGGACCATGGGAACTGTTCCTTTGTTCCTTTGTGTTAGGAACGTCTCGTCAATTTTAGGATATGCTGCTAACGTGCCGTTATGGGAATTACGGACCTTTGGTCGCTCGCTTTTCCTATACATTCTAACATAAATTTGAATATACGTTCTCAAGTTCCTTCGTTCTGCGTGCGCTAAGTACTTTTGGGCCGATTTTCTTTTGCTCATTTGAGTTTAGTCACGTTTCTCCGGAAAACAGCAAGACGAAATTCACATGTCTCTTGAGAAGTTTCAACCTATATAAGGCGCTGCAAGTTTTCAGCTTGGCCACAAAACTAGAAGATGTCTTCGATGGTAGTACGTTGGAAAGACGTCCCAGGAGCTGCAAAGCTGAAGAAAAGGCTGATGTTAATAGCTAACGTGCACGGAATATTTCAGTGCCCTATTGGTGATTGCGAGCATGAAGGCTTCCGCAGTCAAAGAGGTTGCAGAAAGCACGTTACAAATTCGCATCCTTGGTTCTTCTATTTTGACGAATACCCAAAAGATATTATGGATGATAAAGCTGCGCCACAAAACACATGTGACGAGAAGACCAACGAGTCAAAGGATGGCAGTTCGAATATCATTCCAGATGACGTCATTTTTAGTGAAACGTTTGCCAAATGGATGTGCAGCTCTACCGGTGGTGCTCGCACGAAGGCACACGCAAATCAGATTTGCTCTCGTGTCCTCAAGTTTATTCAGTACTCTCAGGACGATCTTATGCTCGAAGGGATAGAGGGGCCTAAAATTGACTACTATTTGGCTTCAATGGCATGCTTGTCAGCTTTTTTACAACATTTGGAGGATGAGAAATCTATTGGATTTGCTGGGAGCGTTAGTTACATCAATGCTTTGTTGGAAACAATGGAGTATAGAAAGTGTAAAGGAGTGTCAGCTTCCATCTTATCAAACTTTAGTGTTGCAGAGGTATTTTTGAAGCGCGCCAGAAGATGTATTGCTCGTAAGATGCGTGTACAGTGGACTGTAGAATTGGATGTTGATACCTTGGAGAGAAAAGGACATTGGGCATCACTAAAAGACTTACAAAAGGTCATACCGTTTCACATGGGACGATACAAGAAAATAGTGGCCAAATGTCGAGAGCATTCAGCAGAAGTTTCAGCGTCTGATCTAACTTTTTCAACGAGATTTATAACGACATTTCTCTTCTTACGTGTCAAGGGTTCTCGGCCAATGACATACCAATTCCTGACAATTGGCATGCTACGTAGTGCAGCAAAAAATGGCGGATACGTCGACCAGAAGAAATTCAAAACAGCTGACAAGTATGGCTTTGATTCCATGGTCATAGATGACGTCTGCATGCATGTTTTGGACGACTATGTGAGACACGTTAGGCCGAGGTTTCTTCCAAAATGCGAATATCTGTTACTTACGCGCAATGGAACCCAATTTACGAAGCTGAGTCAAGCTATGTGTTTGCTTGTCTATGAAGCTATTGGCAAGTATGTGCACCCAACACGTTACCGACAAATAATCGAAACAGAGAGTGCTGATGTTCTATCCCTTGAAGAACAAGAGCTGATCTCGCAAGATCAAAAACATACTTCAAATGTTGCAAGGATTCATTATCGCAAAAAGCGTTCGAGAGTCGTTGCCGAAAAGGGGAATCACTGCATTAAGAAGCTGAGGGGAGAAACTGGAGAACAACTAGACAGCTCTTTGAAAAAACTCGTCAATGTTTCGACGGGTGCAGAAGACTCTGAGTCGGACTCGGACATTTTCATTACACAGAGCAGTACCAAACCTGTAGCAAAGACAGACAGCGACTGCCAGATGACGTCAATTCGAAAGCGTATAACACCATTCACTGAGAAGGAGGACTTGAATTTGATAAAGGGAATAAACAAACATGGTTATGGCAAATGGGGCAAAATACTTTCGGACCCGAGCTTGTGCTTCGCAGAGGGAAGAGCACGTAACTCTTTGTTAAGACACGTTAGAAGTAATCAATTTCGTTGTATGTATGAAAAGCTGTGTGGAAAAGTTATGTCGTAGAAATCGTTTAGGAATCATAATACATGATGGGAAGAATGTTTGAATATTTCTTTTACAAAGTTGTTTTTCTGTTCGATTCGTATATACGCATGTGCCAGACGCCTAACAATGATATAAGTTGATTTTTGACTAGCTCTTATTCCTACAGTTTTGTAGACGTTCTGGCCTTATAATCTCGTAGTGATCTTTGCTTGTAATCTCGGATGGGTGTGCCATACTATACATTATAAAATGTTGGGCTGGGCTTTTCCCTATAAAGTTCAATGAGTGGTCTTCCGTCCTCGTAATGATGTTGGCTTCTAATCTCGGATGGGTGTGCCATACTATACATTATAAAATGTTGGGCTGGGCTTTTTCCTATAAAGTTTGACAAGGCAATGAGTGGTCTTCCGTCCTCGCAATGATGTTGGCTTCTAATCTCGGATGGGTGTGCCATACTATACATTATAAAATGTTGGGCTGGGCTTTTTCCTATAAAGTTTGACAAGGCAATGAGTGGTCTTCCGTCCTCGCAATGATGTTGGCTTCTAATCTCGGATGGGTGTGCCATACTATACATTATAAAATGTTGGGCTGGGCTTTTTCCTATAAAGTTTGACAAGGCAATGAGTGGTCTTCCGTCCTCGCAATGATGTTGGCTTCTAATCTCGGATGGATGTGCTATACTATACATTATAAAATGTTGGGCTGGGCTTTTTCCTATAAAGTTTAACAAGGCAGTGAGTGGTCTTCCGTCCTCGCAATGATGTTGGCTTCTAATCTCGAATGGGTGTGCCATACTATACATTATAAAATGTTGGGCTGGGCTTTTTCCTATAAAGTTTAACAAGGCAATGAGTGGTCTTCCGTCCTCGCAATGATGTTGGCTTCTAATCTCGGATGGGTGTGCTATACTATACATTATAAAATGTTGGGCTGGGCTTTTCCTTATAAAGTTTGACAAGGCGTGAGTGGTCTTCCGTCCTCGTAATGATGTTGGCTTCTAATCTCGATGGGTGTGCCATACTATACATTATAAAATGTTGGGCTGGGCTTTTCCTTATAAAGTTTGACAAGGCAGTGGCCTTTGATA